GACCTCGTTCGCTGATCTTCCAGGAATAGAGAGACTCTTATACACCAACACGACAGCCATCCTTCTCCAAACTTACACAGCACGACGCCAACAGTCACGCAAACGCTCTGCTTGCATATTCCTGTCTTGAACCCCACTTCCCAGCCCCGCCCGTCACTGTTTACACTGTTGACGACCGCTCGACTTTGACCAAACGGCATCTTTTTTTCGCTGCTGGCTTTTTTACTTGAAGGCGCCTCGTCCTCCAATTCTTTCTTTCCAACCACCATTCCACGTAACACTCGTTCACATCAGAAACATGGCTGGATCTCGTTCACCCAGAACCACTCGCTCCAAGACACGACGCTCTGTTATGTCGTCGCAAAAGTCCAACATCAAGACTTGGACACGTCATCAGAAGCCTGTGCCTGCCCGCCTGACCAAGGAGAAGGAGCAAACTAAGGCCATCCCTCAACCTGCTCCTTCTGTCCCCGCATCACCCTACTACCACTCTGCTTTGATCCAAGCACAACTCACCAAATCTTACCAACAATCACGTCTTGCTGCACCTGCTGCTCCTTCAAGGCATACTGGCTCATCTTCTGACTCATTCCGCTTCCTTGATCTTCCTGCCGAGATTCGTCTCATGATCTACGGATATGCTGTGACTGAGCCCGAACCTCTTTACATCGACACTTTGGCTGCTCCTCCGGCCATCACTCGCGTGTGCCGCCAGACTCGTCAAGAAGCGTTGCCTGTCTTCCTTGGCAGCAACTCCTTTATCACCCTCTTCAGCTCTGTTCCTGGCATCGATGCTACCTGCCCTGAGCCTTGCTGTCTTACCAAGTACACCACTTCCTTCTCACCCGCTTCCGAGTCATGGCTCTCTACCCTGCCTCCCTCGCAACCTCTTATTCGCGACATGAGCTTCACTCTCCAGCCCTCCACCTGGGACTCGGAGTCCGAGCTTTCAGCAGACTTCCGCATGGTCGATGGAAAGCTTGCTCACGGTCCTGACTGCCCTTTCTGCATCAATGGCTCATATGGCAATGTCACACCTATCTCTCTTGCCCACCCTGCTGTACCTGACAGCCTCAAGCTTTTGATGAGCCATGCTCAACAGATCCACAACGCTGAGCTCGACGCTGTCAACACTGTCCTACAGTTTGGCAAAGGTCTCAGCCTTTATGATATCGTCGCCTTCACCAAGGCTTTCACTGGCCCTAGCGAAGTCATCACTGCCAGACAATGTGATCAACAGCGCCTCGTCGAGCACTTCAAGGAGTCGCTCGAGGAGTGGGACGATGCTAAGGGTGACGCCAGATACGAGATTCAAGAAGATCTCAGACGTACCTCGGATGACCTCTGGTCTGAAAAAGAGAAGTGGTGTGGATCCATGTAAAACCTTTCCATTGTTTTTCTTTGCATATTGCTTTCTGTATAGCGCCGGATGGAGTCAAGGGCATTGGGATATTGGGATGGTTTTCTTGGCCAATGGCTTACGATCAAGATGATGACGATGACTACGAACTTCCTTGTTGATATTAGACACACTTCACGAAACAAATTTCTTCCACGCATTCATATTCTGCTCTCTCCACTGCTCCTTGCTCCTTGATCGAAGCCAAGTGCTTAGCCGAATGTCGTGGGCCAAAATCCTACCAGCCTGAACCCTATTTTGAGATCGGCACTATTGACCACCCGAAGTCCCATCTTGACGCGTACTGTGGACTCGTCAGGACTCGTTGGGTGTAAGCATGTCACTGCATGTGCATTGTCTTCTTCTGCTAGACCGGTGATGCTCTCCGTGTCCTCTACTAACGTGTAGGCAGACGGCAAATGCCTGTCGCCCAGCTCGAGCTCGGCATGTCGGCACCGTCGACAGCTGTCAGTACTATGCACGACATAGAACCGTCCTTTGTTTTGTCCATCAATGTTTTGGTAGGAAAGCAAACCTTCGTCTTCACCTTCATCACCGATTGCTGCTCAACCTCAACTCGTGCGTACTCTGAGATCGCGGCGATGAACCTCCATTTCTCTGGTTCGGGTTTCCAATACTGATACTCATGCATGTCTTAAGCACAGCCCAGCTGCACGGCACGTGGTTTAGCGAGGGATCTCCAGGGCTTCTATTCTTCCAAGCACGCGAGAAGCTCTATAAGGCTATACATGTTTCACTACATTGCTCCTACAAACCAATAAGGCAAGTCATTGACCCACATTCGCTTCTTGAACTCTTTCACGCGTCCAAAACGTCTATCACGACATCCTCAACACCGTAGCAGTGAACGTGCTTTTTAGGTTATGGACATTGTGGGTTCTCCGCTTGCTCAGAGATCAATCGCAAAGTCCGAAGATTTTATCGATATAACCGTTTCGGTTCGCGTTTTTGTTATCTTAATGCCAACCCTATGTTTATGCTTGATTGCGGGCATTCGATAAAGGCAGACAATATACGCACGTATCTTCTTCCGATCTAGAGAATCATCATCTTATCAAACGACGACTTCTACGTTCAGAATACCGATAACGAGTGTGTGTGGTCAATCTTTTCTTCGAGTTTTCTGGAAGGTTTCTCATTGCTGATCTTCTTGTCGATCGCGGTTCGTACTCTGTTTGTAACTTGCTAAGCTCAACAACTTTTCTGTCTCGGCTTCTGATGTCTGTACAACTGCACGGCAATAATAATGATGATGTGTGCTGCTCTGAGTAGTTCGATCGCATCGGACCCAACTTTAAGGCCTTATTATTTTACAAAACTCGGAAATGCAGGAAAGGAGTTGACAAATGTTTGGGTGATCGACATGTATACACACTGGGAAAATATCATTGGTCGAGCACGTCAACTTCATGCTTGGCCATATAACGTGCAAAGATGCGAAATTCCTCGTAATCCCATGTCATAGCCGTTGTCTGCCACTGACATCTGCTCTTGCCGCCACTTACACCATGTGCACCTTCCAAGATTCATGGAAACAGATGTTTCGAAGTATGTGTTCTTTGCTTTTTACCTCTATGCTTCCAAGCTTGATACATGAATTGAAGCTTCCAAGATATGACTATGGCTCGCAGAGTCGTATTGTCGCTGTCTTGAACCTCCTGATTTTTGACCGTTGAAAGCGCATTGCCGCCGCCACTTACATCTTTTGCCGTGCTCTGGCAATGCATACATCACAGTCGCACTCCGGTCGGAAACAATCATGCTGTTTACTTCGCTGACAACATCTCCATGACTTGAGAAAAGGACCGACGTCATGTATAGACCAAGGCTCGTTCCGCAATGACCGTTACCTCTTTCTTCGCACGCTTCCACGATCTATCTATCACATCGATCTTCAGTCTTCGGTGCGTTTTCCGGACTTCTCGGCGCTTTCCTTGGCCATCCATCCTACAAACGCGACTTTGTTGTTGTGATCAGCGATGGTGATAGACCTTCAGCAGCCGTCGATAGCTTCTGGGACTACCTTCACCTCTGACTCCTTCTGCGCCTTACACTTTGCAGCCACCGCCTACATATGCATTCATCATGAGATGAATCTCGCGGTACCACCAATATGCCAGCAACACCTTTTGCGATATCGAAAGCTTGATAGGATGGCTCAGGATTTCGACCGTTTAGAGAGTGCTATCTCTCAGCCACTTCTTCCGCAACACGACCGCACACGACTATATTTCTCCACTGATTCAAGCCAGCGCGTAACCCGAAACTCAACTTTCAAGCACCGATAACATTTCTCCATGACTCTGAGATTAAAAAAGGTCCGATGGTGTCTCTAACTATCGCAGTACGAAACAAAGGTCTCAGTCGCGCACAGCAATATGCCGTGTACCGGACCGTTGAAAGATTTCGTAACCCTGTCCAGCTTTTCAACAGTTCTTCCATTGCTTCCACCTTGGTTCTACCTTCTTTCTATCGCCTTGGCAATCGCTTAGGTGTCTCACTATGTTCACGCAAAAAAAGGACCGACTTGTTTTGTTTGTGGAAGTTAGGTATGAGTAGGATGTGATACTTTGAAACTCGCTGCGAACCGTTCGGCTGGGTGTTTGGCTGAAAGAGCAAAAGCATGACTTTGCTGATATCCGACCGTTGGCTGTACTTGTTCGCACCGCTGCGGGATTGAGGCTTACAAGCACGCGTTCGTTGAGTGGGATCATGGTATGTTGATTCCTCTGGGTGGCTGGGAGGTGAGTAAACCACGTAGGGCATTGGGGAGCGTTCAGGTGCTTTCACATGCGAAATGTCACTCCTGCAATTGAGCCTGGCGAACGGTAAGTACGACATGGCGACACAATTTTGTGTTCTCGTACTCGCGAGTATAATTGGTCTGGCTGGGAACACTGGCTTGTTGTGTGTATCGCTATTGCTGCATTCCAATGGTCTGGTAGCATAGCAGGTAGGAAACATTGTCGAAGTGGCCTTTATGATTGATTATCACCACCTTACATTCAGAAAGTTGTCATCATCAAGGTTGGCATGTCATACCGTCTTATACAATCTATCATTGTACGAGTTTTGTCTTACCTTCAGCTTGTTTCTTTTCACAAAGTGCGCCGCCCTCGTGCAAAGGTTTAACGCTTCGTGTGGAATTTCACCTATCAGAAATCACAAAATGTATATCATGACCACAGTGCTTACGCAACCTATATGAAACCAAGATACTATAACAAAGACAGCCGCGCCAGTACTCAACTGTATTCTCAGGGTTATCCGACTGGGTACAAGTCGCTATATCATGATTTATTGCTCGGGACATGTTGCCGAGCACATGACCCTGTCTCAAAACTACAGCAAGAGGCATATCACCAAAACCACGAAACCTCTAAGACTCAAAGACAACTACTGGTTGGAATGACTAATCAAGAGCATGATGACTGAAATATCGAGTAACATTACAGGGTATCAATCATTAATACAAGCTCACATACGTATATACAAAATCCATACAAAGCAAATACATAAACCGGTTAAACCGTATTCATTTCACGTCTGTTTGATTTCCATCCGGCAAGAGAAAATCACTTCACGCAGCAGTAGCAGCAGGCTTGCGAGTCTCTATTTTCCTCGGTGCTCTTTTGGTGGGTGCTGCTGTTGGTTTGGATTGTGTAGCACCACTGCTCTTTGCCGCAGTATTCAACTTTCTCGGCTTTTTCTTTCCGGCAGTGCTTGACGTTGCAGTTGGTTGGCTAGCAGCAGGTTTGCTGGCAGTGGTTTGTTGTGGTTTCGCTGCTGGTTTTGCAGTATTGGTGTTTGTGGTTGAGGGAGTTTGTTTTTGCGATGCTGATCTGGTTGTTGGTCCGGTGGATGTGCCATTCGATTTGGGAGCTTCTTTTGGCTGCGAGGAGGTGTTTGTGTTTGTGTTGGCCGTCGGCGCTTGTTTGGGCTTTGGTGCTTCTTTTGGTCTGGAGGGTTGTTGTGTGTTGGATGTCTTTTGTTGCTTTGGTGGCTGCTCGCTTTGCTTTGGCTGTGACTGGCTTCGTTTCTTTGGTTGTTGCTTTGGTTGTTGGGATGTTTGTTGCTTGTTGCTGGCTTGGTCACCGCCTCCTCCCATACCCATAGATGCCCCTAGGCCACCGAGCCCAACAGCAGAGCCTGCTTGTGCCATGGAGGGCATATTGGGCATCGAAGGCATCGAGGGCATTGATGGCATGCCAGGCAAGTAGCTGGTCATGTCCTTTGCTGACTGTGACCATGATGAGGGTGCCTGGTCAGGCATATCATTCTTCATCTTCTCCAACTCTTCCTTGCTCGGTGCTTGTGTCTCCTTGGTTTGCATGACCATCTTGTCCAACGCCTTTTTCTGTGCCGGAGTGGACTTCCAATCAGGAAGGAAATCACCAACGACACCTTGAACACCATGGCTTGCCATTTCTCCCATGTCCCAAATCTTGCCGTGCATGGCTCCATAGACGGACCCAATACCACCACCAAGCAGGCCAGTAACTGTTGATACCGTTCCTCCTACAATAGCTCCAGTGAGTTTTCCGAGAGTGACGCCAGGTTGCACGCCTAATCCAGCTCCAGCGGCAAGTCCTTGGAAAGCACCGCTTTGTGCGTACTTAGCAGCTTTGCCAAAGGACTCGGCTTCAATCTCCTTGTTGACGGCTTTGGCAAGAGTCGCTTCTCGTGCATCGGCGTCGCCAGCTGCCATGGCTGCTTGTCTCAACTCCCAAGCCTTTTGTGTTGCTTGTAAAGCCATGCTGGCAGAGACTCCCGAGTTTTGTTTGATGTCACGTTCCGAGGGGCCTTGCTGGCCATTGTTGCCATTGTTGTTGCTCATTGTGTTGTTCGACGTGTTTGTACTCTTCGGTTTTGACTTTTGTTGTTGTGTCTGTTTCGGCGGCATAGTGTGCTGGAAGGTAGGGTTTTGTAGGGTTTTGTTCTCAATGTCGATATTGAGGATTAGCAATAGCTATGTAACTGTGAGAGCAGAGCAATATGCAGGGCTACGTCATCATCACCGCGTCCGCTCGAGGGCATGCAATACCTGTTTTTGATCTACAGTCTGCGACAAACAAAGTTTCACAGCCACGCTGTCTGGCACGAGGCGAAGTAATGCAGATCTGACACCATATCCTCGGTGTACTGTAACAAGGACACAATTGATGGGTAGTAGAGACATCCTCTCTTGGCGACAGCCATTTATGCTGATATTGGATGAGTCGTTCGCAAGAGACGAATGAACGCGAAAACCGAGGCATGTTCTTCTGTTCCTCGATATGCGTTTAGAGCACCGATTGACTCGCTGCTGCTAAGTGGGAACAGATAACAAGTGCAAGCAGCACGGAAGCAGCACGGAACAGTACTCCACAGTGCTCTGACCACGAACACCGCTTAGAATCATAGACTTACCTCGAATCTTACCTTCTGTCTGGATAAATTTATCACCAGTGCCACAAGCACTCTACTGGCACTTTGCCATCGACGGTTCGCAATTTGCGACGGTGTCCGAGTAGGATCAATCAACACGAGCTGTGGCTGTGATAGCAAGTATGAACATGACACTGAATGCCTGTGATGTGTAGAATGGTAAGGTACAAGAAGGGATATCCACAACAAAAGAAAAGAACGCTATCAAGATCGCTGCTAGTTTTATAATGTAGAGGCGAAATATCAACAACACATTAACGTCGCTTTTCGGAAACCGAACAATAAAGTCGCATGGAAGTCGTTTGTCGCAGTGGATGGAGTATCGGGGCGTCTAGAACAAGGCGATCGAGCAGGGCGGGCTTGTATTGCGCATGGGCTGGGCACAAGCAGTGAAAGTCGCAGTTGGGCAAGCATATAGCTCACAGTCGTCGTCGCACTCGGGGGATGTCGTCAATGGTCAGAGGCGGTCGCATATGGCCTGGTGTTAGTCGCATCGGGTATCAATCATCCAGCATCGATCCACAATCATCAAGCATTTTCACTTCGAGAAAAAGTGCAACATTTCATGAAGCCACCTTCGAAAGCCTCCTTGCCTCCGAAATACTGCGCCTGGCCTCAAGGGCGGTGTCTTCATGTGTCGGAGGGCCCTGGTAATTCTTCTTACCCCAGACGAAGTACCATGCGCCTGCAATCAGAATGAAAGCGACAAAGACCACTGATGCGTAGTTCATGAGCGATGCGGTGACAGGGACAGTGGTCGGCATGCAGAATAATGGCACAGCAAGACAGCTCCAGGCGAGTGCAACAACGTTGCAGAACAGTCCAAGAACGCCGAGAGAAAAGGGGGCACCCTTTACATGCTTGCGACCCGTGAAGAGGTTGGTAGCAATGGGTATGGCGTATGACACTGTCAGACAGATGACACCAACACCAGAGAAGGCGTTGTATGCAGCGACGGATCCAAAGTAGATGACGGCGAGCAGAATCTGAACGACCATGCTGAGCAACATTGCGTTCAATGGCACACCTTCAAGAGCAGTGGTGTTGTTGACTTGCTTCCACCACTTGCTACCAGGGATGGCACCGTCACGGGAGAAAGCCCAGACGCAGCGGGACGCTGCGGTAGTGCATCCGATACCGCAGATAAGACCGAGCACCATAAGAGGAAGAAGCAGACCAATGGCACCACCAGGAGAACCGACAGCAGTTGCAATAATAGTAGGGACAGGTTGTCCTGATGCAAGGGCAGCAAGTGTGGTAAGGTCAGGGATGACGAACAGAAGAGGAAGCAAGAACATGAGACCAGCACCAAGGTTGAGAAGAATGGTCGCAACCATTGCCTTAGGAACCTGGGTTGCAGGCTCTTGAACTTCTTCACACATGGAGATAATCATACCAGTCGACGAAGTCGCGTATGCCGCCTGCAGAAGACCGACACAGAAGGACCATCCAGGAGTCCATCCTGACTGGGGCTCGAAGTCAGTGAAGACGTACTTGCCAGAGTGTCGGCCACCCTTAGCCAATACGAGCGTGACAATAAGAATGGCAAGAACACCAGCGAGAGTCCAGAAGATGGCAAAAGNTCTAGAGCACATAGTCAGTATCCTCGTATGCTCAAGCAGTCTTGTTCCACATACATCAACCAGAGCCAGCCATCTGTTGCCAAACGAAGAGACGAGATTGCAGAAAACGGTAATGGCAACAAAGACCAACCATGTCTCCCACGCGCTGGCATTCCATATGCCGACACCGGGCGACGACTCGAAGACGTTCACACATGAGATGATGAACAGCGCAGAACCGAAGTTGACAGCCAAAGTGATTGTGATGTTTCCAACGACATATGCCCATCCGCAGATCCACGACAAGACTCTCTTGTATTTGGCTGGTGCCAACATGAATGTCTGGTAGTAGACTCCACCAGCTGTCGGGTATACTGAAGTGATCTCGCCCAGACTTGCAGCGACACAGATAATGATCAGACTGACCAGGATCCAACCCCAGATGATGTTTGCCGGGCCACCTCCGACAAGAGGATAGTAGAAGGTTGTTGCGAGACCGTAGGGAATTGAGGCAAGGACGAAGGACATGAAGGCGACTTGAAGGGTCGATCGGTTGCGTGCCATTTCGGGCTTGTAGCCCATGGCCAACAGAATTGCATCGGACTCGTCGAGATCGGTTCCGCTCTCTTCATTTGACACCTTTCGCGTCTCGCCGAGGTGGTTCTTGGTCGAAGGTGCGGCTTGACCGTGGCCAGCGGCCATACCGGCTTGGTCCAGGTTGCGGTCCGGAGGATTTGCGAGGAAACCCATCGTGTATCGTGGATAATTGGTGCAAAGAGTGAGCGTGGGAAAAACGAGACAGGGCAGCCACTGGGGAGCGCCCTACAGATATGTACAAGAGGAAGCGACGCTTTGACACTTTGGGTGAGGAAGGTTCGCATAGCGTACGTTCGTCTAGCAGCCAGGCGTTCGGAAACGAGTGGGACTGCTGGAGAACACAACGCCAATGACGATATGCTCAGATTTTTCATTCGATTGTCATTCGGAAGCCGCTCTGGATGCGTCCACGACAAGGATGCTTGAGACCCTGTTTATCATTTACTTACACTCAACGACATTGGTATACAAAAATCATGTGAATATTCTGCAAAAATTCGTTGAGGACTTGAAAGCGCGGGAGCATCTCGAAGCCCTGAAGCAATCAAACGATTGCCAAGCGTAAGACGAAACCCCAGGGCGTTGACTCGGCGGCGGAGGTGTGTGTGAGGGGGTATAGCACTCGGATCTCTCTGATGCCTTTGATCTCTGGGGGCGATGACTTCGACTCGTGAAATGTCAGTCAAGACAGGCGACAACCTGATCAAAATCGTGTTTTCGAATGCTGTTATGCATCTTCAGTCGCGTGAGAGATTCAAGGTATGGTCGTATGGTTGTGTCCTCAACAGTCAGATCAAGACTGCTCTCTAGCGCAACCTGCCTGAATCATGGCGTTCGACAAGACATCGCCGAAAGCCCTCACTTGATTGTGATAATAATCAAAAGGCGCAGGGATAAGCCCCTAGGGCTGCTGTTGGAGTTTTAGGAACATGCGATAAGCCTGACTCTCAGCTTCTCGTACGAGTGACAAGTGCCGATTGCAGGCGGCCTTTTCCCGCTGCTTCTCGAGAACAATGTCGCGCATGTGAAGTGACACTCGTATCTGTCCTAACATCCTCAGAAGCAGCCCACTTGGATGAGCTCAAGCTGGAAAGAATCGCTCCTGCAAGCAAGGAGAGCGTGACAATGCGCGTGGCTCATCTGCTGCAGTGGTTCCGTGCAGACCCTTCTCTGCATGATCCTTATCTAGTAGATGCGCCTCGTAACAAGCCCTAATCTCTATAAACACTAGATAGCAGCTCACAACATATTGCCATGTCGAACAAGTGTATACCACTTCCATCATAGGTGAGGAAATCCGCCAATAAGAGAAACACCGTAAGAAAAAACTCGTCGCTCACACTCATTATCGGCGCCTGTTCCTGCACCAAGGTTCGGGGAGTGAGCTGAGCCACGTGAGGGACCAGAACGACCCCTCCCCCACCTCGTTGATCTGCGTAACAAGCAACAAGTTCGACCGACTGCATGAAACGTCGACCAGCTCTAGAACTGCACTTACAATGGTTCAATGCTGAATCACAAGAATAAGACAGTAGGCAAATGGATCAAACCCTCTCAAGTCACCCATCTAGCAGGCTCGTATCACACTGAATTGCTAGAGGAAGGAACAACCTGTCTAAGCGAACGTCAAAGTGTAAATTGTAACGTGGACGCACCTGCCGCGGCCAGCGGCAGAAAAGCCCTATCTTGATCGATCCTGCAAGAACAGCGTGTCAAAGCGGCGATGCACGGAATGAAGCTTCGAGTCTCGGGAATAAACGCGAGAAGAATTTGCGATACTATAGGGCTAGTTAGTATATCTCGATCGGTGCTGATTCTCAATGCATCCTATGTTTCCAAGTTGTCAAGACTGAGCACATCGACATGGAAGTCGCGATTCCAGACGGTGGACTGAAAGATACGCACAAAGCGGCAGCTCCAGGCACGACTCTCATGGTGGAGCTATGACATCCAAGCTATCCCAGGATGATTTCTTTTCCGTGACATAATCGACTTCTATTCTTCTATCCAATCGTCTGACAACATGCACCTCGTTGTGAGAAACACAGTATTGATAGGACTCGCTGCGTTTGGCTATGTCGCACTCTGGAAGTTCGCAAGCGACAACGGCACTTTCGCGTTGACGCGAGAGTCGTCATTACAAAACCGCCTACCAGGAACCGGCGAAGAATATGCTACAGAATTCACGCGATGGCGCTGGCTAGACGAATTCTTACGAGGCATCCTTACGATTTTCTGGCCGATGGTCAACGGTACTCAACCTGGCTCGTCGTTGATGTGCTTCTACTTTGCTGGCCAAGGTATCGTCGCATGGATTCTGACGGCTCTCGAAGGACAGCGCAGAGTGAACGAGGAGAACTGGAGAGTCGTTTCTCTGACCACTGTGTACGGTCTGCTGTTCCAAGGTCTCGGTATCGGAATTGTAGGCCCAATCTTTCTCGCATTCGCTCCTCTAGGAGATATATCAACGAGTCCTGTCCTGGTCCACCACAAGACAGATGTAGATGCCATAATCCCTGCAACGATTGGCGGAATCATCATACCAACAATTTTGATGTCACTTCATACACCAACGGTTGTCTCATTGGAGTCCAAAGTTGACCTCATCCGTCTATGGCAATTCTTCCCGTTGCTCTTCCGCCTGATCCAGCGTGCTTGGTCCAGCTTCTTTCTCGTCCGATTGAATACCTATAGAGATGAGCTCGCGGAGAAGAGTCCTCGAAATCAAAGGCAAGCCCTTCGCCGTGTCTATATTTTCGGGCTCTGCTGTGCGGCTATCCCTCACACTGGAACCATTGCTGCATCGACGATAAGCCTGCTGTTTCCCACGTTCTTTGGACACAATATCTCGGCAGAATTCCACCCGGCCAATCTTTTCATTCCTGTTTCGCCGTTCTCTGGAAAGCAGGCAGGTACGGTGGGCGAGGGTGCACACTGGTTCTTACAATGGGACATGACACTCATGTTTCTCACTTACTCGGTCTGGGCATACTTCGCGGTCGTCAAGGTGATCTATCCTAGGTCAGGTGTATTCTCAACTTCGTTGTTACTGCGTCTTACTGGCTGGTCTTTACTGTCCGGTCCCATGGGCGCCGCTTTGCTCGCGTTCTGGGAAAGGGACGACATTTTTGAAGCCGAGGAGCAGAAGATCAATTCTCGCAAGGTCTCGGCCGCCGGATTTGCCTCTATCTCGCAGGCTGCTGAGAAGAGCGAGTGATTTAGGAGCATCGCGGCGAAGAAAGTCGAAAAAAACTATAGACCTTAGCACTGAGAAGTAACAACTTTCGGCTCTCTATGCGTGCCTCTGCTTCCGCAAACTATTGTGTCTTCCTACAATGTATCTTTCACAGACGAGAACTTTTCTGCAGCAAATCCACAGCTTCCTTCGCCATACCNNCCTACAAATACATCAGTAACGAACAAGATGAGTTTCCTGGCGTCACTTACCATGAAGCTTGGTATCCTGCACCACCAGCACCGTAGTTGTGAATGACCAAATTCTCGCCAAACTTTTCTCTCTCCAGTCTGGCACCGCCCTTTCTGCTTGCNNTGTTGCATTCTGTCAGCTTTGTACACCAACCATATTGGAAGGCAGCAAACTTACGTCTCAGACCAACACCATGATAAATCACTTTGAGGTCTTCCGGCTTGCCCAGTTCAGGAGCTAGAGCGCAGCAGCGTCTCTTGATGTCCTCAGCAAATTCAAGATCAACATCTCCGCTCCAGTCGTTGTCAAGACGAACTCCGCCTAGCACGACGCCATTGTGGGGACCACGTGGGAAGACGTAGGTAGTATCTTTGTTTACTCTTTGCGGTGAGCGGAAGTACATCCTCGTCATGGGAGTTTTTGGGCTTTCGACGAGCATGATTTGGCNCCTGTTCCCTGATGAGTTTTGTGTTCCTTGTGTTGAGTCAGAGGCGTATGCACATACTCTTGTCGGATAGACGCTCTTGTCTTCTACGCCCTTCAATGAGTAGGCACCCAAGCCTGTGCAGTTGAAGTACGCAGTCGCGGATGAGAAGGCGGTGAACAACTCGTCAATAGAGTCAAACATGCCTCTTCTGATCTCGATGCCTTGACGTTTCACTTCCCCTTGTANACCTTTTGGAATTCCGTTATAAGTTTCTGCGATGCTCCAAAACGACATCGAGATATACAACAGATGAGAAATACAGCGGAGGACTCACCAAGGAAGATATACCTGTGTATCCACAACAAAAGTCTTAAGATCACATCCAAACTTTGCTCCCTCTGGCAATTCATCTCTCTCAAGCATCCTCACACCCCCCACCAAATCCTCATACCAGATCTTTCCCGTGCCCGTACTCAACACGCCCGCATCCTCAATCACAGAATCGTAAATGGCAGTGATAGGCATATCATAGACACCCACCTCAACAAACCTAGCAGCAAGCTCTTTGAACTTCAGATATGTAACACGGTCCCAGGATTCTTGGCGCCCGTTGTCGGTGGCGACGGAGAGCCAGTTTGCTCCNNCTGCCCAGGGAGAGGTGTAGGTGGCATCGCGGTCGCCGGGGAGGAATCTCGCGACGATGGTGATGGTGGAGTGGGGGTAGCGGGAGCGGAGTTCGAGGGCGGTGGTTAGGCCTATGACGCCTGCGCCGAGGATAACGTAGTTAGATGGCATTCTGATCACTATATGAGGGTGTCGTCTAATAAGGATATGTATTGGATGTTAAGCATGACTTATATAAACAGAGCAATGGTTGGGAGATGTGATGGAGCGTGAGTCAAGCCATGGGGTTGTACCGATGTCGGGTGTGTTTCCCGAACGGCCTTGTTTCCCGACGCTGAGTCGCTTGTGAGAATGTTATTCATAATTCTACGACTGAAATTATGCAAATAATACTCAATAATGCCAACCCGATTTCATGAACTTCTGCACTATGCAGTAACCTGCGTTGTACTCTTGCTACCGCCTCCGTCACTCGCAACAGTGATGCCGTTGGTTGGCTTCTTAGTCTTGGGTAGACTAGCACTGTACTTGCCATTGCCGTTATATGTCATTGTGGTAGCTGTTCCCGTTGCTGAGTTTGTCAGATACAACTTCAAGTTCGCGTTATAGCCAACAATGTTGGTGCTGGCAGTGACTGTGACCTGACCACCTCCTGAAGAGTTGTATGTATAGCTGTCGATGGTAACAATATCCTTTACAGCAGGATCGCTGACGATTGTGACGTTGGCGTTCCCGCTTGTGCCTGCAGCAGCACTGCTCACTTTGATGTTGAAGATGTAGGTGGCCTTTACTGTGCCGGACGGAGCAGTGAGAGAGGGACTTGCAGCGGTGTTGCTGGACAGCGTGACAGTAGGTCCACTGACCTGAGTCCAGCTGTATGTGAGATCATTAGTGCCAAAGTCAGCCTGGTTGGTGACGTTGAAGCCAAGCTTGACTACAACACCTGGGCGAGTCGTCTGAGTGCCTCCTACAGCCACGGTAGGGGTGCTTGCTGCAGCCGAGCCAGAACCACTTGAAGTCGATGTAGCAGAAGCAGAAGCGTCGGCTGAGGCCGATGCAGTACCAGAAGCAGCAGCCGAAGAAGTGGAAGCAGGAGAGTAGGGAGCACAGCTCTTTGTAGCAGGAGCATTGGCACCCGGCCAGGGATTGAGTTGACCGAAAAGATTGCCTTGATCATCGTATCCCAGACCTTGTGCGAGGAAGGGGAAGTTGCTGAAGTCGTTCACAGGCGGAACAATGCCAGGGACGTTTGCTTCTGGGAAGAGAAACTCTAGAACAGGCTGGACGTAACGACCAGCGTTGATCTTGTTGTCTGTGAGTTTCTCGCCTGTAGAAGCACGCATAACGTATTCGCGAGTGTATTTTGATGTTGTGGTAGTAGCAGCTCTCCACTCCCACTTGTTGCGAGCATCGCCTCTCTTGTATGAAGCTGCGCCAACGCTCCTTTCCGTCTCTTGACCAGTGCAAGGGTCGACATCGATAGCGTAAACTGTGATGGCGGCGTTTGGGTCAGAGGTGTAACCGATGANACTGCTCAAGGTCAGCACAACGCAACGTCTAACAACACCAACTCGAAAACTTACTCTGGAATCACCAAATTCCGAAGTGGCAGTGCCGTCGAAGATGCCGACAATCGCATCCTCGACACGGATGTAAGTAGGAGCTCCTGAAGTAGTGATCTGTACATTCGGAGCAAGAATTGTGTAGCAGACGATAGTGCCACCAATGTTGATGCCAGAGTATTCAAGGTAGTCACCAACTTGGAATGGAGCCATCTTCAGTGGATCAGATGCTTGACTGTTTATGTGAGCATGGTCATCTTGTTGACGGAATGCCATATCGACTTACAATGTGCTTTGTCCTGCAGGGCGATTGCTCGAGGGACACAGCGGGTCTGATGAAGATCTTGGGATGCACATCGGGAAGCCACTGAATGCTGTGATGGAAGGGTTCTCGTCGTCTGCAGTGTAGAGAGGAGATTTGGTGTATCCAACAGAGTATACACCATTGGGATCGTTGATTCTGATGGTCGGACCACCCTTGATCTTCATAGTGCCAGCGGCAGAGTCGATGCTTTCGACTGTTCCAGAACTGCCTTGCAAAAGATATTCTCCGATTTGCACAAGACCAGCAATTGCTTTGCCATTGACCACGTTTCCTATTACCTTTCGCCATAGTCAGCATTCAGTGTGAGCCTCAAACACAAGAGATGAACTTACGGATACTTCATGGCCAACAAAGGCTCCCCCACTAGCAAAGTCCCCAAAAGGCGCAAAAGCGGCCGGAAATTGTACTTGGAGGTTCTGCGGAATCGTGACAGAATAGCCGTTGACAGAAATGGTACCGCCAGAGTTGTAAGTGCCATCACTAGCAGTAGCACTGTCAAGTCTTCCATCGAGGACAAATGGTTCGACTGTTTGAGCTGCTGCGCGAGAGCCCAACAATGCGATTGAAAGAAGTTTAAGAGCGGTAGAAAGCATCTCGCAGAAAGGTGTGGATTGGAAACAATGAATCAGAAAGACTCAGTATAGCACTGTTGCTTTATAGTGACGTCTCTGCCGCCAGACACAACATGGATCCGGCTGTGGACAAAATTGATACATCACATAGGAACCTACAAGACACTCTCGAACAGACCATAGCTGTATGCAGTCATGTTACTCTTTCGAGTACCGGAGTTGCCGCAGGTTGGTCAGGTCACGATAACTTTGTGGCAGTGACAAGCATGTCTCGAGGTCGGGGCTGGAGCAAGACAAGACGAAAACGAGAGGTGTACCTACCTTGTTCAGCGGCTGACAGGGCATCCATCAAGTGTAAGTATAGAAAGACTGAGTACGCTGGCAGGGAATCTGTTCCAAGCGAGGGAGACAGGTTGAAGCCACAGGTCTGGCTTTGTGGCGGATCGTTCGTGGTACTGACATCGAAAGCTGAAAGAGCGGGTGTAGGCGACACCGAAGCCTTTCTCGCCGCTCTGTCGTATATTCCCCGAAACTCTCGCGAAAGACTGTCTGTGGACGGAACATTTCTCTATGGTATGCTAGTAGTCGCACAGCCAGGTCCCGTGGTCTGAGTGGCGGCCTAGGTTCGAGACCGTGTGCCGAATGATGGCATCTGATAACAAGCATCGCCGTTCAGCTGCCGAGACTCCAAGCTTGGCGCCGAGCAGAAGCAAGATAGTGACATAGTTACTTGTCCTGGGGATTTTGAGCGAGGGCATGGAACACGACCAGAAAGTTCTCGGAGACGACGGTGTGAATGTCATGGAAACTGTGGTTGAAGGATCCCGCGACAGTCAGCGCCAAGCCCACCCCACAGATCATGAGTCTTGGCAAACATCAGCTCTGCTTTCGGCCTTGTCCCATTCGAAACCTCTGCTCTCCGCGACCACCACGGCTTGATTCATGATTGCGAAAGTCGTCTCGTTATGCCTGCTTGTTGTACAGTGAGCCTCGACGCAAGATTGCGGTATTCTGAAGATCTCCGTGTTTGTTGGTGGTCGTCAGTGGAATCTGACTCTTGGCGAGTACAGCCACATCGGAACAGATCAAAGCATGTCATGTACTCCGAGCATCTACCTTGCCATCTTCAGCGCTGAAGTTACCAGGAAAAAAGTAGGCTAACTTTCTAAATCTGGCCATTGCATGGTGCTCAAACCGTATATGGCTCGCGAGACCACATGTGCCAAAAAGAGGACAATTTTAGACAGTACCTCTGAATATTCTTGGAGCATGCAGCTCGACCTAGCCCTTGCTGCCCATCAGCTCTCAAGTGATCCAGTCGGGTGTTTGTCAAGTCGTACAAGCTGTCGGCCTTATGCTTCAATAGTCTTCTGTCTCTGCGACATGGTCTTGGCGATCTGGAGCCCTCCAGCTATTGCACACCTGGTGCTCGAGAACCTCGTTCCGCTCACATTGGACTTGGATTCAGCTGTGATAAATTTTTGCTTACTTCGCGTATGTGACCGTTCTGGGACTGGGCTTCGAGTTGACACTTCCACTTTCCACCGTATCGTCACTTCCAGGGCCTTTACCTTGTTAAACGAGGCGCCACGAACCGCCGTCTCGCCACGTGCGATATCAATTGTGAAGTATCAGTCTCCAGCTGCTGACGAGGAGCAAGGGTATGAGCGGCAAACCCGATGCCCTCACCTTGTATAGCCCATTCTGGAAGTCTCTGTAGTAACAGTATGGACCGTACTCGGGAGATGTATGCTTCTCGAGAAAGGTCGGATTTCAGTAAGTTCAGGTATATAAGCGGTCGGCTTGCACTCGAATATGCCATGATCATCAACTATCTTCTCTTGTCCTATCTCCTTTGCTCAAACACCACCTTTACTCTACCATGCATCCTCTTCTGCTTCTCGCTCTGTTCCCACTGGCTGAAGCCAAAGGATGGCTTAGTCCAGTGTACAAGAACTTTTCGAATTTCCTCTACCTGTTCCGCCTATCGCCCAGCCCTACAAGTAAGCAGATGAAGACTAAGATATAATATGCATATGAGTTTGTCTTTTGACACATATCAGGTCATACGACAATATTGATTACTATGAAATTGATATCAAGCCTGTCGATATCGAGATCTACCCTGGCAAGAAAGCACGACACGTCGGGTACAATGGTACGGTCCCTGGGCCGACTTTCAAGATGAAGCAAGGGCGTGAAGCAGTCGTTCGCTTCATCAACCATGCCGATCGTGCAAACTCGGTTCACCTCCACGGCTCATACAGTGAGTGTCCTATTCCTTCTACAAAGATGACTTATTGACACATCCTCCCAGGTCGCGCTCCCTTTGATGGCTGGGCAGAAGACACAACTGAACCCGGACAATACAAAGACTACTACTATCCCAACGCTCAAGCTGCCAGGACACTCTGGTATCACGATCATGCCGTTGGACACACTGCCGAAAACGCTTACTATGGACAAGCTGGATTCTACATCCTGGAAGATGATCAGAAGAACTCTCTTGGTCTACCATCTGGCAACTACGACATCCCTCTTGCCCTTGCAGCCAAGCGATACAACGCTGATGGCTCGCTCTGGGACCCTGAGGCTAATGGAGAGACCACAAGTGTCTTCGGTGATGTGATTCAGGTCAGTTTGTTCCTTGTAACACGAGAAGCGACACACTGACTTTTTTTGAGGTCAATGGACAACCTTGGCCCTACCTTGCAGTAGAACCCCGCAAATATCTGTTCCGCTTCCTTGATACTTCTGTTAGTCGTTCGTTCCAACTTTACGCCGAAGCAGACAAGAAAGTCGGCACTCGCATTCCATTCTCAGTCATCGGCTCAGATGCAGGCCTCCTTGCTAGTCCTGTCAGTACCACCCAGCTCGACATCTCTATGGCCGAGAGATGGGAAGTGGTCTTCGATTTCTCTTCATATGCTGGTCAGAATATCACACTCAAGAACACAGGCAATGTTGCTGCAGATGATGACTTTGACGGCACCGATCGTGTTATGCGATTCATGGTCGGCAATTCTGTGAGCGACAACACTAACAATGGTCCTCTACCGGCAACTCTTCGCAGCGTACCACTTCCACCTGCCAAAACAACTGTCGACCGCTCTTACGAATTCATGCGCAGCAATGGTATGTAAACCGAGTGTACGAACACCATGATTAGTGCTAGCATTCGTCTCAGCCTGCGCGAGCAGTCTCTGGAATGTGTGTTTCAATGAAATGCCGTCCTGGACGGCATCTCGTAGAGCTGAGTGCATTTGTTCAGCCAAGTCGTGGTGTTCCACAACCAACGTCTGATATCTTGCTAATTATACCTTCGCTTTAAAGGCGAATGGCAGGTTAATAATGTTGTCTGGAGCGATGTCCAAGACCGTGTCATTGCGAAGCCCGAGAGAGGAGCTGTTGAACGCTGGGAGCTTGTCAACAGTGCAGGAGGCTGGAGTCACGTTCGTGTCACCCTTGAAATTCTTAGAGATCACGCTGACTTTAGCCTTCATATTTAGCCGATTCACATTCATCTCATCGACTTCCAAGTCGTCAGTCGCACTGGTGGTACACGTGGTGTTCTCCCATACGAACAGACCGCCCTCAAAGATGTTGTTTGGTTGAACAAGAACGAGAAGGTTCAAGTTCTTGCCCGCTATGGCCCGTAAGTATACACTTGGAGCATCTCACAAGCATCGTACTAACTAACCATTACAGATGGGACGGACTCTATATGTTCCATTGCCACAATTTGATCCACGAAGACCACGACATGATGGCCGCCTTGAATGTCACCGCTTTGAAGGATCTCGGCTACGACGAGAAGACCACCTTCATTGACCCCATGGACCCCCAGTACCGTGCCAAAAGCTTCAAGCCCGAGGATTGGACCAATCGTGATGGCGACTTCGAAAGCGAAGCAATTTCCAACAAGTGCAAGGAATTTCAAGCCATGAATGCTTACAAGAGTGTGGGAGAGGTCGAGCAAAAACTTGAGGAGTACTGGAAGACCCATAGTTCCCAGACCACGCTCGTGACCAAGACTTCATCTAGTGGTGGTGGTGGGACTACTACCGCGACTGGCTCTGGTAGTGGTTCGTCAGGGGCTTCTGGTTCGGGATCTTCAGCAGCTTCGCCAACCGGTGCAACTTCAGACACAAAGGCTAGCAGTACAGGGGGCAGCACACTCATTACATCGGCGAGCTCGGCGAAGAGCACTTCTACTAAGAGTGACGATAAAGGTGGAAAAAGCAAGACGACAACGAAGAAGTAGATGATGCTTGTATATATCATTATGTCTAGGCGTTGGGTCCGGCACAAATCACCATTTCTTACATCTACCGTCGACACGAAAATTCATGCATCATCTGAACTTGCTAATCCCCACAGATACAAAAGTTACAGGAGGTTGGAGGACTAAGTCAGATGCCAGAAAGAAGACATCGAGATGTCGGAATCGAGATGTGGCAACTAAAGAAGATTGACCATTCTCAGTACACTCCCTTAAAGCGAAGCCAGACGACGCGGTAGTCGATGTTCGTGCAGGCAACAATCGAGGATCGAACGATGCCAGGTCCTCTGTAGGAACTTATCGCAGACAACGACCCGCAACAAAAAATCAAATCAAACAGGGTGAAGATCGTCTTCAAGAAAGTTGCCGAGAAACTCGCCAGCTCCCAGGCTCAGGCCATCGAGAGTGTCCTGTGTCGAAGAATGTTTTACGACATGCTCTGATGGAGAAGCCGTAAATGCGTTTACATCGTGCAACGGAACGAAATATGTGGTCTCTTGTGTTTCGGAGTCGAGAGTTTCTTGTGTCATAGAAGCGTGCACAGCGTGCGCTGGAGAGGGACAGGTGGTCTCTTGTACATGGGTGTCAAGATCTGGTGTACCATCGCTGTGAAGCTGGCAGCCACCAAATCCGTCACTGGAGTCGTGTTTTACCAAATTCGCATTGTAGTTGTCCCCTCCCATTTTGTGTCTAGCTACCCTTGAAGAATCTAGAGAGAGAAGGAGCGTCTCTAGAATCCATGCATGTATGCCAAGGTCTTCAGCTCCTGCCCTCCTTCTACCATTGCATTGAATAAGGCCCACCTGTACAAAGACACAATCATGTTGAAAGTAAGAGGGTGGCCAAAGAGAGCTGATTAAATGTCGTATCTCAGTAGGCAGTGCTCTGTCTCATGATGGTATTGTGCATTTATACGGTTACACGCGCTACATACTTCAGATATAGGGATGTAGCGTTGATACTCATCGCTCCTTCCTGCGATGTTCGCCGATGATGAACAAAACAAAGCCGCCATCTTCTTGCTTAAAGCTGTTCTTCACATCATCAGCATTCTACATTTTGAAACATCGGTATTGCTCCAACATGGCTCAAAACATCACTTCCTCTTCCACCACGCCCTCGAAACTTTGCGTCAGATGCGGCGCCACCAAGTCGATGATCGAGTTCTTGGACACTCATCAACCATATCAACCAACAGAACACTGCCGTCAATGCAGAGTGAGTGGATCCCCGACCATCGACGTTCTTTGGTCCCTACTGACGCAATATCGTAGCAGGAGAACCAAACGACTAGGACCAGTCGCAAGAGAAAAGCTGCGGACGACGATGAGCCCGTTGCTGGAAACCTCCAGCAGCAATCACCTGCCCCGATTACAACCATGAGCAACATTCAATCAGCACCAAGCGCACCATTTGCAAAGCGACTCCAGGACACACTGCGTGCACCAATCCCAGCTGCACCGTCTACAACACCTGTAAACCAGAGTCTTGCATATGCAGTAGCTCCGTACCCACCCTCTGGTCCCGCTCAGACCACATCTACCACAGCCTTCAACGCGTCACTCAATCGAGAGTATGGTCCCGTGCCCGCACCCTCCGTCGACACCCGCGCCGGTAATGCTCCCAAGGGCGACGATTTGCCCAAATGGCAGTACTATCCCACTCCTAGATAGTCATAGCACCCTGAGAAAATCGAACAGCTCTACTCCAGAGCCGTATTCATTGTCCCTACATATATACTTCATTCAGACTGAAATGTGTCTTCTTGTTGCTTACATGTTACAATATAAGCTACTGCTTGCAGAAGATGAACAAGCCTATCTCTCGAATGCACAGTTTCATTGAGTATAAACCACTTCTAAAAAACAGTCTAAACTTACATAGCTCAAAATAGTATTACACGTCGCCATGAGAAGGAAATCTGAGAACAAAAGTGGAAGACAGGCTGTCTGGCGGAGAAATGTTGATCATCCTACAGAACGTCCCCATATGTTGCCAGCCACAATATATTTTCCTCATGCATGGTCAGTCTCGAACGACGAATCATCGAGCAGCAATATACAGCTTACCAGCCACGTCTCGTAAGACAAGCACCCGAAACAGGAAGACTTGCTCTTTTCGCCTTATTTTCCGTAGCAGTGACTGACGAGCGAATATATATAGAGACGTAAAGCGAAACTTTACCACTGTCAGCAGGCTGTAACAAAGAGTATATGTACGAGCAGGCTTGGGATTATCTCAGAGTTTCGGAGCGAATCACAAGGTGCATTAGGCCTTCAGCTTATCAAGCCTACATGATCCTTCAAACCCGGCGCGTGAGAACGAGGCTGATATGGGGGCCAACGTCAAAGAGGGGGTGGTCAAAGGGCAGTAGTCTGATCCTACCTCTCTTCTTCCTTTCTCTTACCACAGAACTAAACTATCATTATCATATGTAAAGCACAAAAGAAGCATTCAAGAAAATGGATCCATCACCACCGTACCAAGCAAACCCGTCTATCACAAGCGGTACCCTACACATCCCCATTCCACAGAGAGCTGGCGACTTGCACAACAAGTCACCTTCCCGCCCAACCACTCCCTCTCCCTCGACGAACCCGAAAAGATCGATGCACCGCCTCCTCTCCCATAACCTATGGCAAGACGCCATAGAAAAACTGCGATGACGCTGCAGAGAAAAAAGACTCCGATCGGAAGCTTAGCGACATCCAGGAGACTGCAGAATCGACACTAGATGGTAAGACAAACACTGTGGTCAAATTCAGTACATCAGCTGATCAACGCCAAAGAGCTCGAAAGACTGCGTCAGCTTTCTCGCGACATGATGAAACGACTCGAGCCCATAGACGAGTTGACTATAGAAATCAATGAGATGAGGACTGAAAAATACGTACGAGATCAGAACACCATCCATGCGCGAGTACTGACCTTTTACAGGAGAGGAAACAAAGCAGAAATTTCAATGGTTGTCCACTGTCCCTGTGCAAAGTCATCATGCAAAAGCACACGAAGACTTAGTGGTGGGCACAGGTTTGTGGCTGATGGAACGCCATCATTACATTGACTGGAAGCAGTCATCCAGGTCATGCGCGATTCTGATTCATGGCTCACTCGGCTGTGGCAAAACAAAGCTGATGTCAGTATGTAACATCCTCAAACGTTGCTGAAGCTGATCCAGAACAGGTCAGTCATTGTTCAACAACTTCTGGATGAACAGAGATCAACCCCCGAAGGATCAAAACTGGCTTACTTCTACTGTAACGGCTCGGAGCAGCAGCGCACCAAGACGCAGGAAATACTCGGAGCAATAGCAAGACAGCTATCGTTCACTGGTTTGGACAAGCCACCCGAGTCAGCATTTCTCGAGGCATACAACGCCCAAAAGAAGGATGCGGATGAGAAAATGCTGACCAGATCGAGCGCCTCGGCATCAAGGGACTAACCGACTTGATTCCGAAGGTCGTGGGAGACCGCACAGCAATGATATTCATCGATGCTTTGGACGAATGCGCAGAAAGATTGGAACTCCTCAAGTCAATCAGAATCATCATGGAGAAGGCATCGGTGAAAGTCATGATCTCTGGCCGAAGTGAAGTTTGCCAGGACATGCCAAGGGATGAGTTTCCTATTCATATTGGTATTGGTCAAGGCGACAATCAAGACGATATCCGGAAATACATCACCTCAGAGGTCAATCGGGCTATATCCGACAGACGACTGCTCAGAGGCAAGGTGAATGAGCAACTCAAGGAAAATATAGTCCAGAAGTTGAACAACTCTGCGCAAGGAATGTACGTATATTTTCGAGATGACGGAGCCACAGAGATACAGTGATCAAGTGGGACATACACTCAAGGGACACGGTGTCTGTCAGATTCGAGATTACCTCTGATCGAGTGCAATAGATCGCTCTCGTCGGACGTGTAGAAGATCTGTGAATTCCCTGTGTGTTGAAGAGTATACACCAGCTCTTGAACCAGAGTGTCCAGTGCAGCATCGTCCAATTTTGAACACACTGTGGAGAATTTTGCTGACGATACCAGGTTCCTTTGGGTCAAGCTTCAACTTCAGACTTTATGCGACGAGGGCATCAAGCGGGAGAAAGATGTCATGATCGAGCTTGAGAAGAATCCTACGGAAATCGGCCAGCTGTACGAAAGCATCTTTGAGCGTATCACACGGTCCGGACCGAGCAGTAGAGAGATCGCAGAGTCTGTGCTTCGATGGCTTTTGATAGCCAGACGTCCACTCACGATCAGTACCATACTTGAAGCTATCTCCGACGCGGGAGACGAACCGGACAAAGAAGACGTGCTGGACGTTTGCCGGAACCTAGTGATTGCCGATGACGAGACCGACACATTTCGATTCGCACACTTGTCTGTTCAGGAGTTTCTCGAGAAAAGAGAAGGCTATGATGATGATGCTTTACACACTTTCGCCGCGTTAAGATGCCTGGAAAGGTCGTGTCATCTCGAAAGGAGATCAGCGATGAGGAGGCTCGCCCCGATCCAAATGCGAAGAGCTTCTACGCTTACTCGGTGGTCAACTGGATATACCACTTTCTCAAGGTTAAGAACCGTAGCGAGGATCTTGTCGACAGGTTGGAGTCATTTTTGAGAGATGACGATGCATTCAACGACTGGAACTATGACGCGTTGGAAAGCATCGAGCGAAAAGAGTATTTCTCATCAGTGACCGACTTCGAAAATCCGTGTCTGAATGGACACAAAGCCACGCAGACGTTTGTGATAGCAAAGCTTGGTCTGATTGATGCTTTCGAGGAGCACTCTGATCTTGACTGGAATTATAACAATATCAGAGGCGAAGCACCTATTCATGTAGCTGCATTTGCTGGCAACCTCGAGATTGTCAAGAAGCTTATAGATGAGAAAGAGATGAACGTCAATCATCAGGGTGATACCACGTTTGGCCCACTTTTGGCTGCGTGCGTCAATGGACACAAAGATGTTGTGGAGTATTTACTCTCTTTGGACGGTGTTGAAGTCAACTGTCGAAGTGACTTCGGCAAGACACCTCTGATTGCTGCAGCCAAAGCTGGCAACCTTGATTTATGTCGACTACTCCTGGAAAAGGGGGGTGCTCTTGTGAATTTCCAAGCACTGAATGACGACACTGCGTTAATCATTGCAGCAGAATATGGCAGATTGCCGACCGTCCAGGCTCTCTTGAAATGCGGCGCCGACGTGGATACCATTGGTGGCTACGGGCATACTGCGCTGCTTTCAGCCGCGATGTCCCGAGAGGGTCAATTCCAGGAGGTTATCAAGCTTTTACTACGTGCGGAAGCAAATGTCGATGCTCAGGACTTTGATGGAAAGACGGCTCTTCATACAGCAGCACAGGCTGGTGATCTTGATTTGGTACGGCTGCTCATCTCGAGAAAGGCAAAGATCAACGTCAAGAATAATGAAGGCAGATCTGCCTTAGACTTCGCTTGTCGACAGAACCACTTGAAGGTCGTACAATACCTTCTTCAGCATGCGGCAATTTGTGAACCAGACGCCTCTGGTAGGACGGAGCTTCACGAAATCGTTGGCGGAGACGGAAAATGTGATGCCAACACCATCAAGCTGTTTGTTTCGAGAGGTGTCAATATCAATGCCACAGACAATGACGGCGTTAGTAAGTTTTTGCCCGGACGCTGTTCTCGCGAAGATTGCTCACATGATCACCAGGTGCTCTTCACCTTGCTGCCAAACGGGGTGATCAAGCCATCCTCAGAGCCCTTGTCGATGCTGGAGCCGTTGTCGATATCAAAAGTGCTGCTGGCCAGACGCTTCTCCACGAAGCAGCCAGAGGAGGGTCTGCTGATGTCGTCCGGCAAATACTAGAATACGGCGTTGACCTCGAAGCAAGAAACAATGACCAAATGACACCTCTGGCTGTTGCGTGTGCTGAACGGAATGGCTCCGACGATATAATATCAGTGCTATTGGCCGCAGGAGCCGACATCTCAGTCGTCGACCGATGGGACTGGACGCCCTTGCATGAACTCGCGAACAACTCAAGAACAGCAGCGGCCATAATGCTTCTGGAATCAGACAAGGCCAATCTTGCGCTACGCACACGAGCTGGATGCAGTGTGCTAGACCTTGCCGCTTCTGAAGGCGACTATGAGCTCGTCAGAGAATTGCTGGAACGTGGAGCATCGGCTCAATCTGTGTCAGGCAGTGACTCGGCTCTGCATTGGGCGGTTACCGCAGACAAAGACGACAACGTGTATGCGATAGCCGAAAAGCTATTGGAGGAAGGGTGCGATATCAACGCGAAGAACCAGAACGGCTGCACACCACTCCACGCGTACCTGTCGGAGAAAAAAGGCAAAGAGAACGTCGTGAGGCTGTTTCTATCTCGTGGTGCCGATATCAACATGCAGGACCACGATGGTGACACCGTCTTGAATTGTCTCGCGCACTGTTCAGAAGCATCCGAGACAATGTTAGAACTGCTGCTTGAGAACAAAGCAGATGTGACTCTTGCTGATTATGAGGGCATGACTCCACTGCATAAGTTGGCAAAAGTGGTAAAGCAACACATTGCCGCATACTTCTCAAAGCAAATGCAGATTCGCTGGCTAAAGACAAGCACAATCGGCAACCGATCCAATATGCTGCAAGGACAAACGAGGCAACAACACGAACCTTGCTCGAATTCAACGCAGATGTCAACGTTACTGGATCAGACTGGCCAAGCCCGATTGTTTACGCGGCCTCCGAGGCGAACCTGCAAGTGCTAAAGCTTCTATTAGATGGCGGAGCGGACGCAAAGAGTGAAGATCCAGAGAATCCTGGTTGGACTGCTCTTCATGCTGCGTGCAAGCGCAGCGATCCTGATCCAGCATTTGCAGACTTACTCATCGCGCATGGAGCTGACGTAAATGCTGTCACCAGGATCTCCAAGACAACACCCTTGCACAATGCCGTCAACAGTGCTGCAGTCGTGCAGTCGCTCTTAATCAAAGGAGCGTTGGTCGACCCTGTAGACTCGGATGGTGATACTCCGTTGCTAATTGCTTGTCGGAATGTGAAAAGCGTGCGAGTCGTTGATATCCTGATCAAAGCAGGTAGCGACCCGATGATCAAGGATAAGGCCTTTCGGGCTACAAGCCTTCATTACAGTTGTTTCTCGGATGAACTTGCACCTATTGTGATCCAAAGCGGCAAATGCGACGACTTCAACGTTGAGAACAAGGACGGCTACACGCCTCTGGTCTACGCCGCTTTCAATTCGCATCCTGGTGCCGTAAAATGTCTGTTGCAGACTGGCCAAATCAAAACATCTCAAGGGGTTCCAACCGCCAAGACGAACGCGTGTATGTTTGCGGCTAGGGTCGGCAGCACCGAGATAGTCAAGTTGCTGATAGAATACGACGAGAGCATTGTCTTGAGAGTAAACAAGCAAAAAGATACTGCACTGCATTTTGCTTGTCGCAACGGCCACTTGGGAGTAGTCAAGCTGTTGCTCGACACGAACGACGCCAACATAGAGGCAGTCAACAGTAAGAATCGCACAGCCTTTGACGAGGCAGCTGATGGCGGACATACTGATATAGTCGCTTTCCTCTTGCAACGAGATGATGTCAATCCACTTCACATCTCCCGACGTGGCTATACTCCGTTGTTATGGGCAGCTTGGGCGGGAAAGCAGGACCTGATAGAGATGCTCATAGCTGTCGAGGGTACGGATCTAGGGCATACGACGACAGGAGGCCGAACACTCTTCACGATAGCAGCTTCGGTCGGCCTCGAAGGCTTGTGTCGCGATCTAATCGATAGGGGAATTGCGAACGGTACGCAGCCCAACTTTGTCGGCGGGTTCTCTCCGTTGCACTGTGCCACAGAATCCAACCAGGCAGGAGTTATTGAGCTTTTACTCGAACAGCCCGGAGTGGACAAGAACGCGTGTTCAGAGCAGGGCTTCACTCCATTGCGGTATGCTGTAAGGAATGAGAACGCAAAATCAGTCATGACGCTTTTGGCACATCAAGTCGACGTCGATAAGCCCGATGATCGAGGGAGAACGCCGCTGCTTGTAGCAGTTCAGAAGAGCAACCTGGAGATTGCGAGGATGTTGTTAAGTGCAGGAGCAAGGGACCATCTAGACGAAGTACTTGAGATCGCATTGTCGAATAGAGATGAGGAGATAGTGCGATTACTTCGAGAGGCTGGGGCAGTCGAACGAGATGAGGGTTTCGGCCTTCAAGAACTGATGGCCGAGCCATCGCGTCAGGTTCCGATGGACGAAGAGATACAAGCGACAGCTGGTGCCGAGAATATTGAGGATCTGGTTTGATGTGATCCGCTGCTTTACTGAGCAGATAGAGGCCGGTAGTGTGTAGATCGGGCGTGTATCAAAGCCTTCGGCCAACATACCGTCGTCCTTCGAGAATCATAATTCTCTTGTCCTTGGACTGTACTTGCTCCAGAAGTTCAATGTCACAGTGACAATGTTTTGATGGTAAAGGAGCAGACAAGACGCGTGAGGAAAGAAAGGGACAGAAGCAAGACGCGTTGACGTCACCAGCTCTTTCCTTCTCGTTGATTGTATAACCCTGTTGCCTTTTCTATTTACCAATACCCTTTACAGTCTAAAATCTCCTATTCTAGTCTACTGATATCTGGATCACTTGATCAATAGCTGACCTTTTGATGCTCTTCTAATTAGCTCAAAGCTTTGTTGGATTCCTTTATGTGAGGACAACAACTATGTGCATTTTGAAAGGCAGTCAGGCCGTAGCTGCCGTACCCGAAAAGGAGTCCTGTTTCGATGTGAATTTCCCTCACAGCCCGGCAGCCTCTCTGTCAGATCAGATCATCGAAATCTATCTAAGCACTCCCTCCAAAAAAAAAAAGACCAAAAATGCTTCACGACTCTCTCGAGAGCCGCATCCGAAACTGAGGTCCTTACGGAAGCGACCTCCTTCCCCACGTCCGCGTCTTCCTCTCCGCACCCCCGGTTTCGCATCGTCATCTGGGGATCTTCACCATGCTGTATCAAGCAATGATCGCCACACAATCCCCTCGAAGCTCCTTGAAGATCGAGCTTTATGACGACAAGCCGCACCTTTGTATGGAGTTTCCTTTCCATTTCCGCGTGTGCTGCCGTTGCGAGTCAACAGGTGGGCCAATTGAGGGGAATCAACGACAATCTTCTTAAGTCCGTATGGCAGCTGATCAGAAGAATTTGATAGGGATGTGCTTCAGGACAGTGGAAAGAGTTTGAGACTAGTAGGCGTTGATTATATCCAGCATTGGAGAGCTGTTCATAAGTATTCCGCTGTTCCTTAGCTCTTTCTGTCTTCATTTTTCGATTGTCCTTTTATTGTTTCGCTGCCACCAGTTCATTCTCTCACAGGATCTTGCAATCCTAAAGACAATCATGGCGTCCACATCATCCCGCACATCTAATTCAGATCCCGATGCTATCCAAAAAGCAGAAACGGAACACCTCGAACGCGATGCCATCAATCCGCGTTGGACACCAGGATATGGTCCCCTGTCCCGTATACCCACGGACGATTCCTATCTGCCTGCCTTTGGAGGTGCCTTCCAACCTGGTCTGTACAAGCCTCCAGACCAAAGATTCGCCAACCCTGCACCATTGGGGTTGGCAGGCTTCGCCCTCACGACTTTTTTGCTTAGTCTGGTCAACTTGGGAACGAGGGGTATTGCGACACCCAATATCGTCGTTGGACCAGCCTATGCTTATGGTGGGCTGATCCAGTTGCTGGCTGGCATGTGGTGAGTCTTCTATCTTTGTGTCGATATTCTCTCTAAAGCGGAGACTAATTGTAGATTACAGNNGGAAATGGCTGTAGGAAACACTTTCGGTGCCACGGCTTTGACCTCATACGGTGCCTTCTGGATTGGACTGGGTATAATATTCACACCCGGTGGCTTTGAAATCGCATCAGCATACGGAGGCGCAACACCAGCTTTCTACACGGCGGTAGGATTCTACCTTTACGTATGTTCTTGTTTTTCTCTTGCACGCTCGTCTCCAACGCACCCGCTAACATCATTCAGNGGCTGGTTCATCTTTACCTTTATCCTCTGGCTGCTCACCCTCCGCTCTACTGTCGCGTTCTCCTCCCTCTTCCTCACTGTGTGGCTTACCTTCCTCATGCTCGCCACCGGCTACATGTACACCACAACCGTTGACGGCGTCACCGCGCCCAACCACAATCTCAACATCGCAGGAGGCTCCTTCGGCATTGTTGCTGCATTTATCGCTTGGTGGAACATGTTGGCTGGTGTTGCGGACAGAGGCAACAGTTTCTTCTTGGTACCAGTTTTGCATTTCCCCTGGAGTGAGAAGGGAAGACAAAGGAGAAAGGAGAGGGCAGACAGCATCAGAGATGTCGAGAAGGGTGATTAGATAGAGGTAACAGAATATCGATCACTTGAGAAAGTGATATACTATAGTGTAACGACAGTCAGATCACGGTTTCAGAAGACCATTTTCATGTCTAAGATCTTCGTGTGGTTCCTGCTTAGCTTTTGAGACATCTTCGTTCACTTCAACTTTTTTTGATCTCTAAGATCGCGCTGTTCCAGCCCCGAATATCAACATCATCTTAGCATGAGCTTCCAACATTACCTCTCGTTCCAGCCGTCGGACACTATCAAATTGCCCTCCAGCAAACAGGTGCTCTTTGGCGACGAAGCAGCACTATGAGCCGAATCAGGAGGAAGAAGAACAGCAACAAGAAGAAGGAGACAAGGTCAATGAACCTCGTCACTTCGATACTATCTCTGATGCACCGCTCATGGCACAGAGTATCGACTGCCCGCAGGATAAGTGGAAAGCAAAGCCGAGATGTCGGGATGCACGACTAGGATCAGTGACCTGATCTCCTACTTCTGCTAGTCTTCCTACCTCCTTTCTGCATACGATGAGTTACATGAAATAGCATGTGGGCATCACGCAAAGTTTGGAGGCATAGTGCAGGGGAATGTGTGAAGTAAAGGATTCCGAAACATACAAAAGCCTTAAATACTCTCCTACTCTAACCATTGGGCAGACTCACAGCAAGTAGTCGCAGTAGTTGGTGAGGTAGCCGCTAATGGAGAGTCCGAAAGGCCTCTGTATCAAGGACGGGTGATTCGGAAACATGGTGCAATAAGTGAAGTAAGCGAAACTATTGGCACAAAGACAAAGTGAATGTGTGATATATCATGATCGGAGAAGTATCGCCAAGTAAAAGGTCTAAAGACGATAGATTGATTAGTCTTCTACGCCGTATAGACCACTAAGTATCCAAATATGTCCAAATGTCACGTCCAATAAACGAGTTCGAACCCAATCAATTTGTGGCACGGTTAGAGTTTGACAAAGCAGAATGTCGTGTCATCTAATCGTAGGTCCGTCGTTCAAGAAGTGGTGCCGTTGACAGTCTCACCCATGAAACTAGCACCAAGTTGCTTCTCGAGAACCTGCTGGAAGACACTGATGTTATCGGTCAGCACACTCAAGATCTTAGCACCTGCAGAACCATCACATTCGTCAGAATGAGCGTGACTAGCAGCCACATCACGCTTCTTGAAGTTGATTCCAGGCTTAATAGTCACGCAATTGTATTGAGATTCTGCTGCGCGGAGCTGGCAGATGGTGTCGGTCTTGCAGTCACCAGTGCAGGCAGACACACCATAACCACGGGATTTGCGGGCGTTGTACTGTTGGAAAACAGCATCGTTGTTCTGGAAGAGAGTGGTGACGTTGTGCCAGAAAGCAGGTGTCAGCTCAGCAGATGCTGCAGTGACGGGAGGGCTAAGCTGGGCACCGTACTGTTCCTTGACGGAGTAGTACTTCTGCCAGGTTGGGCCGTTCTGATAGGTTGAAGAGGACATGTTGGCAATGTAAGTGGTGTAATCCAGAATACCGAAAGTAACAGGATCGACAGAATAGACACGGAAAGTAGGATTGCCGGACGTAGGAGTCAGAGCAGGAGCGATGTACGACACTTCAAGGGCATTGGCAGCCGTCTGAGCCTTATAGTCCGAGTAGGTGATCTGGAACTCATCTCTGTGAGTGTGGCCGTAGAACTGCGCAACAATGGTGGCACTGTATCTTGTGACGATTTGGTTGAAGTAGTTTGAGGCGTCATGGAAAGCATCGCCGGATCCCATGGGCATATGAGCAGTCAACCAGACGCGCTCGCGAGCCTTTTCAGCCGCGTCGAGCTCAGATACGAGCCAAGCTAGTTGACCACTAGGATCGGTCTCCATGGGCTCCTCGTACAGCCAAAAGTTCTGCTTGTAGTACAAGTTGCTGTTGAAGGAAATAATACGAAGGTTAGTGTTTGGGTTCTTGACTGAATAGGCGCCAAACTTGTCAGCTTCGGTGGCAGCTGCAGAGCCAATCCACTTGGTCCAGGCAGTTGACAAAGTGTCATAGACCCATTGACTCGAAATGGTGGTATCGACAGCAGCGGGAGGGAAGCTGTTGACAGGAGCAGCATCATGATTGCCTACGACACCGTAGATAGGCATGCCAAGAGTGTTCATGAGCGAGTACGCATTGTTGAGATCACCTGTGACCTCAGTCTGGTTTACAAGCCAGACTGCGCCCTCGACCACATCACCAGTGAAGAGAGAGAAGGCGGCGTCGGGTACAAGAGTCTTGATGGCATTGTACATGCTCTGCTCGAGGCTGCGTGGGCTGTCGCACTTGGTGTTACCATAAGCACCGGCAGGGAACTGCGTGTTTCCTGGGGCATCAGCAGCCGTGTACGGGCGGCAACAGATGTTCTTGGTGCAGTTGTAGTTGGCGCCAACTTCGTAGGAAAGGTCGACATGAATATCACTGTAGTGAACCACCTTCAAAGGAGTCTTGCCGCTAGGTGGAGGACGAGCAGCTCCAGCGGGCTTGGCCGAGGGGAACGAGATAGTGTTCGGCGTCACAGCTGGGTAGTCGCAAAGTCCGAAGATGGTGCCGCAGAAGAGCTGAGCAGTGTGCGAGCCAATCTTCATTTGACGAAGGTCGTGAGCCAAGATGGGCCCCTCGAGACCAATTGCACCAGCGCAAACATCTGGATCCTCTGNTCTGTACACATGTCAGATCTCAAAGCGCCATACAAGCTCTGCAACGAAACTTACTCCAAGCGACTGACAGACCGAGGTGATGACATCGACGAAGGCATCGTTACCGATATGGGCCAGAGCCTGAAGGACACCCAGCAGAGANNCTTTGAAAGTTAGCTGATATCCCAATCAACTGAGCTGTGAGAACCATACCTGACAAGCTGTACAAGTGGCAGCGTTCTTGATATCATCCAAGATAGTGCTCACGGTGTCTCTTTTCTGGAGCGAAGTAGCAGAGATGGATTGTGCGAACAAAAAGCCCGCTGACACGAGAGGCAGGAGCTTCATGATTATCGGATGCTTTGTGGTATACTCGGGAAGCCTTCATCTCGTCCCTTCCTACCTTGACGTTTTATACTTGCAAATTGTGCTACGCGACATGTCTACCTCGACTAAGTCCTCGACCAAGTCTTTGTCCATCGTGCATGCTTGTGTCGATCGCCAGTCGATGGTTTCGCGCGTGCAAGCCATGGTCGCGACATGATAGAGGCATCACACGCACAAACAGCATGCGAATCTTGGCACGTGTACTGCATACAGTCTTTTTACTTGATGTTCACGCGAGATAGGCTGAGAAAACTTGCAGGTTTGGATTTCAGGAGAAGAGTTGTGCTTCGATCTGCAGACTCGCGAGGCTGGTGATGAGTCCCCAGACTTTTGCAAGCGAATCTCGCTCCAGATTGCCCCTCTTCGACTCGCCTGTCGTCGCTTCGATTGCACCTTCCTTCTTCTCATAGGGCCTTAATTTTGCGAGCCAACCAGAGCGCTCGATACAACACATGTTCTTGAACTCATCAGACTCCATGTTCGAAACAGTTGGCACCGGGCAGGGCGGTTGATTGAATGATGCGGGATAAATGCATACCGCCTAGTTATCATCTTGCGAACGACAGAAGCTGCGCGTATCAAGCACGTTTTCATATATTCTTGAAGCACATCTCGCGAACAAGCATCCACCTCATGCCGAATCTCGCTTGCATGATCTTCTAGCTTCTATCGATACGCCAGGAACCATGAACCCTAGTGCAGGTGATCTCTTATAAAGATGCAGCAGCGCATATGTTTCACAATCTCCAACAAGCCTAAGTCGCAGAGCTAACCAACATGGGCCTCCTTCGAATTGCCAACTTAGCCAATTGCTTGCTCTTGACCGCAAGTGTTACTCAAGCAGCTATATCCGACCCCACACAACAGCTCGGTGGAAACAGCCCATGGTTCCCAGGCCCCGACGTCAACGACATCCCTTACGAGGTCCCTGATGGCTGCTCTGTGGATATGGCCGCGTTCGTGTCTCGCCATGCCTCGAGATATCCGGACCCTGGTGCCTACAATGGGTGGGTAGCACTTGCTGAGAAGGTGTGTTTCTGTCTCATGGAACATGTTATCATGCATCGTTATTGATTGGAACAGATTCATGCTGCTCAATTCACTGCCACAGGTGACTACAGCTTTATCTCACCATGGAAGCCTGTACTCCGTAACCCAGCTGTTGAAATCTCAGACATCTCTATAGGAGGATACAAGGAGCTGTATGACATGGGTGTTTCTTATCGTTGGAGATATCCCGACTTCTATACCGAGAACACCCCTTTCTCAGTGTTTGCCAACCAATACCCCGCTGCACCAAGAGTCGTCAACTCCGCAAGGTAAGCCATATCTGGTCTCTCTTCCAGTGTGTAGGCTGATCGAATTCTGNNCAGACTTTTTGCTAGAGGATATTTGGGACCCAACTCCACCTATGGTGATGTCTATGTGCTCAAGTCCAACGTCCCGGAGTCCATCGCAAATTCTTTGGCTCCTTCAGACTCTTGTCATACATACAGCGATAATGGTGGTGGTGATAACCTCACAACCTGGAATAACTTGTACCTGCCTGCTGTCACTAAACGCATCAACAGCCATCTTCATGGCAACCTTACCTTTACTGACTCGGACGTCACTAACTTTCCTTATTTGTGCGGCTTCGAGACGCAGATCACTGGCCGCAGATCACCATGGTGCAACATCTTCACTGACGATGAGCTCCGCAAGTATGAATATGCACAGGATCTGCGCTACTACTACGGTTCTGGTGAGTCAAGTCATCAAAGATCCAGATGCTCTCTTCGTGCTGACTGCCATGACNNAGGTCCTGGGTCAGGCAAGAACTACACATTAATGCAGCCCGTCCTCAACGCCATCGTTCAGAGACTTGTCGATGGTCCCAACAAGACATATGTTAACAGCAACGGCCAGTCGTGGACACCAGGTCCCCTCATCCCCATGTTCACCAACGATGGTCAGATCAATCAGCTTGCTTCCGAGATTGGTGTCTTTGATCAGCAGAAGCCTCTGCCCAGCACCAAGATCCCTAACGACCAGGTATCAACTCTTCGATACTTCTGTGACCATCGGTCTTGCTAACACTGCAACTCCAAAAGNATCTACATTGCAAGCCACTACGTGACCATGCGTGGTACCATCAATTTCGAGCGCCTGACTTGCTCAAACAAGAAATATGTCCGCATCACACTCAACGATGCCGTCTATCGTAAGTCTATCAGACCAGAGCTACCAACACACTCGGACTGACACTGTCTAGCTGTGCCATCTTGCCAAAACGGTCCTGGAAAGTCTTGCCCACTTGAGAGCTATGCTGCACTCATTGCTCAGAAGAGCCAGTCCCAAGGCAGTTTTGTTCAGACGTGCGGTCTTCGCAACTCGACTGCTGCCGGAAAGACAAACACTGCCACCTTTCTGGTTGACAATGCATTGTCTTGGGAGTATGTTGTCAAGCCTTGAACAGTTGACAGATAGATTGTAGATATTGTTCTCGAGTTGCGAGACTCAACTTTTTCGTTGTACATACTTGACTACAATCACAGCAAGGTGACTCGTATCTTGATCATGGGTCTTTTCGATAGCCGAATGAAACATCAATATCGCAGCAATTATCACGACCAGATTATATGACATGGATCGCTTTGTCGGCCGATCAAATATTTCGGAGAGCATGAGCACGGCTATCATCACTTATAAACACCTTGAGTATCAAACATGCGCAAAATATTGTAGGACTCACAGGAGTCCGGAGATGTCCTTTCAAGAGTATGTCTGGATATGAACAAGTCGGTCCAGTACCCTGTGGTGTCAATTTCGAGACTTCCCAAAGATGAGCTGCTGAAGGAGATCCAAAAGTCCAACCCATAAGTGAACCGCCAGAAGCTGGATTGTTCAAGTAGCAAGAACAGAAACTCGAAAAGCTGATACGGAAAGTTATGTCTGAGAGATTGGCGACAGATACGAGAGCCTTGAGCTCAGTTCAGCTCGCCCGTCTGCCAGTTATATTTGGCGTATCTCGGATTCGTGAAGGGATTCTCACCGCCCCACTCTTCTTCCTCTTCCTCCTTGTATTCCGTCCAATCCACATTGGCGATCTCGAGATTGCAACAAGTGGAATCTGCCATGTCGATTCCACAACGCAATACTCCGACAGTTGATTCGAATTCAAACTCTTCGTCGTCATGTTTATTCAACTGTCTTTCAACATGCAGATATACAACAAGGACGCCTTTTGTGGTCCAGTCTTCTTGATCGGCGACAATGAAGAAATCGGGATGCATCTTATTGTCTTCTTTGCTGGCTTCGATATGGTAGTCGTAAATGTCTCGAAGTGTGCGACCAGCAAAGTCTGGCTGAGGTGCAAGGATGCAGTTGCTTGTTGTCATATCGCCAGTGTTCAAATCTTTGAGAAAGCGTTGTTGACCGTCATGGTCCAGGGAAACCAAAGTATATGCTGCAAAGTTGTCGTGTAACGGATCGTGTTCAGTGTCGCCTTCAGGGGAGTAGAATGGTAGAGTGTCTGCGAGTTCTCTGGTTGAGGTCATGTTTGAAAAGTTCTGGTGTTAGATGTGTCGTTCAATTTTTGGCTGATGAGTAGTACTGATATAGACACATGTTCACAAGGCGCCAATCGCGTCTGTTTGCTGACAGGTTCAATGAATCCTGCTCGCGTTGTCTTCGCGTCAGACCTTAAGTCGACTACCTCACCTGACCAATCGAATGATACTTTGGTCAATGCTCTCATCAGGACCTATGAAACCCGAGTTCGTCGAAAGGAACGTTATTGGCAGAAGGAAGCAGTCTACAAACCTGAACTTCGCAGGCTTCAGTGGAGAGCACGACCAAGACTTTTGACAACCGAGAGGAACGTTTCGCCTCCAACAACTACTGCATTCACCATCTTCTCGGAAGCCTCGGAGGAAGGTACATCCAACACACCTTCCGCGTCGCTTCTTCGCGACTCCTCTTGAGAAGGCTTTGTATACGCGACCACGGTCACACAGGGATGTGTCTACTTGCCTAGGCTAAAAATCGATATTTCGAGTCATTGACTGTCCTTTAGCTTCCGCTATGTGGCCATGTTCTTGGATGCCGTAACTACCGGAGCTGACAGAACAATAACCCACAGTAAATGACGCTTGCTACTTGGCTTCATCATACACCTATTTTGGCTCCGTGGAACTTCAGACTCTACGCCGATTCTACAGCCACGGCTTAACATATGTGGCTGAGCATCCTTAGTTGGCCACCTACCGCTTAATGCACAAGGATGATAACTTGACACCAAGATATCTGGCCTACGCCTTCGACATGCTTTTCCTGTCAAAGCCGATAGTGCTGCAGAGCCAAGGATCGAAGATCTTGCCTAGGTAACTAGGCAGGATGATGCTGATTGTTTTCATGATAAGTATCGATGGCGAGTTTGACTTTTGTTCCCATGCCTGGCCTGATTGCACAACCTGAGCCATCTCTGAAGAGCAGTCACAGCCATGTTGCAATCACAAAGAAGTCGTGTTGTCCTTGCGATATCCTTGTTGCTCTCCTTCACTACGTTTTACTATCTTCTACCTCAATCGGAACAGTCGATAAGTGCCACAGACACTGAATCTGTGGCTACAAATCAACGACCAAAGGACCAAAAATTGCACGTCTTACTTCCTACCACTATCGGCGATGTCAATCTCTGCAAGACTATCCTCAGCGCGAAAGCATTGGGCTACCCAGAGCCCGTGGTACTTGGATGGGGAGACAAGTTTGATACTTGGTACTTGCTTGCTGGAGGCTCGCATCTAGCAAAGATCTCAAGGGTTCTTGAATATCTGGAAAGCATGAAGCCTGAACAAGAGAACGACCTTGTCCTGATGATGGACGCTTTCGATATCTGGTTTCAACTCCCCCCAGAAACTCTTATCGAAAGATACTATTCAATCAACGAAAGAGCCAACAAGCGGATTTCAGAGCATATGGGCAAAGCTGCTGAGGTCGAGGATATAAAGCAGACCATTATCTTTGGTGCTGGTAAACGCTGTGCTCCCAACCAACTGCATACGATCGCATGTTATCCTGTCCCAGTCTCGCCAGTCCACGATGATATCTACGGTGCGAACACGGATACGATCATGGGTCGCAACAAATACACCAGCCACCGTCAACGCTACCTCAATTCTGGATATATCATCGGCCCTGTCAAAGACATGAGAGCAATGTTCAGAACTGCCTGGGAGAAAGTACAGAACTGGCCCGAAAAAGATCCCAATGACAATGGAAGCGGTGGTTCAGACTTCGGATACCACGCGAGCGATCAGGCTGTCTTTGCGCTTATGTTTGGAGAGCAAGAATATCAGAGAGAGGTCATGCGCCAGCGCCACGCCTCAACTTGGACTGGACAGTACGGGAAGACACGTCCTATTAACAAGATCGAAGGAACAGAAGTCCACGATGTTCTCAATCCGCAATTTACACATGAGAAGATGGAGTCCCTCGAAGGCCGTCCTTGTGAGTATGGTATTGGCATGGACTACTTCTCCGATCTAGGACATCAAACAGCGAATGCAGAATGGGACTCGATGTGGCTGCGCTACGATGACCCTCAAGATGTCTTTCTCGACAAGACACGCGAGGAACGCAACGACTTCGACTGCAAGTACCACGGCGACTACAAGGTTCCTTCAGACATGAAAATCTACGACGAGACGAAATTCCTACCCGAGCAACGGAAATGGGAGCATGTCAATCTATACACAAACCTCTGTATGGGGACCATACCCGTCATGGCTCACTTCAATGGCGACAAGGCTGCCCGAGAGCGTCAGTGGCCACTCTTTTGGGTCCAGCAGTACGGCAAGTGGATTGTAGAAAATTCTGAACGCCTCGGAGGTGGGCGGATCGGCGCTTCCATGTGGAAGAGAGATGAACCAACACAGTTTCTTGGCTGGGACGCACTATGTCCTGCCGAGTATTCGGAGGAGCTTTTCAGAGGAAGCGACCTGGCTCTCGGTCGATAACATGTTACGGCTGATACATCCACGTCCTGTATATGGTCTTATCGGATTCAATCCGTCCTTGATGGTTGTATCGTTGTAACCAGCCAAGCCTGTGCCTTCCAATATTGACGGACATGCACTACGGCAAACTATAATTTTCCAAACTTTCTGAGGTATCTATCTGCTAATAGATCCTCGACTCGATATTTCTTGGCCTGCTTGTCATGGCACGGTACAATAACGCAAAGTCGCGTGCCTGTGGACAAAATAGATGACGGCAACGTTGAGGAGCCGCAAGCCACAGCTCTCGGCAGATGTTCCGCGGAGGCGATCGCCGGAAATAAAGATAGATCCACTCAACGTAGCTCAAGGCCCCAATAGTTGACCAAGCCCTATCTGTAACCATTTGCAGCAATCTTGTTGAATACTGGACTTGCTCTCACCTATGGTAGCCGGCGACAACAATCGACCAAGAAGGTATCCACTCCACTGCCAAGAGAGCATTGAGTAAGCGGTTGTACTAGTGCAGGAGACAGCTGCCATTTCTTGGACTGTGATGCTCCGCGGTGTATGATGATGAAGCGTAGACCTGGTTATCCGCTCGATGGATCGGTGACAACGAAAGACGGGCTGAAGATGTAGATTGTAGCCAGGGGCAATGCAGCGGACCTGTATGATATGCTTGAGAGTCCCAACCGGCTTGTGTGCTTGTTGTCCCTTTTCAACTACACATACCTTCAGACATGTCTAAAAACTTCCTACGAAGGTCGTTTGATCAGCTCCCGGAGTTCCCATCTCCACCCAGGACTTTGACCTCAAAGGGCCGCGTTTTTAAAGTATGCGCAACAACAACTATAGCCATCCTTTTTCTGCATATCTTCGCAAACGTGAGTAATGGTGTATACACACAAGGCGCTCATACTGATTAAGAGAGCAGNTTGTCATATCGTACCGATGGTCTTGAATCAGCGAGAACTGATGACAAACCTGCTTACCTACATCTCTTGATTCCCGCGTCGCATCCTGACCAGAATCTTTGCAAAGTAGTACTCAGTGCTGGCATCCTGAATTATCCAGCACCAAGATTGTTGAATTGGAATCAAAACTTCGACAATCCAGACCTTGTAGAANNGGGGGGATCACACATAGCAAAAATATCTGGTATCAAGACTTACCTCGACAGCATGGACTCGGCTCGGGACTCGGATCTGGTGCTAATGGTCGATGGTTACGATATCTGGTTCCAACTACGACCTCAAACAATACTCGACAGATACTTCGACATCAATCGCCGTGCGGACGAGCGTGTCCGGAAGGAGCTTGGAAGCAGTGTTGTGAAGGCACACAACATCCATCAGCAGATTATATTCTCTTGTCAAAAGCGATGCTGGCCTTGGTCTGAGNNGGAAGATCCGGCATGTTATGCAGTTCCTGAATCTTCTTTGCCTCGAGACATCTACGGACCGGAAACGGACACAGATATCGGGGACGAGAAGAACCCATACATCAAGTACCGCCAAAGATTCCTCAACTCGGGCGTAGCAATGGGTACTGTGGGAGCTATGCGCAAGCTGTTTACTGAAGCAATGGTCCGGGCGGAGCAAGACCCAAATTTTGGCAGTGATCAAAAAATCTTCACTCAGCTGTTTGGCGAGCAAGAAGTTGCCCGTGAGGCTCTGAGACGAACGTCAGGATCTCCATGGAAAAGACTACTTCGAAGCATCTTCAGTGATGAGCGTCTTGGTCAGTTCAAGCAAGAACATCTGGATGCCGTCGCGGGCAAGGATCTTGAATTTGGCCTTGGAGTGGATTATGAAAGCTCCATCGGACTAGCCACTGTGTTTGCTGAAGACGACACGGAGTGGCTCACAGCCAGCAATCAAGAGCAACTTGGGCAGGCCGATTCCATTCGCGGCATTGAAGCGTCAAGTAGCAGATTGAAGAATATCCTGGGAGACATTACGCATACAGTGCCACCGTTCTGGACCTTTGAACACCAACCATTACCGCGCGAACAATCATGGTCTGATGTTTCTCTTTTCACAGATGTGTGGACAGGTATTGCGCCAGCGGTAATCCATCACAATGCCCACCGGGACGGCATGAAATCGCTCAGAGAAGAATGGTGGAATCGTATTTGGTTCCAGGAACATGCGCGTACTCTGTATAACAGCCACATCATCGCACCCTTAGGTCCTCTAGCCATCTCAGGTGGTAAGCAATGGTGGAGTCCGGAAGATTGGAAAGGTGGTGCGCGCATCGATCCCCAGCCTGGTTCGAACGAGACTTGGGCGCGATATGAGGAGATGTGTGATGGCACTGAGGATGAAGTTTTTAGAGACGGACTGGGTCCCTGGCGACTACCTGATGACCACTGAGCAGGATATTGAGAATGAATGGATGTCTCGAAAGTCAACGTTTGCAGGCCTTGACGGATCGGGGTATTCCAAACACGCAACGATCGATACTGTCGTTGAGAACGCCGATTCTTACATCATTTTCGCCATACCTTCTCTTCTCGGCGATCTCCCCACCGCCCTACCCCAAGTGATCGACAGCAGGGGTTTCTTCCTGAATCCTGACCATCTCAGTTTTCGCCCTGTTGCTGTTTGAAGGCGACCGCCGTTGACGCATGCAACATGCTTGTGCGTTACATCAAGCATGCCAATTTAGCCTGTTGAGCCTTGCGTGGAGCTTGTTACGCCTCATAAAAAAGCGGCTCCAACGGCACATCACTCCATCTCTCAGCCAATCTTATGGGGTCCCCAGACACGATACTGTGGAGAGGATGAAGACCAGTTGCATCAGGTTACCATTTCAGTAAAAGCGGCATAGATCAACGGTTAAGTCACAGGTGAGAAGTCCGAGACGAATATCAAGTCGTGGCCCATGTCACTACTGTATGCTGGTCGATGATCACCTGAACAAAATACTTCCACCCGCAATCCTCTTTCTTATACATACCCTTGGGATCTTTCAAATTTTCTCATCGTCCCCACCATCTTTGTACTTGTATTGCCATATCAACTCCGTTTCAACGATACTCTTGGGCTACACTTCATCGTTTCTTTCTTTCATCGTCCGCTATGAGCCATAACGTCTTCCCGTCTCCAAAATATGGAGATCGTCGTTCGGATGAGATATACGATGAGAAGGCCGCTGTCGACATGATTGATCGAGTCGAGACTGCAAACACACAAGGATTGACACGGATGGAGGCCCCTGAACTCGTACGCAACATGTCTCCAGACGAGCGAGCGCACGCGGAAAAAGCCCTGGTTCGGAAAATCGACTTCAGACTCATGCCAATGCTTGTTATAATGTACATCCTCAACTACCTTGACCGCAACAACATCGCTTCAGCACGCCTAGCAGGACTGGAGACGGATCTAGCCTTGACATCCTCACAATATGAGACCAGTGTCTCGATCCTGTTTGTCGGATACTTGTTGATGCAGAGTAAGAGTGGCTGCCACAATTCTACAAATCTTCCTGCTAATAGTAACNNAGTCCCTTCCAACCTGTTTCTTAACAAGATCGGCAAACCCGCTCTATATCTCCCTGCAGTGATGTGCATCTGGGGCGTTATCTCAACATGCACAGCTGCGGTACAGAGCTTCGGCGGACTTGTAGCAGTCAGATTTGTGCTAGGTGAGTCCAAGAGCTTTTGAGTCTTGTTCTAGAAAGAACGCTAACCGCATGAANNTGTATTAGGTTTTGTCGAAGCTGCCTATTTCCGTGAGTGCAGATGCCTTCCACTCCTGTTCCAACCATCATACTAACAACAATGANNAGCTGGCTGTTTGTTCTTCTTGTCTTCTTGGTACACACGCAAGGAGCTAGCTTTCCGCTCTGCTGTACTCTACTCTGGCTCGTTGATCTCGGGCGCATTCTCAGGTCTCATCGCTGCTGGCATTCTTGACGGCTTGAACGGAAATCTTGGTCTGTCGGCATGGCGTTGGCTNCTGTAAGTCTTCCATGATGACATGTGTATAACATGTGCATACTAACGAACAATAGTCATCATCGAAGGTTGCATCACCATCGGAATCGCTTTTATCTCTTTCTTCGTCCTACCGAATTTCCCTCGTACCACCAAGTGGCTCTCTGAAGAAGAACGCCAACTCGCTGTCTGGAGGCTTCAAGAGGATATTGGTATGGATGATTGGGTCAGCAGCGAGGGACAAACTTTCTGGCACGGCTTCAAACTCGCTTTCTTGGACATTAAGACATATATCCTCATGGCCTTGCTGTTTGGCATTGTTGCTAGTGGCTCTGTTACCAACTTCTTCCCAACAGGTACGGTATACATTTTCATTGAGTTATGATCAGTTGCTGACCACAGTATAGTCGTGGCAACCTTGGGTTACAGCAAGATCGTCAGTCTGTGTCTGACCGCACCACCCTACTGTTTAGCTGTTATCACCGCTTTCTGTAACGCCATTCACGCGGATCGTACTGGAGAGCGTTTCTTCCACATCACCATCCCTCTCTTGTTTGCAGTAGCCGCATTCATTCTTGCCGCTGCTACAACTTCCACCGCACCCCGCTATGTCGCCATGATGCTTATGGTCCCGGGAGTTTACACTGGATATGTCGTTGCTCTTGCCTGGATCAGTAACACAATTCCTCGTCCACCCGCCAAGCGTGCTGCTGCTCTCGCCGGTATTAACGCCATCTCCAACGCCAGCAGTATCTATGCCTCGTACATGTACCCACAATCAGCGGGGCCAAGATATGTTGTTGCGATGAGTGTGAACTGCGCTACCGCTGCCTTGGCAATCATAATGGCTTTCACACTGAGGACGATTCTGATGAGGTTGAACAAGAAGCTCGACAGAGGCGAGCATGTGGAGGGTGCTGTCTCCGCCGGACAGGCTATTCCTGGCGAGGCAGCCAAGAAAGGATTCCGGTTCTTGCTGTAGTCTCGATATCTGTATTTGGCGATGATTGCTCATTCAAACAACACGAATGGTTTCACCTTCCTACTGTGTATTTTCTGGTCTCCATCGGCGTACTGTTTCGTCGTTACAGAGTGCTTTCAGTGTTGGACCTTTGAATTTACTGACTTAAGCCTTGCTCACTGCTCTGGGTCGTTCTTTACCCAAAACTCGCGTGTTGTTAGATGGTGGCTGGTCTTCCCTCCACGTCATCTCCTCTCTAGGAACCTGAACCGGACCGAGCACATCTGTGCCGAGCCGAGCGTTGTGGTTCATTGTTCGGAAGTGTACAACAAATCAACACTTGCCATCCTAGGATATCACCGTGCAAGGTGTACCAAGTAGAGCTTATGATCGCTAATACGGACATATGACCAACCCCATCGTCGCTTCCGAGTCTGACCCCTGAATTGGATCGGCTCCTCCACCATCCATAGGACAACATAAAGCAGAGTGGGGAATGATATTCAAATAGTGGTCTATAGCAATCTGTCTGGATCGTTTCAATCATGATCAACTTCCTCAGGTTCCTAGCTAAAGCAGCACTAGCAGGTGAGATCAAAACTTGTGTCGGTCGCTTCTCACATACTAACAGCTATATCCTTGAGCAGGAAATACATTAGCATTCACAAATCCGATTATCACCGGCGTTAATGCCGACCCATCTGCCATTCGTGTTGGTGACGACTATTTCCTAGTCTCTTCTAGCTTCGAGTACTTTCCTGGTATCCCCGTATACCACTCTACGAACCTTGTAGATTGGACTTTGATTGGCCATGGCTTGAACGAGAACAACAAGATTCAGGATCGTCAGTTGTTGACTACTGGAGGCATCTTTGCTCCTACAATCCGCCATCACAATGGTACTTTCTACATCATCACGACTTATGCAGACAGTAAGTTAATGCTTCTTTTGTCTGGTTGCTAGAGTAGATCTTAATATTGATACTAGNNACTTTTGCCTTGGCAACAAAACAACTTTATCATAACTACTGCAGATCCTTTCTCGAATGACTGGACACAGCCAATGTATCTCGATCAAGCAGGTATCGATCCTGATCTGTTCTGGGATCACAATGGGACCGTGTATCTGAGCACTGCCTATCCTGAATTCGGGCCCGAAGGTGGCAACAGCACAATCTATCAATCCAAGTTAGACTTGACGACTGGCCACTCGTTGACTCAACCAACTCTGATCTACCGCTCTTCTCTGCCTGAGAAGATTCGATGGGCTGAGGGTCCGCATGTGTATTACATCAATGGAACTTATTACCTTTCGGTTGCTGAAGGTGGCACGGAGGTCCTGCATCGCCAGACCATTCATNNTCGTGGTCCCTCGCCATCTGGACCCTGGGAAGAAAGCCCCTTAGGCCCTATGGTGTTCAATAGTCGTGACCCTTCAGCTCCAATCCAACAAACTGGCCATGCGGATCTTCTGCAGCGTCCTGATGGTAAATGGTATACCGCCTTCCTTGCCGTACGCCCCCAGCTTCCCCAGAACATCAACGGTACCTACCAGCTTGGTCGTGAGACATTCTTGAGTCCCGTCACCTGGAGCGAAGATGGCTGGCCACTGGCAAACAACGGCAATCTCATCACTTTCAACATGGCAGACGCCGACCTACCTTCACAATCCAACAGCAGCAAGATCTTGCGCGACGACTTCTCAGGCTGCTCTTTGCAGCCGGGTTGGGAGTTTAGAGGTACACCTTCTAGACCTTGGTGGCGCGTTCAGAACAATTCTCTGGTGCTCAGAGGAACGACGGCTGCGCTTTCCGCCTTGGATGGTATGGCTTTGGTGCTCAGGAAGCAAGATGCACTATTCCATACTTTCAGTGTGGATCTGGGATTCGTGCCCACGCTACCAAGCCATGAGGCCGGTATAGTGGCTTGGGTTAATGACCATTATCACAACACTATTTCCGTCGTTTTGTGCAACGATGGTACCAATTCCACTTGCTTAAAGACCATGACGATTGTTGGAGACAGACTCGGTGACGACGATGGCAATACCACTACAGTCTACTATGCTCTGCCTTCCTCTCTGTCTGTCAATGGTACGACTCTACGTCTGAGCATTCGCGCAACGCCAGAGACGTATCAGTTGGGCTATTCCATGCCTGAAGATAATGCTACTACATGGCTGACGGCTTACACGGCTTCTTGGATGGCTCCTCACTACGAGGGACGTATCTCCTGGCAGGGAGCGAGGATGGGTATGTATGCGACAGGCAACGGTGTGACCATGCTCCAAGACGCCGTGTTCAAAGATGTGGAGGTTATAAGAGGGCCCCACTAATCAAGGTGTCTAAGCTTGTGAACATAACAATGCGAGACCGCGGAACAGCAAGAACAGTAGAAATGAGAATTCCAAGTTGTGAAACGTTTCTTGCAAAAATCCATGCCGGGCATTATCCACATTTCTGTTCTATACAAACACCTTCTTTCGATACCAACGAACCTTGTCACAAGTGCCGTTTTCATTTTTCGTCGTGGGTATTGTCTTCCACCCTACGATTTGATCTGCAAGTTCACAAGCCACATACTCAATCTCTTCCCAAAGTTCCTTTTCAATATCTCTGCCAAACCGCTTCTCGGTCTCTTCCTTGGTACCAATCAATCTGTGCGGTATACCAGTCTTTGCATCTACAAGTACACCAGCATCGAACAGTTGTACAGGATCATACTTTGGGATATTGTGGTGCACGGAAAAGGCATCTGGTGGGGTGTCCATGGAGGCAACGCTGGCAGCTGATGAGGTAGAGTCTTGAGTGGGGTCGTATTGGAGCATTGCTCCTCCGTGGTAAGCGCCATGCTCGTAGTAGCCGATTGTGTCCACGCATTTCTTGACTTGGTGGAAGGGTGCTTGGGCCACGCGAGCGGCGAGGATGAAAGAGTCTTTGTCGCCTTCGCCGGGTCCTCCTTGGCTCATCAGTGGGTAGTATATATCAGGGCCGTAGTAATTGTAGTAGGCTGCCAGTAGTAGAGTCATTGCGTGACTGGCTTTGGAGACCAAGAGCTGACCGGATTCCGTAGAGGCAAGGGCATTCATTGCTGGTACTGGCTGACCGGTGATCTCATAAAGATGCGTAGAAGCAGACGATGCCCAAAAGTCGGGCCAAGTGACAAGACCAGTAGAAGAAAATGGCTCTTGCGCAAAGACATGAGCAGGGTCTTTGGCAACAAAAGCGTCAGCATCCAAGAACAGCACGTTCTCAAAGGAAGAAGCCAAGATTGCAAACACCTTGACTTGGAAACTCGCAAGGTATCTTGCCCATCTTCCAAGACGGTCTTCTAGTCGCAAGCAATGTGCATTCATACTCGGAAGAAGAATCTGGCATGTGTGCGAAGCCAACTCTGCCTCCGTGTCCACAAAGAGCTCGACTGGCAATTGTGAACCGGTTCTTCGCAACATTCTCAACGATATCACGAAGACGGGTAAGTACTTTCCAGCAGCCGCAGAAACGATTCCAGAAGTGCCTTTGTCAAAAGGAATCTTGATTTGTCGGGCAGACTGTAGGTACGCATTATGCGCGAATCGCATAGTGGCGACATCAGTCGATGTGAGATTGAGAAGATCCGGTCTCGATGTCTCTGCATTGGTCTTCCAGAAGACCATAGCAGCTGCTTGGCCCGTCCGCTTTATATCCACATCACCAGGGGAGTTTTCTTTTAACGCTTTGTAAACTGTATTGCCAAAGCTGGCAAATTCCCGTTCTGCGACAAGACTCTGGTGACTGTGTTGGGCTTGTCAGTGGCAACATCAGGGGGCAAAGAATCGGTCTCTCAACACACCCGAAAGCGGATTCGATGCCATCCCAATAAACAAACGTCAACAACACCAGGAGACCGACTCCCAAGAGCCGAAAGGTTTGCGATCGCAACATTAGAGCGTGTCAAGCATGGTCAGCAAGTCTTGTCGTTATGTAAAAGGACTCTGTGCATGACGCATTCGAAGAAACAGAGAAAGTCAACAATATTGTTGTCGTATGCATGCCACGAACGCCCGGCTGGCCAAGCACATCTAGGTTTCTTGGACAGTTCGCTCTAGGCTCAAAACGGGTTGGCAGGTGCGCCCCTTTCCTCGTATCTATCCCGATAGCCGCTGAATATCGGAGGTTGTGGGGATCAACCATTGCGGTCATTCGTCGCAATGTGGAGCAAAGCCATATATATGTCAAAAGAAGAATTGAAGCAAGGTATAAGCGAAATGCACGAAAACCATGGAGTTGTTGTTTTGGATGCAAATGCAGGTTCAGATCGGCCATGCCCCTTGGACCCTTGGCAGACACATTCCTTCCAAGAAAGGTAAAAATAGCTTCGGGTTGAGATACTGCCGAGAAACCGAGGCATTATGTAGGTAAACCGATTCATACGACCATACCATCCTATCTCAACCTTCACACGACAGAAACTCATAATTAGATCATCAACATCGACGTGCCTAGCAATAATATAATGAAGATGCTGGTCAGAGATGGCAAAGTCTGAGCACCGACACCTGTATCAGAACCCACCGTACCATCGTCTTTATTAGGATCCTCTGTACCATCGTTGGGTGTACATCCAAATTGCGTACCCCAGTTGTAGTTACGCCGAAGGCAGGCGAAGAAAGTATTGTTAGTCGAGTCAGAAGTACAGGCGTAGTCGCACCCGTTCGAGTAGACAACCAATCCGTCACCGCCGTTATAGTTCGAACAGCACTTCTCCATTGCTCTGGTCGCACTGACTGTAATGAGATGACTGCATGTCTGCTGATTTGGCCAGTCGGTAGTTTCATTGGGAGATGTATGAACACCAAGTCCACATGATGGCGCAACAACATTCTCCGGGTCGTTACATTTGAAGTTCACGACTTCTTTGGCGGCTAGACAGCGCTGGAAGAGTTGATAGTCGTTGGCGTCGTTGTTGTTGGCAAGTGCGCACAAAGCAAAGGGGCGCCCCGAGGTATTCAAGTATTGGAGATCGCTTTCTGGGCGCCCACAGCATTCGGCAAGTGTGGATGGGAAACTGTTACAGGCTGGGACAGCACATGCGGCCTGAGAGAAGTTGGAGGAGGTCCTGTCTGTCCACGCAGCAGGGACCCACGAATCTTGGTAATTTCCGCTTGTGCAGGCGTCTGTCGGGTTGATGGTTGTGTTGGTTGCGTTTGACATGCTGGATGCTAGATGCTTCAATTGAGTGTTATCAAGACAAAATACTCTTAGAGGGATCGTGGTTCTTATGTTTGGTCTAAGTGAATCATTCTCTGACCGGAATATCCTTGGCTCTTACGTCTGAATGCTGTGTTATACAATTCTTTGGCAATCCTCTACCTGTCTTGACTTGTGTCTGGTGATGTTTAGTCTCAACTTTACCTTGGCAATCCTTCGCCAGTGTGCATAATCTTGGCTCGAGGGATTCCTGTATTCTCATGCAATCGCTGTGGAGATGTTGCGTCAGAGTCTCATGCAGCGAATGCTGTTGATGAAATGATTCGTTCGAGATGGCCAATCACAATGCATCGACAAGTACAAGAATAGTCTGCAAATCATAGCAAAGAGCAAAACAGTTCGTCGTGAATTAAAGGGGTATCTAGCAGAAGTCGTAAGGTGCAATCAGTAATATCGTTGTTCATCAGGAAACACTTGGTTCAGCCAAGTCTGTTCAACCAGCCACCGATTCTCTCACGGCCGTTCTGGCTGCTGATGCTGCCCAGTCGCTGCCTCAGGCTCGGTCGTCTCGCAGGAAGTTGGACAGGTGCTGGAGGCGGAGCCAATCCTAGCATACTCTCTGTACCAAATGCATTAAGCGCAAGTCCGGGATCGTTGTCGAAGAAGGATGTGGATTGACGTCTTGATCTGCGACCACTTTCGCGCTCACCACGGCGAGCGAATGCAGCATCACCGATGACACTGGCATTGATGTGGGATGTGGTCGAGATATAGTTGTCGTTGAGGAAATGGTCGCCGCGATTTCCAAAGACTTCTTCTGTGACTGTGTCACGACGGCGGGGACGAGGACGATCAGGAATTGGTCGGTCAGAAATGTTTGTGGTGGACAGACGACGAGCCAAGGCTTCATCGGCGCGCTCTTGACGTCTTCGCGCATCAAGTTCTTGCTGGTAGGTTATAGGTGTGGTTGTGTTTCTAGAATGGCTTCTACGTGGTTCGTATCGGTCGTGTCTGGCATGGGTTTCGTTTCTATCGTTTCTGTCGTGACGGGGCGATTTAACGACTGTTTCTGGAACGCGCATGTGATTCAAGCGATCTTGGTCGGGGACAGCGGCGTAGTTGAACCAGGGGCATTCACAAGTCTTCCAGGGGCTGGCGCAGAGCATGCAGAAGTCAGCGCCGCAGCGACAGGTCATGTGGTTGCAGCCTTCCTTAAGTTCAACCATGGCCTTGCAGTTGTAGCAGCGCTGCCATCCCTTCTCTTTAGCCAAATCTACAAGCCTCTTAGTCTCTGGGTCTTTGGGACAGTCGCCGCTGGTGTGCAATTTGTTGTTGCACAGAGTGCAGACCTTGGTTTTGCATCGAGGGCAGCGACCATACTTGCGGCCATGGAGCTTGTGCATATCGGCAGGCTTGATCCATTGGCCACAGCCCTTCGCAGGACAGTAGAGGCGATTCTTTGTCGTATACTCTTGATACTTGGCGTTCCACAGGATCTTGAACTTATCGTCGAAGAGGTGGTCGACGTGCTTCAAGGGAATGTGGTCGGAGCTGCAGCATTTGGGCGGCATGTGTTGAGGGTCCTTAATGGACATGGTAAAGATGCGACGGAGACATGAATTACACATTCGGTGGCCGCAGAGTAGCTTGGCTGATCGAGTTACGGGCACGTCGTCGGAGCCGCATGTCAGGCATTCGGCGGTGCGGATTCGCGATGAGGCTGACGAGACGGTGGCTGGTGCAGGGATCGAAGGTCGGAATATGGAGCCTAGGAAGGATGAGGTACGGCGATGGTGCTTCTTGTCCTTTTCCTTGTCAGTTGTTTTGTCGTCAACGGGCTTAGTCTGACTTGTCGAGGCGATTCGTTGCAGTCTGGGCCGTTTCTCGACCGTCGAACTCTCGTGTTTGCTCTTAGGCACGCTTGATACCGACACCGACGTCTTTGACTTGGACTTGTCGGGCTCATAATAATAGCGAAGTGTGTCTGACGCCTTTGTCACGCTGCTCCGGCGCGAAGAGGCTGCCATGACGGCACATGGTAGACGTTAATGTGAATGTGCTCCAGATAGCGGTAGCATGGTAGGGAGACGCTGCGCACAGACCATCGACCTCTCTAAAACTCCGTCTGCTATGACACATTTCGACTCATCGGTCTTGACCTTCCTTTCTGATCTCCACTGACATCTTCCTCCAATATACTGCCCTCTACTTCTGTTTAGTCAATTGGTCGTGTATACCATCTCAATTGGCTTATATTGTTCTATACCAGTCACCGCCGATACCGGCCACCACAATTTTATCCGCCCAATACTGATAACTCGTACATCTCATATACCAGTATTCGAATTGTTGTATCCTCAAGCTCTCCTACTCAGTTATTTCACGTGCTAACAAAGCTTCAGCATCCAGCATAATGGCTGACCCGAGACCCAGTCCCACCTCGGACCTTCACTGGAGTGACTACAGAGGTGCTATCCACCAGATCTTTGCTGCAAATGCAAACAAGCACCCTGAGAGGACTTGTGTTGTCGAGACTGCCTCTTCGAACTCTCCTAAGAGGGTAATCATCTCTACTCTCACTTTGATCAGATTCGTACTGAACCGCTGCAGNGTCTTCACATATAAACACATCAACGAATCGAGTAATGTCCTAGCACACCACCTCGTGGCCAGTGGCGTGCAACGGGGTGAAGTTGTCATGGTTTATGCTCACCGTGGTGTTGACTTGGTTGTCGCCGTCATGGGTGTACTCAAGGCTGGTGCTACTTTCTCCGTCATCGACCCTCTGTACCCTGCGGATCGCCAAATAATTTACCTCGATGTTGCCAAGCCTCGTGCTCTCGTAGTCATCGAGAAGGCTTCTCAAGAAGCTGGCAAGCTCTCAGATACCGTTCGCGAGTACATCCAGGAGAACTTGAGACTCAGAACAGAGGTTCCTGGCTTGCAATTGCAGGACGATGGTTCTGTCATTGGTGGTAACGTTGATGGTCGCGACTGCCTTGAGGCTCAGCAGCAATCTCGTTCTCAGCTTCCTGATGTTGTTGTCGGCCCAGACTCAACCCCCACTCTATCATTCACTTCTGGTTCAGAGGGAAGACCCAAGGGTGTCAAGGGTCGCCACTTCTCGTTGGCATACTACTTCCCTTGGATGCAGGAACGTTTTGGCCTGTCCGAGAAGGATCACTTCTCCATGCTCAGCGGTATTGCTCACGACCCCATTCAGCGCGATATCTTCACCCCTCTTTTCCTTGGTGCACGCCTGATTGTACCTCCTGCCGAGGATATTACCTTTGACAGACTGGCTAAGTGGGCTAGCGACAATGAGATCAGTGTCACTCATCTCACTCCTGCCATGGGCCAAATTCTTCTCGGTAGCTTAGAGCCCAAGGTCAATTCACTGCACTCGGCTTTCTTTGTTGGCGACATCCTCTTGAAGAGAGATTGCCGCAGACTACAAGACTTGGCCCCAAATGTTCGCATCAAGAACATGTACGGCACCACTGAGACCCAGAGAGCCGTCAGTTTCTACGAGATCCCTAGCAAGTCCGAAGACGCTTCATACCTCGACAAGATGGGTGATGTTATCCCTGCTGGCAAGGGTATGCTCGACGTTCAGTTGCTCGTGGTCGACCGTTCCAACAGAGACCGCATCTGTGAGGTTGGTGAGATTGGTGAAATCTATGTCAGAGCTGGCGGTCTAGCAGAGGGCTACCTCGGTCCCGAGCTTAAGGAGCTTACCAACTCCAAGTTCGTGCAGAACTGGTTCGTTGATAACGAAAAGTGGGTCAAGGAGGACCAAGAAAAGGCTGCTAAGGCTGGCAAGGATGAGCCTTGGAGAGAATTCTACAAGGGACCTAGAGACAGACTATACCGTTCAGGTGATCTGGGAAGATACACTGCTGATGGTAACGTTGAGTGTACTGGCAGAGCAGACGACCAAGTCAAGATTCGCGGTTTCCGTATCGAGCTTGGTGAGATCGACACTCACCTTTCTCAGCATCCGCTTATCAGAGAGAACGTCACCCTTGTCAAGCGCGATCACGAAGAGGAGCAGATCCTTGTCAGCTACTATGTTCCTGACCTCAACAAGTGGTCGGCCTGGAAGCAAGAAAGAGGCGAAGCTGACTCTAATGTTGCCGACGATTTGAGCATTCCCGAGAGACTGAAAATGTTCAACACGTTGACCAACGATGTCAGAGAGCACCTGAAGAAGAAGCTGGCTTCTTACGCTGTTCCCACCTTGTTCATTCCTATGGTCAGACTTCCTCTGACACCCAACGGCAAGGTTGACAAGAGAGCTCTTCCCTTCCCTGAGAAGTCAGAGCTGCTTGCTGCTTCATCGAGCCACCCTGCCCAGGACGCTGCCACTCGCACCGAGACTGAGAAAGCGCTTGCTGAGATCTGGGCTCTTTACCTTCGCAGCTATGCAGCGGACAGCATTCCTTCAGATGTCCCCTTCTTTGACCTTGGTGGCAACAGTATCGCCGCTGTTCAGATTCCATCTCAAATTCGCAAGAAGTGGCCCGATGTTACTGTACCAGTCAGTGCCATCTCAAAGAACCCCACTCTACAACAGCTTGCTGGAGATATCGATCGCTCTTTGAACCCCGTTGGACTCCGTCTTGATGCGCAAGCCCCTGAGACCGATGACCAGGAGGAGTTCTACTCAAACACCCTGCCTGAGCTGATCAAGGAGATTCCTGCCAAGATCCAGTCTGCCAGCAGAGAGTCGGCCAAGCAACAAACAGTATTCCTTACAGGAGCAACTGGATTCTTGGGATCATACATCCTTCGCGATCTGCTCTCATCTGGCAACAAAGTCATTGCACATGTCCGCGCCAAGTCCACTGAAGATGCTCTGCAACGTGTCAAGGCGACATGCCAGGCGTATGGCATCTGGTCCGACTCATGGGCAACCAACCTTGAGTGCGTGACTGGCGACTTGCAAGAACAACCTCTACTCGGCATGCAACAAGATGTGTATGACCGTGTCGCCAAGGAGGCCGATGTTGTGATTCACAATGGTGCCATTGTGCACTGGTTGAAGCCCTTCTCATCTCTGAAGTCTGCTAATGTCTTGAGTACTATCTCAGCAATCAAGCTGTGCGCTACTGGCAAGGCCAAGAAGATGGGCTTCGTCAGCTCTACAAGTGCTCTCGACTCTGACCACTACGTGGAACTGTCCAAGAACCTTATTGCTTCCNNAGGTGCCGCTGGTGTTAGCGAGTCTGATGACATGGAAGGAAGTAGACAAGGTCTTACTACTGGCTACGGTCAAGGCAAGTGGGTGTCTGAGCGTCTCATGGAGGAAGCCGGAAGAAGAGGTCTTGTTGGCTCGATCATCCGCGCCGGTTACGTGCTCGGTGACCCCAAGACCGGTACCACCAACACCGACGACTTCCTTATTCGCATGCTCAAGGGCTGCGTGCAAGTCGGCTCCCGACCAGACATCACCAACACCATCAACATGGTCCCTGTCGACCATGTTGCCAGACTCGTTATTGCCACCGCACTCAACCAGCCTGTTGCTCCCATGGTTGTCTGCCATGTCACTGGCCACCCCCGCCTAACCTTCAACCAATACCTCGCCGCCCTCGAAGCCTTCGGCTACTCAGCNCCCAAAGTCGACTTCCCTGAATGGAGAGACGCCGTCGAACAATTCGTCGAGCAAGGCGAAGAAGAACACGCCCTGCTGGGTCTCTACCACATGGTAACCGGCGATCTCCCCGGCAGCACCAAAGCCCCCGAACTCGACGACAGAAACTCTGCAGCTGCACTCAAGGCCGATGCCGCTAGATCCGGCCAGGACTTTTCGGCTGGCAGTGCTGTTACTGAAGATACTGTGGGCCAGTATCTGTCGTTCCTTATTGCTAGAGGTTTCATGCCTGAGCCTACCAAGAAGGGGATTAAGACTCTTCCTGAGGCCAAGATTACGCAAGAGCAGATTGAGGCGTTGGATCGTGTTGGTGGTCGTGGAGGTGCTGCGTAAAATGGATCATTGTACAAAAACTAGAAAGTGTAGCAAAAGATTTTTTTCGCAAAGAATATGAAATGATACATCAACAAACTTATTGAAAGGTCTCTTTTGGTTCAACTGTCCTTCGTCATGTTTTGCACCCTCTTCTTGTATTGAGGTAATGCACAGAAACTCATTGTTGAGAAAGAAACATTTGGCAATTGGACGCGCAGTTGTATGGATGCCGTCAAGAGAGATAGATGTACCTGGTACGCAAGAAGAAACAAATCATGGTCATGAAGACATGAGATGAAAACAAGAAAGTTGTCAATAAAGATATTCTGATTGTCATGAAAGTATGGTCATTTGCCGATCCCAAAATCTGATATCAATATGTCTCTCTCGAGTCCAAAAGAAGGATAAAAGCAAAGAGAGCTGTCTTATGCAGAGTGTAACGACAGTGTTACTGAGGCTTAGACAGTCTTTTCCAGCGAACGACCGACTGGTGTATAGAGCTGACTGCTTGCAGGGCGTGCAATCGCAGTCGACCCGTACGCCTCTAGCAAAGGAACTAGGATGGCGTGCTGTGCTCTCTTTCGTCTTCCCTCGTCACAAAAGATATTTCAAGTGTGTCTTCCTCCCCTTCCTTCCAAGTATTGGTATCAAGCCAGCCCCATCAATCCGTGAAACGCCGAAAAGACCTTCCGTAGGTCATGCAAAAGCAAAGCAGTTAATCGTAATGACGATGTAAAAAGTCGACCAGAATGAGCAAGTCGACAATGAGAACAGCAATAACGAGTTCGACGATTAGGAAACCCGTTGATGGGAGTGAAGTGTTTGTCAAGCTAGCCGTCTAAGCCTTGGTGGTGAAGTCGGTCTCGTGGGGTAATCGCCAGCACCAGCCTCAGTGCCATTGCAAGAGCAGGAGTCTGTAGAGCCCCATGTCAGTATACCGTCAGAAGAACCACCATAGGTATGGCATAGCAAAGATCACTCACCCTTTGATCTCTTGCCACAAGCGCAGGTAGAACCACTGGGCTTAGCATTCTCTGCAGAGGAACGCGAGCATGTGCAAGCACCAGCAGCACGCTGGTTGCACGAGCAACGCGCACCCTCGACCTTGTTCTCGGTAGCGGCTTTTTCGCAGGTGCAGTGGAGAGCGGGTTGCTTGCCGCAGGAGCAGGTTGCTTCTTTGGCGCAGACGCAGCCGCCTTCGCGGCCACAGCAGGTGACGGGGACAGCAGCGGTGGGGGCAGACATTGTTGATGGTTTTGGGTGTTGTGGTGTTGTAGAAGGTGGAGAAGAATGGCTTTGCAAGAGTGATTGAGAAAGCTTTGGATAGATGGTGTGAATGGGCAGTAGTGATTGATATGCGTGGTTTGTGGTATTTATATCAAAACTCGAGGGAAAGTGAGCTGTTTACTATGACATAGCTGTCACCCAATCATGAGAGCTCTATGGTTCAGCTTCACATGACTGACCAATGACAATGCAGACGATTACCAGCCTTGGCGGCTTGACAGGCGGAGCTCGATCCGGTCAGCCAATCATAGAGCGTGCGATTACTCGCTCACGCGACAGCCGCTTCCAGAATTATCGAGTTTGCGCTTGGCATGCGCTGCAACATCCCATTCTTGCAGCGCTTCGGTCCTTTGTAGAATATGCTGACCTTGCAGTTTTATGATTGGTTCTGGATATACATTAGAAATACTCCGTAGAGGCTGATGGGTTCTGTCGGCACTGGGAGGTGGATATGTTCTTGATGAAGACAAAACTAGTATTATGTTGCTATGAGCTTACGGATGCAGAACATCAAGAACCAAATAAATGCCAGCTTGCATCAGAAGGTACGGTAGAGACAGTAAGAAGCATACATCAGTATCCTTCAGATCCCCATCGCCTCTTCTCAACTCAACTAAACCCCAAACGCATAACTTACTCTCAACCAGTGTAAGTGCCATTAGAGGTGACAGCATCTCTGAAGCAACCAGCCGACTGAGCAGAACAACCAGCTTGGTTAGCATCAGGTGCACTACGACACTGATTCTCCTGCGTCTCACAGCTTCTGCAACCAGCAAGCTGAGCAGCACAGAAAGCGTGATTGGTGTCTGGAGCAGAAGTGCAAGTGCTGTAAGCAGCATCACAATCGTATGCACCGTAGACTGAACCAGGGTTTTCGGTGGAGTGGAAGCAGAGTTGGGCATCTACAGTGCATTGGATGCCTTTGGCGTAGTCGGCGTTGACTCTGCAGGATTGTTCGGTTTGCCAGCAGGCTTCGCAGGTGTTGCGGGTGTCGCTGCAGTAACTGTCTTGCTGGTATGGATTTGCAACGCAGGAAACGTAGGCGACATTGCAGTCGAAGACATCGCGTTTGACCATAACAGGAGTGGCGATGGCTGATGCAGCCATGGTCAAGGCAAAGACGGAGTAATAGAGCATATTGATGAGGAAATTGCTTGGATGTTGAGTGATGGTGTTTTGGTTGGTTTGTGGATATTCTGTTTGTGAGGATGGGTGTTGAAGTGTGCAACGACCTGCCTTTATATACTTGGAGCTCTCGATGTGATACTGATGTTGCTCGACCCTGTTGGTATGCTGACTGGACCAACAGTAAAGCCACCTCCTCTCTCGTACTCTCGCCATCATGTAGCATTGCAGTGTAAGGTCAGACAATTACACTGCATGTACAACGCAGTCCAGCTCGAGGAGATGCTTCATGAGCTCAATGCAACCGTGTATCGTGGACTCGAAGCAGCCATACATGTTATCGTCGAACCCAAAATCGAAGAATGGTGCATGGCTGTGCAACAAAGGCGTCCTGCATATACGAGACAAGCTCACATAACTCTTGAGCTGACACCGACTTCAGCTAGCTATTACTCCTGTCACAGCCGCTTGACAAGTTGGAGGCGTTGACAAGTCCATGCATACGCTACTCGTAGTAGCTGTAGACAATCTCATGTCAGCATGCCGTTACCATAACGTGTTGTATCGTATCAGGTGGGACATTGCCAGCACCACAGCTTCAGCTGAATCGAGTGCTGACTCCAAGTAGCATATGAGCTGTCGCCCTCTACCAACAGCAAAAGTCGACTTTCATCACAAGTCAAAGAAGGTGGTGAGAAGATCAGTGGGAAACAACCGTGTCGGCTAATGAGAAACCGATCTCGCCAAGTGTTCTTCTCCACAATCCAATCCTGCAGGCATGCACTCCGCTCGCGGGGGCACGAGGAAGTCTCGAAGGCCTCGGCGAAGCACTGGGGAAGCTACCTTTCTACCTCTACATTTGCTTTCTATCTGTTTTCGATCGTGTCGGGACCTGGTTTCGGCGATATGAGACGCGTGACCTCGGAAAGCTACTCCAGCTGTCAATATTGAAAGTTTTTCTGCTATTCTGTTTCCTTGCGACATGTCAAAGAGATCCTGGTCCGTGGCGAACGCCGCTCAAGGCTTACTCGACATGAATTCGGTAATTCAAATCTTGCAAACGCATATGTAGTATGAGGCTCATGGAAGACGTGTATAGGGTTCTCGAAGTGCCACTAACGCTACTTCAATGTCTCCACCACAAGGTCCTCCACAGGATTCTCCCAACGGACCCCAGATATCACGAAAGGTCAAAGCATGTGCTGCCTGTCGCAAACANAAAGGTAACCCTGATTGAGTGTTGCTGACATGATGAACTGGATCGCTCATGTCTGACCAGATCAAATGCCTCATGGACAACAACGGAGAGCCACCATGTCGGCGCTGTATAGAGCGAGGCCTCTCGTGTGTCCTGAACAAAAGCCTGCAAACCTTGATTAATGAACGATCTCAATGGAAGGACGACATGCATCGTGATATCTCAAACATGCATGGAGCCGTGCAGGATATTTTGAAAAGGCTATCGATGCCCGCACTGCAACCACTCAAAGCAGCCTCTGCAGCAGAAGATCAACAAGAAACTTCGCCCTACGATGATACCGTGGTCGAAAAGGTCGAAGATGTCGGTCCCTCTTGCGACAATTCTCCCAAACTACCGCCACAGACAGAGTCTCTGCAAAATGTTCCGATCGAGTCACTTTATCAGATCACGCGATTGCGTTCACTACGAGCTGAAAACTCTGGAGATGAAAACAAGGCAGATGAGGGCTCGGATGTGGTATCCAAGGGTATTGTATCTCTTGAAGAAGCCGAGAGATTGACGACACTGTATCTTGGACGACTCGATCACTACGCCTACAGCATTGCAAACAAATTTACCGATCTGCAATCTATACGACGGCGTTCAGTGGCCTTGACTAACGCAATCTTGACTGTTGCAGCATTGCACGATCCAAACAGCAACCAAATCTTCGGACCGTGTTTTCGAGAGCTGAAAAGAGTGCTTTCGGAATCCATGTTTGTTCGTCGCATCGATCGTGAATATTTGCGAGCAATGTGTATAGGGTCCTACTGGCTAAGCGACATCTCATACACACTTTCCGGTCATGCAATCAGACGCGCTATGGGCATCAACCTAAGTTCCAATTACTACAGAGTGTTGAAAGACGGTTCGGAGGATGCTGCGGACTGTCTTCGACTGTGGTATTTGCTCTACATCTGTGATCAACATTTGAGCATTCTGTATGGTCGACCAACAACGATACGAATCGATGATCCTAGTTTGCAAGGCTGGGAGCGATATCTCGAAGTACGGGTGGCGGTGGAGCAGGATCGACGAACTGCAAGTCAAGTGGCATTGATGGTGATCATGGGCGCGATCAGAGAGTTCTTTGAACGACACAGCAGAGACACACAAACGCTACCCCAAAGCTTGATCGAGCATATCGCCTCTTTCGACCGCCAGATTGATCGCTGGGTGGAGACCTGGTTCCAACATCTAAGTAAGTCGCACCCCTAATCTCAGCTTTGAATGTCGGTAACTGATCAATACCAACAAACAGAACGACGCGACGACATAGGAGACTGGCCCTCCAAAGGCGTCCTCCTGCACTCCAACCTCGCCCGCCTCCACCTGCACTCCCACATCTTCCGCGGCCTAGCAACCTCCCCCGTCCCCCACTACTTCCGACACTCAGCAGCCAAAGCCGTCGACGCCGCCCGCACAATCGTCGAAGTACTTTTATCAGACCCGGACATGCGTGCAGGCCTCGTAGGCATGCCCCACTACCTACACACCATGATAGCGTTCGCCTGCGGCTTCCTCCTCCAAATGACCACAAAATACGACAACGACTTGGTGTCACGCACACACGTCCACGACCTCATCAACAGACTAGTTTCCCAACTGCGTCTCATGCCAACTGGAAAATACCACTTGGTGCGCTTCATGGCCGAAGGGTTGGANAAAATGGTGGAAGCGTCGATGAGAACACCCACACAAGCTTCTGCCCAACTCTTTAATGGCGGCTTTCAGTATATGAATGAGGGGCATCACTATGGTACTTCTGCTGCTCATCAGATGGATCTGTTAACTACAAACCCCGGTCAAACAGAATTTGGGAATATGGGTGCAGGAGGCAGGGATGATTCATTCATGATGCCTGATTTCGGGCTTGCGAATTCGTTCTTGCCGTTTGAAGATCCCGTGTTCAGGACTTCGGACTTTGGTTATCTGTAGATTTTGTCCTTTTGATGGTTGGACTCTTTGAGGGCAAGGCAGCACCACATATGCCATCTGAATCACCTTAGTCTCAAAACCTTTCATGTTGCACGTTGGCATTTTAAGACATGAAATTTTTTTCTTAATCTTTTTCGAAGTTCAGACGAAATGATTTATTCTTCACGCTCTTTGCATAACACGATCCCAGAAAAGATTTTCAAACCGTTGTACATGATTGAATACCCAATTTTTCTAATCCTTGAAATGCTACGAAGAAAACTCCTGTGCCCGTGCTTTTTATGCTGTTCGAATGTACAAGGAAATGCGACGGTCAGCGATGCCAAACCGATAGAAAAAAAAAAGAAGGAACGTATGCGACGAAACAAGGCTGCTATAGAATTCAAAAACAAACACCAAGTCCGAGTTATGCTGATTACGAAGCCGACCAGCAACTCGAAGTCTTTCATTTCCTCATGTGGATCTTGAGAAACCAATTTAATCACTGTCATAAGGATTCGAGGCCTTTCTTGTGGAGGGCTGGCGGTAAGGGTTGCTGGGAGCTCTACCCATCTGACTCATCTCAACATTCTGACCTGGTTGTTGGCGGCCAGATGTCGTTCTGCTTGCGTCCACGTAGTTTGTTCCTTGCACATACGCTGATGGGCTGGTAGGTAGTGCAGGTCCAGAATTGGGGATGCTGAGGTTCAAGCCTTGGTTGCCTTGTGCTTGTGTGCGATATTGCTCGTACTCGTCGACTTCGAGACTTGCTTCTGCTGTTTGGGCGTAGCCTGTGTATGCCATGGGAGGCATGGGCTCGTGGATTGCCGGCACGCTGGGCTGAGATGCTGCAGGGTGGTTTGAAGGGCGGCGTTTGCCTTTGGTGGTTTCTCTGCGCAGCATGCCTCTGACATCTTCAATGTCCTGGGCACGGTCGGAGTTTGAGCGTTCGTCTAGTGTGCTGCTGCCGTTTTCCATCCAAGGTTCATCGCGTGTGGTGTCTAGACCAGGTGCTTCAGAGTGTAGGTTATCCACGATTGCTGTTTCTTTTGCCGAAAGACCAAGGGGACCAGTGCCTGTGTGTTTTGAACGTGTCTGAGAAGGGCTCATGGCTTCCTCGACCTNTTTGAGGGGCACAAGTCGAGCCTTGTCCTTAGCATCAGCAGAAGCCTCGCGAGCCTCAGTGGCATATCCATCCGAGACGGAAACCGAGTATGTTGGGTTGGCAGGGCCACCGAGTGCATCACCGCCACCACCAGGACCGTAGATAGGCACTCTGCGAAGAGCTTGGACGAGAGCGCACATGAACTTCGAGCGTCTAGATGCACGTTGGGTCTCATTGGCAAAGTTGCCCTTGTGTCTAACTTCGACTCTCAGTTGCAACTTGGACATGTCAGAAGTTCCTAGAACCTCAACGTCAATGTCAGGAAGGAAGTCGCGGCTGTTGTCCTTGTCGGTTACAAAAGTGAGAAGCTCCATCTTGAGAAGTTGAACGTCCTCGAAGGTTGTGTCAAAACTAACATCGAGGGTAAGCTGCTCCTTCATAAGCTTGCTGCGGCTGACGTTCTCGATCCAGAGACCGTTGAGTACGTTGTTCGGGATCTGGACGCTTTTGCCAACTTCCAGACCGGTAATGCGACGGAAAACAGTGAACAACAAGGAAATGTGGTCAACAGCGAAATGGTCAGCACCAATATCGACGCGATCTCCGATATCGTAAGGGTGCTTGACGAACAAGAAAATGCAGGATCCCAAGACTTCCTGGGCAGTGACGGAAAAGACGAATGACAATGAGAGGAGAGTTGTGCCAGCGGTAGCCAAGGTGGTGGTGAAGCTTTTGTTGAGGAAGGCAATGAATGTGAAGATGACGATGATGGAGACGATAACCATGAGCAGTCTGTCCAGGACGTTGATAGCTTGGTCGACATCGTGCATGCTAGTTCCAAGAGCCTTGCGGTCACGGCTGATCTGGATGACCTGCTGAACAGCCTCGTCAAGGGAGATGTCACCGTTGCAATCCTTATCGAGCATGATGAAGGCTTCCTCGGCCTCTTCCTTACGGCTTTCACCAAGAACCTCGACAATGTCTTCCTCGTACAGGGCTTCCTTGCCCTCGATGACGAAGGACATCCACAAGCGTCTGGCTAAGGCTTCAGCGGTTCGTCTCTTCTCGAGAGCACCGGTAACGATGGAATGAGCACTGTTAGGATTGAAGACCTGTTTTCCGGTGATTTCCTGAGCGACGTTTCCGAAAGCCGAAGTGACCTGGTCACCGAATCTTCCGACGTTCTGCAACAATCGGAACGGGGTGACGGAACCGGAGCGCTTGTGATTTCCAATCTTCTTTCCGCCCAACATGGCGAGGTTGAGCTGATCGGCAATCATGTAGTCTTCTTCGGCAAAGACCTCGTAGGCAGGGAAGAGAGTTCTGGAAGCGTCGTAGAGCAGACCCAACAGGAAGACATTGCGCTTGGAATCCTTGATGCGGGCGTTGAATTGTTTACGGTGGTAGTTGATGCTGATGAGCTGGATGAAGAACTTTTCAATCAGCAGCACGAGGGTGCCGACCAAGGCGGCGGCCAAGATTTGGTTCATGATCTTCATCCAGTGTGTCATAGCTTGGTTGTGGGCGCGACCGTAGGGATTGCGTGTCATGANGCTGTACCAAAGTCAGTTCTGTAGAGAGCAGCTGCTGTCTGCAAGACGACTTACAGGAATGAAAGTGGCCAGAGAGGTGATGGCCCAGCCTGCCAGAGAGAGAGGAATCTCGAGGGCCTTGATGATGAGAGCATACTTGCGAGTGCCCGAGCTGACGACACCAGCGACGAATTGGAAGATGAAGGGAAGGAAGTGAGAAACGATTTTGGATCCCCACAAACTCAACCACANCTAATCTCAAGTCAGTCGGCGGACAAAGAGAGAGAAGCATAGGTACTCACCAACTTCTACCCAAGTAAAGAACCAGACGATCGGCACGCCGCCAATCTTTGCATCGGGAGCGGCTGTAGCTCCGACGATGATGGGGACAGCGATACAGAGGGCCAATGGTGAGACGTAGACAAAGTAGCGAGTGATGATGCTGAAGTTGAGGATCTTGTTGTAGATCCTGCCCATGCGATTGAGAGTATCTTCTTCTCCGTCGTAGCCGACCGAAGACTCGCCCATGTTGTTCCTCCTGGCTCGTCGTCCAGCGATGTTGCGAGGTGGTTGGCGTGAAGTGGTCTTTGTGAGGCCAAGGCCGTTGCCGGCTAGAGGAGTGTTGCTATCATTCCTCTGAGCAGTCGAGTGGACTTCCTGCAAGGGAATGTCGATGGTTGCATCACCGCTGTGCATGTTGTCGTTTGGGATTGGCGAGAAGCCCTGGCGTGACAGACGGTGAGAGTTGGTACGCCTCAAGGACATGTCAATAGCGAGCAAGCCTTGGGCGACGAGCGAGGCGTGTTGCTTTTATGTCGACCAACGGCTTTGGTACCAAGCTCTTGCTGAAACAATGACTGCCGACCAGGAACGAGTCGTGTGCCTTGGCGATCTGTCGGATCTACGTGTGTGAAATGAATGTGGGACCTGGGGCTGCGAGGCGGATACCAGAGAGATTCGACGTAGAACGGTTGCGACAGAGAAGAATGCAGTGAGCTGAAAAGAGTCGCGGGGCTCGAGGATAGTGATACGTGGCAAGACACGAAACAATGCCGAGCGATGGAAAGACAGCGCTGTGATTCAACAAGTGCAAGAAAGAAAAAAGGTGACGACTGCACGCGTACCAAACCGTCGGCCAACGAGACCCTGGTTTTTGCGAGACGCTCGGTCCACGCAGATGCAGGAACACTACGCGTTTCACAACCCATCCGCCTCTGTTTTCTTCAAGCCACAACTGTTCTGTTATGCCGATCTTGATACATGCTTAGGTACTTCGAGAGCCGCTCTCCGTTTGGACATATCAAATCAGTCCCCTCTCACGACTTTCTGCTCCTGCTGCTCAACTTCGGTGCCTTCTTCCCCGGTATTCTCGCCGTTTTCGAGTCCAAAAATATCTTCGTGTAGCTCAAACTGTGACATCATGTTTGCTCACCCCGCATCGGACTGCCCTTCTTGTCTCGAGAATCCTCCGCCCGATCCGAAAAGCAGCCATCCTCATGGGCCATTGCGTGTCCTGAGGTGACCCAAATCCCATTATTACGCTATGCCGATCAGTCAATCATCCATATTGCTCTGACAGACAACAACTCATCCTTATGTCCACCTCGTGTCAATACTGGCCAAATCTCCAAGCGATCCACATGGTCTTGGGAGCCACTGCACGTCTTCAGGGTACCACTGATTGCATGAGACTATGCACGTTACACTTGTGCTCAGGTAGAGGTACAGATGTATTGAAGACAGCGAGAACTTCCCAGAGATTACCCTCCCCATGTGCTAAAGATTGTCGCAGTGTAGCTATAAAAATGCACAATGTTCTCGCAAAGAATGTGGTCTGTACGGAGAGAACCTCAATGCGATTGTGACAGTCTTTGGCACATGGGGAGAATAGATGTCCAATCTTGTACTTGTGATTGCACATCCTGATCACGACGACCATCGATTCACAATCAGTACAGTCTTGTAGCAGACGCGAGATAATCTGTTTCTCAAGACGGCAACAACGAGTTCCGCCACGTAGTCCATCCTCAATGCTCTCAATGAAGGAAGTCACGACCAGCTCCAGTCAAAGTACAAAGCTCTGCATTTGACAACCTCCAACACCGTCACCCTCTACAACATCAACCTTGATCGCCATCGCTATCCGTATCCTTCGCCTAGAAACCCTATTTCGATGGCTCGTAACCGTGGCTCGATTCAGAAACGCTGCAACTTTGAAGACACTCGACGTCAAACTCGCAGAGAGAGATTGTACCAGCTTTGTGCAGATGCCGCAGATGCTTCTGTATCCAACAACAACTGGATGATAGATCCTCCTCTAACGATTGCTTCCAATTGGCATCCAAANCAGTATGCCAAGTCTGCCATGCTCAAGATAATATACTCACATCGCTAAGGAAACCAATTCGAGCCTCTGATCCATCTTCAGGACCGCAAGTCTCGGTGGTTCGCCAACCGCCATTCCCGACGTAGGAGAGCAAGGGAGAACAAGAGAAAGGAACTCGTTGATTTTCAACTTGCTACTCTGGATGCTGACCTGTCGACTCGCTTTGATCATGTCATCAGGACGAACAAGCACAACCCCCATGTTCAGCTACCTGACCTCAACCTCTCGCCTATGCAAATGGTCAAGTGGCAACCTCCAGTAATCCCTCCGGCACCTACACCTGCCCCTCACCTCCAACATATTTCCGGCACAGAGTGGTCAAACCTTGAGATCAAGTTCTCTCCGCTAGCCAGGAAGACTTCACTTGCTCCATGTCCATCCCCACCGATGTCTTTCATGACTGCGGCCGAGCTCGGTCTTCTCACGCCATTGACGCCCAAAGTGTGCCTACCAGAACTTATCGACGGTCCACAAGTTGCTGCCACTGCTTCAGCCGACACCTCGATTGTAAAGCCGTGGATGTGTGTTCCTCCTGCCACTGCATGCACCAGCCAGGATCTAATTCCTACTTCGGACGCACCAGAAGATTTTGATATCAGCTCATCATTTGTGGCTGCAAAGTTGCCACGTTTCCGTGATATTGATTTATTCGATCTGACCATCCCCTCGGCTCTTGACGTCAAGCCAAGCACATACGATTACTCCGAGTCGCCATCACAACCAACAAGATGTACCCTGTATCACGGAAAAGATAGCCACGATACTGAGCAACCCTCCTTGGATACGTCCCAGTCTCTACGTAGGTGTGAAGAAGGCAGAATGCCAGGTCTTGTATACAGCGAATCGGTCGACTCTCAAGCCTTCACTCTTGACGTCGATTGGTCTGACGGACCCATCGTGGACTGGCCTTACGATGTTGTTGGTGACTGGAATGATGCACCCTTCCTTGACTGGAACGGTGAGCCTTTAGCAGATTGGGTTGACGAACCTATCGACGATTGTTTCGATGATCTTGTCATGATCGAATCTGACGACGAAACCTTTGACTGGACCTTCTTGTCTGAAAACAGAGCTCTGAGTGATTGCGTCTCGACTCTTAGCTCTGCGTTCTCGAGCATGGAAGTCCTTCCGCTGCCATTGAGAGACTCTTTCATGGAAGATGGTTCTGCATACGAAGAACCTGTTCGCGAGCTGGCTGAGCATGGAACGAACATGCGCAGAGTATCAAAATCAGCCTGGGAGTCCGAGTTCGACTTTTGTATTCCTGCTTTCTTCTAGGAGGGAGAGAAGAGTTTGAGTGAAGAGGTGTTTGAGAGTGCTGTTTTCGCCATGTACCCGTCGTCTCGTGACGGTGACAAGGGCTGGAACTGGTAATCTTGGATGTGTATGGCTGCGAAGTGCCAGTTGTATCGTTGACAGTCTGTCATCTCTCTAAGGATGAGTGTACCAAATTGAACTTACCCTACGGCTCCCTCTTGTACGTTGATCTCCTGACCGCTTGCAAGTCTTATGTGAACTATTCTGTTTCTCGCTTACTCGTCTTCTAGTAGTGAAGTGCGCTTGGTCTGTTCAATAGACATGTGAAACCTGACATTATGATTATTTAGGAACTGACCAGACAAATAGTAAGAGGTATCTTCTAACAGAAAGAAAAAGCAAAAAGTCATGAAAGGCATGATATGTCATCAGATAGCCACCTCCTTGGCAGCAGCAGCATCAGCAACAGCGTCTTCCGATGCTTGCTGCTCATACAAGGGCGTCACACCCACAACCTCCAACTCGGGTCCCTGACCACCATACTGCTTACTCACATCACTCCCCAAATACTTATGCAACTCCTCGCCATAACTCATCCACTGCATCTTTGCAACCGTCTCTTTGGCCATAAAAACCTGCATGGCGCCAAACATCCACTGCATAACCAACGGCACATTGACAAAGTATTTTTTGGACAGGGTTTCCGGGTAGTAGGCGCTGAACAGCTGGATGGCTTTTTGGGAAGCGGCTTTTACTTCGGCAGGTTGGCGGAGGAAGGAGACGCGTAGGTAGTCGTGGATTTGGAGGGCTTGGTGGGGGTCGGGACCTTTGTTGTAGTCGGGGATGGGAGTGGAAGCGGTGGATAAGGAGAGGGATTGGAGGGTTAGTTCCATGAGAGCGACGCGCCAACGGATGAANNTCTGAAGACAAGCAGGAATGTTAGTAAAATGACCTTGGGCCTTTTGTGCTAATGCTTACTCGTCTAGATCGCCAAAGGTCTTCTTTGTGTCCTTGACAGCGCCGTAGATATTGAAAGTAGCAATATCCACTTCGTTGGGACTCTCAGGCACATTCTTGAGTTTTGTAACGTAGCCCAAGCCCTCAAACTTGGTCTTGGGAAAGACTTGATTCTTGACCTCTAGCGGCTTGAATTCTTTCCTCCATTTAAGTGCTCCTAGTAGCTGTTCGCAGGCTTTGTTGACCTGGCCTTGGTTTGCGCGAAGGAATTTTTGGAGGATGAGGAGGGTGCTGAAGGGGGCGGCTTTTCCNNCCTGTTTTGTTGTTATGGTCAGCCCTCTGTTGTTCTGTTCAAGTGTAGACTCTAGGGAGATGACATACTCTTCAACAGGTGCAGATAGCTCTACCCCATACATCTCTGCATACCCAGCTTCTTTGATGAGCTCGCGCAGTTTTGCGGAAAACTTAAGCAAGCCATGGCCCTCTGGTAGGTTGTCCCAGTCGGAGCCGACCTTGCTGGTTGCGGCGTTTATCTTGACATTGAGGTCGGCTGCAGTGACTCCTGTCGATGAATGAGCTTACTATTTGGTTCCATGTTTTGAAGAAGAGTAAACACACTGTTGGCGTCTGAGGTTAGAATGCTCATGGTTGTTTATTCGGGTGGGTTTGAGTTCGTGTGGCTCCACGGGGTTAGCTGAACACGATTGATAAGATGTGACGCGTGAGGCGGCTCGGGAAGGGTAGTAGCTGTTAGCCCCACACACAACGATCTGCTGAATATATTGCATATTGATAATTTGTGCTTCAACAATATCCGATATGGTCTAGTGGCTAGGATTTCTCGCTCTCAAACCGTTCGCAAGAACAACTAGGTCCGAGGAGGCCGGGGTTCAATTCCCCGTGTCGGAATCATGTTTTGCTCTGTTCTTTTTGCTCCCCTAAAACCCTGTGAACCATTGCTGAATCATATAGAAACTTCCAAAAGCGACGGGGAACCTGAGAATTCTTTCCTCCCCGTGTGCTAAAGGATGTAACTTCCTCTGTACTCCGACTACAGCCGAGAGCAAAGAAGCAGACTATAAAAAGACACAATTATGTTCGAAGTAGAGGCGTGTCCACAGAGAGCCGACAAATTGCTGCTTCTCAGTGGAACTGTCTTATTTCTTGTTGCTATTGTGCATTTTTATATCTACACGCGTTACATACTTCTGCACATGGGGAGGTTTTGTACCAATGATACTGACACCTGAAAAGTTGCACATGTTTTTCAAAAATGGGTTTGATATCGACAAGCTCCAAGTACAATTTATCTAGGAGTGATCCTTCTGATAAGGACAACGCGTACAGTTTTTCGCGCGGCGCTGGTATTAGATGGAAAAAGGAAACATAGAAAAACACCATCCCAAAACGGAAACAAGATATGCACAGAAATTTCGTCAACTCATCGAAGAGGCGGTACAATACCACCTAGAAAGCGGTTGCAGCATCTTAAACCTGAGGACCGGCCTTGATGACTTCCTCGGTGGCCTCGCTGGAGTACTTCTTGAAGTTGTCGTTGAAGAGCTGACCAAGCTTCTTGACCTCGCCCTGGAAGTCGGCGGTACCGGTCCAGCACTTGGCGGGGTTGAGGACCTCGTCGGGGACGTTGCTGCAGGTCTTGGGGACTTGCAGGTTGAAGGTCTGGTAGGTCTCGTACTCGTTGTTGGCGAGCTCGCCGCTGTGGATGGCGTCGAGGATGGCACGGGTGTACTTGAGAGGACAACGCTTGCCGCCAGTGGTGGCACCGGCACCGACCCAACCGGTGTTGAGGAGCCAGGCGTTGGCCTTGTGCTCCTTGATCTTCTCGGCGAGCATGGTGGCATAGCGCATGGGGTGGAGAGCCAAGAAGGGCTGAGCGAAACAAGAAGAGAAGGTGGCCTGGGGCTCGGTGACACCCTGCTCGGTACCGGCCATCTTGGAGGTGTAACCAGAGATGAAGTGGAACATGGTCTGCTCGGGGGTGAGCTTGGAGATAGGAGGGAGGACACCACGAGCATCGCAGGTGAGAAGGATGATGTTGGTGGGGTGGCCTGACGAGATGCAGGGAATCTTAGTGTTCTCAATGTACTCGATGGGGTAGGCGCAACGAGTGTTCTCGGTCAGGGTTGAGTCCTCGTAGTCGACGATTCTGGTGGTGGGGTCGAAGACGACGTTCTCGAGGATGGAACCGAACTTGATGGCGTTGAAAATGTCGGGCTCCTTCTCAGCAGAGAGACCAATGGTCTTGGCGTAGCAACCACCCTCAATGTTGAAGACACCCTTGTCGGACCAGCAGTGCTCGTCGTCACCGATCAAGGCACGCTTGGGGTCGGCAGAGAGAGTGGTCTTACCAGTACCGGAGAGACCGAAGAAGACAGTGACATCGCCATTCTTACCCTCGTTGGCAGACGAGTGAAGAGTGAGGACGTTGTGCTTGACGGGCATCTCGTAGAAGAGGACGGTGAAGACACCCTTCTTCATCTCACCAGCGTACTCGGTACCGAGGATGACCATCTCCTTCTCGGCGAAGTTGATGGCAACCGAAGTGGCCGAGGTCATACCAGTGGTGAATCTGTTGGCAGGGAAGGCACCGGCGTTGTAGATGACATAGTCGGGGTGGAAGTTCTTAAGCTCCTCTCTCGAAGGGCGGATAAGCATGTTGCGCATGAACAGAGCGTGGTATGCACGAGCACAGACGACTCTGACTCTGATTCTGTAGCGCTCATCCCAGCCGGCGTAACCATCGATAACGTAGATGCGGTTTCTGGTGTTGAGGTAGTCGACGGCACGTTCTCTGTTGATCTTCCAGACCTGTAATGCGAAATGTGGTCAGCAAAAATTCATCAATTGACTTTCATGTGATAAAGATGATGATGATGGAGGGGGATCGGCAGAGCCGCGGACAAGCGCAGACAGCCGATCGGGATGCCGAAGGGTCGCTGCAAACTCCCGATCCGCCGCGCTTGCCCGAGAGTTAAAGTGGGGTAGAGGGTTGACGTAGTGACCCGCGCCCCGCAGCGGAGCTTCGCCGTGCGAAAACAATTCGGGCCACCACCCAGCAACCATACGTTGGTCATCGACACGATCGGGGATGTGAAAAGTACTGACCTCAGGGCTCATCTCCTTGTTGACGGGACCCCACCAGATCTCTTTCTCTGAGCCGGCCTCGCGGACGATACGCTTGTCCGAAGGCGAACGGCCAGTCTTTGCTCCTGAGTAGGCCGAAAGAGCTCCAGATGATGTGATGGCTGAACCGGTTTCGTAGACGAGAGCATCCTCGTAGAGGGCTGCGACAGAGGGGTTGGCAACCTGCGGAAAGGATCAGTCATTGTGAGGGAAGAAGCTGTTTCTCGATCTAACTCACGATAGCGACACGGTCGTAGTCAATGTGTGCCTTCTCGTGAAGCTCCTCCTCGATCTCGGTGTGCTCACGCTGGGGCCTGGGTACATTGTTAGTCTTGCATTGGTCATGAAGAAGCTAGACAATGTCATGCTAGACTCGACAAGATACATACTGGACACCTCCAGGGTGAAGGGCAGTCTTGTTGACGCTGTTGGAAACCATTTTGAGTGAGGATGAGTGGAAGTTTCCCTTTTGCTGCTTGGCAATCTGTTGCCTAATGTAGTCTTGCTGAAGGGGAGGAGCAGGAGAGTATGGTCGGACAGATTCAGGAGCGGACGATGAAGACATATTTGTACTCGACCTGGATTGTTCCTCGGATCAGTCCTGCGTTACTTCTTCGTGGAGCTCGAGCAGTTTCCCCACAGCCCTTGGTCCTCCGATGGATCTGCCGAGGCCTTTTGGCGCTAGATACGTCCTAAGGAGAGCATAGACTCACGGAACAGTAAGGATAGCGTCCAATGAAACGTTTGTAATTGGATGGTACCGTTTGGCGGAGGAAAAGTGCGATAATGAGCCGGGAGGTCTTGGGCTGTGACGGAGAAACGCGGATGAGGCGGGCTTGTTTGATATCTTTGTTTCGGAGGAATTTAGCAGGAGTCTATCAGTTGCGCTGTTTTCTTGATGCGAGGAAGGAGTCAATGCTTGGAAGTTGCGTATTAACAGCCGCAACAAAGATTCTCCTCAGCGGTCCAAGGGAAGAAGCCGGGTGCCTTAAGTAATAGCTAATAGCTGCTGCGTCATGAAACTGGCTAGCCTCGCAACGCAATCCAATTGCAATTTGCGGGGTTGCAGCAGGTGGATGTGTTTTTGAGTTGTAGCTCGACGACAGAAGGAAAAGGAATGATGGTCATGTTCCTCTCACCTTCATAATAACTCTTCACGCTTGCAGGCTGATGTCCTCATTGGATAGACACCACACCACCATTTCTTTTCACACGAACCACGATGATCTGTTGCTGCAGGTATCAAAGATGACGAACGGGTTTGCCGAGTTTCCCCAAATTTTTTCCCCATGATGTTTGGGCAGTCGTGGGGTGGTGCTGCCCTTGCGCCTTCCGCGACTTGTGCTCCGCCCCTCGTGATGCGCCTTCTTCCAGACTATTAATCCCGCTTCTTAGTTTCAACCGCTTGAAAAGCTTCGTGCAAATAGCCATTAGCGGCAGCCAGACGCGTATGGTGCCGTTACTATTCAGCTTTCTGACGTTTCCATGGACCTTCGTGATGAAATACCAGAAACCTATCGGGAGTTCACGGAGCCAGAGTTCGATCTCGATGGGTTCTGGACCCACGATATGAATGTACATGGCTGTCGCTGGCGCTGGCCTCAGCTTCTGTTTCCATCGTCTCTTTCAACGTGGCCACAGCCTGCTGTCTCATACAGTTGCACGATCTTTGTCAACAGGCTCTTGAAGTATTATCTTTAGTGGCCTAGGTTCTTCAACATCCCTGCTTGCTCTGTGCTGATGTATTGACCGTCTGCTGTCTCCTTGTTAAGCTCATTAGACTTGAACTTCTCCTCTGGAACCTTGGAGCACGGCTGCGCAAATAACCTTGGGCATTTCATACATGTCTGTGGAGGCTTTTCTCAATTCTGAAGTTCTGGCAGGCATAATGATTGAAAATGACAGGATGATCCACAGCGACTATCCATAGTCCTGGAAAAGAGCTGGGTGATGTATATCACTATGTCTCTCGAAGTATGTCGACTCCCCTTTCTCCTATCCTGGTTTTCCTGCTCCCTCTACTTTGTATCATTCTTGGACGACATGAGGCCATAGTTCACCTGTTCAGGGATGGCATGACCGCTTTCTGCGATGAGCGGTCCCAGGCAGAACGACGAATTCTCCAGCTTCGCAAGCAGATCATGGTCCAAGAAGTTGCACGCGAAGCAAAGAAGAAAGGAGACAAAAATTTGCAGGCTAAACAAGCAAATGTTCGAATGAGAAAAGGAGTGCAAACTGACAACGAAACCAGCGAAGCTAAACAGCAACCAGTTGTCAACATGAGCAGAAAGATGGCAAGCCGAACTACAAGCAGAAATCAGACCTTAATAACACTTACATAAGGCCCACAACGTCACAGAAACCATTGCACACGTCTTCGGCGATCTTCTTGTCCTTTTAGCTTTCTGACGAGCATCACCGCGCGGCGTGCTCTAGGTGCTGGTGGTCGGTCAAGGGTGTACCAGGTCAGACACAGCTGGCGAGACCATTCGAGGGTCTGGATCTGGCAAGACGTGCAAAGCAGACCAGCTGTCATGGCCGCATTCGCAGACCTCGGCGTCGAGAGCTTGCTCAATCAACTTGACGCCGACATCAAGGCCAATCGAGGTCCTCCACCCGCTCCACCAGATGTCATGAACAAGGAAGATCTGGAAGACGACGATGACTCTCAGGACAAGCAGCAGCTGCCCAAATCTGGAGACAAACTTGCTCGCCGGAGTCGTAAACGAACTACTGGCGTTGATTCGCTCAGGCCGCTCCTTCTCCTGCTCGCTCTTTTCAAGGCTGATCTCAAAGACGTCCTCAAATCTTTGATGGTCTCGCTTTGCCTCTAGATGGTCTTCAAAAACGAAAAGAATCCAAGTGATGGTAAATCGGTAATTACCTCCTTCAAACACTGCTCGCTTTGAGCAGATTTTTGACGTCCTTCAATACACACTAACATAAACACTTCAGCGCTGGAGCACCCGGCTTCGGTAAGTTTCACCATACTCCGACTATAGCTAAGAGCAAAATGTAGACCATAAAAGACACAATCTTTTCACGAAGTAGAGACACATCCACAGAGAGTCGACGACTTGTTGTCTCTCCGTGAATACCACCTTGGTTCTTGTCACTACTGTGCATCCTGATAAACATACGAGTCACGTACCTTGTATGGGGAGAGGGACTCGCCGCCATGCTTCACTTCACTTGAGCGCATTCACTTTCATTGGCATTTTCGTACCCTTCCTGCAATTCCGACCCCTATCTACACCATATGACCTCCCCCTCTGATTCGCCTTTCCTCTCTCTCTCTCTTTCTCTCATAACAGAAACGCTTATCAGGCTGAGCCAACACTATTGATCTTCAATCAAGTACACCATTATGACACCCTCCTCTGATAATTCGTCAAGCGCTTCCACAGGTCAAAAGAAATTCGTCGAGTTGAAGGTCTACGTTCCCTGCGTTGAAGTTAATGGTCGCCGTTTGATCAGTTACAATGGAGAGATCTTCGGTCGTGCTCAGCATGCCATCGGCTATCCACTCGACGTTCAGCAGGAAGATGAACAGTTGTATCAGGATGACTTTTCTGGCTTCCCCAAATCCTATCGCCTGAATGGTAACAACGACACCGTTCCTCAAGATGACATTCAGTCTGAACAAACCTCAGCAGCCACTCTTCCAGATGGTAACAACGACACAAAAATTTTCAGCAGACGCTATCAGCACACCGCCGAGTTCATGCCTTCTTTCAAGCCCACTACACCCAAGAAGAGACCCATCGATCCATACTCCGTACAACAGCTATCACAACAGTCACCCACCACAACCGAGCCCATGAGGCCTAAGAAAAGACGTATCAGCTCTCCAGACACCGAACAGAAGAAAGCAAACCACCCATCTCGCCCGAGAGACTTCGAGTTCTGATATCGAAGCAATGGATTAAAGCTCCGTTGCCTCAGTCAAGAAACTTGGGTACAGTCCATCCAAAGAGACCTCAAAATGTCGATACTTTGCTTTGGCAGAGAGGAATTTCAACATCAGGACGATCTTCGTCCTCCCGTACCCATCACCGAACATGTTCAATGAACCCACGAGAACGACAGACCATCCTTGGGTAAAGACCTTACCAGTGCGAGGTTACCAATTCAATGCACGGCAAGATTGGGTACATACTAATCATCGACCACAGCCTTCAAAAAATCCGACATTGAAAAAAATCTTCATGAATCACCAGACACATTCAAAGGCAGTGTCAAACTTTTTTTTGGTCCTCAATGGGCGCATGGTTGTTCCAAGATGATTCTACATTTCTTGAGCATAAGAAGCCTTTTGTATTCAGCAGATCGAGACACAGTTTCTCGCCATCTTTCCAGGGCATATATCAAAAAAACTATCATTTATCCAGATGTTTTCTGCGTTGGCTCATGTCTACGAGGTTAAAAAGAAAAAACTAATTGCATTGTTGTTCGAATACACCATATCTTTCTTGACCAGTGGGCATTCGAAGAGAGTATAAGAAACACTGGACACATAATTGTTCTGGATATGATTCTGTATCTCACAGTAGAAGCATCCAATAGTGGTGCAGCAGAATTTTTTGACAGTAGTGGAGATGGGAGGTGCTCTACCTTTCCAGCATTAGGCCTGTAATCGTCGAACGAGCTCTGTGATGACGCTCTCTCAAAGAAGGTATTGTGCCTTTTGACAGCTATACCATAACTGTTGTGGGCCGTTTAGAAGCTATTACAGATGTAATGGTTGTGTGCCTGGTTGAAATGTTTCCAGTATCGAAGGGTGCTTCTTGATATGCTGCTGAACTACAGTATACATTTGAACTCATCGAAACAATGATTTAGGCTCTCTTGAATAGCAATGACAGGCTCTCTGTGGTCAATTTACCTTGGCGAAAGCCATCCTGCATTTCTACAGGTGATTTTCTACAATCGAGCCGAGATCAGACTAGTGCAAGCATGATGCGATATTTCAGCTATAGAAATGCACAATTGTTTTCAATCAGGAATCTAGTCCACAGTGAGTCAATGAGCGTCATTGTTAGTTGATGATCTACTGCACACGGCTGCAAGAAGCTGAGAAGAGACTCTGCGTAGTGCATACAGAGGGCAGTCAATGGCTCGCAGCACATTCGCAACAAGCATTTCAACTTGGCCCCAAGTAAACGCCTGTAACAATGCATGATGGAATGTTGACTGGCTGCGTATCTAGGGAAACTAGCTAGGCCAATGACATCCTCTCAAGGGGGTCTAAGGAAACATGAGCCATTTACCACCTCCATGTGTGCGAAAGTATGTAACGCGTAGCCCTTCGATGGACCATTGGTTGCGGTTGGCAGCTGGCTGAAGTTCTTCGATTGATCATTGGTTGCAGTCGATGGCTGGGGGATGTCTGTACATGGATAGGTTGTGGCACGCGAAGGTTGACGGAAGTCCTTCGGGGCATCGGGTGTGTTGTCGCCTTTGTTGCGAGGCTTGAAGAAGTAAGTGATTCTAGAATTGGTGCTCATTGTAAATGTGCTAATCTGATTTATGATTTGATGTGTTACGATGCGATGCACATTGATGTAGACAAAGGTTGTTGTTCGGAATGAGGAGATGAGGGGATGAGAAAGCAAGAAGCCTGATGAAGAGATAGCTGACGAAGTCTGGCAAGACGAGATGCGTTGGACCTTGCACAAGATTGGCAGGTGCACTCCACTAGTCCTCTGAAAAACTGCGGTCTGGCCTTATTGAAGATAATCTGCTCGTATTCAGTCGTTATATTCTTAGCAGTCTAACCATGATACATTATTTATCCATGATTTCGCTAGCAAACTTGCTCCTCGCTCTGATCTTCGGACCCCATATGAGGAGAGCAAAGGGAACTAACGTCAACACCGCACCAATGCCACCCAAAAGACTACCTGCGCCTTGGAATGTCATGGCCCTGAACATCTGAGGCACGANAAGAGGAAACGCACCACCAAGCATATTCCTGCNAAAGCTCTGTGCTGCTAGCGCGGAGCTGGCGTAGCGATGATACGTGTCGGCCAGGTAATTGAACACAGCCAGGTAGATGCTGAAGATACCCATTGTAGCACAGCCGATGGCTAGGGTGGGCACGATCCAATGCACGTTACTACCCGATGTCCACGCAAGCCAGAAAAGACCAACGGGTAGTAGGATACTCTGTGCACAAGCAAAATACAAGCGTCCCTCTGGCGAGTCGCCGAGGTGAGGGAAATGGCGCTTCGTCCACTTATCGCCGAGTATGGAGATGATGGTTGAGGTTATGGATGCTATGCTGATGGCGGCAAACACGCATCCGGTCTGATAGAGATTGAAGTTGTGTGATGCTGAGAAGATCACGGGGATCGCTCCAAAGGTCAAGTAGAGGATAGCNNCCTAGAATAAAGTTAGAATCAGTATGATATCAATGCTTTAATGTAAGAACACTACGACTATGCTAGTTTGCACTCAACCCTACAATGTGCCGTCGCCATAGTATTTCTTTGAGACACACATGCTGGAGACTGCTTGTGTGGGCTGAGATGAGAACGCTAGCATCAGTCGTGGTGATCGTACCTTCAGTTCGACTTACCATGAGAACGCAACCCATAGACTGAAGAAGAAGACGACAGGTTCCGTGAATAACAGATGGAAGGGACGCACGAGCGAGATCCTGATCATCTGCAAGAGACTGGCACGTTCCTCGTCACTTTTCACTTTCCAGCGTATCCTCTGGCTCGAAGTTTTGCCCGATATTGAATCGCTAGGCATTTCAACACCTGTAAATCCTGCTGCCTCGAGTTTGTCGTAGTACTTGTTGAGACACTTGGCTTTCTTCGATAACAGTACCGAGCCCCGTGACTCTTTGAAGAACAAGATTACTAAGATCTGGACGATTCCACAAGTTATGACTTGCAGATAGAAGATCCATCTCCACGTTGTGTAGTAAGCTATGAAGGACGATACCAGAGGTCCAAGTCCCGTGCCAAAGAGGGCAGCGCCGGAGAAAAGAGCCATGGCAGTGTTTCGGTCCTCGGCATGATAGATATCACTAATCACTCCACCTACCATGGTGCTGAAGGTACTGGACGCACATCCTTTGAGGAAGCGCGCAGCGAGCATGCCACCGTAAGATCGAGTGACGGCACAGCAGACCTGGAAGATAACATAGAGAATGCCAGTAACCACGAACATAGGCCGACGTCCATTGATTTCTGAGAAAGGGGCCAGGATCATAGGCGCGATGGCAAAACCGGTTGTGAAGATGGTCACTCCCACGGTGATGGCAACGCGAGACACACCCCACTCCTTCTCCATCTGTGCATCGCCAGCTGTATAGCTACCAGCTGCATACGCCGTCACTGTTGTTGCAAGGCATGACAGCCAAGTTATTGCGCGCTTCCTGCTCTTGGACCATTTGAAGGGTGATTCGTATTTCTTGAGATCGGGCTCTGCTGGCGGGGTCGAATGGAGTTCGTAGGGAGCTGAAAGGTAAGAAGGACGAGGAATTGGCGTGTCGAGTTCTAGGTAATGGTAGACAACATCGTCTGAGCTGGACAAAGTGTGTGCTGGCGATATATTCGTGGAGCCATCTGGGGATTNTTTGTCATCGTCATTTCGAGCTTTCTCATCGACGTAATCCGGAGGAGGCTGGGATAGGTGGATCTCAGGATTTGCACTCATTGTTGCGAGAGCAGCTGGATGTCATACTGCTCTGCAGTCATGCGAAGACAGAATACAATACTTGAAATAAGAAGGACAGGCAAACAGAGCCGCAAAAGTATTGAATGTAAGGCAAAGTACTCCACCTCGTAGTGGTTACCGAATGCCGAAACAGTCACGGATGCGCGCATATTGCGGCAAGAACGGCCGATCTCGCATCAAGGTTTACATCAGTCGAGTACATCTTCCCTTTGGTCCTTTGCTTTGGAATCATGATTGACAATTGATTGCAGTGGTCGTGATTGCAATCAGAGTACACTATCCGGGATGGAACACGCATGCCAAGAGGACCGACTTTATCAAGGTGGATTTCGAGCAAGTCTCGGTATTCGAACCCGTAGCGGTATGGACGATTCTCACAGCATTGAAGCCGGTCGAAGAAGTACTGCTGGTTGATCCTCGTTGAATGGCTGTTTCACGTCTTGAGTCGTCTAGCCACGCAAAGAGCGTACAATGCGACGACGCTCATGAATGTCCCAGCAAGAGTTGACATGTCTGTTCACTTACAAAATCACAAACCTCGAAGTTCTTTCGAGCCTCCGTACTCAGGCAGCTTGAGAACTGTGGGGTCCGATACCTGATTGTCTTGGGTCGGGTTATACGCCATTTCTGACCAATCAGGATGCGTCAGCTTTCAGCCACTCCGCAAACAATAGTTAGGAAGCTTCTCCGAGTTCGCTCCAACTCATCGCTGAGCTGTATGTGGGGTTCTTGAAGACGAAAGGACTGTGGACTTGTCTAAGATAGTTGGAGAGGGAGAGGATTGAATCAATGTAAGGATAAGATGTCTGTCGTTGCAAAGACGTGTCCGGGTTCCTTGCTGTCTGCAGGTTAGGTCATCGAAGGAGAAAGAACTTGAACGAGACGACGATGGCAAGAAGAGTGGGAGTCTTTATGCACAGACAGATGATGCGAGTTCTAGTGGCTGTGGCGTGAGGGTCCCGCCATTAATAACCCTCGACTTGCACCCCACTTCGAGCTCGCCTTCTGTTGTCCTTTGCAAGCTACCCTTTCCTCTCCTCAATCCCTTTCATACACACATACAATCACAGACACCATGTCCCAAAGACCTGAGCCTCTCCGCCTCGGCAGCACTGCCCCCAACTTCGATGCCGACACCACCAACGGGTAATCAACACTGCCGCATACTTTTTGTTACGGACGCTGACCTAGATCAATTCAGTCCCATCAACTTCCACGAGTTCATCGGAGACAAGTGGGTGATCCTGTTCTCTCACCCCGAGGACTACACCCCTGTCTGCACCACCGAGCTCGGTGCCTTCGCTAAGCTCGAGCCCGAGTTCACCAAGCGTGGCGTTAAGCTCATTGGTCTTTCGGCCAACACTGTCGACAGCCACGGTGGCTGGATCAAGGACATTGACGAGATCTCCGGCTCCAGCCTCAAGTTCCCCATCATTGGCGACAAGGAGCGCAAGGTTGCTCTCGCCTACGACATGCTTGACCACCAGGACGCCACCAACGTCGACTCCAAAGGCATTGCTTTCACCATCCGCTCTGTCTTCATCATCGACCCTAAGAAGACTATCCGCACCATTCTCTCATACCCTGCTTCCACTGGTCGCAACACTGCTGAGGTCCTCCGCATTGTCGACTCGCTCCAGACTGGCGACAAGCACAGAGTCACCACTCCTATCAACTGGGTTCCTGGTTAGTATTCGTGCCATTGGCTTCGATAACTTCGTCCTAACTTTTTAAACAGGTGAGGACGTCATTGTTCACCCTCGATCAAGACCGAGGAGGCCCAGAAGATCTTCCCCAAGATCAACATCGTCAAGCCTTACTTGAGATTCACTCCTTTGGCCAAAGAGGAGACCTCTGCCAATGTCTAAATTGGTTTATTGCGTTTAAAAAGCGAATGATATCCCCTGTTACAGACTTCTCGAGGAGATGGACTCTTCCCATATACATATGACGATATAAAGAATTTGATGTCTACCACAGACAACCTCTTGTCGATCGTGAGATTGCAGTAAGACTGTGAATTTGGTATGCTAGGACGGTTACGGACTTCAACTCCGCAATACGATATCTCCGTGTTGTTGATCCTTGGCATTTTTCGAGAAATGTAAAGCAGTTGCCTCAGCGATGGAACTACCAAGGGACAGACTGACATCGGATCAATGTATACTTGAAAATGAGCTTCCGTTTGTCGCATGATGTAAATATAACTGTGTTGTTTCTTGAATTTGATCTGACAAGGAGGGAGCCTTAACGACCTGCCCATTACTGTACCGTTTGGAGGAGCAAACGGCTAGTTCCGGCGTTTAGGGTGAAACGCATCCAGCGTGTCTCCCTTCCTCCAAACAGTCGAATTGTTGTTCTACAAGCCCTGGTACAGCCGCGTCTGGTTCTGCCAATCGTCTGGAAATATCGATCGGGCTGGTGCTTCGTTTGTGACAAATCTCCGCGCTCTTCCAGTAGGTCCGACCTTTTCTTCCTGTATCATCAACAACCCTACCCCTTCTGTTTGAATGATCTGCGCAATCACACAAGAAAGAGATGGACGGTTCATTGTTTTGACCCGCATTTCGATATGAGCCAAAACCGTATGGGATTGAGGTCGTGGGGAAGAAGAAGTTGCCGAATCTTCCAAACGAGCAACAAACTGGGACAGATGCGCCAATCAAATATTCAAGATGATCGATCTGGTGGTGATCTTAAGAGATCAAAACACAGAGCATGTTCATTCGTACCAGCCATCGTTCTTACGTGCTGGATATGTATGGCACTTTGGACGTCCATCGAATCGGGTTTTGCAAGTTTTCGAACGCACGACTTACATCGCTTTATCTACGCTGGCTTTGAACACGCTTATACTCATATCGTCTCTTTTTGTGATTGGGTATCGCTAACATGTCGGCATCAACAGGCGCGAAGTCGGGGTTAGGGTTGAGGAGAACTGCTTCTAATATTCTGTTCAGACACAAGGATACTTTGGTTCAGCCCGAGGCACCTCGCAATTTAAGTCCGTACGCTCTTCCACATTGTACTGGAAGCCTGCTTTTGCCAAAGCCAAACAACCTAACGACTCGCGAACGTGCGCCCAGTCCTCAAAGATCGAGACACATTCCAATTGTCGTAAACACCTCTAGCGAACCACGAACACCCGATTCCTTGGAACCCAGTATCTGCTTCTTTAGTTCAACCTCTACTCTTGAATGTTGTAGAGACGCTCGTCCCCAATACAGTTTCGTAGGGCCGATCACGCTCGTTGATATTGCGGGAGCTTCACCAGTAACACCCAAGAAATCTGGTAACTGTATTGATCGCATTTCCTTTGATACCAATACAACTCCCCATTGTGCCGAAGGGCAAAGACATGCCGACTTGATCCGACCCTCTTCACCAGTCTCTAGTCTATCTACAAGCTCGTTCTATACGGCAGAGGATCTCGATCTTGAAGACGCGCATACGGCTGTAGCAACCATGGCTCAACCACCTGCTAGCAATCGTACGAACACGCTCGATCACTTGATAGCATCACCCACACCATCTTACTTAACTTCGAGGAAAGGCTCGAATGCTCAACTTTCGGTAATAAGCAATCACTCCGGCATGTCGAAACGAGACGACTATGAATCATCCTCAGAGATGGACGCGATGAGCCATACTTCAGATCATCACATTCGCTCAGCTGCTGGTTCACCCGTTCCGCCTCAGACTCCGAATGCTACCTCGGCTACCGCAAACCTATCTGGTCTGGTCTGCAATGTACATCGCACTACTGGAAGAGAGCCTCATCCTCTTGTCGGAGCTACAACCACCATACTCGGCGACAAGATGTACGTCTTTGGTGGTCGCAAGATCTCAAAATCTCGCCCTACTTTGACCTCGGATCTCTACGAGCTTGACCTTCCCCGTAGGCATTGGTCCAAGATTGAGACCAAAGGTGACGTCCCACCTCCGAGATATTTCCACAGCGTGTGTGCCCTTGGAGACAACAAACTCGTATGCTATGGAGGTATGTCGCCCGAGGGTGGACCTACAGCCCAGAACGAGTCTCCGGACGCCCAGGTCAGCGTCATGTCTGATGTGCACATCTACGATATACCCTCACATACATGGACACGGATCAGCACCGGAGAAGCACCGCAAGGCCGCTATGCCCATTGCGCAGCTATTCTCCCATCAGGAGCAGTCTTTTCTTCCTCTAATGCGCCTCTGTCCGCAATACACCATAACCCTTCGGGAGCCCAACCAAATTCGGGTTCGATTGGCGTGGAACTAGACGGCAGGGGTGGTGCTGAGATGATTGTTGTTGGTGGCCAGGATAGTGGCAACCATTACATTGAGCAAATCAGTGTCTTCAACTTACGCAGCTTGAAATGGACTTCAACCAAGCCTATTGGAGGTCGAAGCTGTGGTGCATACAGATCTGTCGTCACACCTTTGGTCAGCATGGAGAGCACCAAGGTCGGTGCAGGGCATGAAGCATCCATCGACGACTATGACGATGACGATGAGGACGATGACAGCGACCTGAATTCATCTGGTTCTGCTATGCTCATCTACACTAATTATAACTTCCTCGATGTCAAGCTCGAGCTTCAGGTTCGCAATCGCGAGGGTACACTCGTTGACAAACAAATGCAGGGCACGGTAACACCTCCTGGACTTCGATTCCCTACTGGTGGTGTGATTGGCAACAACTTTGTTGTGGCCGGCACTTTCTTGACTTCCTCTAAGCAAGAGTTCTCTCTATGGGCTCTTGACCTTCGGTCATTGACTTGGGCCCGCATCGACAGTGGAAGCAGCATATTCAGTCAAGGAAGCTGGAATCGAGGTGTCCTATGGGAGCGCAGAAACTCTTTCATTATCCTCGGAAATCGCAAGCGAAACCTTGTTGATGACTACAATAACCGCCGCCTAAACTTCAACAATATGTGTGTCGTTCAGCTTGAAGCCTTCGGATTATACGATAACCCCAGAAAAGCCTGGCCTACTTCGGATTACGTATCAGCGAGTGCTCCACAATACCAACCAGGCTCTGAAGGCTCTGCAGGTGGAAGAAGGCTATACAGCGGTGCGGAGGAGTTGGGCGAGATGATGCTTCAATCACGAGAGCTCTGTGATATGGACTTCCTTGCTATTGATGGCACCCGTATTCCAGTCAATTCGCGCCTCATAGGGCGTAGATGGGGACCATTCTTCAACCAACTTCTCCGCGAAAGTGCTGGTCCTAACGAGAGTGGCGAGACTGCGACCCTCAGACCAGCTACAATGGCTTCTCGCAATTCCAGCATCACCATTACACCGACGCTGACTTCAAATGGATCAACACTTACAGCCAATAGCGTGACTGGTACCATGATGACACTGGAACCGGCTGATGTCAGGAACTTGCCACCTAATTCACGTCCAAGAACATTGTATCTTCCCCACACTGTCCCGGCACTCCAAGCACTAATCCATTACCTCTACACTGGTTCGCTTCCTCAACAACCATCACATCTTGCGACACCTCAAATCTTCTGTTCGCTGCTTCAGCTTGCTCGTCCCTACGAGATTGACGGTCTGGCTGAAGAAGTCACAGAGCGGCTACACGAAACACTGGATGGTCGTAACGCCGCAGCCATCTTCAATGCTGCAGCCATGGCAGCTGGTGGCGGCCAAGGTGTTGTCTTCAAAGACATCAATACCAGTGTACACCCACCTCGCGTGCAGAGTCTCGGAGGCATCGAGGCCTTGTCTATCAATGGCGGAGGTGGCCGCAACCCGTTGCGCGTCGATACTGAGATGGCCAATGGACGTACCACCCGCTCGACCTTGCGTGGAGAAAGCTTGACTGAAGAGGACGAAGATGTCCCAGACTCTGCCTCGACAGCTGGATCAACGTACAGCATCACGAGTAGCCGTCAAGGTGGCCACGATGATGATGAGATTTGGAATGGTGGTCAGAGTCATGTCATTGGATTGCAGAAGCGCGGATTGCGTGGTCTTATGGAAGGTCGCCGCATTCGTGAACGAGGCCGTAGCGATGGAACGGGTACGGCTAGCAGCGTTACAGCTAGCAGTGTTACTGGCAGCAGCATGACGGGTGGAAGTGTGGCCAGCGGTAGCATTAGCGGGCCCTCAGATCCCAAGGGTCTCGGCTTGGGTATCTCGTAGTTGTCACCTTCCTATCAGAAAAAAGCAGGGCTCGCGAAAATAGGAAAAGGTATGCATTGGGGACATTTGGGAAATGGGAGTTAGGAAACCTGAAAGATGGCCGACTAGTGTAATATCAAAATTTTTCGATACCCTGTGGTGCATCAATGTCGCATGAAGAGTGATGCTCTGCTTGGAGATGAGCCATCCTATGGGTGTGACCGAGAAGTTGCTCAGGTTTGTCACGCTCAATGCCTCCTCTGGTGAATGGAGAGTACTGCAGCCTTCAAGCTGTCAAAATGCACGATTGTGTTCCGGTTAGAAACTCGTCCACTGAAAGCTGAAAGCCTATCAGCTGACCGTAGACGGGGCTAAGATTGGTATATAATCGTGTATATCATCATTTGTCAGTGATAATCGCCTTGCTGACATGCAGGATGTCGTCGTTGCTTCAAGAGCAGGGTGACACGAGCGACATAAACTTGTTCGCAGCGGCAGAAGCCGAATGGTCCGAGGCGATGACGTCGACATATTGATGGCGAGCTCTTTGTTTCTGCTCTCTTCCAAACGACATTGGCCACCCCTAGAATACTCGAATATATACTGGATTGCACCTTCGAAGCCAGTCCACAACATTCATGCGTTTGCTTCCAACCTTTGTCCGCAGTTTCTACGCTTTCTCCAACGCCACCTTTCGAGTAGCACCTCCACCTCTTAGACCAGCTCTTGGACCTACCGCAAAACTGGGTCTTCCTAGCATTCCTTTCCTCGGAGCTTTCTTTGGAACTTCTTCGTCTTCGAACAATATGACCTACCCATTGCAGAAGGGCAAGNNGGAGGAGTGGCAGGCTCAGCTTAGTCCTGGTACGTTGGTTACGGATCAAAGGCGACGATACGACATCTTGCTAACCAGTCACCAACANGAGCAGTTCCGCATTCTCCGCGAAAAGGGCACCGAGTCTCCCTACAGCAGTGATTTTGACAAGCACATGCCTTCCGAGGGTGTGTACACCTGCGCCGGCTGTGAAGCTCCTCTTTACAAGGCCAATCACAAGTTCAAGTCTGGCTGTGGCTGGCCTGCCTTCTTCGATGCCGTGCCTGGTGCTGTGACCAGACACACCGACAGCACCTTTGGCATGCAGCGTACTGAGATTGTCTGCTCCAACTGTGGTGGTCACCTTGGTCACGTCTTCAAGGGAGAGGGATACCCTACTCCTACTGACGAGCGTCATTGTGGTATGTACATCAAGTCAGCATTCATAAGCTTATACTGACCATGATACNNAGTGAACGGAGTCTCGCTCTCCTTCAACAAGAACGACCCAGTCAAAGACTCAAAGGCCTGAAGGAGTCACCACGTAGCAACGAATTTGATGAAAACCATTGTACATACACGAGATTTTGGAGGTCGACACCATAATTGAAACATAAATTTGGAGTTTTGATATCACTTCCTCATGCGAAACATCAACCCGAGAATGCTTGCTTCTTGAACCCTTCCTTCGGGGCTATCTCATGCTTGACCACCGGGAACCAACTAGTATGGTTGGCATACTCGAGACCACTGCCATCGATCTCCGATCCTGTAAGCACGAAAGCACACAATCTTTGAACACCATACGTTAGCCTTGTTCCTCAAAAAATCGGAGATAGAAGGTTGACTTACTCGCCATCTTTTATGGCTTTGCTAGTTCGTGACCCCTTCCCAACAGGGATGTTGTAGGAATATTCGCCTCTACCCTCATTCAATCTCAACTTCATGAACATAGTCTCAATTGGCTGCCATCCGCTAGGCCAATGCTTTTTATCTTCCTGTTTTCTGACCATTTCGAGGTGAAGGTCNNCTGATTGGTTCGTCATTAGCATATCTTTCGAATCAGGGGTTGAGCTGTCAAGACGAACATAGGTTTTATCGCTCTCCCAAGCAATTCTGACATTTTCGCCGAGGACGACTTTGCCTTCATGGTCGTTCTCAGGGGTGTAGGAGAGGTTGATTGCTGCATGGGTGAGGGTGGAGAGAGCCACCAGACTGCCAAAGATAGCTGTAAACTTCATTGATGCTGGTGAGGATTGAGTTTACGAATCGATTGTTGTGTTGTTGAATGAGTATGCAAAGGTACAATGTCAAAAGTCTAATTCGACTCGAATCGAGGTGCTGTGATTTTTATACCACAATCTTTGAGGTGAGGTGCAATACTGATGCCTTGTAGTTGTCACAGCGACTTTAACACTATCTCTGCAACTCGGTCGGCACAGGTTTATTCCTGGTGCCTTGAGAGCCAAGCAAGTGGATATGCGAGCTCCTTCGTATTTGGAGATCTTTTGTTCGTCTTCCTTGTGCTAGAGTCTGTCGCATTGCTCTTCAAAAATGCACGATGTTTTCTACAGACGAAGCGAAGTCCACCAGGAGGTTGTCCAATCTGCTTCTCCATGAGAATCACTGATGTCGACCCACTTGCTCAGCGTTGTTCCCTACAGCAGTGGTTTTTCTATAGACTAATGCAACAATGTGACAGACTTATGCAACCATGCAGGGGTTGTTTGACACCAACCAAAGCATGGACCGAGTTCATCTGATATCGACCCTGCCAAGCGCTCTTCCCGGCTAAACAGCCACGCTGCCCGCCCCGCATTTGTCACATGCATGCTGCGGATCGCCAAAGTAAACAAATCGGAAGAAAAATTGTTAAAAGGGAAAGAGCAAGAACGACCTACGTTTGACGATGTTTGTACAGAAGGAGCCTGATAACGGAACAAAGAACAGAATGGAGCATGAGCGATCAAAGAAGGCGTTCTATCAGTCTTGTTTGCGGGTCGTGCAGAGATGCCTATACTGTCTCTAAGACGTCGGCAAACCCGACTTTGCGTTGTCATCTCAACACCAAGAAACCTGCATCAACCAAACCAAACACTTCCTTTCAATTCGCCGGCCACAATCCCAAAACTAATGACGTGCCCCAAAAGACCCATCTTTGGCACCGAAAATCAAGAAACAAGGCAGTACTGCAAGTATCAGGAGTGTATTTGATTTGCTTTGATTGCAGCGCGAATCCTCTAGCCCTTCCAGCCACACGCCAGCCATACCAACCACCTTAAGCTGCAAGGTAAAAGCTCCACTCAAAAGGATGCCGCAACGCTGTTTTTGAGCTTCTTTGATATAACCGTTTTGTGTTTGCAGAAAGAAAGTCAAACGTGTATTCCAGAATAACTCTTCTCGACGATTGAGATATTTGGAGCGGCATTCAAATCTACCAAGAACCGACTACATCCACCTAAACGACCTACCAATCCACGAAAAAGTCCAAAACATCTATCCAGAACCACAAGTCTTGATCTATTGACTCGACAAACACAGTACCTTCTCAATCTCTAAACGCGCATCCTACACAAACCCTCCAAAGGTCCTGCAATCTCAATCAAAACCCTTCTTACAAAATTATACACAACCACACAACCATGCAACGCAACATCGTCATCGCCGTCATCATCATCGTCCTCTTCATCCTCCTCACACTCCTCGGTTTCCTCATCTGGTGGATCCAAAACGGGTTCCCTAGACGTGGTGGTGGTGGCAGTTATACCGATGACGAGGAGAGCGCACACTGAAGCAACCCACAAAAGCAGAGGTGATGTAGACCTCAGACGCGACGTACGAGTAAAGACAGCATGGAGAGATTTGCACAAAGGGAACATGATACAAGCATGAAGAGATTGACGAGGAAAAAGCATTACGATGGCGTTTTGAGGGAGCGATTGTTGGGGTTTCATTTTTCTTTCCTTTTCTTCTTTTCAGCCATATACCATTTTGGAGCAAAGCGCAAGGGACAACGAGAGCAACAACACACATGTTAAGAAAGCACAGTAAGGATGATCACAAGACATACGATAGAAGGATTGCATTCATCCATGGCAAAATCAATGACAACGACATATGATATAGATACCCCTCCTCTCCCCACATGCAGAAATATATAACGCATATAGCTATAGAAATGCACAATAGTAACAGGAAACAAGACATTTCCACTAAGAAGCAACAGTTTGTCGAGTCTCTATGGACACGCCTCTGCCCCAAATACAATTGTGCCTTTTTGTAGTCTGCTTCTTTGCTCTTAGCTGTAGTCAGAGTATAGTAGAAGTTACATCGGGGAGGCACTTCGAGCAAAGCATAAGGGACAACAAGAGCAACTACACCCTCCCCGTGTGCGAAAGCATGTAACGCATATGGCTATAAAAAGACACAATAGTAACAGAAAACAGGATAGTATCCACTGAGAGGCAACGATTTGTCAACTCTCCATGGACACGCCTCTACTTCTTAAAACAATCGTGCCTTTTTATAGTCTACATTTTGCTGTTAGTTATAATCGGAGTACGGTGGAAGTTATAGACCCTAGTACATGGGGAGGACACACGTAAAGAAGAGGCACAGCAAGGAAGATCACAAGGCCATATGATAGAAGGATGATGGCATTTCATTCATGGCATAATCAAATGACGACGACATGTAATGTAAATACTCCTCCTCGAGAAACAGCACAAAAGAACAAGCCTTCAGAATTAGTCAGTCTCGAATCTTTAGCACAAACGCAACGACGACATTCTTTTCTTCATCACCAAAAAGGTCAGAGCAGAAAGTTCAAAAAAGCAAAGGGGTAAGTTTTTCTCCTCCCAACACAATTGATATCTTCGCATAGCAGAGCAACAAACAATGTGACAATCTGGGTGGCCATAACAGAACCACAGCAACAGCAAGATAAGGCAATGGGTCTGGGAACTGGTAAAGAAAAAAAAAAGGTAGAGTGGTGTGGTGGGCATTTTTTCGAATTTCTCGTTAATACTGCGTGAGATAGTGAAGAAAAAACAACAATAAGACGAGGGCTCGTTAAAATGGCATCTCTCGGCGCATCAGCAACATGTTCAACGTGTTTTTCTTCAGTTTTTGAAACAGGGACGTCGTGCTGCTTCTGACGAAAACAAGACATTGGGGGAATATAAACGTGGGTCGAAACAGAAACGAAGAAGGGTACGAAAATTAACGAATGGTTCCATTTGAGGAACCCTGTACAGCGACACTGCCACGAAGAGAGGTTGTGACAGAAATCACCAGTGGTATGAAGCGGATGGTGCAAAATAATCGTATGCAGCGTGATCCGGCATTTCCTAAACCTGACCGACGGCACGTTGGCCGAAGACGTCGGTATCGGGAAGTGGGCTATCATGGTACAGCTTCGCGTTCTTCGAGTTTGAACGATCGAAGGGAGGAGGGGGGCGCTTGCCGTTAGCGTTAGTCATACCGCCCATTTGGGTATCGGTGAAGCTGTGCTGAGGGTGAGAGCCCCAGTGCGGTGCATTGGTCATTGGGGCATCCTCGCCATCCGCATCGGCATCAGCATCAGCGTCGGCGTCAGCGTCCGCATCAGCATCGGCATCAGCGTCAGCATCTTCGTCGTCGTCCATCTGGTGGGCACCCATTTGACGAGCGGCGGCACCATGGGCGGATGAATGACCATTCTGGAGAGGAGTTTGGTTTACTCTAGTCTCGTAGGGAGAGGTTGCAGGCAGTTGAGCCGGAGCGGGGTGCGCGTTTCTTGCTGGGGCGGTAGAGGGGCCTGATGGGGTCGAGATGGCAGTCTGCTCGTTGGGTGTAGGTTGAAGGGTAACGGCGGCACCTCCAAGCTTGCCAGCTTTGACAGCGCCCCGCCATCTGCCAATCAGACGATCATAGTCCCAGTCGCGAGATTGGTCTTTGGTCAACATGTCCGAGACGATAGCAGGATCGAGAGGTAGAGAGACAGGAGGCTGCAGCATGAACTCGCGAGGTAGTTGTAGGTTGCTCATACGGGTAAACTGCTCCTTGAGCTGGGCGATTTCTTGTTGTGCCTTGACCAATTCTTCGTCCTTCTCTTTCGAGCGCTGATCGGCGCGAGCAAAGGCACGCAAAATTTCAATTCCCCAAGTCGAGCTCTTGTCTTTGTCCGAGAGGGGAGACCAATTGTTCCAAGCAGCCTGCAGATGCATCTGTAGCCTGCGAATATCTTNTTCAGGAGTGGGCGTGGGCTTTTGTTGGACACGTTGTGTGATCTGGCGTTGGAGGGCATCGAGCTGGGCATCCGAGGGAACGTCGAGAGACCAAGAGTCGCTACTGGCAAAAGGCGTCATAGAGAAGAGAGTTTGGGGAGCAGGGAGCGCGTGTAGACAGAGCGATGGGAAGTTCATGGAACAGAAGTCGAAGTTGAAAACATCCTGGTTTGAGACTCGGCGTCNTACGGACAGGGTCAGCATGGAGAGAAATGAGTGAAAAAAGCAAAATGAGTACCTGGCAGCCTCGAGGCTGTCGAGAAGTTCACGCAGAGCCAACTCGGCAGCCTTTGCATTGTCCTGAGATTCTTGGTCCTTTTGTTGCGAGGAGCGCTGCAGCTGGGCAGGGCTCATGTGGTTGGACGAGACATCGGACATGCGTGGTGGAAGATTGTTAATGACTCCAGTGCCCTGCCAGGATGCGGTGTTGAGGCCGAAACGGGAGTCGCGCAGGTTGACGGGGCTGACGCCCATGGCGCTCGAGGCGCCGCCAGCTGTGTCCTGAGACGAAATGGTCATCCGACGACCCCACTGGCCGGTCGGGGTGCCGCGGTCGCTGGCAGCATCGTCGTCGTGCTGGAGACGGCTGTTGTTATTAGCACTGGCCCTCAGACTGTTTCTCGGCTGGCGTCTCGTGATGCCTCCTCGCATAACCTTGATCTTTTCGACGTCGTGGATGCCATCGGCCGGCTTGGGGTNTCTGCGGCCATCGAGGTTAGCAAGGCAATTGGAGCGGGCATGGAGCGCAGGGCTGCTCACCTTGGGCTTGATGTAGAGGTCCAGATGGCGGCCGAGGGAGGAAGAGGTAAAGGCTTGGTTGCAGAATGGGCAGTTGCGGTCCTTGGGAGCCTTGGTCGACGAGTCCAAGTTGTTATCGAGGCCGTTCTGGCTGCCATTGACCGAGTGGTCGTGCGATGCAGAGCCTTGAGGCCCTGTACCGGGTCCTGTGACGGTGCCGGCGGCCGACGACGAGGGAGTCGACACCGTGGCCGGCGTCTGGCTGGACGCTTCTGCCATGGTTTTTTCTGCTCAGTCGTGGGTCGAGTCGAGGCGGTGGTGCAATCCAAGAGCTGTCATTCGACGTCTTTAGATGTCCTCGAGCATTTTGCTGAATCAGGCGAGCCTCAATGTTTCCATGCCACACCCCAGCGACGTGACAAGTACGAGGTCAAGTTAAGTCTTTAAAGTTACTGAGCTGCTCAATGCCCAGCCTTTTCGCAACCGAGAAACGCTTCTTGCCGACGACTAGAAACTACCCTAAACGACCCTGCTTACATTCCACCATCCACCACGTGTGTGCTTTGGTCTTCTCCTGCATGGCATTCTTCACTTTTGTGCAAACTCTTTCTGGCCGAGTTGCTCCTTAATCTTGCATCTCTAAGGCCTGTCTTTTGCATTCAGCTCAAATTCTGAGTCTTGCCGGATCTGAAGCTTTCCGATCACGGGCAACCGACACACTTTGGGCAATCGTTTGACCCAGAAAGGGCAATATCTGTCACGAGCTTAATTGGTGCACTATGTTTTTCAACGAACAAATACTAGATAACAACAGCCTGTTTATGACTGCATTTGCACTTCTCTACGAATAACACAATCAAGCATGAATGGCCTGATGGACATATTCTGAAATTGCCAGCACCTTTTCCTCCTCCAACCTCCTACACACGACTTGAAGCGACACGTGAGCCCCATCATAAATTTCCGGATCGTCTGCAACAGAGTCAATAAAAAGCTAGAGAGTCATGATCAAGGACTTACAAGTTGCTTGTGTCTTCTCATCGGTCTCTGACACTGGCTTGTAATCGGTGTAAGCTTTGTCCACATTCTTGTCGACCTTAGTGACAGGCACAATCGCAGAGCTGTAGTCAAGTACATTGACCCATACCGAGTAGCTGTATGAAGTGTACTTGTTAGGACGAGCTGCGGTGAATGGTGCGAGCGGGCTGATAATGGCATCCACTGGACGACCAGTGCCCGTCAAATCGCTAGTCGAATTCCAGTACTCCATGTACTCTTTCTCGGCATCTCGCTTGTTGACTTGGTTTCGCATAATGTCTGTGGCGTTGGCTTGGGATGATTGTTCAAACATGATGTTGGGCTTTGGCTCCTCTCCACTGAGAGCAAAGGCTCTTGCAGCGTCTGCACCACCATCGTAATTCCAAGACTTGGTGCAGATATCTTCTAGCTTAGCATGACTTGGAGGTTGCCATTCAATGACCTTGTGGCCGAGAGCTTGCAGTTTCTGAACCGTTTCTTCCAGGGCTCTCTTGATCGGAGGGTGTGGAGCGCAGAGTCCATCGTGTTTCAAGACGGCAAATGTGAGCTTCCTCTCCTGTGCCAGCTNTTTAGCAGCCTCTTCTTGTTCGCTCCTCCAAGGTATAGGGTGAACACGTGGATCGTGTTGCCATGGTTCAGTCTGCAATATAGACTGCAAAGCCAATTTGACACCAGCAGATGATGATGACAGAGGTCCCACAACACTCAAAATACTTGGAGCTCCATCGAACGAGTTGGCCATTCCCTCATAGGGCAGTCTGCCGGCACTAGGTCTCAAGCCGAAAAGCCCGTTGAACGCAGCAGGTATTCTGATACTTCCACCAATGTCAGTGCCCCAGCCGAGAGGGCTACCCTTCAGCGAGATCAGGGCACCCTCACCACCAGAGCTACCGCCACAACTAAGGTTCCTGTTCGTAGGGTTCCAGCAATAGTCGATAATGTTGTTGGTCGTCTCACCACACATCAAAGTGTGTGGAACTGCTGTCTTGACATATAGAACAGCGCCCAGGCTGCGCAATTCCTTGACCATCTCGGACTCGTATACCTTCTCCTTGCCCGTGCCTTTCTCACCTTGAAAGGTTCCAATCCAGCCAACGTAGCCCATGTGAGTCTCGACTCCCTTGACGTGGAATTGGTCCTTTAGAGATACTGGCAAACCGTGTAGAGGTCCAATAGGTTTCTTATGGTTTGCAAAGTAATGGTCAAGTTCTTGAGCAGATTCGATTGCGGCCTCATAGAAGATTTCGTGGAGACAGTTCACCTGACAGATGTTTCAGCACTGCCAGATTCCTGAGCATACACATCTATTGATACGCACCAGCTGATGGGCAATCGCGCTTCGATGGCAGAAAGCCTTCGTGACTTCAACTGCAGTCCACTGACCACTACTGGTCTTCTTGACGATCTCAGTAGCTTCCGTCTCGGTGATCTCGATCTCTCTGGCATTCAGGTACTGCTGAATGAACTTGCCAGTAACATCTCTTTGCTCTTGTGCGGATGGTGGTGCTGGAATACGCCATTCCTCAGGGATCAAGGCGAGGACTGAATCACGTTTCTCAGCAGCTGTCTGTCTCCAGTCTGGTGCCATGATTGTGGGTTATCACGAACAAAGGTGTGGTTTTGAGACCGAAGAAGAGAGAGCGACCCTGTGACGCTACATATGTTTTGAGCTTGGCCGTACCCCAACTCAATTCATCTATCCTTGAGGGTGTCCGGCAATATCAAGGCCGACAGTCGGCGGAGGGGCGCCTATCTGGGTACTACTTACCTTCCAATTGTGGGGCTGATTGTCATAGGTCCATGGAGAGCTACTTGACCCCAACATAGCCCACCACTTCTCCGAGAAGCAGCTTGGCCTTATCGAGTTGTCAATCGCAAGACCATTTGGAGTCACTTATCGAAAGTATCAAGTACCATTCTGAAAGACGAATTGTGCATCAGAAAGAGAAGAGCGGCCACGATCAATGGAGTTGAATCGGTAGTTGTGTCCCCTCTGACGTGCACATGTCGTGTAGAGACGCACCCCTCTCCGAAGCCTGGCATGGTCAAAGAGCAGACATCCATTTCACAGATACGATCTGCATCTCCGGTGTTCAGCAAACTTACCGAAGTATTCATGTTCACAAAAATTGCTGTGACCTACAAGAAAGATGTCGAATCTGAAGAATGTGAATGACATTCTCGACGCGTAGCGACCCAAGCCACTTCTCTCGCCACATACACAGCCACAGATCTATGGAGACGGCGATTCGCCCACCACCAAAAAACCTGGCAACCTGGGTAAAATGTCATAGGTCAATCAATCGGCTTTAGATACCCGCAGGCTTGGGACGCGCATAATCGAACATGTTCCATCAAATGCGCGGTCGGTGCTGACACCTGCGCGTCTGCACATTCTGCAGCAACGGTGCCATAAAGTCACTCCCGCCTGCTGCAGGCGCGTCGATAAATCCGCCCGACTGACCATTCACATTGTGCCAGAACTTGCGATTTCCACAGCGGATGTACGAGATCACGACCCGCCTGCCCAAAGCTAACAACAAGCACTTGCGTGACAACTAACTACTCGTTCAGCATACACGCCCAAAGGCCATCTCATCACACTGTCGGAGACTATATCATCCAAAGCCTCAAGGTGATTCGGCTGTGTTCTTTGTTGCAACCTCAAAGAACTTTGCTTTGTTGGAGGATCAAGCCTTCATCATATCTTTGTTCTTTGGAAGATCTCATTTGTGTTCTGCACACCGCTACATAAACGACCAGCCCCCTCATTTTCCACTCCACGACCTATTCACATCATTACCACAACCTTTCTCATCAAGAACCACTATTCCATCCTCCTCAACTTGCTTGCTGGTCAAGCCAGTCCAACTACAAGCTATATCAACCGTCATCATCCATACCTATCAAAGGCCTTACAACACGGACCTATTTAGAACATGGCAATCGGCCAAACAGTGACGGTGGTCAACAAGTCTGGCAAAGTCGTCAGTACAGGCAAACATGTCGTCAACGTTTTCAAGGAGGCCAAATCCGCATACCGAGAACGCAAAGCCGAGATCAAAGCCGTGCGCGATGCAGAGCTCGAACAGAAGCGTGTCCAAAAGACACTCGAAAAGTTCACACTAGAAGACGATCGTGCCTCGCAAGGCTCTCGTCGCTCTTCTAAGTCGAAGAAAGAAAAAGGATCACATCGCGATCGTCCACTCGTGGATCGTGGTTACTCGGACAGTTTCTATGCCAACGACAAGCCTGCGACCACGAGAAGCCATCGAAAATCAGGTCTACGCAATGAACTCAGCCCAGAAGGCGAGAGACAACACAATGAACTGGTCCGGAGACATACCACCGATCTGGGCCAAGAAGTTAGGAGACCGAGAACTTCACGCTCTGCATCTGAGGCGGATATCGATATGGACCTTGCTTATGGCGAATTACCACCACCACTGCCAGAGCGCCCTCAGGAGAACGAGATCGAGTTGCGAGATAAGATGACTAAACTTCAACAACTCCTGGACGAAGCGAACTGTGTTCAGCACTCTGTCATTGCCACCATTGAGAACCTTCAGAAGAACCCGGATGCTTTAGCCGCTGTGGCCTTGACTCTTGGCGAGATCAGCACTATGGCAAGCAAGATGGCTCCTGGAGTGCTGACATCGATGAAGACAGCATTCCCGGCCATCATTGCTCTGCTTGCTTCGCCTCAATTCATGATTGCTGCTGGCGTCGGTGTCGGCGTCACAGTCATCGCGTTCGGTGGTTACAAGATCATCAAGAAAATTCAAAAGCACAAGGAGGAGGCTGCCGAACTCAAAGCCGGATCCCAACGTCAGATCGAAGACAACGAATCCGTATCGGAGTACGATGAGCTATATGAACTCGACGGCGACCTCAGCCATATAGAGGTCTGGCGTCGTGGCATCGCTGATGCCGAAGCTCAAAGCCTGGGTACAAGTGTTGATGGCGAGTTCATCACACCTGATGCTGGCAAGCGCCTTATCGCCGATGGTGTGCTTCGCGAAGAGGATCTCAAATCCATGCGCTCGAGCAAGTCCCACAAAACTTCCAAAGTCCAAGAAAAGCAAAAGGACGTGAAGAGTGATAAGGACTCCAGCAGTTCAAAAGACAAAGAAAAGCGCAAGAAGAAAGAACCGAGCGGCTTGAGGATGCTGTTCAAAACGCGTGCATAAGCCTCTACTCTCTGGCACCCTTGATAACATTCTGTTAGTTCATCTCATTTTGGCAGCGGAACTCCATACAGGTTGAGTTTTTTTTCTATTTGTTGTTTGATCTGTCGTTCTTTATAGCGTTCTAGCGGCATTTGCGTTTTCTGACTGGTCACCTCCTTTGTCTATGTATTCACGAGTTAATGTCTTTCTCTTTGTTTAAGTTAGCACAAAGTATTCATTATTTTTGTCTTTCTAGCGTCATCGTACCTACCAACATACTTGCGGCTCTTTGTTCTGCACGATACATCTCTTAATGGATGTTTGAGTTTTCAACAGTACTGGTATCTTTCTACAGCAGTGTAGTAACAAACACACATCGACCCCTGAGAGGCGACGCAAGCCCAGTAGATATGGGAGCCTGAGAGAATCATCTCCATTGCTCCAGTGCAAGATCAGAGGAGGTTTCGATTGCGGCAAGAGGGAGTGCCATTGTGTTCTAATTCGTGTTGGTATACGGTCTTGTGTAGATGCGTTGGCGATGGCCAGATGGAGGAAGAATTTTATAAGCTCATCCAGTTATGGCTACCTTTGTGTATTGCTACACGCAGTCGCTACTCCGTCGTGGCTTCACTTTGAAGCGATTCAATTTTCGACTTTTTCATCATGTCGATCGACCAGCTAGATTATTATCGATAGAGACTAGGCATTGTTCTCCCAGTTGATGCGGTAGAGGTCGATAAAGTATTGTGTATATCCACAGCAATGCAGGTTTGCCAACGATACGGTGAGAGGTTATTCATGGCCCTCGAGCACAAGCGAGCTCTTGGATGTCAGAGAGCTTCCATAATGCCCCTGAGGAGTACGCATACAATCCTCCCAGTGCTTTCAAGCGCAACGGCAAGCGAGTTGAGCAACCCAACTAGGAGAGAACCGCATTTCGACTCCCACACTCGCGGTCCCACTGGCAAGACATGTGGACTAGCAAGGCACCTGAAAGTTATACCTGGGCCATAACTTCCTCACGGCCACGAAAAGGTGCTATCCAGAGGCACAGAATTTTGGGAATCCTCAAGACTTGAGCAGAGAGACCACAAGGACAGAAGCTCTCAATAGATAATTGGGTAGTTTCGATACTATTCTGTATATTGGCATAAAAACTACTCATAAACAGCCACTCTTCTTTCTTCTCCTCTAGCAATTGTCGTTGTCTTCAAGCAATCTCAATGATCGAGGATACATCGGTATGTATGCATGTATCATAAAACATATAATGCTTCTTCAAGCAGTCAAGCATGGCGTTTAAGCTCACCATTAATACGTTTATCCAGCACCTGACGTTGCCAACATGCGTCCACGTCGATACACAGTTTGACGAAGGCATCATCCTCGAGACTGGCCAGGATGAACTGCTTGATGGCCTCTGCCCGGGTTTCTTTGGGCTGCTCAGCATACTGCCTCAGCGCATGCTGCGCACTCTGCTGCGCTGAATTCGTTGATGTTTCCATGTCTTGCATCTCGGCATCTTGCTGGACGTGTTTCTGAGCCAGACGTTGGCTGCGTCTCTCAGATGGGCTGGACGAGATCATCTGCTCAGGAGTCAAAGAGTACAATCTTTCTGAACTTGAGGGTAGCCTGCCTCCTGGACCGGAACTGGCGAAGTGGACAGGACTTGCGCTGCTACGGTAGCGTTGATCTGAGTCGACAATGACGTCCCGATTGGTCTCGTGAGCTAGAGTGCTGGTATCGCTGAACTTAGGGCTGTCATTGTCGATCACCATAGGGTCGTCTTTCAGGCTGAAGTTGTACATGCGTGATGCTGGAGGTTCGAATCTTGTAGGTCCACAAGGGGTAGCAAGCCGTGTGATTTCTGGTTGGATTCTGTTCTCCGACAGTGCACGAATTTGACTCTCTTCTTCTGCTGTTTTGTCTGGCTTGGCAGCTTCCGAAACATAACGTGGCTTGGGAAGAGGAGGCAATGTTTTGGTCTTTGCAGGACTGCTGGATGGTTTCGGGAAAGGAAGTTCCCGACGAGGAGGCAGCATCTTTCTTGTCATGTCTGATGGCCACTCGATCGGCGCGGTCGAAGGTCTTTCTGCTGGCTCTTCACTCGTGCGAATGGGAGCAAAAGTTGGCTGTCTTTGGATGTTTCGAGTCTCATATTCCTTCGGTCCTGGAGAAGAAGTGAACATGTGCATGCGAGACAGCTCATCCTGATTGACCGATGGTTGTCTTTGAAAATTCGTGGTCTGATACACTTTTGAACTCGGTGATGAAGTGAACATGTGCTGGTTGGCTGGATCGGTGTGCTGACTCAACTGCTGCTGAGCGTTTGGGGAGGTTGACTGGAAAGCATCTAGCTTGGTCAATATTGGGACTCTTCTTTTGCAAGAAACGATGGTCATACCTTGGATCGTCGGTACGATGATCGAGGAAGTTTTATGATCGAAGTGGGCGGACTGCGCAGAAGGTTGGCGATTCATGTATGAATTAGCTGTCATAGGACGAGCTTGAACTTGTGTGTTTTGTTTGGCGTTGGGCACAGAGAACATAAGGCCGTGACTGGAGAGCAGCTGCACAGCCTCTTCGCACGAGGCTTCATCGGGGAATCGTAGTTGAATACGTCTAACCTGGAACAAGAAACCACGATGTTGGTATCTGGTTTCAGTAGTGCAGGATGTTCTGATGTTACATACCTGGTTGTTCTGGCAAANATATCGAATTGCCAAGGCGGTGCCTTTAGTCAGGCCAAAGATGGGTAAATTGTCGGGTGATTGTTTGGGTTGTCTTTTGTGCAACTCTTTGGTCTCTTGGACGATGGCAGTAAGTGGAAGGACCTNCCTGATGTTATCGTGAGTAATCGACAGAGATATTTTCATAAGAAGCGATCAACCGACCAGATCGTTGGTGCCATGGACGATCCTGAGCTGTATACAACCGTGGTCAAGTTGCTCAATCAAAACAAAGATATCAGGAGCTTGGATGTGATTCCAGCCAGAAGGACTCGCAGAGCGAGGAAGCGTGGAGTGTGAGAACTTGAGAATAGAATGGCATAGTAAGGAACGACCGAAGAGGCCATCTTGACTTGCCATGTTCAGGTCTTGCCTGAAGTACACTCTGCTGAGTATTCTTGGGTCAAGATTCGAGGGCGAGATGCGAATGTGTTCTGCTAAAGTTGAATCAGAAGGAACAAAGCATCTCCTTAGGTAAGCAGGAAGCTGCCATCTCTTGCATGTGAACTCAACCAACGAGACCCAAAGCAGTTACCGGGATTTGTCGTGAACAGGAAAGGACGAATGTGCGAACGCAATTAAGGTGAGGAAGGAGCCCGAGACAAGCTAAGAAACAGGCTGCCCCCTCTCCCCGATACAACAACTCTAGGTCTCTATGAGATGTATACATTGCACTTTCTCGGTCAGGAGATCTTTCAAGCATGCTTACTGTATCTTGCCTGTTCAACTGTGAAGCCATCTTGTTGGTTTGATATGTTGAAGCTCGGAGATATAAAGACGCTAGCAGGCTATCACCGAGGATGGTGCCAAGTCGGCGTGCAAAGTGTGGAGGAAGCCGATCAGCGACAGCGCGCAAGTCGGCGCAAGGAAGGTGTAGCTGGACGCGTCGCGATAGCATCCATCATTGCGCCGAGCTGTGTTGTGCACCATCTGACAATTCCAACCAACTGGACTTTTGCTGGGATATCGACAAAGTAGACGACATCTCCGGAGTCTGGATAACCAGGCATCATGCCTCCAAAGAAAGTCGGCCAGCGAGTCGATCGAGAATCCTCGATCGAAAAGACCGAGGAGTATGAGGATTTCCTGAAGGAACTAGCAGCTTACCATGAAAAGAGANNGGGTAGGTGTTCCAGAAAGCAGCTGGTCGAGATTGGAGAATAAAGCGGTTCTAACGCAATGCGCAGCACCAATATGGAAAACGAGCCGAAGGTCGAAACCCAGCACATCGATCTGTTGAAGCTGTATAAACGCGTGGTAGCAGAGGGAGGATATGACCTGGTGTCGAATACGAAGGAAAAGCCTTTGATGTGGAGAAAGATCGCCGACGAACTTCTTCCTGGAATCAAGAACCTGGCGGGCGCAGCTTTCTTAGTAAAGAGAGCGTATTACTACAACCTCGTTGCGTACGAGATCTCGACGCATTGGGGCAAGGAGCCACCACCGAAGGAGGTTGTCGAGGACGTGACTGCGAAAGGAGGCGACGTTATGTCGAGGACGCTGGACAATTATCCAAACTCGGCAGTCAAAGAGAAGAACACGATGAACGGGCACTCGTCCGATAATGAGGACACTGCCAAGGATCACGACGACAATGGTGAACCGGGAAGCGTGCGGTCGACCAGGGGACTGCGCCAGGCGCCGCCGCAGCGTGTTCTCTACCAACCCGACACGAGCGCCCCACGTCAAACACGCAACCAAGGCCAACACACCTCGCAGACTCCTGCTTCACCATCACCTGCGTATGCCAACACCACTCCAATGACTCTAGCAACCTACGAGCCGCAGCAGCTGCTGCCCTTGACGCTCAAGCCCGTCACCACTCCTGCCAACAATGCTGAGTACTACCGCCTCAAGCGCAAGCAAGAACAAGAGGCCCAGGCCAGCCATGTCGCAAAGAAGCATAGAGGGCTCATGCTGCCAGGCACTGGTTTCATCGGCCCCAACATTTATGTTCGCGCTCAGCTTGCTCTGCAGTCTGGTCTGCCCGACGAGGAAGAGTATGCTTTGCATCATCTCGTCAAGATCTCGCACGAGCGAGGCGACAAGTACCGCTTCGACCAATTCGCTGGTCTGGCCGAGGCTCTCGTGAACAAGCTTTTGCAGGTGACTTCTCTCTTCTACGACCTCGAGTGGGACATCTCTTACGATGAATCTACTGGTCCGCGCACTCTTGACGCAATCAACGGCACACCCGGTCTTCTACAGAAGCTGCAGTCTGCTGTTCCTCTGGATACTGCTCATTCCGTCGAGACCACAGAGTTCAGACAGGCCCTTGGCCGTATCACTGAAGCTGGTCTTGTCATTCGCAACATGGTCATGCTGGACGAAAACGCTCAATACATCGCTAAGCTGCCCCTCCTGCGCGACTACTTCTGCATCGTGCTCAACTTGCAACCCCATCCCGCCCTGGTCGAGCTGCAGTACTATGCCCTCGAGACCATCGAGCAGCTCACAAAGCACTACGACCTCGACGCGACTGACCTTTTGTATGAAACCCTGCTTGCTCAATTGGAGTCCAACGACCGTGGCAGAATCAACACCTCTTTGCGCGCCATCGCTCGACTTGGCATGACCTACGAGGAGAACAAGCGACTCGAACTTGTTCCTCTGGAGATTGTCCAAAAATTGCCTGATTGGATGATGCTCCCCGACGAAGAGCTGCGTTCCGCCTGCTTGGACTTCCTCTTTCAGTACACAAGTATCGCCGACAACGTCGAGACATTGGCTCTGGATGCTGATGTCCAGAATCTTGTCAAGCAACTGTCTGATCTGTTGCTCTACAACGCAAAGAAGGAGGTGCCTAAGATGCCCAAGCCTCGCTCTTCCGAGCCCCACTACGACTCAGAAAGCTCCTGCCATGTTCCGCGCCTGTCTCAAGATGTGATAGAGTCACTACTGCAGTTCGCCGAGCCTGACCGTAGCTCTCGCTGGTAAGTGATCACAAACGTGCCTCTTCCGACAGAATCTAACCAATGTAGGCTGCGTATGTGCTTCGAGACAGACCTCGAATCCGAAATGACCCAGATCCACCTATGGCAGTCATACCAAGCCACTTTCTTAAAATACCATCCGACTCATGGAAACCTCATAGCCGGAGAGTTCATCAAGAACGTCTCAAACACATTCACTGGCGCATCTGCCCAAGTCGCTCATTCCAAATACGTGATCAAGGGCATCAGACCTCGCAAGGTCGCTCATGACGTTGATGGCAAGGAGCTCGTCAAGTGCTGCTGGCGCACCAATCCCACAGATGTTCCACAGGAACATGTCGCTATNCTTGCCAACGAAAGCGGCAAGGAGTGCGGTGAGTTCTTCAGCAACGGTCCGAAGCTTTGGGAGCATATTCTCTCTTCGCATCTCAAGGTCCCCAAGAAGGCACCCATCACTGCCAACGGTGATACTCCACAGCCACCACAGAGCACTTCGAAGGTCGCCGCCTTCGACTTTCCTGCAGCCGATCCGTCCTTGTCGTACAGTTGCAAATGGAGTAGCTGTTCTCGCCAAATCTCTGGTGACCACAACCTGCCTGTCGGCCTTGCACTGTTGGCCCGTCACATCAACACTCATTTGCCAGACAGCGGTCCTCTCGCCGAGCAGAGACGTCAGAACCAGCTCAACTCAAAGGAGGTTGAGGACTCTATTCCTAGCAACCGCGTCTGGCACCGCACAATGGCAGACGAACGCAACGACGCCGCTGGTCTACCTCTGGGCTCAGCACTCGTGTTGCGAAACATTGCTCGTGGTGTCCGTAAGATGGCACACAGCGCAAACGGAGCTGCCGCCACCGCTGCTGCTGTCGAAGAAAAGGCCCATCCCGCCGGTGATGACGAGCAGCCTCCTCGTGATAACGAAGACGATGAGACTGCTGTCGCCATGCCTGAGTCACCCATCCCACCCTCGGCCGAGCTGATGAAGAAGATCTTCGACCCTATCAGAGACAAGCTCTTCTTCGCCATGGCCCACAACCCTACTCTCAAAGACCACCTTACCGCCGTCCTCTGCGCCATCGCCAACGGCGGAGGTTAGACGATTCGCTTCCTTCTCTTTTCTCGGGGATAACAGCTTGTTCTGGGGGTTCTTGGGAGCTTACGATGATATGCAGAGTGGCGTCTCGGTTTCTCTTATTTTCTCTGTTGTTCCTTTTACTTGGAGCATCGTTCTCATAGCGTTTTTGCAAGGATCACATGGAGAAAAATTGTACTTTTAGTTCATTCAAAATACCACTTTTCTTCTGTTAAAGCACTCACTTTTATTGATTCCCTTTGGACTCGACTTTGTTTTGGTCACGACTGTGCATTTTGCTAAATATCGCTACGGGAAGCTGATTAGGGGCTCTGCATAGTACAGTGAAGCAATTCTCTCAACTCGTTACTTCATATCCTTATCCATACTTCGTTCCCGCAACGCTGTCCAAGAAGCCATTTCTAAAGAGCATCTCCCCACAAACAGGAAGAATCCAAGAATTGAGATATGGATCCACAAGAGATTGTACGAAGTTAAAGAAAAGATGTTGTCTGTCGTCTCCAAGCACGCTTCCAACCTTCTCTGAAGCAAACAAATATTCCTCAACAAAAGACAAGCAAATGGAGAATGAATTAACCCGCTACCCACGTCGACGGAAAGCTCTGGGAATTTGTACAGGGACACTTTCCAGTTCAAGTAGAATGGGCATTGCCGACCTCGTGTTTGGTATCCCAGAACTGTGTCTGTAGCATATGACCGCTAGGGTAGTTGAAACAGCATAGATCCTCGACGACTGAGGTGTTATTACAGCTCAATTGGGGTTTGAGCAGGATGTGGCATTGCCGACGTCGAGGCCACCAAAGTACGACTGAGCACCCAAGATGATCTAAGAGCCGCCGAGTAGGACTGATTGGATCAGAGGCATAGAGGACGCCTTGTTTGCTAGGATGTGCACCCTACATACCCACCACCTTACAATTCGTGTCTCAGGCACTGTTTCCGTTCTTTGTCCCCAACACCTACGCCAGATACAGTCTCAGACCCACAAACTTCACTCCATGCACGAAGAGGGGTTTCAGTACCAACGATGCTTCTTCCACAATCTCGCGCATTCCCACCATCTTTGCCAATTTCATGAAGGCAAGATCGCAGAAGGAAGGCAAGCCTGTTCGACCAAACTGAGTTTGCAAGCGCTATTCAAGCACTTGCCGCTGGGAAGAGTGACAGTGGCGACAAACACGAAGTTTGCTCTTTTGTCTCTTATCTGCTCGATGTACTCTTGATATGCTGTTGAAATACAGCATAGATCTGGAATTATCGAATTCACCGTTGTGAGATCGGAAACAATACAACAAGAAGGGAACAGTGGGTCTCTGATGGGTCTTAACGGGAGTGTCCTGCGTCCCAGTGGTGCTGACGAGACTGCCCTGACCATCAACCAGATGTCTGGCGCGTCTGGGTTGGGCCTCGGAACCAGAAGCGGCAGGTGGCAACATGGAGTTCTGAGCAGGTGTCTGGATCTCCGATGTGGAAGCAGACGAGGCAGCGGTATCTGTGGATTGGGCCTTGAGCGACTTGTGGTATTCGTCGACCTTCTTTAGAGATTCCTCGCGAGCGGCATTATATTCGCGTTCCCTCTCTGCGACGGTGGGCTGGGTCGAGTCGGAGGCATTGGGTTTAGCGGGCTCTGCAGTCGTGGGTTGGGCCTCGACGATGGGTTCAGACGAGGTTGACTCGCCAGCGCCGGTGACAGCCTGAGGAGTGGTAGTGGGAAGCTGGGTCGAAACGTTGCGGTCCTTGGGTTCCTCTGAGTCACTGGGGTCGCCAGGCGTGTTGGCGATCTCTGCGAGTGCGGCGGAAACAAGATCGGTGGTGGTGGGCGGCTTGTTGACGCTGGTCCAAGCCGACTGGGTCGAGCTAGGCGCAGCCTAGGAGCCAGTCGAGTTGGTCATTGCGCGCAGCGAATTGACTGGGTCTCGAATGTGTATAGGACTGTAGTGTTCGATGGATGGATGTGGATTGATGAAGAAAAGAAAAGAAAAGGTGGTTGTTATGGTAGAAGAGAGAGAAAGAGAGAGAATTGAGTGCGAGTGCGAGTGCGAGTGCGCTCATGGATAGTTTTTGTACCGAGAACATTATATAGACATCATCATTGCTCCCTCACTTGGAGACGAACATACCCTGTCCCAAAGCAGTGAGATACCCATACCTAGTCAACATGGTAGGATCAAATTTGCCAGGCCGTCCATTCTCTCCCGCCACACTAGTAGCAGCAACATTGCCTTGCGCCGAGCTAGGCGTCAAAGTTCCATTGCCACCTTCACCAGCAGAAGCATGCGCCAGATGCTGCAAGCCCGGCGGCAGTTTTTCAATTCCGCCGAGAATCAATTGCAACTTGTTTCGCTTTTGCACTATCAAATCTCTGATTGCAGAATCCCAACCTGTGGACTTTTCGTGGCCGGCGAGACCGCGACCGAAGCCTAAAGCTTCGGAGATGTGCTCGAGGCCTCTGATGGCTTCGGCGCGTGTTTTTTCTATGTCTACGAGTTCGCATAGGGTCATTGCTGCTAAGGCTGCAAAGTGGTGGTTTAGCGGTGTGATGGGTGTTTGACGTTGGTTTAATACTGTGGCCACTTTGACTGCATGGCCGATCAATTCGGTAGGCTCTGTTGTAGGGTTGAGGCGTTTGATGAGGAGGTGGCAGTGATGGTAGGAGAGATGGACCAGGTTCAATGAGCCCCAGACACTTTCTACTGATTCGCGGAAACGGTCGATCTCGCCTGCTAGTGTCAAGCCTAGAAGTGAGGAGGCTGGGTTTGAAGGGGCCATAACGTTGGTTTCTGGTGTTTTTGTTGTGGTGAGAATGGCGGCGAGGTGTCCTATGATGAAGGAGAGACGTGCTAGATGATATGTCGATTCACCGAGTAGAATCTGGTCTTCAGGTAATAGAACGACACTGTTCTCGGGCAGCTTGAGTAGGTCCGAGGTACTAGAAGCATGCCAGCGGTCGAGGATGAACAGTACCCACCATACTCTTCTCGCTAGTCTTTCTTCAGAGTCCGGGTCGCCTTCGGTAGCGAAGCGTTCGCGCGGTCGAATCAGATTAATTTCCAATTGTCCTGCGACACCGGCAGCTCTTCCTAACCACTCTGCGCGCGAAGGTCCAGCTTGACCCCTGACTGTTGCTGGACCATGGTTATCAGACTCTAGAGCCATCAACAGGAGAGTTTGCAGGTAGACCAGATTAGTCCCACTATTGTGTGTAGCTGGATTTTCAAAAGGGTAGCCGGCAAGCAACTCAGCGGCTCGTTTCATCATAGGAGCATATGTATGTTGAGGTCTAAGCGTTGATGAGAAGGAAGGAAAAGTCCGCATCGTGCACTCCAAGACAGTCAAGAAAGCCTCTCGTAACGTCAAAGGACATTCAGCCAGGCGCATGCGCAGACGGTGCTTTGAGTGGGGTAGTAAAGGGAAGGTCTGGTGTATAGTGCGATAATACTCGTCGACGACTTCTTCATCCCACTCGACCAGTGTGGGTACACCTGCTTGCGTATCGAAAGGAATACTAACGCTTTCGTGACGGCGAGTGTCTCCACCATACTTGAAAAAGGGTTGTGTGTTGATGGGTTGTGGTTGGGGCGTGGGCCTCATGTCTTGACGGTAGGTTTGTTGGACGGGATACGGCGACGTTCGCGAGTCGCGAGAGTAGGGGTTTCCATATGTATGCAGAGGAGCAGGAGCAGGAGCAGGGGTTTGGTTGGCAGGTTGAATTGTTTGCGGCGCTGGAGCAGGTCGAGGAGCCAGGACCGGTGGATCGATGACTATCGTGTCGGTTTGTGAGAGTCTTCGTTTCTGGCCGGCTTGACGGGGCGGTGAATGATGGTCGCGTGTAACATAGGCTGCTTCTGCGAGCAATGACTGTAGTTCCTGATCGACATGTCCATGTTGTTGGGGTTGCATCTGACCCTCGAGAGCGTTCAAGCGCTCTGCGAGCTCTTTAATGTAGCCCTTACTTGGACCTCTCTTCANGGGCTGGCGACTGAAAGCGCATGCCGAATTGGAGCGCTTGCAGTTGGTACATGTCTCATGCTCGTTCAAGGCATCGCAACGAATCTTCTTACGGCGACATTCGTCGCATGCCCGGCTAACCTTGCTTCGTTTGTCCCTATTGTTGTCGGCGGTGTGTTGACCCGGTGGTGGACTCGGGTGGTGCTCGGGCAGGAGGTCGGGGTTCACGGCGTGTTGCGACGGCGATGTTTGTTGCGAGGGCAATGGTGCTGGTTGGGCATGTTGCTGCTGCTGGACATGATGCAAGTCGTCATGTGGTTGCGGCGAGTGTTGATGCGACGTGTTTGCCGACTCGTGAGTCGAGTGGTTCAGGCCCAGGGACCTGCTCAACTCTGCGCGGAGGGCCAGATCATCATCAATCTCCGGATGCTGTAGATGATGCGTAGCACCATGATGCGCAGCACCATTGTTTGACTGGCTGTAGTATGGCCCTAGAGAGGGGTCGACCACAGTCGGAGATGCGTAAGGGCTATGTCCGCTCGCCATCTACAAGAGGGTCGCGCGTAGAGGTTGCTGCGAGATGTGGAGAGGAGAGATATACAACGACTATCACAAACTCCATGCCGAGGTGCCCTAACGTGCTCAACCATCATCATACTCATGGCGTTGCAGAACCCACGGCTACACTACCGACTCTATTCTTCCGGGATTTCATCTCTCATGCTGTTATTCTGCCCATACCAGCCCATTACCGAAATCCTCGGATTAATGGTTTGGCCATCGCCGAGGGGCCCCTCTGAAGCCCCCTCCTGATCCCTCATCATTGCCAGACCGCCAGACTTGCCCGCAACTTGAGACCACGCCTGCCTAATTAAATGACCTGTTCAAACGGACGCCCTGCTTAAACCGAGGGGCCATTGTCTTTAGCCGTTGCATAAAGATCTAGGCTTTGATTCTGAAATACGTCTCAGAGAATTGGAATCATCTTTGTCTGCCGGAATGTCTCTGTCCGCTCAAATGAGACTTCATCATGATCATTGTCTTTGTTATTACATAGGTAGTTCTGCATATCACAATGGATTTCATGTCCTCATCTGTCATAATCACAAACACGAGATCATCAAGGGTGAAGGGACCGAGTCCGCGCTTGCGTTGTTAAAAGCCTCAACTCGAGGGATCGCTGTCAGCAGACGGACGGGCGATAACATTCATGCAACGACGGCCGCTATGAAGCGCGGTGCATAAATTGCAGTTGCTCGCAGACACGAATGAGGGAGGTGCGGTCATGCAGCATCAACTGTGCTTTGCAGCTGTTGACGGCATTCGCGCGTGCGTGATTCGAAGGATGCGATTCTGCAAGCGCAGCGGTCAAGTCCTTCCTTCACGAACGATCGGCGGCCTTGTTCCCCTTGAAAGTCGACGGGGTGGCTGTGAAATCATGACGAACGCTTAACGGGTCCTGGGTAAAGAACACCTCGAGCGTCGAAACAGGCGTCTTGAGCGGGCATAACAGGAAGTTGGGGTCCGGAGAGCGGAGGGGTTGCAGGCGGCAGATTGCGGATCGCGTTGGTGCTTTGGTGTATGGACAGGACGAGTCGAACGGCGGTCTCTTGCCTGTTTCAAACTTTAGCTCGGTCAGGTCGCACTTGGACTTTTAGTATTGGTTTGTTGGCTTGGCGTTCGAAGTGCGGGCTCTTCATGCCACAACGACTCTCCGTCCTCTCCTCTCTCACTACAATCGTCTTTCGACAACTTGTTTGTTTTGTGGTCACTCATATTTGCCCAAAGGCCATTCGAAAGGCCCCGACGTTGTCGGTGTGCCAAGGCCATACGCTCTGTGCTCTTTTCTCTATACGCCGCCTCTTGATCTCTCACCGCCGTCGTTGTCGTTTTGCCATCCACGCCGGCACCCGTCATACCACCGCCGCAAGGGACTCGACCGCAACATCCCGCCTGCTCCGCTCCCGCATCTCTGGCGTTCTGAAAGATCGTTTTCGCAAAGATACCTCCATTTTGCGATCCCTCTGTTTACATCCAGCTCCACGCTATTTTCCTTGGTCCATTTCTGTCCAAAACTCTGCAATAACAAGGCCCAATCCGTCAGGCCGGCCCTGCGACAAACCCCCACCACAAACCGCATCTTCGCGCGATCGACCGACGTATCCCCGCCGGCCACGCTCTCAATCCGTCAGGTATGGTAGTCAAGGAAGATGGGACCAAATGGGCATGCCAATCGTGCCTAAAGGGTCACCGTGTCAGCGGCTGCACCCATACAGGTAAGTGGCCGCTCCCTGACACCAGTATATAAAGTGCCTTTCTCATAGACATACCAGACCGTGAGCTCTTCTTTGTCCCCAAGAAGGGCCGCCCCATCACCCAGTGCCCACACTGCCGCGCCGAACGCAAGAAGCGCTCATCCCATGTCAAGTGCGATTGTGGAGAGAAACCCCACACCAAAGAGAAATGTATCCATCTGCGCGAGGCCGAAGCCAAAGCTGCTGCTGCCGCTGCCGCTGCCGAATCTGGCGTACCTATGCCTNNCCCCCCTTCCGCCTCTGGAGAACATCACTCGCCTGAACTCTACCCCGTTGCTGAAGAATCCCCGCTATCCGACGAATATCGTTGCTGCTGTCCCCACGGTGGGAAGTGTGTTTGCTCAACCCTCAAGGAATCGTCCCCTGAAGACGCTAAGGACCACAAGGAGCCTGTCGAGAAGTCGCCCAAGAAGGATGCTGTCAAGGAAACATCAACCGTACCTAAGAAGTCGCTGAGCCAACGCAAGCCACGACTCACTTCGCACCAGTCCGAAGGTCATCTGACCGTCTTTGCCAACGGCCACCACAAACCATGCCATCGCAACAACAATGCTGCTCATGAATCTGGTGCTCCTTACAAGCTGCCTCGCTCGCATACCACTCAACCCATCTCGGCCAAGAGCAATGCTCGCCGTTCAATAGACAGCCTTGCTTCAGTCGCCTCGAGCCAGCCACACTCTTGGTTCCAGCCAAACATGTCCGCCCAGCCGTCGACCACCAATTCTGGTCAAGCTTCGCCAATCTCCGCCATTACCATGCAGGCTGGAACCATGCAACAAGAGCGCAAGCTCTCGAACGACAGCCAGCCTCAATACCCTGTCGCAAGTGTCTCATCAAGTGTTCCGACATCCATGTTCGCCGACTTTGGCTTCCCTAGCACCTCGTCCATTGGTACCACCACTACTGAAGCCTCTATGCCATCGTTCTCCTTGCCAAGCTCTGACCTCGGCATGAACACCGACTTTTGGAACAACTTCGACTGGTCCAAGGTTGACACTACTTCCTTCGATGTTCAGCCTGCTCTGACAAATACTTCTTCTGGCACCATGTCTGAAGTCGACGAGATTCCAGCTACTGAGGAGATCAATCCTTTCGACAACAATCCTTACCAGATGAGCATGCAAGGTCTCGTAGGCACTAGCGTCAACAACAGCACCAACAACTTTGATCTTGACTTTGCTGTCGCTGCTGGACAGTCAAATCGCTGGAGCATGCCTGGCTACTCAAATCAGAACACAAGTAACATCGATCTGGCCTCAATGACTGCTGACACCTTCGCGAAGCCCAAGCAGTCTCCTGACCAGTCCATGTCCCTTGGTCAGTTCTCTGGTTTCGACTTGGCTTCTTCTGTTCAGTCTCAGTCTCCTGCGCAATCCAACTTCCAGTGGGACACGGCTCTCATGGATTATGCTATGGGCAACAATACCGATAACAGCGCCTCGCTTGCATACTCGGTCGCCGGTTCTTCAGGCCCCTCAATGGCTCCAACTGCCGCCCCTTCCCCCAAGTTCAACGCAGACAATTCAAGCGTCAACGACCAATTCTTCGACTTTGACACTGGCTCAAAACTTGTCAACTGGAATGACAGCATCATGGTTCCTGCCGGACAAGACTTTCTCAACACGTACAACTACGATCAGAACTTCTCGACAAATGATTTCAACAGCCAGGGCTGGACAAGCTAACCCTTGTGGTGGGCTTCCCAAGGCCCGTCAGATTGATATGCGCTTCTCTTGTCTTAATGTTCTTGATTAACGATGCTGATGACTCATGGTATAGAGCCTCTCCTATATCTTCCTCCCATTTTTCAGCTTCTGAGTAGTTGTTGTCTGGTAGCAGGTTTTATTTTCTTCTGGGCTATACCCAATACTATTACTTTATTGTGGTTTCTTATCCCCCTTTTTCACTTTCGGCTTGTCGATTTTATCTTCAAAGTCTTGATTGTTGAAGTCACTCCCTTTTTCAATTTCCTTTACACGCCCCTTTTTCACACTTCCGGCTGCACCGGTCTACATTTGACGCCTCTCATGTCAATACTCGTCATCTGGAAACTGGTCAGCTGGGGGACGCTTTGCTTAGGATCTCTCTCTTTCGGCTCAAGCCGGTCGAGAGTATTCTACCCTTTGCGTCTCATGGTCTCTCATACCCTTGTTTTTGCGGAAAGCGTTGGAGCTGGCGGTCAGGTTGGTAGTTTTGAAATAGAGCGAGCTAAAAAATGGCAAGACCCATTTCCAAACAGTGTCATCAATACCCTTCCTGGTATACGTTTGATCTGCGAAACCTGATTTTACTTGCAATCGTGACCACGATTGTTTTCCGCATCTTGCCGACTGGACGAAGCACTTCTTTTCGCATCATCATCCAAGTATGATTGCGTGTGGCCAGAACTGACGCCTTCGTGCAAGTGTACCCTGGATTCTGTAGACGGGGGCTTACGCGTCCAGACTTTAGCAAAGCAAGACAATCCTTATTCCCGGTTCTCTTGCCCACTTGCGTGTTTCAACCTTGGATTCAAGCATGAAAAGCTACCAGATCCTTACAGAGCGTCGTTGCTCGAATGCATCAGATGATTGCTATCGAGCGTCTCGCTATCTAGAGGTACTGTGTATGACGTTTGGTATGTTGGTTTGTGGTTTCTGAGGAGTGAGGCTTGTCAGACTTGGTCACACGAATTTCGTTGCCCAAAGACACGGGATGGAGTTCGAACAAATACGCAAAAGATTTGCTAGGTTACGGACATGTCAAACATGTGATTTATATTGGTACAAGTAGGAAAGTGAGAAATAGGCCATGGAAAAGTCGTTGAGAGTGCGACCCTGCCTACACTTGAAATAAAACGAAGATATGCAGCTTATGATGATTCAATGAGGGGCTCAACTGACTACAGCCGAAGAAGAACAGCTGTTTGTAGTCCGGCAATAGGTCCAGGAATCTCAAAGAACAGTAGATATGGATAGTTATACAATACCGCTTTTACATATATTTTACACATCAAAAGGTCGCCTGTTCAGGACGAACAACTGCTTTAGTTCAAAGGCTTGATACCCTTGTGGATGGCAGCAATACCATTGGTCAAGTCTTCCCAACCTTGACCGTTCTCACCACCAGGAACAACGAAACCAGCTTCCTTGATCATATCCCTCCACTCAGTCTGGCTGGGGAACCTCTCAATACTCTCAACAAGATATTGGTAGCTGTCTCTGTCTCCAGCAACGACTTGGCCAATCAAAGGAATGGCGGCAAAACTCCAGCGCTTGTAGACGAAATCGAAAACAGGGTTGTTGACCTTGCTGAACTCGAGACAGGCAAAGACACCACCGGGCTTCAGGACACGGAATGCCTCCTTCAGCGCAATGTCCTTGTGTGTGAAGTTTCGGATACCGAATGAGACTGTGTACAGATCCATACTGTTGTCGGGGATCATGTGCAAGTCTTCAGCATTGGCCTCTACGAAATCCAGTCTTCCGGTGCCGTTGTAGTGGGAAGCGGCAGCGCGCTTGCGACCTTCGGCAAGCATGTCTGGGTTGATGTCTGAGATTGTGACGTGTGTGTTTGGGTCGTGGTTTATGTTTGTCGCGTGGTCGAGGATGCGGAAGGCGATGTCGCCGGTGCCGCCTGCAATGTCGAGGATCTTCCAGCCGGTTTGGGGCGCGCCGGGGGTATGGCTTCCAGGGTTCAGACTGCGGACGAAGTGGTCTTTCCAGAGGCGGTGGATACCCAAGGACATGAGGTCGTTCATTGTGTCGTAGGATGAGGCGACGGAGCTGAAGACGGCACCGACTGTCACGTTGGCCAATTAGCTAATGCTTCTAATATACCACAGGTACTGGGAAGTGTTCGTACCCTTTGACTCCTTCAACGACTCGGCAATGCTCTCGAAACCGAAATGCGTCGTCTTCTCATCATTGCGACCAGGTTTCTGCTCGGCAAGGTATGGTGAAGACGAAAAGGCGCGAACAGGCAAAGGCGTAACAGCACGAGTGGAAAGCCGTAACCGCTTTGCGGCGCGAGGAACGAATGAAGACATGTTGATGCTTGGTTAGTACTTGCCTCCAACTTCAACAACCATCAACTTTGGCAAATCAAACGCTCACGCCGCTGCCGCCAAGCAATACCGGAGATTAGATCCGACGGGTAGATCCTTGGGTCAGCGTAGGGCGTACCCCAGACGGAGCAGGAGGGCGCTCCTCGTACCGAGGACCCGAGTCTGCGGAGGGGTACCCATCATTGTACTTCTCGGTCTCCTGTCTCTCTAGACATGTGTCTAGTCGCTGGTTTGCATACAATATGCGTCTTCTCAAATCTTCGTTTCCTGCCGTGACCCGCTCTTCAAGATGCTATTTCCAAAGTGTGACCAAAAGATGGAATTCAGTATCACAACGGCCAGGCTCAGATCGGTATATTGTTGTCTGGGCTTCTTGTCTATATTTTGCTAACAAGTCGCCNAGAGTACGCTTTCCTGGTGCCATAGACAGCAAGTTCACAACCAATCTTGACTTTACCCGGCCTTCGAACAAGAAAGCCATGCCGACTTATCGCATCCTCGACCAAGATGGTGTAATTGTCGACAAGTCACGGGAACCATCAGATATCTCAGATGAACATTTGGTCAAGATGTACAAGGATATGTTGAGCGTGAGCAGTACGTATCGATCTATTTCAAGCGTCAAGAACAGGACTAATCAAAACAACNNAGTCATGGATGTAATCATGTTCGACGCGCAAAGACAAGGCCGTATCAGTTTTTACATGGTCTCAGCAGGAGAAGAAGGCATAGCAGTCGGCTCAACCTCCGCCTTAGACCCCAGTGATCCCATCTTTGCCCAATACCGCGAAACCGGCATTTTCAAGTATCGCGGCTTTACCCCTACAGACTTTATGAACCAACTCTACGCCAACAAGCACGATCCTGGTTTGGGTCGCAACATGCCCGTCCATTACGGAAGCACGAAGTATCATATCCACACCATCAGTTCACCTCTAGCCACCCAAATCCCTCAGGCTTCTGGTGCTGCTTATGCGGTCAAGATGCAGAATGCCATGAACCCCAAAGACACACAACGCTGTGTGGCATGCTACTTTGGCGAGGGCGCAGCGAGTGAAGGCGACTTTCACGCTGCACTAAACATTGCCGCTACCAGAAAATGTCCCGTCATCTTCATCTGCAGAAACAATGGTTATGCAATTTCGACGCCAACGCTTGAGCAGTACCGTGGTGATGGTATTGCATCCAGAGGTGTAGGCTATGGCATTGACACCATCCGCGTGGATGGCAATGACATCCTCGCCGTCAGAGAGGTCACCAAAGAGGCTCGCAAGATGTGTCTCGAAGATGGCGGTAAACCCATCTTGATCGAAGCAATGAGTTACCGTGTCTCGCATCACAGTACATCCGACGATAGTTTTGCTTACCGCGCCAAAGTGGAAGTGGAAGACTGGAAGCGCAGAGACAACCCCATCACTCGCTTACGCAAGTGGATGGAAGGAAAAGGCATCTGGGACGACGAGAAGGAAAAGGAAGCTCGAGCAGTACTAAAGAAGGAGATCTTGGATGCATTCAAGCAAGCCGAGAAGGAGAAGAGACCAGCATTGAGGAACATGATGGAAGGAGTTTACGAAGAGCTGACCGAGGAGCAGAAGGAACAGATGGAGAAGCTCAGGTCTATTATCGAAAAGTATCCTGACGAGTACGACGTCAGTGAATACGAAGGTGGGCTCGATAGTCTGAAGAATTAGCTTCGTACTCCTTGTGTGAAAGACTGTCATAAACTCACGATCGATCCCTCTCACATGCACGAAGGCTTTGGATGCGCAAGCCACTGTATCTGTTTCACTCATATCCAGATAGATGTCCTCAATCCCACAATCACCATAGGCATTTTGCCGCTCAGCCTGTTGGCTCGAACTATTTCTCGGAACCCCTCGACTCTCGGCGCTGTCAACATTACTATGCTGGCAAGGTACCTGCAAAGCAAACAAACGCCGCAATCTCCCAGAGGGCTTCCTTGATAAGTATAGACTGTCAAAGAACACAATATCGTTCAAAGTAAGCACTAACTCTTCGAGACATGTCTTGATCTCAGAGCAGGTCATATGGCCCACGGTATTGATGATTTCTGTTGTGACTCTTTGGATCTTTGGAATGGTGCTGACGATGCCGTTCGAAGCGTGTGCTAGCCATCAAAGTATGTAGCGAGTGTCCAAACATTGCTTTGTGCTGCGCATAGCACTGGACCTCGTACGTAGCCATTGACACAATCAGACGTATGGCCACCCATCATCCGAAGTAGGCTTACCGCTGACGATAGTTTCTAGATGAACACAAACGACATCTTGCAGTGGTTGGAGACTATCAATAGCTTCCAACCACAAACTGGCCCAGTTGACTGTGCTCTGGCACATGATTACCAGATGGAGGTACTCCGCAAGCACTGCGCTAGGTCGCTGCCTACCTAGTCAGGATTGAAATCCCGGCTCCAACTCCACCACCATGACTCGCTCCATACATGCCATAAAAATCCGATGAGGCAAAGGAGCATGACTACCAGGTAGAAGTGTACCAAGAATACCGCAACGAGTCGTTGCCTGGCCATGATTCGGATTTTAGCATGAGCTGTACCATGGAGACTCCTACTGACACTACGCCACAGGAAGCACAGGTGGGTATGGGTGAGATAGCAGGCATCAATCACCTCGCTAGCCCCTTCAATACTACCTCGCCAGCAAGGCATCCACATAATCAACAGATACTACACTCTTCCAGAAAACTCCTTCTAAGACACTGAACTGTCGAAAAGCACGATACTTGTGCATTCCAAATTTTGCGCAGAGAGGCCACGAGAAATAGAGACTCCCAACGAAATAGTCAGGAGAATCGATAACGTTTTGCATTCCGGTGATCTATCAAGAAGGGCAATGCCATTCAGAGCCAGGAATAGCTGTCCAAATTGTCTGTACGTGACCTTCTGATGTTTCTTGATCAGCTGTTCATTGGCAAGAAGCCTTTGCATGATCATTTCGTTCCGTGCCAGGATGATATCAGTTCGGGCACGCACCCGCTTTGGGCGATAAGGGGGCTCCTGGTCAAGTCTCTTCCGGGTAGCTCCCAATCATGAAATCGTGCAGTCTAGATTCGGTTATGATGACTCTAAAGAGAGAATGGTCTACATGACTGACGGCTCTGGAGCCCGAGTCTTGACTTTAAGGACAGGAAGATTCCTCGATCTTCCGTTGACCCAAACGATCCGGTGTAATTTATTACACCATTTGCCCTGGGCGACCAGCTCTCCTCTTCTTTCTAGGATCCTGACGATCTGGTAATCTCGTGACTCAATTGTGATACTGACGTTCGACTGAAGAGTTAGCTGGCACCCAGCAAACCTGCAATCTCATTATTTGCATTAGCGGTAGGGAGCTTGACCCGCTCTTTTCAGGACTTGTTACGGAAATTGATGTCTGACATGGTGGTATAGGAGAGTGGTATGTAAAAGGAATATTGGAGTACCAGGGCTCAAAGAAAGGCTCGAAGAAGAGAGTCCGATATACAATGTTTACTATGAAAAAGTGGTCACAAGCAAGGGGTTGAGTGCATATCATGTATCATGATTAGATATGGCAGGAACGAAGGACGCATATGCCCATACCACGAACACTACTAGCAGGTGAGTAGGAGCAGCAAGAGGAGTTATGAGAGAACATAAGGCAGGCAACGACTGCAAACAGCAAGGTTGCTGAACCACTGAGCATCCTTCAGAACACGAGCATCTCATTTTCTCCATTTTCATATCTATACTTTGACTACGAAACGGTGGAGTCGTCGTCACCAACAGGTCGAGAACTTCCAATGTCTGACTCTATAAAAGGCCATCTTCCTTGGAAAATAGGGCCACAACCACAAAGAACGGCACTGGCTTCGCACACTGGTCCCCAGGCCTGAGTTGACTCACACTGGTTATCCAAAACAATTCGTGCCAATGTATGGACAACTTTTCTTCTGGAATGGACCATTGACAACACTGCTCATCAACCAGGGCCCCAAACAACACCAATATGACCTACTCCCCTTTATAAACTCTCTCCGAGAAAGTATCTTGCAGTTCTGCAGCTGCATTGCGGCAGTCTTTTGTGCAGGGGAGATATCACCTCTCCTGAGACCAATCAGTGGCCTGAGCGATGTGGTTGTTGACGCAGTCCTGCTGTCCGACCAGATCGCCTACATCTAGCCGGCAAGCGTAACCCAACGCACCACCCTCCAGTGGTGAGAACTCCCTCATGAAATCGTCGGTGTCGTCGTGCTTGAATTCTGGCGACAGAGCAGACCAAAAAACAAGCTCAACACCTTCCAGTTTCGCATGGCTAAACAGCACAACATGTATAAATGATGGATTGAGGGACGTGATGTAATGGACGTCAAAGTGAAGGTAAAACTGGAGGCAAAAGTGAGTGAAAGAAATGCGTCGTGCTTTACAAGGGCGTCGCCGCTGCCCAATGTGTGGGAGGGAGGGGAGATGGCATGCCAGTTCACAGACCAAGGGAAGGGCAGTGATACAGCTAACCAAGAAACTATGATACTCTCGATGCGCTGAGATGTTGAATACATACTATTATGATGCACGATGTATTTTGAAATTGAGTTGTTACCTTGATGGTCTTTCATCATTTAAAGTCTCGTCTAATTATACTTGGACTGTGATACGCTATTGCCCTGATCGATTACGGGCCTCAAAAACCATTTGCCCTAAATCATGCAGAGCATTTCGTATATCTCTCTCTTCCTGTGCCCCAATGACCATGGTTTTGCAGTTGATGATGAGATCTTGTATCCTTGCAATCACCCAGTGGGACTGGGTTGGTGGCTGTTCGTTGATGGCCTGTTCCGCTTCATGCTTCAGCTGCGAGTCTGCTTCTTGGTCGTCATCCTTTCCATCCTCTTCCTGCTCATCAATCATTGCGTCATCGACCAATGACTCTTCCACCAGCGAAGAGCCGCCAGATGGCCTTGGGCTGACAAGAACAGCTTCAAGTTCGCGACCTCGGCGACGGTGCGTAGGTGAAAGCATGACATGTTCGATTGACTGGCCTGTTTTTGCATCTTGACTTCGGGTGATTCTCCGGGCCTTGGTAGGTGCAGGCGTATCGATGACCAAAGATTCCTCGTTCTCGTCTCCTTCGACTGTCGACGCACGACGCTTCGAAGCTCGAGTTCTGACCGATGAAACCGGAGCCGACACAGGTGTCGTTGATTTTCGAGGTCTTCCACGTCCACGTTTGACAGTAGCTGGAGCAACACTTGCTGGAGTCGTTTCTGGGATTTGAGAGTCCTCTGCAGATTCCGACTGAGATTCGTCTTCTTGATCCCTTTGACTCCCGACCACGATACAGTCTTGCACATCTTCATCTTCATCATCATCGTCTTCCTTCTCCGCTTGACTACCGGTGACGTAAGAAAGCGCTCTTGTGACCATGCGTCTGAATGGTGATGCAGAAGATTTACGGCGTTTAGCTGAAACTTGTGCTTCTTGTGGTTCTTCTCGCTTTCGCTTGGACGCCGAAGAAGCAAGATTTGGCTGTGCAGTACGATCTGTTTGCATCTCTTGGGCTGAAGCTGTATCATCTCCATCGGGTGTGCTTCCTACGAAGGAGTCCAAGATTCTGCTGACATCGCCAGTTGTGACAGCAGCCTCGGGCGCAGAGAGGTGTGCAGAGTTCTCAGTTTCCTCTTGAGGCTGTTCTATGAGACTATCTGCGAAGGGTATGGGAGAAGAATCATCGGATTCGATGGCATCCTGGTCTCCCAACTCTTCCCCAGCAATCCGGCTGTTGGTCTTCTCATCGTCCACGGTTGAGTTTTCATTGTTGAGTTCCGAGCGAGCGTCAGTGAAGACATCTGATGAGATACCACCTTCGGAGTTCTGGTTAAGACGCTTAACCGAAGGATGCGCGTGAACATGCAGGTGTGCCGCTTGCTCGACAGTAGGTACCTCTGCTGGCAGTACTTTTGCGCCATCGATTCTCGATTGTTCTATGGGCACAATTGTAGAGAAATCCTCAGGAACAGTATCAAACCGAGCGTCGCTTGTTCCCTGTTGTTCGGCAGACTGCAAGTTCTCGATCTCGGTTGTGCCCTCGTACACGGTTTCATCGGCCATATCTTCGTCTGCCATCTCTTCGTCTGCCATCTCAGGTGGCGAAGATGGAATGTTGTCATCCTCGGCTTCAGCAGCTGAATCATCTAAATCTGGGGTCTGCGCGGCAGCGGGTTGCAACTTCTCAGCTGCCTTTGGTGTAGGTGAAGAGGTGATGTACTCGTCCATCGGCCCGTGCTCATCATTCAGCGTGGGTGTAGCATATCCGTTCTCCGTGGGGGCTTGCTGGCCAGAGAAATCCAGTAGCGGCAATCCCGACTTCGAAGCTCTCCTTCGTGGTCCTGGGCTTGACGAGAATTCAGGATATAGTGGCGCCGTTTCGAACTGCTGTCGGGATCTAACCTCTCTCTGATGTTCAGTGAGAAGCTGAGACTCCATTGCAACTGGTGACGAGCTCTCGACAGCTGTGAACTCAACTTGAGAATCATTGTGTCGTAGTTTCGATTTTGGTGCTCCTTTGGGAGCAGGTAGCCTTCTTGCAGTGGGCTCCGCCCTTTGTGGACTAGAGGAGATGGCACGACTCAGCACACTCGTTCTCTTGGATCTCCTGATGGGTTGCTGCTTAGTAGGCGAGGNGGTTTCCTGAATATTCGCGTCTTGCTGAGACTCGATCAAGTCGCGCAGAGGTGATGGAGCCTACTGTTGTCAGTTTTGAAAGTATGACTGTACTTGGGTCTTTCTTACCGATGCTTCATCGTTCTCTGGGAACCCAGGCAGGTCCAGTTCAACGAGCGGCCGAAGTCGCCTCATCGCTTGCTCNNCAACCTGGCTGGGATATTCAAGTGAATCGAGCTGACCAAAGGTAGTGTTCCAGAAAGACACGGTGAGGTTGATGATGTCTCGATGCGTGCTGTTCAAGCCAGCTGCGAATAATTGATCCAAACCTTTCAACAGTGTCTTGTTGGATGGTAGGCTCTTCAGCTGGGCGAGTATGGATTGCCAGAGAGCGAGTANCCTAGATATGTTAGCAGTTGGACTGGGACGTGTTGCATATCATTGGCTTACTTTGGAGAACACTTCCTGAGTCTCCTTGCTACCTGCAATCACGCGACCCTCATCCTTGACCACCAAGGACAATCCTTGTTGCACCTTGCGTAGTGCAGGTGACGCAAACAGAGATAGAGGACATCTCGACAGGAAGTCTTGAACCGCTCCAATCAGTTCTGCTAGATACTGGGCGACCTGCTCAAAGCTATCATATGAGACCATCAGAGCTGAATTTGCGAGCTCATATACGTGGTTGAATGGCTCAAAGCTCGACTGCTTCGAAAGCGGAGGGTGTGTGTTCCAAAGAGATCTGCGTGCTTCGTCCATCTGATGTTTGTTACGAGGGAATGCTCCCACTCGAAGCAACTTTCCAGTGAACTGGACAAATACAGATTTCGAGGTCATTTCATCTTTGTGCTGTAACAGCGATTCGGCCAAAGGCTCCATGAGACCAAGAACCACACCGCCTTCACCAGCTTCTTGTTTAAGAATCCTTGCCAGTACACCCACAAGTTCGAAAGCAGCAGGTAAAGCATCATGACCTTCATGTTGATGATGGAGACCTGACGCCAGTATTGAAATAGCATGCCGAGCTTGATATCCAAGGCGAGCTGGTTCCTGAACAGGTTCATTGAGACTAGAATCAAGAAGAACTTCAGTGGTTTCTTGTACTGCCGCTGTCCACAACAACACTGACGTCGACGCCAAACTTGATTGTGAACATTTGCGTATGAGCTCCAGCCGTTCCTTGCGCGAGTTTTTACCCTGACAGATGTGGTGGAGCAATTCCCTCGCAGCATCAGAGTAGGCTACGTCTGTGCTGATTGCGGGCGGCGGCTGAGCAAATAAATCGAACAAAAAGACAGCAGGTGACTGCAGTCTCGTATGGTGTTTCGACGTACGATTCGACGGAGTCGGTGCAGCCTCGAAAGTCTTGGACTCACTACGAGCCAAATTCTCTTCGCTGAATGGCAAGGGACGGATGATGTCGACAGAGCATTGGACAAGGGCCGTGAAGCGTGATATCCAAGGAGTTTCCAGATGATCCACACTCTTCGGAGCCTTTGCCCAAAGACGACCAANAAGATTCATCAGCTGAGCTAAGCACTCCTTGAGCTCTTGGGACCTCAATACCTCGTGACTGCCAGCACTGGCAATGGCAGTCAAAAACTCACGCCAGGGTGTTCCATCTATACCACGACCGTCACCTGATTGAGCCAAGGACAGCTCGAGGAAAGGGCCCAGCAATTCAAGGATCTTCTGAGCTCTGGAACGCACCCACTTAGAGTCCAGTCGAGGCAAAGCCTCCGGAAGTATCGGGGCTTTGCTTGCTACCTCCTCGTCCCAGACGGTCGACTTGCCGTCGAAAAGCGCCTTGAGCACTCGACAGGCTAGGCTGGCATCTCGTCCACCAGCGAGGAGTAACTTTAGAAGGACTTCCTTGACATAGACATCCCAGAAGTAGTCGAGATCTTGCCAAGGCTGAGAAGGTCGCAGGGCGTAATGTAACAAGTTGCAATATCCAGAAAGTGCGATGTGACGGACCTCCTTACTCTTCTTGTCTCGACCCTTGTTAGTGTGAAGAATATGTACGAAAGGAACTCGAAGCGTATGATCCCATCCTTCCATCTTCTCCAACATCTCGCGATCTGGATTGGCGACATAGACTAGACGATTCCAAGCGCATGTGGCTCTAAACTTGACGGTAATATTCTTGCTGTTGAGGCAGTTTTGAATCAAGAGGAACCACTCTTCGCAGAACAATCGCCATTGTGATAGCTTGACTTNTTTGCTTCGGAAGAAAAGTACCACCATCGACCAAATCTGTGGAACGGCCTCCTCAAGATCTGTGTTCTCACCACTCTCTCTTGGTTTGGACATGTCGAAAAGACGGGCAGTGAAGTAAGCACCGTAAGTGTTGCCTTCAGCAGTGACTGTGTGGAATAGATCAATGATGACTTTTGTCGACGAATAGCTTGTTCCATACATCATGGCGGCTTGCATTCCTGTTTCGATGGCGCGCACTCGAACGTCTTTGATGCTACTCAGAACACCGTGGAAAATGTGAGGCATCCAGTCACGCATACTAGCAAGCATGGTAGTGGNGGCTTGATCCATCAGACGCTGGAAGATGACCAAGCGAGATGCTATGACACTGTTGCCGCTGACACGCTCGTGGATTGTGGTGAGGGAAGAGACAATACGCTCTACCTTGGTTGAGGTCATGACTCTTGACGGGAAGCGTTGAGTTGCGAGAAGGAACATGTGATGGTTGGCGATAGATTTTGGCACAGGGTCTTGTTCCAGAATCTCAATAGCACGATCGACAAGCAGAATCTCAAATTGCTCATCCAGAGCGTCGGCAAGAGCAGGCATCATGAGAATCGCAGTTGTAAGCTTCAGGGCTTGTGTGGTTAGACTTGATGTCATTGGATCTGATTTGCGGGTCGATTCGAGAATATCTCGAGACATGTATTTGACGAGCATAGGCATCTTAGAACGCATTGCGTCGACGTCGGGCAGATCGTCGTAGGCCTTGAGAGCACCATTGAGAGTACTGTATCCGTCCAAGCGCAGTGCCGTTGAAGGAGCATCGAGGAATTTGAGGACCGAGTCGAGCATGACGGGGAAGGTCTTGGGGTCGGAGATAGAGAAGTAGTCGGCGGCGGGCGATGCAGCGTCGGGTGTAGGGGTTTGCAGGTCAAGGCTGGCTTTCAGAATTGATCTGACAGGTCTGGGCTGCTTGCTCGATGGGAATCGACGAGGGAGTGGACTGGCAGCACCTGCTGAAGTGGGATAGAAGGGTGTAGGATCATGAGCAGTGACGCATGGTGAGAACTCGACTCGCTTGCTGGACTTGTGCTGCGAGCCTCCTCCCTGNNTTGATGAAGGCGGAGATGGCTGGACCGGAGTGCCCGTACGAGAGCAGGTTGGTCGTACTTGTTCAGGCTCGGCTTCGAAGTCGACGTCCAGAAGACTAATGGCTTGGTTTATTTCGTGGTCGACGTCTGTGGGAGGAGTAGGAGGACGATTCGCGAGATGCTCGAAAGGCTCAGCAGATACCATTGCCGTACGAGAGAAAAGAGGTTTAGTCTGAGGTCTTGTTCAATCGACCCTGCTTGTTCAGCATCAGCAGCATAATCGTGTTGTCTTTGAGCGTTGTCTGGTAAACTCCAAGTCCAGAATGACGCGCCTCGAACGTGCTTTCCTCGCGTTCCACTTAACCATTTTTCTTGGCGCGCTTGCAGTTGCTTGGTTGACCGCTTCCCAATCCGGAAATTGCTCCTTCCTTCCACTTCGGTCGTTGAACCTTGACATATACCACGTTCCGCCATGTTTGCTCGACCCTCACCAGCCGCTGGCCAAGGTACGTATGCCAGAGATTTTTGTCCTCTCTCCTGTAACGCCTTCAAGCAACCATCACACTTTGAAAATGTACGATTGTTCCCGAAACAAAGATGTATCGAAAGAACGCCGATCGGATATCGCGTTGCAGTGGATACTGTCCCGTTTCCAATAACATTGTGCATTTTCATGGCTACCTGAGTTGCTTAGCACAAGTCTCGGAGAGACTGTGGTTTGCCTTTGAATTTCCGCTGACACATGTGCTCTCTAGGCAAGGCCCGGGTCAATGAGCTCCTGAACAAACTCCAGGTCGATCTGCAGGCCGAAAAGTTGACCGCTGAAGAACGTCAAAGTCTTCTCGAGAAATTAAAGGTTCTTGGAAGAGATCCATCAAACTCTGAATCCATCTTCGCTAGAAAGGGGATCGAAATACTTTGTGAATATGGCTTCGACGTCGCTGAGCTAGAAGTGTCTCAGGAAGCTCTGAGATGCCTAGCTAACGCTATGCTGTTACAAGAAGCCCCAAGGCAATATCTACTGGACTTGGGATATGGTGACAAGGCAGCTCAGAGACTCAGGGTTGGTCACCACTTGATGCTGCGTGAAGAACTCAGACTGACTATTTGTTAGAACGACGATCGAAACGACGAATTTCTCATCTCTCGCATCATATTCCTGCTAACATACAATACCACCGTCGATCTCACAGAGCTCGTCGAAAACAATGAGCTAGCCAACAGCATCTGCCGAGTATGACTGGCTCCGTATGCTTCTAGAAAGCGGATAGTTGCTAACACATGAGCANNGAATTTAGCTGGACATGCTGACAGGCTTGCTGATCCAACCAGCCAAACTGCTCACCCGATGAACGACATGGCATTGACGGAGACTTTGAAGCTGTTGTATAATGTAACAGCCAAGCAGCCCGATCTAGCAATCAGGTTTGCAAGCTCGGTACCAGACCTGTTCAGCATTCTATCTCACCAGAAGCTGCCTGCGCCGCCATTGCAAGGTTCCGTCAGTGCCACCATCAATGCATTGATGAACATGCTGATATCACATGAAACTTGTCCTACCAATGCACAGGTGAAGCAATTGATCGACATCCTCGATTGTTCGACGAAGGCGTATCCGGAATCGGAACTCGAGCAAACTACAACTCCGCTATTGTTACTGTTGCGCAAGATTCAGATCAAAGCATCATCAGATGTGCGCGAACAAATGCAGTCTCTCTTATTGCCTACTGTAGAGGACCGTTCCAAACCTCTGGGTCAAGGCGATTCGCTGCCTTCCAGACTACTACGACTTTCCATCTCTCCCGCTCTGGTGAACCTGCGTGAGAGTATCTCCACTTTGCTCTATGAGCTCTCGGACAGCGATCCAACAACATTCATTCACAACATCGGATACGGCTATGCTGCTGGTTATCTCTCTACACACAAGATTGATGTGCCGGAGACTATGATGAAAGCGGATGCCCAGAGTGCAGATATCAACCCTGTCACTGGTCAACGTCTGGCTGCCGAACCCACAAACCCTGAACCCGAAATGACAGACGAAGAGAAGGAGCGTGAAGCCGAACGTCTGTTTGTGTTATTCGAGAGGTTGAAGGCTACTGGTGTTGTTGATGTTGAAAACCCAGTGCATCAAGCCATGAGAGAAGGTCGCTTTGATAACTGAGGACCTACATTCGCCAGTCTAAAAATCGATGGGTACAAAATCTTGTGGCATTCGTCAAAGAGTGGCCAGGTATCTCAAACGAAGGACTCTCAGTCATTCAGATCCACGTGCCTTATCGAAGTTGAGCAAGTTAATGCTGATGACATACGCATGGCTGTAGTCCAATAAAATTTGCTCAAATATGATCTGACTGGTCATTGTGAATAATACATGATATCTGCTTATAAAGACCTTCGGCCTGCGTTTTCCCCCTTCACTGTTTACTATCAAATCGACTTGGCTACTATGGTCAAAACAACACAGCTCATGTGGGCGTTCCTTACGGCCATGGGCGCAGTCGCAGAGCGCTTTGGCCGTCTATTGGAACTCCGTACGAACTCTTCGTATATCGTCGAGGTCGAAACGACAGCGTTCCTTGGACAGTTGCCGGAAAGCCATGAGCACTTCGCAACCATCTGGACCGCCTTGAAGGGACTGGGGAAAGGATGTGGTCGTTTGGGCTGAGGCTGTCAACAATGGTCCCGGATGCGGCGGTAGCTCAGAACAGTGGTGAGTCAATGTGAGCGTGAGCGAACAAGAGGAAGAAGTGAGTCAGAGCTGCAGTCGTACGAAGTGTCAATGAGCTGGAGTTCAAGCAAAGGTTTCTCTCGGTCGGGTCCGCGAGTCGTGGCATCGGAAGTGATAAGCACCTGTGGTGTCCGAGATAGGCCGTGCACGAGAGGTCCTGCCATTGTTGGGCAAGTCACTTCCTTATATGGATGAAAGCTTCGGCACAATGACGCGTGACAAGGCGATAACGCGTGGGACCCTTGTGGTTTTTCTCTTGGATCCTCGGGTCACTCTTTTAAGAAGGCTGGGTGATGGACGCACAGCGCGCCCTTCGGCTCAATTGGTATGGAGCTTGCTCTCAAAGATAAGCCGCTTGGCCTTCCTTTGCAATGCCGCTACATTTAAAGTCTGCCTGATCTGCAGCCATGTAGAAAATCTCTCACTCGTAGGTCCTGCTTCCCTCGTTTCCTCCAAACTTTCCCCTTCTGGTTGCTCGAAGATGCGTTTCTCGTCCAGCATTGCCTCTGCCCTCTTGGGTTTGAGCTCCGTCGTTTCTGGATCCGTCGTGCACAAGCCTGTTGCTGTTGCTGAAAGAGCACTGGAATATGTGATCAAGCCAAAGATGGTCATCATCTCCATGTTTGCTCCCGAGGCTGAGATCTGGTACGGCATTCCCGAGTTCAACCTGCTGGCAAGAAACATCACCCTTCCTGGCGCTTCGCCCTTGTTCCCTGATGTTCACTGTACCGAGGATGGAGATGTCTGCCAGGTCATCACGGGAGAGTCTGAGATCAATGCCGCCGTCACCATCGCCTCGCTGGTCCGTAGCCCTCGCTTCGACCTGACCACCACTTACTTCATGATTGCCGGTATTGCTGGTATCAACCCTGAGGTCGCTACCATCTGCTCCGTCACCATCGCTCGCTACGCCGTCCAGGTCGCTCTTCAGCACGAATTCGANCCCCGCGATATCCCTGCCAACTACAGCACTGGATACATCCCTCTGGGTGCTACCAGCCCTTCCGAGTACCCCCAAAACATCTACGGCACTGAGGTCTTCGAGGTCAACCAAGACCTGCANAAGATTGCTGCAAACTTCGCCCGCAAGGCAACCCTCAATGACTCTGACGCCGCCATTGCCTACCGTGCATTGTACGCCCACGATCAGATCTACGCCGCTGGTGCTTCCCCCAGCGGCCCCAGTGTCGTCGAGTGCGACGTTGCTACCTCCGACGTCTACTACTCAGGCCCCTTGCTCGGCGAAGCCTTTGGAAACTTCACCACCCTGATCACCAACGGCACTGGCAACTACTGCTCCACCGCCCAAGAAGACAACGCCACCCTCGAAGCTTTGCTCCGCGCTGCCGCCGAGAAACTCGTCGACTTCAGCAGAATCATCGTCATGAGAACTGCCTCTGACTTTGACCGTCCTTTCCTCGGCGGCTCGGCTACCTACAACTTGTTCGAGTCTTCGGCACAGGGTGCTTTCTTGCCTGCCGTCAACAATCTCTACCTTGCTGGTATCCAGATCGTCGAGGGTATTCTCGAGGGCTGGAACAGCACNTTTGCTCAGGGTGTCAATGCTACCAACTACATCGGCGATATTTTCGGCACTCTTGGTGGTGAGCCTGACTTTGGTCTTGGTCCTGTGGTTTCTGGCGATATCCTCAGCAAGAGAGACGTTCTTGCCAAGAGAGGCGTCAAGAGCAGAAGACACATGCCCGTCCATCTTCCTCGTGCTTGAAAGAGCAAATGAAGACGACAAGAAAATCTATTGTAAATGTCGATATATGTTTTGAGTTCTGTAGATCAACACACAAGAATACGTGTAAATATAATGTATATGCTTTTGACCAGTTGGCAAGGCTAAATGAGACGAAACAGTCTACAGATCCTGTGAAAGCAATCGGTCCTGTCTACATGTGCTTGAAGTCATTTTCCTCTAACAGAGTACATCACGTCTAAAGGTCAAGAGCATGGTGCCAGTATTCAACCTTGTCTTGAAGAAACAGAGATTGTCTGTTTGGTTGACCTGATGCTAACTAATGCTCAAAAAGAGACGGGGTTCTGAACAAGTTTGTATGGTAAGCAGAAGAGTGGGACCCCGGGATCGTCAAAGCCCCTCGTAAAGACCTTCTGCCTTCCACCTCGATCCATCATCACTGCAAAGCATATTCCACCTTCTCGCCATCGCCACAATGACCACATGCGTGATCATCAACAGCAGACTTTCCCTCGTATTCATCTTCCACACCGTAAGATCCAGAACGGCAAGACCCATCAGTGGATACAGTAACCACGCTTGAGCTGCAAATGGCGAGCAAGGATAACTAAGCAGAAAGAGCTTGAAACCAANAAGGAGAACCTTGAAGCAGAGAAGAAGGGACGGATAAGAGGTAAGTCTGCGAGGTTGGACGGGTGGAGGGGGAGGAAGCATCAGTCTCGTAGGCTGTTTGGTAAGTGGTGGTGTGCCACGGAAAGCAAGTGTCGAAGTATCTGGAGGTGATGGAGTACTTGTATCGGTACTCGTGCTTGTGCTAACGTCCCTCCTAAAGCGACGGGGTTGTAGTGGTGGACTTCTCGAATGCACGAGTTCGCCAGAATGATGTCTAGCCAATTGTGATAGACCTGGTCTAGAAGACATCGGATTCGTATTGGATCGTGTGGGTTTCCTCGGGACAGGTGAGTCAATAGACGAGATGCGGGAACTCATATTGCTGAGGTCTGGAGACTGTTCTCCTCCTGTTCTTGCGGCATTCATCGGTATATCCTCGATTTCGCCTCCAGCCTTGATGGCCTGCAGGATCTGTTCTGTGCTAGGCCTTTCTGCTGGATTGGGGCTCAAGAGTCTTTTCAAAAATTTGTAGAGTTTCTCTGGTAGGTCTGACCTGGCTCGCGTCACATCGTCAAATCCATGCCAGGCTGAAACTTCAGCACGTAACTTATCGAGATCTTCGTTCTCATCGTTGACAGCATCCGCGTTCTGATAAGGTAGTCGACCAAAGCACATAAAGTAAACAATCATGCCCAAAGAGAAGATGTCGGACTTGGTTGTGAATTCGCCAAAACCTGAGCCTTGTCTTTGCAGTACTTCAGGAGCGCAATACGATATCGTGCCTGTTGCGCCAGTTGAAGTACGCTGTTCGTTGGCGGCTTGTACTTCACCAAAATCCGAAACATGAACCGACACTTTCTGGCCATCGTTGTGCAAAAGACAATTCGACGGCTTGAGATCTCGATGAATATAGCCGTTGGTGTGCAAATGATGCAGCCCAGATGTGATATCGCGGAAAAAGGAAAAGATCTCATCAAAGTTCATGGTGCGACCCCCTAGATTGATCGGACGTTCTGCCAATCCCTTTGATCGTCTCCTCATACGCTCTTTCAAGACTTCGGTCGGACTCGTGGTTTGCGTCGAGCCGAGGACATAGTTGTGCAAATCTCCCGAGTTACAGTACTGCTGTAGAATGAAGATGCACGGTACGCTTGGTCCAAAATTGGTGATTTGTGCATCTTCCAACCAGACGTGATGATACGACACCAAGTTCGGATGGGTGAGTCTTTGGAGCAATTGCACCTCAATGAGAACCTTTTCCAGCCAGCCATGATCATTGCCGACTGGGATTCGTTTGCAGGCAAATTCTCCTAGGAAGACCTTGTCCAGAAAGTGCTCAACGAGAAGGACGACTCCACGACCACCACGGCCCAGTTCGCGCTTCTCAACGAAGAAATGTTTGAAGTAGTTTGGCAGGAAGCTATCGTCTTTGATGCCTTGATTATTCGTGCCAGGTGAAGGAGCACTGCCAACAAACTCTGCACCAGTCGGAGTATCAGCTTTCTTGGAGTTACCAGGTGGCAAGTCTGGGAGCTGTTTTAGCGGTGAAGCGGGTCTGGAGGTTGCTGCTGAGTTGGGTATACTATGCGCAAGCATGCGAAAGTACTCCGGATTGACAAAGGCATTCTGGTTATGCGAGGCAGCTCCCTCATCCTCAGACTCATACTGATGTGGATCCGCGTCATTGCTCAGAGGCCGATGGCAGTATGGACATTGTTGAAGGTCGAGGCCTCCAATGGCTGTTTGTGGGTTACCACGTAACGACAATTGTCGCGACTCGGGATCGAAGACAACGATCGCATTACCGCGGCGNNCCTGCAAGATCAGCGCATGAAGACCTACTGGATATTCTCGCATCTCGGAAGCTTACAAGACAATTTCCTGAGAATCAGAGGTGTATGGTATGAGAGACATCTGACGCTGGAGGTGGGGTTCTGCGTCGGCCATGTTTACATGCTGGTCTTGATCTTCAGCAGATCGCTGGCAGTTGTGATTGAGCGAATGTAGTAGATCGATCGCGGTTTAATGATGAACGAATCCAATTGATCTTGCGTTGACTCAAAAGAAAACACAGACGAGTAGCAAGCAAAAGGTACTCCGAGTAGTAAGCAACGTAGATCGTGCTTGTCACCTGAGCAATCAATCATCAATGCCAAGAACACAATAGCTGTCTATATGCCTCTCGTGTGCTAAAGATGTAATCTCCATTACTCCGACTACAGTAGACAGCGAAGTCCACACTATAAAAATGCATAATATGTTCAGAGGTAGAGGCAGGCGTGTCCACAGAAAGTCGATACATTGTCGCCTCTTAGTGGAGACTATACTGTTTTCTGATAGTATTGTGCATTTGTATAACCGTATGCGTTACATGCTTTTGCACATGGGGAGGAGGTTACAGGCAAGGAGACTTCATCTCGAAACCAATGATTCTGAATTGATCTTGGTTCTTTAATTGCAAAGAGGTATAATGACAGACCAACGCCTTTGGGGTATCGTTTAACGTTCATCGTGAGTTCAAAAGGGATCCTCCATCTTGACGTCCTTTGCGCCAGTACCGCCATGAACGGCAGCCGCAGTGCCAATAGTAGCTGCATTGTGCGTACCGTTTTGCTCGGCCTTCTCCTCTCCAACAATGACTCCAAGGCCTGAGAATGCTTCGCATAGTGCCCGTGAATGGAACTCGTGTTTGCTGTATCCACCTGCAACGATGGCAACTTGTGTGTCGATCTCATTGAGCCAGTCCCAGTCGTAGTGGTCTTGCACAATGTGGTACTCGTTTGAGAATTTAAGTCCTCCGAAGGCATCGTAAGGAGCTTCTGGACCAGGTGCCTTGCGCGTCTTGAGACCTTTGATGACAATACCGCTACTGCCATTGGTAGCATCCTTTGCTGCTGCTGCGGCTTGCAGCTGTCTTTGTCTGTCGGCAGCCTGCTTCTTGTCGAGTCGTTTCTTGAGCGTGACACGGCTCTCTTGTGCGATTGTATGCGCGTCGCCAGAGCCGGTCGCAAGGCGATCGATGATGTCCTGTCTCCCTTCTGCACGCGCTCTGCGCTCCTCCTCTTCCCTCGCGACGAGCAGCCTCCCTCCGTANNGCCGAGCCTGTTCTCTTTCCGCGGCTTGTAGCGCCGAGTAATCGTGGGATTCTTGAGATGCAAGAGCGGCGTTTGTAGTAATGGCTTTGGCATTCTGATCAGCATAAACCGATATCTTCTTTTCCGTCTCTTCAACGTCGATCTTGTAGATGAGATTGAATGTGATATCTTCGACCTCGTTCAGGTAATTGTTGTAGTCAAGTAATGAATCAAAGTCGTCCTCGCGGCGGTTGAAGATATTGGCTATGCGCTTTCGAATGTCGATCTCGCGCTCGACATGGATATCCTCAAAAGTCTGTTCTCGGAACTTGTGCTTTCGAAGGGTACGGTGGCAGCCAGCAATCGGACACTTGTTCGGGCCGTGGGAGAAGATGCGGTCCACACAGGACTCGCACATCTTGTGGTAGCATTCTGGGTTGACCAGAAAGCGCATGGACTTGTTGAGATAGCGAGAGGACTTGCATACGGGGCAGATGTCTGAGGTCAGGCTGTCAGCGATGCCCACAGTCAGGCGGAGACTCGACAGGTCGAGGTCGGCGATATGTGGCTCACCATCTTCGCCCGGCCGCGCAGGCGCNNTCGACCTGGGTTGTGCAACACGAGACATTGCCGTGTTGGATGATGGTGAGCTCACGACAGTTGGAATGTGAGGCTCAACTTGTTGCTTCGAGACTCGCCCATGCTTCGGCCTGCTAGCCGGGATCTGCCGTTGTATACCCGATCTTGGTCACTTCGAGAAGACATCTTCTCTGATTACAAACATTACATTTTTACAAAAGTTTTCACTGTCTTCTGCTTGTTTGAATTATCATACACCATGGCGGACTTTGCACAACTTGAGACACGCCGGCTAGAACTGGAAGAGAACGTGGCAAAGCTACGCAAATCTTTGCAACACTGGCGAACATGGGATGCTGAGTATGAAGGCTTGAAGGAAGAGCTTTCTTCTGGTGTAAACGTCCAATCTGAAGCGGACTGCGTGAGTGATGTGTATCATTGTTTCACAGACTTGTTTGCTAACAGCATGCAGGCACGCATCAGTGAAAAGTTTGGCGGAGAGCTTGTGAATGAAAAGGTTTGATAAAGANNAGCATGTCAGACTTTGAATCTCACTCTAACAATTCTAGAAATCTTTGACCTATTTGGAGTTGGAAAGGGATCCATTCGCCATCCGATAGAAGTCAGCCGACTCATCGACAGACGGCTTGACTATGTTCAACAAAATGTATCCACCATCACCAAGCAAGTGGAAAAGATCGAAGGTCAACTATTCGAGGTGTTGGAGGAGATGGATAGAGAAGAAGGTGGTGCTCCGGAACCTGGACTACCCATGACTGAGATTCTCGAGGAACTGGATGAGGACGGAAACATTATATCAAGCAAAGTCACCCAACCCGAGGAGCAAACAGCACAAATCATCGATACTCTCCGCAAAGCTGGTCTGAATGACATGGACCCGAAGACAAAGAATGAGGATACAATCAAGAAACCAACATCCGAGGCCAACGAGAAACCTAAATCTGCTCCGGCGAACAAGACAGAGGACATGCCAAAACCCGCAGCAAGTAGTTCAAAGACGGCCAAGAAAGGAGTCAGCTTCGCAGAGGAGGTCCAGGANAAGGAAATTCCCTCGCGTACCGACAATGCCACTGCGAGCAGGTCTTCTGGAGTCAACCCTTCTCTTTTCAATGGCTCGTTTGCTAACGGCGAGCGTGTAATTGAGTTGGACGATGACGACGACATCATCGGAACCCAAGCAGTCATCCCCGAAGACGAGTCACCCGAAGATGCGAGGCTACGCCGAGAAATGCTCCAATACAATCTAAACGAAGTCGGCCAAGTGGTTGCCGAACTAGATCTAGACGAAAACTTGTCAGACTTCGAAGATGACGACGACTACTTCGATGAGGAATATGACAGCGAGATTTCTGAAGAAGAAGATGAGCACGGAAGATCAATCCGGCCTGGAGTTAGCAAAAGCTACAGAGACCAGATGCAGGAACTGGAGAAACAACTCCGCTTAAGGGTTATTGGAAACCTTGGACCTAACCTCGAAGAAGTCGACCCTGTATACGATCCTGAAGGACTTCGCCGACTTGTGGTTCGTGGTGAGGAAGGGGCCTTAGACGAGAACATCAAGCCGGCAATCTCGAAGGGCAAAGAGACTGTCAAGCCAGAGGCATCTGCAAAGAAGGGTGTCAGATTCTCAGAAGAGTTGGATGTACAGGAGGCGCCCAAAGCACCGGAAGCTTCAGCCAGTTCCAAGCCGCGCTCTGCACCGATTGCAGATGTTGTTGAGCGAGCACCTTCGAAAGCTCAAGCTCCTTCCGAGCCAGCAAAACCTGCCAAGGTCTCACGCTTCAAGCAGAACAGGGCCGTTGCTTCGGAGACCTCTCAACCTGAACCTGCATCGAATAAAAACTCTGGCTCAGTCATCTCGGACAAGATCGTCGAAAAGCCAGCTGCAGCATCAGCTCATGCACGCGCACCAGAAGAAGCAGACGAACTCGACCCTGAACTACAACAACGTCAACTGGCCTCCGAGTACTATCGTCTACGAAACAACATCATTCGTCAACAAGGAGGATTCAAGGAGACGGAAGAAGAAAAGGACGATCCTCTGATGGAGCAGTTCCCTGATGGAAAGATGAAAAAGGTGAGTAGATTCAAGGCTGCCAGGATGAAGTTTTAGACAACTAGACAAAAGTAATGGCTATCTGCTATTTACACGTACTACCCTCGAGAATAACTTGAGAAGATGCGCGGAACGTCACAGTCTGTCCCCAAGGATGGCGAACGTGGAGGCGGAGAGCTGATTCTGCCTTTTCACTTCATCGACGGATCCTAGAAGAATGCAGGGCTCTCTGATTCGGCGACCTTTTCCTCATGGACGCTGTATCTAGTTTCGTCCTCTACATGCAAAGTGATCAATGCTATCTTTCTTTTGTTCTGGAAAAGTGGATTTTTGATGACATGAAACATAAAAGTACAGATTGGTCTTTATGTGAGACCAATTGACCACCACGATCTTCTCTTTCTGGTGGCGACACACAACTTCCGAAGAGTGAAGAGAGAAGACAGGAAGCCCTCATTAGGACGCCGGTCGTGTATAGGTAAATAGAAATAGAAGACAGCCCCAAGTGTTGAAAAATGATGCTTTTCGCTCCAAACGCCGAATGTACCCATATGTTAAGACAAGTGTTTTTGGTGTTAAAGTCTTCTCTTTTAAGCGGCGATGGGCGTGGGAGCGGCCTCGATGCCTTGCGGAGGTGGGGGAGGCATGTCAAGTCTGGTGTTTTCTGCCATCATGCGCTGGAAACCGATACCGACACCCTCGATGACGGCGAGCAGGATGGCGCAACCGATGGCACCGTTGCGCATGGCCTTGTAACCACCACGGACGGCGAGAGCACCACCAGTGAAGAAACCGGCGATGATGGCGTTCCAAGGGTCTTCCTTCTTGCGAATGCCCTTGACTGCACAGTCAAAGGTACTGAACATGCCACCCCAGACACCGAAGTTACCACCCAGAACTGGAGCACGCGCCTTGATGGCGGTCAGAGCGCCTACCCTTCTCTCGCCATAGCTGTTGGGCTGGGTCTCAGTATATTGTTCTTGGTCGTGTGATGTGGTGGTTCAAACGTACGGACTGTTTCTGAAACCCTTGATACCGTGCCAGAGCGAACCGCCGATTGCGCCCATGCAGAAAGCACCTCCGAAATCGTTCAAAGCCCTGTTGGAGGAGCAGAGTTAGTGGGTGAGTGACATGCTGCGGTAAGAGAAGTGAACATACACCCAAGGGCAAGGGTCTCTACTGTGATCCATGGCGAATGTGAGATGTGTGTGGTTGTGGTAGAGGTCGGCGTGAATGTCGGATTGGCCTCCACCTGCAACTTTTCGTGGACGATGATGGAAGTCTTGCGCCGGGTGGCCCGTGCACGATGTGGTTTTGCTTGGCCAAAATTATTCTGTCTCCTGCCACTTTCGATTCTCAGAAACAATAGCAAACATGTCGCTCGGTGCGCCAGAGGTCGCGCCTGTTCTGTCGACTCCGGATACCCATGTCTTCGAGGATCCCACGCCCGCCGTCGACCCCTCTCTTGTGCGGACTCTCTCGGACGAACAATTATACCTTACCTACGAGATCAAGAGGACTGTCGACGAGATCCGCCATGGACGATACAGAAGGATAGCTCTACAATTCCCCGACCACATGTTGACCGATGCTCCGAAAGTCTTTGAGGCTTTGCAGAAGGAGCTGCGCACACAGAAAAGNGATCAAGACGTGACAGAAGCATTGGACAAGGCTTCGCTAGAAGCCGACGAGGAGAGACTATGCATTCTGGGTGACACGTCGTACGGTGCCTGCTGTGTCGACGAGGTCGCTGCTGAGCATGTCCTGGCCGATGTTGTAGTACATTATGGCCGCACTTGTCTCTCTCCGACCCAGCGCTTGCCTGTCATTTACGTCTTCACCTTCCGACCTCTCGACTTGGATACCGTTATCGCCAGCTTCCAGAAGACATATCCGGATAAAGACCATAAGGTAGTCTTAATGGCAGATATTCCTTACTCTGACCATGTCCAACCTCTACAATCCGCCCTCCAAAATCTCGGTTACACGAACCTCTTCTCCACATCTATCGTCCACAACCCTTCGTCCTTGTTACCCAACCGTACTGTCCCTGCTGGTGTAGACGAGGATCCCACTGTTCTTCGCGACTACTCGCTCTTCCACATCTCGGAACCTCCGACCTCCCTTCTTCTCAACCTTACTTCTCGCGTGGCTTCCATCGACATCTACCCAACAGTGTCCGAGGGTTCCGAAGCTCCTCAAACCATGTCAGCCTCCACTGCTCAGATTCTCCGCCGCCGTTATGCCCTTGTTACCAACCTCAGTACCGTGTCTGTCTTTGGTATTCTGATCAACACTCTTTCTGTCAAGAACTATATGGAAGCTTTATCTCATGTTCAGGATCTCATCACTCGTGCTGGAAAGAAGTACTACACTTTCGTCGTCGGCAAGGTCAACGCTGCCAAGGTTGCCAATTTCTCCGAGGTCGATGGCTGGGTCATCATTGGTTGCTGGGAAAGCAGTTTGATCGAAAGTAAGGATTTCTGGAAACCTATCATCACACCTTTCGAATTGGAGCTGGCTCTCACAGACGAACGGGATCGTATCTGGACCGGAGAATGGAACAGCGATTTTCAGTCCTTGCTCGGCAAGAAAACTGTTGTCAGGGGTGAAGGTACACACGACGACGATTCAGACGACCAGGACGGTCAAGGCATCCAAGATGAGTCGGACTCAGAATCAGAAGCACCAGTCTTCGATCTACGTACTGGACGCTACGTTTCGCAGAGTCGACCCATGGCACGACCTTCTGCCTCTGCCTCTGCCTCGAAGAAGACCGCAGCTACTAGTCTCATCAAGCGTGCCAACGGCGATCTTGCTCAGATTGGTGGTGAAGTCTCTCCTGCTGCTGAGTTCTTGCGTAGCAAGCGTACATGGCAGGGTCTAGGTACTGATTACGAAATCGCCTACGACTATGATGAAGATGGCAAGATCAAAGGTGCACCCATGGAAGAAGGTCGTGGTGGTGTTGCTCGAGGATACGTTGTTGGGGACTCTGAGCGCTCCTGATCTGACAAAACGGTTGAAAATGTGCCATGGTTTTCCATTAACGGTGCTAGAAATGAAGGTAAGCCTAATATTTTCTTCTCAAAAAAAAAGCCCGATATGTGCTGGATTTTAAGGATGAACACCTGATAGGGACAGCTTATACACTGTAGATGCTGAGAACTCAGGAAGAGTATTTTAGTAGATGCCTCTCTTGTCTGATACCGACAACCAGCCTTCTTTGCAATGTAACATCAATTTCTATAAGGGCAGTTGGCTAATATCCTTGTTGTTAGGTCGAATCTTGTGCGTCGAACAGGCGCTCTGATCAGCGGCATATCCGTGTGATCGATCCATAAGTGAAGGTCGTCATGATCATGCACAGACAGGACTCAAGAGTGATATACCATTCAGGGGAGACACCATCTCGGTCATCTTCTTGGTCACACTTCTGGACCGAGAACGAACTACGCAGTCCGATAGCTATGATATGACTACACATCTCCGTGAAAGCAAGCTATCTCCTTCCCAGCAACGGCAATCATGCTTCCTCACGTACCAGACTCATCTTTACTTCTCTCTTTTCTATCGGACCTCTTGCGTGTCGTTCGACCTGTTTCTTGACTAGAATCCTCATGCTGCACTACCTCCAACCGTCTATCCTGTGTCTGGCAACTACGGAAGTCCGGAGTACCTCTTTGCCTTGAGAGCCCTTGCACCAAACCGCATCTGACGTCGCTAATGACGCTGTTGGCAGAACAATCAAGACCCCTGAAATAGCATGGCATCTTCGCACAACCCCTTTCCAGATGATACTGTGCATTCTTAAAACTATGTCGGAATTGTTGTCGGCGCATGGAGATGCTACAATAACATGCCATGTTTGTGTGCCTGATACGGGCTCTCCCACTTGAGTTTTATCCTGGCTCTTCTTGATCTCTTCTATCCATCCCAGATCTGCTTTGGCCAGCTCTTGCACAGCTTTGCCGTACCTAAGTGACACAGTGACCAACAATTGACGCTTTGCGTGTCCAGCATTAAACCACTGTCACCCAGTGGCCACTTGGAAAGTGGTCAACAACCACTTCGACGTCTTTCTGGCACAGTACATATCCGGAAAACGACTGACGCTTTACCACCGAAATACACACGGTCCTTACGACCATCACCCAGTCTGCCCCGGTGTCTCATCTGGTTCTTCTTCTACTTATCTGCAGCAAGCTTGGCGCAAGTAAAGGTAACTGTGACCCAATTCGAAACTGAAACCAAGCAACTCGGAAAATGGACCACGACAACCTCAATCTCTTCTGTTTGGCCTTGAGTTCGGGACCCAGCGCACACATCATCAACCAGGGTCCCGAACAATACCGATACACCTCTCTCTCCGAGAATCTATCGTGTAGTTGTGCAGCTGTATTGCGGCAGTCTCCTGCTCAGGGGGAGATACCACCTCCCCTGAGATTGATCAGGGGCCTGAGCGACGTGGTTGTCGACGCAATCTCAGACCATCGAATGGTCTTGCACAATTTCTGGGAACAGCATGAGATCATGTGACCAGAAGTTGTATTTCTGCCTGTTCTGGGCTCACGAGTTCCTGATGGGGTGGTGAGAGCTGTGCCTCCTCACCTCCAGAATCAAACCCCGAGTTTTCCATGGTCTGACCGAAAGGTCGAGGAGAGTTCGATTGGATATCAAGGGATCCTAGATCGGGGTACGGTGGAGGCATGCAGTAATGGAAACAAAACTCTCGCCTACAAGAGTAGTTTCTGTCTAAAGTCGAAGTTCTTTAATGCAACCTTCACCAAAGGCTATTTGGTATGTTTATACTCGAATCCATTCGCTGCGATCTGGACTAACGGATTGACATAGGAGCCCATTGCCAAAGAGATTAAGCTAGACGAGAAAGACAATGCCAAAGCTATTCTGGCCCTTATCCCTCACTATTACAATCTGCCCTATAACTACACCTCGATTATTGGTACTAGTACTAACCTAAATTTGCTATCCCATGCAATGTGCTTCAAGATTGCCAATAAGTACGACTGCCTGACTCTTAGGGATAAGATCCTAAACAAGTTCGACGCCTTCGCTGCAAAATGTAATAACATTCTGGACGTTCCCTTTGATAAGATCTAGGACAGTTACCAGGGTCCCAAGCAATACGAACATGACTAGCTCCCCTTTACCACTCTCTCTGCGAAAGCATCGTGCAGTTCTGCAGCTGCATTGCGGCAATCTTCTATACAGGGGAGATACCACCTCCCCTTGGATCAATCATGGGCCTGAGCGACTGCTCGACCAGATCGCCTATATCCAGCCGACACGCTCAACGCTGGCGACTTGTGCCCGAAGGCGAGTGAGAAAATCGACCAAAGAGTCTCCTTCGGTCGTAAGACCGGAAGCAGAACGGACGAGAAACTCGACATGCATGAGCCTTCCAACTGTCGTACGGATAAGTACTGTACCAGAAAGACGTCGTAGTGATTGTTGTGGTCACTTGTCGCAGCAGCTTCACTTACTTGCGCTTTGCCAGCTGTAGCCTTGCGAGGCGGGTGCGTTGCTGTATCACGGGCATCCTCCATACCGCCGTAGCGTTTCAGAGCCACCTTGGCCTCCTGCTACGCGTTTCGACATGGGGCGGTGGGTTGCTGTGGGTGGTTGGAACAAACACTGGGTAGGTGCTGAGGATTGTGTACATCCTAGTTGTACATTGCCAGCGATCCTTCGCATCTGATCGCGCAGTCACATCATTCATTTTCCAACCTGACCGCACACAAACTATGAGGCAGCGCTTATCATGGAATCGAAAGTATCAATGGTCTGGAACACAGATACAGTATTAGAGGCTATATCCGTCACAAGTTGCCGTCTCCTAAAAGCATCTCCCAGCACAACATTGATCAAGAGATCCAGCACAACTTCTCGAACCGACAGAGATATCATCAAATCTCTACACGCACCTCTGGTATCAACGGACACATCCACAAAGAGGATGCAGACCCCAATCATCCTTCACTTGATCCCTTACTATCATCCGTTGGAGCTGAAGTTCACCCATCGACAGGAGCTCAAAATGGCAAAAGCAAGAGTGATTCGAATGAGAAGCAAAGGCAGGACACGAAAACATCAACGACATCCAGCAAGAAGAGAAAGCATGACAGAGCGGCGTTAGAAGGGATGGTCGATGTTGTCGTTGACCACTCTCCAGTTGCTAAGTTTCAGTTTCCATTTCTTGTGCCAAGCAAGCAACGTGCTGCAGAGAAAGAAGTAAAAGAACAAGCGTCTTCGTGATGGCAATGGTGTGGAAATGGTCACAGACCAACGCAGTTTTCTAATTTTCAAGGACCTTGAAATATCTTTGCAGGAATGACAACAAACACTGACTGCATTCGGAGCTAAAGACACTATTGACTGCGTCAACAACCACGACTCACACAGTGTACTGCATACGTTTCGTGGAATGAATCAAGTGCAGCATCAGTTGATGACTTGCCATCTACAAGACCTGTGAGATGATACCCAATCTCGAAATTTGGCTGATTAATTCTCAATAACACCCATTCACCTTTTTACTTTTGCGTGGAGTGATCCTCAAGAGTACCTTGTATGTGGCTTCACTTTTAATTTTCAGACGGCGTGCTAGGGGTCCGAATTAAGGGTCCGAATACTGACCATATAAAGACCCCCCAAGTTTCTGTCCAGACGGAGCTGAAAAGAAATCCAACTGCGAGGAGCTCATTGAAATTGCGAGAAAGACGCGCGAGAGTGTTGCTGTCATACCGCACCAGATCCATGAAGCGTTGGACTCGGCAATCAGTCTCAGAGAGGAAGTACATTGCGCATTCGAAAGACAGCGCGCAACAGTGTCTCACACGATGTATGGGGTTCGTGATGGACCCCTAAAGAGGCAGACTCCCATGCTCAGTAGACTATTATAGTGTAGCTACTGAAGAGATGCACAAGACGCTTAAAGAGAGTGGTGGCCAAGGAGAGCTTGATATCTTCGAGTGTCTTCAGGGGCACATCTGGATTTTGAAAGGGGCTGTGCATTTCCGATGCTGTGAATCTTTTGATTAAGTCTATCCTGGATCAATGTACTATGCTGTGTCGAATCATGCTATCTGTCTTCCATCATCACTGTCGTGTTATGTTTTGTGCAGCTGTCTACAGGTGGCTCTTAAGTGCCTGACCAGCCTCAAAGCCGTCCTGAGCTTCGAGGGTAATCCAGCCATTGACAGCGCCAGCCTCGACACAGATCATGTTCTTGTAGCCGTCCTTGGGTTCGAAGTCGGCAATGGCTTCGGCACCCTCCTTCCAAGGGTTCCAGATGACAGTGTCTTGCATGTTGTCTCTGATGACGTCCAGACGGGGCTTGTCGTCAACGAGGATTGAGGTTGTGTCTTGAGGGAAGGACTTGTAGACACGGTCGACGGTGCTTTCGATGCGGAGCTCGTTGCCCTTGGAGTCGTGCTCGGTTGCGTTGAGGATCTTGTCAATGTATCTGACGCCCGACAGGCCGGTGACCTTGACCTTGGAGATGTCCTGAATGATGACGTTAGCATTGTATTGAAGGGAACAAGAGCGGCGAGCGCATACAGGGACGGTAAAGTAGGTGTGGAAGAGAGTCTGGAAGTCGAAAGGCTTGTCGCCCTGGTTGCGGACGTTGAGCATGGTCTGCAGACCGTCCTTGGAAAGAGTGACGCTGTACTGCAGGCTGAAGTCGTAAGACCATGCCTTTCTCATCTCGTCGCTGAGGTTGTTGGGTGTCAAGCCGAAGTCAAGACGGATCGAGTCATCGCTGCCCTTGCCCTGGTTGCCGGACTCTGAAGAGGTGGTGCCAAGGTACTCCCAGTTGGAGATGCGTGCGAAGCCGTGTTGAGGGAGGTTCGAGGTAGCGTGGTTCTTAGGGGCGGGACCGAAGTTCTATAACCAGTCAGTGCTTGTTCGCTGTTGTTGCGTTGCTGCGTTGCTGCGCCAGCCTCCCCGTGTGCAGCGGACTGTCAAAGTGTAGCTGCTGAAATGCACAATACTTTTGCAAAGAGTGTGGTGTCCACAGAGAGAATCTCCTTGAAAGCTTTCTCAATGGCCAGAGTCCCATCCAGAACACAATTGTTGATTTCGACAGCTACGCTGTGACTGTCTTCGGACGCCGGGAGTCCGAAAGGTGGCACCAGAGTCGAGTTGAGAGTGGAGTAAAACGTACCGGGAAAACGACAGGGACACCGCCTCTAATGGCCTTGCTGCCATCCATGTGAGCGTTGGAGCTCAGCCAGAGGTTCTCCTTGCCATTGTTCTTCCATGAGATGACTGTAGCGCCATACAGCATGACCTCAACTGAGTCGCCGCTGGGCAAGCTAGCTGTGACCTTCTTGCCATCCGAGTGGACGGTAGGTTGAGGGCCGCCAGTGGCACTGGGTGAGAGGGCGGAAGGCTTGTGTGCTCTGTCGACCATATTTGCTGTGTTGGTGGTGTAGTTGACAATGTAGAAAGAGAGACGGTCAGGGCGAACTCTTGCTAACTTAGAGCTCCTGTTTGGCCCTTGGTGGGGTTGCTTGGGGAATGCGTCATGTTTCGCAAACACGACCTTGCATTACTATGCACACGCTGGCCACAATCCCTGCACAATAAATGCACAACTGACGAAATGCACAATAGTATCTGGGAGGAAGCTGTTTCCAGCGAGAGGTCCCATGTCTGAATGCTCTCTCTGGATCTGTCTTGAATCTAAGTACTTTTCTGCCTTTTTATAGTGCAAAAGCCGCCTCGTCTCTTCGTAGGAGAGCGAGGGAGCATCCAGGTTACAGACTTCCAACGTGCACAGGGTATGCAATTTGTATAGCTGTTCAGTCATGTAAAGCCAGATTGTCAAGCCTCTTCAGGATCTCGGAAGTTCGAGTCTACCATCACAAACTTGGAACCCCACATACTGTGTGGGCTTGCGATGATAGCACTCAGGTTGCGAGGGAGAGAGCGCGGCCACGGTTCCGCTCTCAAATGCCATGTCCAGACAACCCCGCAGACCCCACCAACATCCACTCCTGGGGCCCCATTCTAAAGGTTATATCTGCCGAGTATGCTCAGCAGTATTATATTAGATACCTCCCCCCTCGGTGCGACTTCAAAAATACCTAGTCTAGTTCCTTGTGAGACAGCATAACATGGCCCCTATATCACCAGTAGCACTTATCACAGGTGGTTCCTCAGGTACAAGGCCTCACATTCCCATCTTATGCTTGGAACACGCAAGCTGACAATTACAAACCAAAGGCATTGGTCTCGCATTGACAAAACATCTCCTGAATCTATCCTGGAACGTCTTCATCGCCGATATCAACCCTCCTCCTCCATCTGAACTGTCCAATTTCCCTGCCTCGTCCTACCACTTTCACGCCACCGATGTCTCATCATGGGATGCGCAAGCCTCAGCTTTTGCAACCTGCTGGTCTAAATTTGGCCGTCTCGACTTCTGTGCTTTGAACGCCGGCATCGATGACCGTGATGATATCTTTAGTTCCACCAGCAATGATCTCAACATTCCACCCACCAAACCCAACATGAAGACCTTTGAAGTAAACTTGTATGGTCCGTACTACGGAATCAAACTAGCTGCTCACTACATGGCCTTGAACAAACCACTGCACGGTCAAAACAGCGGCAAAGGTGGTAGAATCGTTGTCACTGCTTCAGATGCAGGGCTCTGGGCTTTACCGGTCGTTCCACAGTATACAGCTACCAAACACGCTATCGTAGGAATGGTACGGGCGATGGCACCCTCAGCTGCAGAAGCTGGTGTCTCGATCAATGCTGTTGCGCCGGCGCTTACACCATCTAACCTTGCGCCTCCAGGTTTACTCGAGAATTATCCAAAGGAGGCATTGACCAAGATGGAGACATTGATGAAGGCTTTCGATGCATTGGGTAGATTCGAAGAGGTTGGGACGGAAGGATGGGGTAGTCAAGAGCCTAATGGACAGATTGTTGAGGGAAGAGGAGACAATATTCATTACAAGAATGAGATTGAAAAGACCAGTGGGAGAGAGGCGCCAAAGGGTGAGTCTTGCGTGATTGATGTTTCCCGACACACGCTGACACGAAGCNNAGAGATACAACAGATCTGGGCAGATACATACAAGGAGCGGAACAAGAGGTTTGCGATGCAGCGTCAGTAGCGGCAAAGGCTATATACAGGTTGAATTTGGGATGGACAAGCATAGCACTGGAATCTAGTAGAGGACACCAAGCAATTGCATGTTGACTTGATCGTTGCTCAGTATGTCTTGTACAGTCCGCCGAGGCCTTTGCAAATGCTGAAGTTCCTAGCTCAATGTTTGAGAGTCCTCAAACTGTACCAGGAAGGTTCCGGACCCCGAGCTGTGGTGCTCCAGACTCCAGATTGTTGAGAGAAGAGCCGATGAGACGATTTGGAGCTTCGCAGGTTCGCGGACTGCTCGCGCTATACGCTTTTGGCTCTCGCTGGAGGAATGTAATCGAAGCCGTTTCGTATTTCCTTCAACCCAGCTTCGTCTTGCCGTAAGCTCCACCAGCTGTCTTGCGCATCTCCAAAGCCTTCCTGTATGGCGGTGCAGTTGGCGGTTGCACAGGAGCCAGCACAACATGATCTTTCGGCAGATGATATGAAGCATCTGCATCGTAGGCAGAAAGATCTCCGCAAGCCAAGAATGGTGCGATCCATCTAATATCCTTGCTCTCTCCCTCGTCCTCAGAGCCCAGCTCTAGTTCTGTGATGCCGTCTGATCTGAGCGTGCGTGATGGTAGAGTCTTCTCGGCTTTCATGTCCTCTGGTACTTGCAATTGTCTACCTGCACCGAGAGGGTTTTCCAAGCTGGCCTTGAAGCCTTTCGGTGGGCGGAAACCTGTGCACACAACAAATGCCTCCACACTACTCGCACGACTACTCCTGGGCTTGGCTACTCGCACTCGCTCAAACACAATCTTGAGTTGCGCGTAGAGGAGATCGACATCCTTACCGCGGAAAATCTTGGCCACAAATTTACCGCCAGGTTTTAGGACGCAAAGAGCAAGATTTAGTGCTGCCCAGATTAGTTGTGATTGTACGTAGGTGTCGAGATCGTGGAGACCAGTTACATCTGGCGCGCCGTCTGAGATCACCAGGTCTACGGGATGAGATGATTGAACAGAGTTCGGGTCGAAAGTCTCCGGGTCTAGGGCCTTGAGTAACAAAGGGATGGTCGATGGATGTGTAATGTCTGCGCGCATAGTGATAATGCCTTCTAGCGGTGACATTGGTTGCAGATCTATCGCCACAATCTTGACGTTTTCCCTTGGCTGTAGTTTCTGCTTTGCTTCCTGGTCATGACTGTTTCCAGAAATCGTTGTGGTGGTGTGGCCATGTTGTTCGAGTTTTTCTCTGGCTTGCTTGTCCTCCCAGCCAGCGCGTCCGATTTTCTCACCCTTGATCAAAACGCGAGACAGAACTTGACTCCAGCTTCCGGGTGCAGCACAAAGGTCAACAACGCGAGTTACTCCTTCGAAAAGATTGAATTCCTCGTCCAGTTGTAGCAATTTGAATGCACTGCGAGCTCGCCAGCCTTGCTCCTTGGCGAGACGGTAGTAAGCATCGCGTTTGTCTTTTGACGATTTTCCCATTTTCGGTCAAATTGACTCGAATGGAATGAGGTTGATCTAGAAATTTAAACTGGTGATCGGTGTATCTTTCGCACGCGGTTCGGTTCGCAGAGAAGAGTCTGCCGAGGCTCTCCCGCAAATCTGGACCCTTGAACTTTTCCACCTCTTGGCGTCTATTGACATTTTCCATCTTCTTTCCATCAACATAATCAAACACAGAACTAATCATGGCGGCAACTGAAAACAAGCGGGCCTTGCCTCCAAAGGTCGCAGCAATGAAGGCCAGAAAGCGCCAAAAGTTGGAAGACCCAAAGACTGGAAAGAAGGCAACCACAACCAAATCTTCCAAAGCGGCGGCGCCACCAAAATCGGAAAAAGTGCGTCTGGACGACCTGGCCTGGAACAATGTCGAAATGCCGGATAGATTGGATGATTTTGAGGGTTTCTACGGTCTTGAGGAGATTGATGATGTAGATGTTGTCAAGGACGACAATGGCATTATTTCTTATAGGGCCATCAGCGACAAGGCTACCAAGAAGAGACCTGCTCCGGAGGAATCAGAAGATGATGGTGAGGAGTTTACTGGTTTTGGTGATGATGATCAGGAGGAAGACGATAAGCAAGAAGGTGGTGCTATGATCATCGAAACCGTCACGCCCAGATCTGCTCCCGAACTTGAGGAAGGAGAGNNACCTGGGAGGACAGAAAGCAGAAGCAAAAGAGTTGCAGAAGCAGCAACTCAAGGAAAAGAAGCAAAAGGAGAAGAAAGAGAAGAAGGAAAAGAAGCCAAAGGCAGAGAAGAAGCAAAAGAGACTGCTTCCCAAGCTGAAATCGGATCCTCAACATTTGCCAACCTTATGGACGAGGAAGAGGACGAAGGCGTTGACATTAGCGCATGGCGCCCTTTGAACCTTTCGGACGATACTCTGGGAGCTCTCTCGAAGATGAAGTTTCACCAACCATCAGCAATCCAAAAAGCAGCTATTCCTGAGGTCCTGGCAGGACACGATGTCATCGGAAAGGCCAGTACCGGATCTGGAAAGACATTGGCGTTTGGTATCCCCATTCTGGAGCGTTACCTCGAGATGCAGAAGGTTGCTGGAAACAACAAGAAGAAGGCCAACAGCGAAGAAGAGGCTATGCGCAAGCCTGCTCTGGCCCTGATCCTCTCACCCACTCGTGAACTCGCTCATCAAATCTCCGCTCATCTTACAACCCTTTGCTCTGGCCTGGACAAGGCACCTTGGATCGCAACTCTTACTGGCGGTTTGTCCATGGCAAAGCAGCAAAGACAACTCAAGAATGCAGATATCATCATCGGTACTCCTGGACGTCTGTGGGAAATCATCAGTGGCGGTCACGGTGTTCTCAAATGGCTCAAGCAGATTCAGTTCCTTGTTATTGACGAAGCCGACAGACTGCTCAGTCAGGGTCACTTCAAGGAGCTCGAAGAGATCATCAACGTCCTCGACCGCAAAGACGACTTCAAGGCCGAGGAGCACGAGGATGAGGATGAGGCGCCGGAGGAAATCGAGGAAGTTGAGAGACAAACGCTCGTTTTCTCTGCTACCTTCCACAAGGGCTTGCAGCACAAGCTTGCAGGTAAGGCCAAGCCTGGTGCTGGCCTGATGGACAAGAAGGAGAGTATGGAGTATCTGCTCAANAAGCTCAACTTCCGCGAGGAGAAACCCAAGTTCGTCGACGTGAACCCAATCAGTCAGATGGCCTCTGGTTTGAAAGAAGGCATGGTTGAGTGCGGTGGTACTGANAAAGGTTTGTTATGACATCTACTCTTACGTGCACCATCAGACTAATCTCCCTTGTAGGATCTCTACCTATACGCACTTCTTCTGTTACATCCCAACGCCAGAACGATAGTCTTCTGCAACTCTATCTCTGCCGTGCGTCGCCTGACACCATTCTTGCAAAACCTGCAACTCCCTGTCCACGCATTGCACTCCTCAATGGCACAGAAGGCACGTCTTCGCGCCATCGAACGCTTCACCTCCAACAACCAGAACAAGACCAACCACAAGGGCTCCATTCTCCTCGCCACCGATGTCGCCGCTCGCGGTCTCGATATCCCCAACGTCAACTTGGTAATCCACTACCATCTACCCCGTGCTGCCGACAACTACGTCCACAGATCTGGTCGCACAGCACGTGCCGGCGAAACCGGCTCCAGTATCCTAATCTGCGGACCCGAAGAAGTGGCTGGTGTACGCAGACTAATCGCAAAAGTGCACGCCAGCTCTGCAGCCGCAGGCGCCGAGCCCGCCAACGACGCAGCAAAAAACGGTTACTTCATCCGCAGTCTGGACATTGATCGCCGCGTGGTCAGCAGACTAAAGCCCCGCGCAAACCTATCCAAGAAACTCGCCGACACCACCATTGCAAAAGAGAAAAAGCACAGCGAAGACGACTTNTTGCGCCAAGCGGCTGAAGATCTGGGTGTCGACTACGACTCTGAGGAATTTGAGAATGCGCCTGGAAAGAGAGGTAGAGGTGCTGGGAGAATCAAGAAAGAGAGGGAAGCGAGAGGGCTCACCAAGGCAGAGACTGGTGCGCTGAGGGCCCAGCTCAAGGATATGTTGAGCTCGAGAGTCAATGTTGGTGTTAGTGAGAGGTACTTGACCTCGAGCGGTCTTGATATCGATTCTTTGTTGCAGCAGCAAGAGGCTGGTGTGCATGGAGAGTTCCTGGGCACGGTTGCAGACCTTATGGATTAGATTTTGGCCAAGACAGCCAGTTGGGAAAGCGACCCTGGCACTATTTCGACAATCTATATTTTTTCTTAGACGTCCGTCACATTCACTGTTCTTGACTTTTGCTGTGATGCTGAATATTATATTGTTCAATTGCATCGATTCGTCATGGCCAAGTTTGTTTCCAATGTGTATGATGATATTAACAGGTTATGATATGCGAAAGCATCGAAGCGTCTAGGGCGTACACCGAACGTGGTTGTCATCATATCTCAGAGTTGAACGTGATGATCTTGCACATTGAGAAAGCACTCAGTCATTTCTGAACTAGAGACATGGCCCTAGAGATGCCTCGAGAGGAAAACGTGCTCTTCGCATCGCCTGTAGAAAAGTATGGCGCCAAATCACAGCTAGAATTGGAACATTGTGCCTGCACAAGGAGAGGCTGGATATCCAGTGACGGGCGAGAATGAAGATATCTTGTATTCATAGCGACTATGCGTCTGGCATCTCTTCGTCAGCTTGCTCGACCTTTTCGCCTGGGTTTTCCTTTTCGGGCTCTGCCTTCTTGTCCTCNNCCTCGCCTTGCATCAAGCTTTCTATGGAAGTGTCGCCTTCCATGCCCTTTTGGTCCTGTGAGACTTCTGGCGACTTTGCTCTACCCGCTGCAGCTTCCATGTTCAAGGGTCTTGTGACACCAATGGAGGCTTCTGGTTGGGGACCCATATCCTCAGCGCCAATCTCCTCAGGGCCGCGCGCGTGTGCATGTTCCTCTGGCTTTTCTCCTGCTTCTTCCTCTACGGCCATTGTGCTCTCTCCTCTTCCAACGGCGTTGGCTGAACCACCGGCCATCAAGGTGCGACGCGGGACTTCCTGACCCACGGGCACAATGCCTGCTTCCTGCTCTTGACGTAGCAGTTCACCTTGTGTGACACCACCCTCTGCTCGCAAGTGTTGTTCATGACTCCTTGTGTCTTCTTCTTGAGGTGAGGCAGATCCGCCATTCGAGACAGAAACGGTTTCGATGACGCCAACGCCATTGGGACCTTCTATGGTTTGCGAACTTTCGCTGCGGAAATCATGGTGGCCGTTCTCGCGTTTCAACCAGGGAATCGGAGTGAGTAGTGCGCCGCCCAGACTTTCGTCGCTTCCGAGGCCTTCGCGTTCGGAATGGTTCTCGCTCGGCTCGCCGTTCGCCAGGAAGCTGCTCGCAGAGTCGATGTTGGCATGGGCTAGTGGGAACTCGTTGACGGTGCTGGTGACGGAGACGACGCGATCGAGGGCTTGAAGGAAGGGTGGTAGGTAGCGGTAGTATCTCTTTGGATGTAGGACTAGCTCTGCGAGGCGTTGGATTGTGTATGGCGGGTTCTTAGGAAAGTTGTTCTCTAGTGTGGTCCTCGAGTAGTGGTAGAGGGTGTAGAGTTCTGGAGGTAGAGGTGAGGAAGGAGATTGCTGGCGGACTTGGGGAATTGCGGCAAAGGAAGGCACGGGTGGTCGTGGCACTGTGTTCTCCTTGTCGATACTGGCTACCGGTTCGGAAGACTCTGCTGTTGGCACGGTGGGTTCAGGCGACTTTTGTGGACGGACTGAGTCGTCGTTTGAGGGGAGGACGACTGGTGCAGCAGGTAATAGGACTGGAGGACTGGGCGGTGGAGGAGCCTTTGGCGTGGGAAATTCGTTATGTACGANTCTTGAATCAAGTCAGCGAGGGAGCTGTGGAAGAAGTCGCCTGGATGCGCATACGTCGTGTAGTTTTTGCAGAACATTCTCTAACACTCGTGGCCATTCGGANNTCTGTCGTCATGCGTCAGGAAACGCGTGGAATGGTGATGGTGGAACAAGTTACGCGACTCACATGTCGATAGAGCCGTCACGAGCCGCTTGCTCCAGGATCTCATCGCTCGTTAACATGACGGTCTTGTTGTGTGTGTACAAATATGCTATAGGTGCATGGCGGGTTCGAGAGACAAACGACGATCGCGAAATGGTCGCATGTTTCAAAGTAGCTGACGGCCACTGCCAAGACCCGTCGACCTCTTGCATGTGATTCACAACGGCCAAGTCATGTTGATGGTCTTGTGCCATTTCGCTGATGTTGTCTTGTTGGATTATATTTGTTCCTTCGATGCTGAAAACTTGATGAGGCCATGTCTGATTCTCTATGAATCAACTTCGCCCTTTCTCACTAATCCGCTGCTCCTCAACTCCAGGGGTATTCCGACATTGTTCCTACTCTTTCCCATCTACACGCTTATTGCGTCTTGAACAGCAGGATAGCGCAGTGACCCAAGTAGAAGTAGATGAAGTGCTTGGTCTNCTGCATGAACTCGTTAGTCTTGAATGTCTCCAGCAGGCTTCAGGCCACTTTACCGTGTGTAACGAAGCTGCCAAAGTTTCTGCCGACAATGCAGTGCCAGGTAACACCCTTGCGCTCATCGANACTGTCTAGTCGTTAGTTTCCTTGACGCAATGGTAGTAGCGTGTTGCGGACCGTCTTCTTGATGTGGTGTGCAATGTCCTGTGTTGTGTCATCAGCATTTGTACACGACCTGGCTCGAGTTTCNNGTATTAGACTCACCTTTTCGATGTTGAACTTCTCCATGGCTTCTTGTGCTGTAAAAGTAGCCTTCGTCAGTATCCTCCTTCCTGGAAATCACTCGGCATATGTGCATCTTCCCAAAGCCCTCAACTTACCGACTTCGATGGCTTCCTGCTGCATATCCTCGGNTCTAGGCAATAATATGAGCTACGGCTCTCATCGAATAAACAGCCATCAATGTCATACCATGTCTGCAGACTTGACCTGGGCTGTGAGCATGGCATTAGCTCAACTACCCCTGATGGTGAATCATGACCAGCATCTTGACTTACCCTCGAGCCTCTCGGTCTGCTCGAGCTGCTGGTTTGTTGTGGTCTTCTCGTCGGACATTGTAATGACTGGTCTTTGCAGTTCTATAGTCTATGGATTCTCCAAGAAAGTGATTGGGACAGGCTGGATGATGTTGAGAGTCGTCGCGTCGTAACGATGGCACGTGTGGAGCAACAAGCCGAGCGAGTCGCCGGCCGCCGCAAAGTCGCCGCGCGCAAATCTCGACAATCTTGGACCTGCCATAAATTTTTTACATCATCTCTTTCCCTCTACCAATCTCTTCTCTCCTTCCCTATCTTCACCACAGAGATAGACATCCAGCCATGGAGTCAGAGTCATCCCGTATATTCGTCCGGGGGCTGCCCCCAACCATGAGCGAGGCCGACTTCAAGAAGCACTTTGGCAAATATGAAGTCACCGACGCCAGACTCTTTCCTCAGCGCCGAATTGGTTATGTCGGATACAAGTCGCCTGAAGATGCTCAAAAGGCTGTCAAGTACTTCAACCGTACTTTCATTCGCATGTCCAAGATCGGCGTTGAGCTGGCCAGACCCGTACGTTGTCCAATTTCCTCCTCTCTCGAGACTTGTACTGACCATCCCACCAGNATCGGTGAGGCTCCAACAAGGAGGCAAGGTCAATCGTCGCAACATTCCCTGGCAATGGCCAAGTTGCCTGCACACAATGCAAATGCCGAGCCCATAGTAGCAAACCTCAAGCGTAAACGCGCCACTCCCGAGCCCGAGACAAAAGAGAAGGATCCCAAGCTGAGCGAGTTCTTGAACGCCATGCAGGCTCCTTCCAAGCTTCGTGGCACTCGAGGTGAGGAGGTCAACATCGCTGCCCAAGAGCTAGACACCAAGGTCGTTGTGCCTGAGGCCGACAGTGACTCCGAGTATGAGAATGTGCCCAAGAAGCAGAAGAGCGCAGCACCCGCTGTGAAACCTCCTCCATTACCTCCCACCACAGATGCCATGGAGATCGAACAACCTGTTCCGACCCAGTCGGAGCAGGTGGACGAGAGCGCCGAGCCGGCTACAGAACAAGATACAGTAATGAATGACGACGACTGGATGCGCTCACGGACAAGCAGACTACTCGGTCTGGCAGATGACGACGAAGAGGAGGAAGCCGCTACTACGACACGACCTTCGCATACTGTCGCCGCATCGCCGACTCCCGAACCTGTTCCTCAACCAGAACCTGCAGCGAATGATGAAGAATTTGAAGGCTTCGAAGACGAGCCAGCACCACCAGCTGATGAAGTCGAAGAGAAGGTTAGAGCAAGCCAACGCCTATACCTACGAAATCTCTCCTACGCTACCCAAGAAGATGACTTACGAAGCGCTTTCACCGACTTTGGAAATCTTGAAGAGGTAAGCACTCCATTTTCTTTTCCCAATCACACTCCAAGTGTGCTGGTTCAAGGATGAACACCTGATAGGGACAGCTTATGCACTATGTGCAGATGCTGAGAACTCAGGAAGAGTATTTTAGTAGATGCCTCTCTAGTCTGAAAACACACCAGCTTGCACAATCTTCATTATCTGCATTCATCATTTGATAGCAGCTGGCTAACGCATTATTGCTTTAGNGTTCATGTTCCGATAGATCCCAAGACTGGCTCTACCAAGGGCTTCGCCTATCTTCATTTCTCCAATGCCGACAGTGCTTTGAAAGCATTGCGTGATATGGATGGCAAGGTCTTCCAGGGTCGCCTGCTACATATCCTTCCTGCTGCTGCAAAGCGGGAGGACAAGCTCGATGACTTTGCTCTGTCGAAGCTTCCTCTCNNAAAAAAGCAACAGGCCATTAAGCGCAAGCGTGAAGCTGCGTCCGCTACTTTCAACTGGAACTCTCTTTACATGAACGCTGATGCTGTCATGTCTTCAGTCGCTGATCGTCTTGGTGTCTCAAAGTCTGAACTGCTGGATCCTACTTCATCTGATGCGGCTGTCAAGCAGGCACATGCCGAAACACATGTCATTCAGGAAACTAAGTCATACTTCAAGCAGAACGGTGTCGATATGGATGCGTTCAAGAGGCGGGAGCGTGGCGATACAGCCATCCTGGTGAAAAACTTCCCCTACGAGACCAAGGCTAGTGAGCTGAAGGAGTTGTTCGAGCAACATGGCAAAATCAAGAGATTCTTGATGCCTCCATCAGGCACCATTGCCATCGTCGAGTTCCAACATCCCCCTGAGGCTCGTGCTGCTTTTGCTTCATTGGCGTATCGCAAAATTCACACATCAGTTCTCTTCCTTGAGAAGGCACCCAAAGATCTGTTCCAGGCAACAGCACCGCTTACCGACAGTACCGACAGAGAGACAACACAAGCTGGTCTCGATGCCAAGGCTTCCGCTAGCGAATTGCTGCAGGAGACTGGTATTGAGGTCACTGCTGGTACTACCAGTACTCTCTTCGTGAGAAACCTCAACTTCTCCACTACAACAGATCGTTTGACCGACGTCTTCCGTCCGCTGTCTGGTTTCCTGACCGCAAGGGTCAAGACCAAGACAGATCCCAAGAAGCCTGGTCAGGTTCTCAGTATGGGTTTCGGTTTCTTGGAGTTCGCCAGCAAGCAACAGGCTGCAGCTGCCATCACAGCAATGGATGGCTACAGTCTCGATGGTCACAAGCTGCAGCTTCGTGCGTCGCACAAGGCTACTGATGCTGCCGAAGAGCGTCGCAAAGAAGACAAGGCTAAGAAGCTCGCCGCCCGGGGAACCAAGATCATCATCAAGAACTTGCCATTCGAAGCGACCAAGAAGGACGTGCGCGCTCTCTTTGCTGCGTATGGACAACTCCGCTCGGTCCGCGTTCCGAAGAAATTCGATAAAGGAGCTCGCGGTTTTGCTTTTGCCGACTTCACCACACCAAAGGAAGCAGAGAATGCGATGGATGCTCTACGTGACACTCACTTGCTTGGTCGTAGACTTGTTCTCGACTTTGCTGCCGAAGACGCTGAAGACGCTGAGGCTGAAATCGAAGCCATGGCAAAGAAGGCAGGCTCTCAGCTCAACAAAGTCGCTCTACAAAAGCTCACCAGCGGCGGTCGCAAAAAGTTCCGTGTGGGCGACGATCAAGATGGTTTGGACGAGGCGTGAGTGCAGCATTAAATTTCGAGATCTTTGGGGGGTGCGGCAAGGTCCCTTGCTTGTACGCTCTCACCCTTCAATCTTACACTTACCCTCTCCCTTGGCTTTGCTCACTTGGCAGGTTCTTCTAGTAATCCACCGGTTGCGTATCGGACATTTTATCTCCTCTGATAAAGGTTGGTACCTGCCCTGTCGTCACGTCTTTACACGTGCAACAGTCGATCGAGGCCCTATCAGTCGAGGCTCCTGCGTGATCGCATTCCTGGGTCGTGTGAGTGGTGAAATTAGCCCACCACCTTCACGTTCCCTTTTCGGAGCAGTCAACGCCACTGAGGGCGATCGTTCATGTTCCCCCACACGTCATGTCGGGGCCCTTGCTGTCGATGAAATGATGAATTCCATCAGAAGGTGGTATCCGTGGCACTGCGCGACCACCGACCGATTCTTACGGCAAGTACAGCCTGTCACTGTAGGCCTCCTTCGAAGGCCATGACCCCTGCCGAGATTGGCCCATGGGGCGTGGCCTCTGTAGATGTCCCTTGGATGAGCACCAGTTCTATAAACATGTAATCGGTCCAATGGCGATGACCCTATTCACCACCTATTATTCTCTCAAGTCATTCCTTCAGGCCATCCAACTTTTTACGATCCTTTCTTGCTCTCATTGTAAACCATATTCATCGTCAGCATTCTTAAAAACACAATCCATTCTTTACACTCCATTATTTTGCTACGAAGCTTATTCCCAGATGGAATCATTCCTTCCAACTCCAGTCGTGCCATCTAATGCTCCCTTGTGGTCTGACATCGATCAAGACTCACGCATTCTCAAAGAACAGTGTGGTAATAGACAACTTGGATATCTCCAGACGCAGAATACCCTAGACTACTACTCGAACGTCAACGATGACTCTACGTGTGGATCTGCTGGTGGAAGGCCATCGGCCTATCAAGCACTGCAATATGGTAGAGGTCGAATAGGCAAGCTTCAACATTCTTGGATGGCCGGACTGGCACAGAAGTACGACCCAGGCTCTCAACACTTGCTCAACAATGTCAATCGTGGCAGACATCGTGGCCTGGGAAACATGCCTACTGACGATCAAGAGAAAGATCAGGAGGCAGAGAGGAAGGCCAGGCTGCTTGCATCAAGGTTCTTACGGTGTGATGGTTACATCAAGTATCGAAATCGTCAACCCAAGGAGAAGAAGGGCAACAAAGAAGACGCGAAGTGGCCCGATCACATCGAAGACGCCTTCATCGTAGGTTGGTATATCGCGAGTTTTTGATTGTGATACAATTGCTAACACAAAAGTTCACAAGCCTTATGCCGCCATCCCCCATGTGGTCGTAAGAAGTCGAAAGCTCCCGGCGAACAGCACAATGACGATGCGAAGGCGATGGGTAGGAATGAGTTGATTGCAGACTACATCTTCCGCAACACTGGAGATGTTCGCACCAGAAAGCAGGTATCGAGCCACATCCAGGTGCTCAAGCCGTTCGTGCAAAATGAGGCGATCAGTGAGTCTCTCGGTCTAGACAAGCCAAAGTCAAGCACAATGCTGATGGTGAACNNAGTCATGCGCTTCCTCGCTACGCCTGGTGAGAAGGAATCAGCGGCTACAAAGGCCGCTCGAAAGAGAGCTTCAGTTTACAATCCTGACCCCCAATCACGTATGAGCTCGTTGAACCAACGCCGCAACTATTCTCTACAGACCGGCTTTGACCTGCAGCCCGAAGAGTTCTGCATGTTCATGCGTTCTTGTAAGGGTTCCGAAACATTGCACACATACAGTGCCACCGAGGGTTTCAGCCCCAACAGCTGCTTCGTGCAGACCCAAGCAGAACTTTATGACTGCTTCCCTGGTCTCGCCAACGTCCCGNNCCTCGAGCGCTTCGCTAGAGGCAAGTTTCTCGCTTTGCATGTGCCTATTGTGCTGCACTCGAAAAACCTAGTTGGCGACACAGAACTGGCTATTCGTTGGGTATTCAAAGCTGCTGCTCGTAATCCACCTGTCTCTGTTAGCAGTCGTACAAGGTTGTATCTCAAGGGTCGACCCATGTACTGCGACAGATTGGGCAATCGTCAATTCTACGAAAATCAAAACTTTGATTTGACCGAAGAGATGCACCAGGACTGGCTCAATTTCACCAAGGAATACGACGCAGCTGAAGTTCCTGAGAACAATGATGCAATCGATATGAACTCGAATGGTCATTATAGCTCGAGCGGCGGCATGATTCAGTATTACGTTCCCTTCTCCAGTACATTCTGGGCTCGCTATCTTTATCATGTAGTCCTGCTCCAACGACAAGCTACTGAACTCGAAAACCGTCCTTTGCAACCAGATGAGACCGCCGAAGATCGTCACGACCAGCTCTCCAAGAAGTGTCTCGAGGTCTCTTCAGCCCTCGGCGAACTTACAGCGGTCCAAGAAATCGTCGCAAGGTCGGAGTTGGGCGAGCCTCAAGTAGTCTTGACTGTCCACTTCTCATTCTCGCACGCAGCGAACAAAGAGGCTGCGGTGACGACCTGGCAGTATCTGGACATGGCAAGTGCGTTCGAAGATGCAATCCCTTTGTCTGCTGGAGGTGTGAGTCAAATCTCGCAATCTGCTAGTGACAGTCAGGAAAGTGCGCTCAGCGTCCAAGATGCATACGGCGGAGGAAGCCACGACTATGCAAGCTTCGACCTATCTGCTGTCAACAGTGGTCACCACTACCCCGATCCGACCCATAAGAGTACGAACGGTCTAGCCTCACCCATTGATTTGCACGATACGCAGGCAACAACAGGATACAATACTTCTTGGCTCTTGCCTACTTCAACTTCTGACCTCGATCACCTTGCTTCAACAGTCCTTGATCCGCTCCTGCCGCACAACAGTCAGTCGAATCTCCAACAGCACAACTTGCATGATGTAAACTCCTTTGACTTCAGCAACGGCAACATCTCCATTTCTCTCGATAGCTCGGCCTTGTCGCCTCACCCACCCCTTCCTCAATCTTCTGCGGCTTTCTCATCTGCTATTGCCGCCTTGGATCTGGACCTCACAGCCACAGACCCACTACTGTTACAACCATCGCGCACTACAACACCATGGCTCACAAGCTTAAATGCTACACCCACCGACTACGGCGCATTGTTCAGCCAACCACATTCTCCCGCCAATGCCGCATTCCCCGATTACTCGAACGGCAACGGAGCAGACTTGGCTGATCATCTCGCTGCTGCCGCCGGAGGGCTAACCGATACCTTCGATGTCAACACATTGCCAAACTCGTTTTCGATGTCCACCCATCAAGCCTTCGCTGGTGCTGGAAACGGAACTTCTGATCTCGATGCTACATCTCGTCAACACAGTTTCTCCACTGTTCCTGAAGATACAGAAGCCGGTGGTGTTGCTCTCCACGATGACCATCACTTTTCGCCAACCACACATCAAGGGTTTGGGTATGTCAAAGCGGAGTTTTCTCAACACGATGGCTTTGCTCTTTCTCAGCAGCAGGAGAGCTTTGAGTTAGGTCGTCAAGACTCTTTCGCTACCAACCATACAGACTCTTTTGTTGGTGGCACAGATACCCATGACTTTGCACATTCGTTTGATGTGACCGCTGATACTGGCTTTGACATCAGTGACTTGAGAAGTGGATCTCAGAGTCAACCGCACAACCAGAATCACAGAGAAACTTGGGGCGGTGCTGGGTTTTGATGGACTCATCTTGTTGCCATCCACGGACCTCGTACATGGTCGGGCATTCCACTTTCCTTGTCGTCGATCCTTTTCTTTTCGTCTTTTCTCTTCTTTCACTATCATTTACCTAATTAATGACTTTTTTTACGGCGCACTTGAATGGGGTAACGGACATTTGAAAACGAGATTTCCATTCAGCATTTGGAAAAGCATCTGGAAGATGGTAGAAGGGAGGGAGAAAGGAATAATGAGCCAATCATTTCAGTGATGATAAGATGAAAAGAATAGTCAATGAATTTTTTTCTTCAGTATGCACTGGTCTTCAATGTCAGCATTAACACAACTAGCTGAAAGATGATGTGCTCCCCTTGATCATTGCTTGCTTCGGGGTTATATTGTGAATTTCTTCAACTGGCACCGTGAAAGTCTTATGCGATGGGGAGGCAGGAACACTCCTATAAGGTTATCAACCTTCTTGTCCTTAGTTATCTGTGTTGCAAAGCTATCACCTGGGTCAAGGGATACCCCTAGAGACACTTGAAGCTAACAAGCTCTCCTCGGAACCACTCTCTCCGGAAATATCGTGCATGTCAACAGCTACACTGAGATGATATATCGAGCGTGGGACTCCAACTCCTTAGGGGTCTGCTACGTACCCCATGCACTATCTAGCTAGACAAGTAAGGTAGTGACCACGAAGCTGGAAGTCATCAAGGAATCCAAGCTGGCATCCATACTGGCAAGGAAACGAAGTCAGAGAGAATAGCTGAGTGTCGTGTTTCTTTGCGTGCGTTGCGAAATCCATATAGGTGGTAGTGTTTAGAAGAACAACATTGCAGAGAGGCAGAGGACACTTGAAGCATAAGTCTTAAAGGTCAAAGTCTTGAGAACCAGCGACCCCAACCAAGTCAGAAGCTCGTTTGGAGTTGAGAGTGGTAAGATTGAATTGCTTGATCGTGCGTTCAAGAAGCTAGTCAACATCTTGGGATCCTCCGTGGTGGTTGTCTTGGTTAGCACCATCTTCTTGATGGATGTCGATTGAAAGATGATCATGAGCATGGATGTCTTGCTGGTTCTCGGCTTGATGGCTGCCATCATCGATCAAGTTGGCATTGCAACCCTGCTGCCTAAACTCGAGCAAGCTGGCCCTCTTGTAGGGTATTTATCCACCCCAGACACCAGTTCACCAACTCATCAACGGTATGCATGGCAACGACTGCCGAACTAATCTGTGCACCGACCAAATCGCCTACATCTAGCCGGCAAGCGTAACCCAAAGCACCACCCTCTAGTGGTGAAAGTTCGTTCATAAAGTCGTCGGCATCGGAGTGCTTGAACCCTGGCGACAAAGCAGACCAGAAAACAAGCTCAACGCCTTCCAGTTGTCGTATGGATAAAGTCTGTACCATCAAGACGTCGAAGTCGTTGTTGACAACTTGCCATACGGACGTTGAGTATCAGTTACGGTGGATGACTCGAAACAAGCAGCAAGAAGCAATGGTGATCTATTTATATTCGTTAATCATGACTTTTCTCATCTATAACTATCAATGATTTTGTCGCCGTAAGGCAAAGCCTGTCCGAACGCCTATCGCTCTATCTTCTATACCTCAGACTAGAGTCTTCGATCAATACCGTCGCTTGCATCTCGAGCTATGCCAAGCTCTGACCAGTAACCACTTCACTCATNNCCCTCACAAGTAACTCAGGGATTCTGAACGGCTTGGTCACCACATCATCCATACCCGCTTCCAATGCTTCCCTCATCTGTTCATCACGCGCATTGGCCGTGACAGCAATGACAGGCACTCGCCGAGTGTAGAAGCCTTCTTGTTCCAAGTTTCTGATTTTGCGGATACACGTGAGTCCGTCCATGACGGGCATCTCGATGTCAAGCAACACGATATCGATCTTTGTGCTAGGGGACGGCGATGAAGTGATGTTCGTTCTGGACAAGAACTCCAGGGCATCGAGTCCGTGATCGGAGGTGTGAACTGTACAGCCTTGGTTGCGCAGCTGTTTGGCCACGAGGCGTTGGTTCAAAGGATTATCCTCGACGACCAAAACGTGCAAGCCTCGTACTGGAGAAGGTTGGCGGATAAATGCGAGGTCTTTGTCGTTAAAGGCTTCCGTGCGGCTCATACGAGGCCTGTGACCTTTGATGCGGGGCGATTTTGGTGTGACCGTTGGAGTAGAAGCTGCTTCTTCAATGGGTCTTCTACACTTGATGTAGAAGGAGAACGTTGTTCCGAGTCCTTCGGTACTGGTGACACCGATGCGGCCAGCTTGTAGCTCGATCAGCTCTTTGCTTANAAAGAGGCCCAGTCCAGAGCCACTGTACTGTCCGTATGTCTTTGGCTGCGAAAATCTCTTGAAAAGAAGACTCATCTCACTCTCCGACAGACCGCAACCTGTATCTTGGACTGCAACGTGCAAGTATATGTCTTGTCCAGAACATGAACTCGAGAAGGCAGCACTGAACTGATCCTGTTCTGTGGCAGCACTAGCAGGTGTCAATGGAGTGCTCGATCTTCTTGGGGTCAGTGGCATGAAGACAGTCTGATCGGAAGCATCGTTTGGCTCAATAGCAGAGGCACCCAGTGAGATGACGATTGATCGTTCTCTACACGATCTCGTGTGGTTGATTGCATTGGTGAGTAGATTAATTATGATCTGCATGAGTCTGTTCGGATCGACCATGACAAACTCTGGGATTTGTTTGGTATACGTATCCAGGACATTGATGGATGTGGTAATACCACTTCTTTTCGCTTCCTGTCCATACATCTTCAATGCTCTTTGCACTATATCGACTGGTCGAACTTTCTCTGGCATAATCATGAGCAATTGCGAATCCAGCTTGCTGACGGTGAGGATGTCACTGAATATGCCATTCTGGTGTTGCGCGCAAAGCGCGATTGTGTGAGCTGCATCTTCCAAGCTTTTTAGCTGTGATATGGTCATGGATGGAGTGTCTGGCTGATCCTTGTGTTTATTGATGGTGTCCAGAATCTCATCAGAGCATTGGAAGATGGCGCTGAGAGGGTTTCTCATCTCGTGGGAGACCACNNTGTCGACTAAGTTAGCAACAGTCCCTTGAATTCCAGAGTTTTTGTATCAATGAGCCTACGTACTATCAAGAAAGTGTTCGGTAGCCGATTTTGTTTCGAGGGCATCTTCAAGTCTTTGAGCAAGCAAGCTATCCTTTGCCAGACGATCGCTGATGTCCACAAGCCAGCCATGTATCAAATAGACTTCGCCATGCTCGTCAATATCAGGGAAAGACGTGGCAGACACCCATCGCTGAGTAGGATTGTGAGGTGAATCGCGTATCTTGTACTCGATAACGGAGGGCGTCTTCTCAGTCATCAAATGATGCCACTCTTTGATTGCAACGTCCAAATACTCCTCAGATACGGTCTGTAGCCAGGGTAATTCTAAAGCTGTTGTCTTGTCCAGATCCTCTTTTGTGGTTCCTGTGATCTTGAGGTAGGCATCGTTAACCTGAATTGTCCTCTCTTTCGGCGAGTAGAGATACATCCCAAGTGGCGCGCTCTTAGCAATCCGAAGGAACTTCTCTTCCTTCTTCTTGGCCTTCAGGATTGAAAGTCGAAGTTCGGTCGAAAGTGACATCGTGGTTTCCTCGTACTTTCTTTGGAATTTTTGCTGATCTCCAGGAAGTGTAACCAGGATGGCCTGTTTGCAGATTGCCTCATGTATGCAGTGAACGAAACGATTCATCTGTTCAGTAAATGGTCGCCTTGGGTCCAGTCCGAGAACAATAAAGGCTAACAGCTTACCGTTCAGATCTGAGATTGGCATGATGGACGCACAACGGACAGTGCCTGAATCGGCGACTTGAACTGACAACTCATATGGAAGTGCTTCATCTGACAAGACAACAATCTCTTTTTNCTCAAAAGCTTCACGAAAAGCATCCGCAAGACTCGGTGCTCTAGAGCACTCAGCAATAGATAGGTCGATAGTAGGCTTGAGCACATCTTCTGACACTCCCAGAGAACCGGCAAGGTGATATTGCTTTACGAAGTACGATGAAGCGGACTGAAGTGTGTCATGATGAGGAGTAATATCAGGTGTCGGCAGATCGTCTGAGCGAACGAAGGATGCGTGATCGGAAGCGGCGTAGACCATGGCGTAGGAGATGTCAGGGGCGTTTCTATCCAGTGCGCCCAAAAATTTGGACCACAGTTCAGGCAAGTTCTCAATCTTCGAGACGGAATCCAAGACATCTAGACCTTGTAACCGGCGTTGATCCTGCACAACCAGGTCTGTCACATCAGTAAACTCGCCGACAGCACTGTCACAATATCCATCATTTCCAGGTAGGGGCGAGAGAAAGATGTTCCAGAAAGTCTGTTCTTTAGAACCACTACGTTCAAGAAGCAACTCTTGACGCGTACGTCGTGCGCCTCTGCCGTTGTCGTAAGCAGTCAATGACATATCCCATAGGATTTCGAAGATTTTGTCGACTTGTACATCAGCGAGAGGGACGCCTAAGCACTTTGGATGATGTTGTCCGATGACAGCAACGAAAGCCTCATTGTATATGATAGCTTGTTGGTCGCCGAAGATGAGGATGCGTGGGTCAGGAGAGTTCATGATTTTGGCGGTGGAGCGCCGCAATTCCAGGGACCACGTTTCGATGGCGCCGAATGGCGTGTCGGACCAAGCAAAGTGTTTGACGAAGTGGAACCAAGGAGATGTAGCATCAGACAGCGTCCAGTCTGCCAATTTCCTTTGAGGTTTTGGCATGCTGAGCGGCGAGACCGGTGTCAAGGGTGGCATAGATGCTGCTGATGGTTGGGAAGAGCCTTTTCCCATTGAGTCGGAGTATTTGTGGTGCTCAGACAAAGCGACTCCAACGGGGTCTCGAGGCTGGCGGTGCTGGCTGATTCAACATCTTGCAGTGCAGCATGTCGCGAATCTGCGACTGCCATGAGGAGACTCTGAATTTTCGTTGATTGGAGTTTGTTGACGATGTGAGATAGTGTGAGCGAAGGCGACTTTTATCAAAAGGTCACCATGACAAAGGCTGTGTTGTCAGATTCGGCAAGGACAAGGCAGCAACGTCAGCAAAGCGTTGTTTGTACAGAAAAGAGACTACGAGCTCGCGGCAGGTAACAGCTTTGTAGAGTAGCGACAGCAACTGTGATGCGCGTACAGTGCCGGAACGAGAGACGACACCTTTTGTGTTGCAACTCAAAATACCAAACAATCTATCCCAGCAGGATGGCACGCGTCGGATGATCACTAGTGCCGCGAGAGTGGTGACAGTTCGCTGGGTAGTCACACAAACGAGATTTGGGTAGTTACGAGGAACAAAAGTGTCGCTAGCTGCGCATGCAGCGCATACAGCCATAGTTATCTAGGCAACCACGCGGCGCTTTTTTTTTCTCTCGTGAGTCAAGGGCTCACATGCTGTTTCGATCGCTCGCAGCTCGTCTCATACAAAAGTCCGATGCTCTCGAGCTTGAGGATGCAGTCGAAGGGTCTGACCTGAGTGCACTAACCGCGTTTGTAAAAGGTGAGACCACCTCAGCACGAGCCAGGCGTTTCCGAAACTCCGAGAGACAGCCGCACTATACCCCGAGAGGAAATAGCATTGCTCAAAGACCTTCTCTCCAGCAACAGAACGATTCCATGCGTTTCTATCTTCTATTTTCTATAGCTGATCTTCTATAGCTCATAGAACAACGGGCTCAAATTTGAGAGGATCTAAACGCCGGATCTCATTTCCTCCCTGCCGACCAGGAGCATGCAAGCCATCAAAATGCACAAATCGACGATGTTGCAAGAAAGCCGTTCAGCATCCCGTCCTTGGGTGGACACTTATTAAAGCTAGATCGTAGCTGTGCTTGTACGAGCTCAGGTCTCGTAATACAAGGACAGGGCAGGAACGTCCCTGTACCATATCAGGCGAACCATCAAGACATCCACCAGCTATGAAATTGCACTATTGTACTTCCAAGATGTCAGCCGTCCTATGAGCATGACTTGACTCAAAATCAATCTTATACCTTCATGGCCACCACTTCGATGGCTCGGAGCATTTGAATGATCTTCCTGACACTTTGGCTCTCAATTGACAGTCAGATCTGGTTCCAATCATGAAAGCCGACAGTACTTACCCTCACGCTTGCGCTTGGGAGCGTGACGAGGGGGAGTGGACATGTCAACAGCCTCCTTGACCTTCTTAAGGATACGGTTATAGTCATGCTTGCTAGTCTTGGAGATGCGGTTGAAGTCGTCCTTGCTAGTCTTGGTGTTACGGCCTATAGCCTCGCCGACAGCCTTCCAGTTCAAGGCCTAGATGAGTTTGAGAAACCAAACTTCATTATTTATACAGAGAATAACGAGTGACCAGATACCCGTCCGACACCACACAACTTGGAGAAGATATTGCGCTTTTATATAATGTTCCTTCTCAGTGGAGCCTGAGTCAAGAAGACTGTGTACGGGCTGCCCCCAAGCGGGCCTTAGATTGAGCTTCCATGCATACTGTTGCTCACCAGGATGCACGATTCAGAGCTTCTGAAGACGGTAGAGATGTGGGATCTCACAGGGCTCCTCGAATCTAGAAAGACCATCACGCATTTTCTCAGCGATACGGTCCGCGAGGCTTCCAGACTCGGAAGCGAATTCGGAAAGCCAGATTGGGCCTCGTCTCCAGCCCGTCAAGCAAGCACATAGCTGTCTATCAAAATGCACAAACACATCCCAGGCCAGAGTGTTTCCAGAGAAGAGATGAAAGAGGCATCACCATCACATATGTCACATCATAAGAGGCACTCATAAAGTTCCAGAAGCTGAATATTGCCTTTTTGTATCATTCTTCGAGTACAGTATCGTCGAGAGCAGCATTTTCGCTGAGCCCGTCATACCTTTCGTTTCCTCATTTCCATAAAATCGTAAGCAGCAATAAGAAACAGTAACCACTTTATGTATCTCCATCGTGAACAAGCAATCTTCATACTCATTCGTGCATCCGTCCATTGAGCGAAAGCAGTCTGACCGTCACCCGGACAGCCCAGAAACCCGTCTTTCTCTCATCTTGTTCGTCTCGAGACCACGTTCAAGTGCGTTCAGATGACCCCCAGATCACCCTCCAGAGAGTTTCATGCGCATAAAGCACGCTCATCATGCATGGCTGTAAGCACGGGCGACCAACTAAGCCACCAGGCTGGGCCAAGCGACAACCTCGACGACGCAGAGGTATTTGGCGAGAGACTTCTGGCGTAAGGTGGGACGAGCATGAGTACCGGCCATCTGCACCATGACTTTGTCGAACATCCCGAAAGCGAACAAGAACAGGATGAAAGGGAAGATTGCACAGACGACGAAGAGGGCCCACGATCTGCGCTTTCCTTCTTTGTCTCGTTGCAGCCACACGGCATCGTTGATCAGGCTGTGAGTGCGGGCGTTCTCAAGCAGGCGAGGCGTTGATTTGTCTTGTCTCTGCAGCATCAGGTCTTGGTCGTTGTCGTAGCCAGAGATGTCGAGGGGAATGGTGCTGGCTAGTGACGGAGTGCTAGGTTGAGGATGAATGCTGGGTGGCGGCTGAGGCATCGTGCTGTACGATCTGACGATTCTTGGTGCCAGCTCGACGTCGGGAAACAGATTGTACCTGCCGAACGACGTTTCATAAGGCTGAGAAGCCTTTACTTCTCCAAACACAGTGGTTTCATCTTCTTGCTGTCCCATTGCAGAGACAGAGTCATGGTCTGACTCTTCGTCGTTGAAAACACCCGAGCTCAAACCCGACAAGAACCGCGAGACCGACGGAGGAGGAGCCCGGTCAAGGATTCGAGTGGGAGGCGTCGGGACCGCCTCGTCACTCTCGTCCTCGCCAAGATGCGGCGGAGGCGGGANGACGGGCAGGGGGCGGAGGGGGAAGGAGGAGAGAGGNNGGGCCGGGCCAGGAGCAGGGAGAGAAGGAGGTCCGGCCGCGAGCTCATGGCGGGCGTCGACATATGACTGGCGGTCGAGATCTCCCGCGTGTATGAACGCAGAGGAGACGTCGGACCGCTCCGACGCAGCATATGCCTCTACGAGGCCCTCGAGAGTGCTGAGAGTGGTCGAGCCACTCGATCTTCTGTCGCCCTTGCTGGGCGATTGACCCTCCATGACGGTGGAGGAGGGGAGGGTNNCTACAAGGCTTTAGTTACGTTTCTCATGTGCGAGCACTAAATGACTTACGGTGTTGTTGCCTGCGTTGATGCAGGAGGAGCTTTGTAGGAGGTAGAGGTCGAGGAGGGAGGTCGAGGCTANTCATAATGTCAGCTGAGCCCTAGGTTTCCAGTGATGGAAGGCTCATGGAAAGGCCCCCAGAACATGTGCTCCCAACTGGAGGAGCTCGTAATAATGTAGTTGTCAAAATGCAAGATATGATCAATGTGCAATGGATTGACCATTGAGATGGGGAAACAAAGACTTACAAGGACTTGATGTTGCTGTCAAAGAGGAAGAAGATGTGTAACTGTTCGAAGGTAGTATTCGAGATGTAGAGGTCCGTGCGTTCGCTAGCGCCTTTGGGATGGTAGTATTCCCATCAACAGCATTTTCCTCACTGACCAAACGCATGAGAGAGACAGTAGTCAGTGACATATGTCCGCTAGTATCATCTGTCCGGCCATAGGTATCCGTTGCATGTTCAAGGCGATCCAGAAAGCTGGTCTCGCCATATTCATCGAAACTCCATCCATAACCAAGACTTTGCTGGAGCTGGTCATGTTTCGGGACCATGTCGGAACAGAGCGATGAATCACGACGTGCTTCTCGAGTCTCTCGAGCGATTTGAGGTCTCGACACAAACGACAAGCCTTTCCAGAACGACATCTGTAATTGTCGAGCTTTAGACACCTCTCTAGTTGAGTTGGTTCAAGCTCGTTACCTCGCCAAACACACCGGTAACCACGTTGATCCTTGAATACTTTTCCGGCTCGCAGAGAACGCCGGTATTCGTCCTCGATCGATGCTTGGGAACCTCGTGCTAACTTGATTCCTGCAGATCTCGATCGACAGTCAACGATATCGAACCAGACCGGTGGGTTCGATGACTCGGCACAGTACAAGACTAACGTGCCGGCAAGATGCAGCCTCACTACTGGTCGAAGATGCTTGGCTAGGCTGGACGTGATCTTGGAGCCCGGTAGAATCCAGAAATCTGCGTTGGCTTATTCAACGGAATTGCGTCAAGCACACGAGACCATTATAGAGCACAGTGCTCGACTGGACTCTCTCATCCGATTTAGCGAACTCCTTGTGGATTTGCAAGCCTGATAAAGGACCTTTGTGCGATGGTAGTTCGTCCTGGGCGGCGTATTCAACCTGGACTGCTGTCCTTCGGGCTGAATATTTCCTCGGCTAGACAGGCTGGTCGGACGGATCGGTATCCGAACAAAACCAATATCAATAAGGCGTTGATGTTCCTGTTGTTCCAGCAGAAGCTACTGGGCCTGGAGAAGGACCCTGAAGGACGTTGGGTGGTGCTCCTCTTAATGCCTGGACGATTTTTGTTTGCGTTTTCCCAGTGCTCTTGCGTAGGCTCCCTGATAGGGTTGAAATCAACTGCTGTTCGAGGCGACTGAACCTTCAATGGCCAGAAAGACGATGCCGATGATCGAACACGATAGGCGGCCGAGTCTGCCTCCAGGAAAGTCGAGTACTCCTAGTAGACGAAGCAGAAGCAACGATCATACAGTACAGTTCGAAGCTGCGGGTCACTTCGGAGGATGACTTGCTGAGTTGGAGTGGTAATTGATCCCGACGAAGGGATCTGGCATGCTTGAAGCTTCGATGTGTTTGGTTCTGCCAGACGTGGGAAGCTGCAACCCTGTCGCTCCTGCCGTCGGAGCGCTACCTTCAACTGACCGACTTATAACACATGGCAACAATCCTGATTTTGGAAGGAGACATCGAGTTACTAGCGCAAGGCATCACTTGCCAATATTCGCTACAACTTCACAAGATGACGAGGCTTTTGAAGCTCATGTCATGTTTCCCTCTCACCAAGCGCTCATAACCGACACGAATGAGGCCTCAATCACGAACGCCTTTTGCTTTTGCCGCATCGTTTCCCCCTGAGGCGCTGCAAGTCCATCGACACTGGTGGTTTGTGTTTGTAGGACTCAACAGAGGGAGAATCGGGTCTGAGCGATGAAGCCCGTCGGTAATATTTCGGCATCTTTCAGCTGGCGCGAGCCTTGGAGCAACTCATCCCTTTGTCTTCTTCCCTTCGCCTCGACACCACTTGTTGGGCGTGCGTACATCAAAGAGCATAGACCCAAGCGCTCTCTTGAGACTGCATGTCGCTTGCCACACTAGCCTCCAAGATCCTGCCGTTGAATCTCACAAGAGAGTCACGCTACACGGCCACACCTTACTCTTATTCCCGGTCCCTCGCCGGAATGTTAAAACACTCATTGCATTGCGGAGGCTTGCGCGGCCAGCATCCACCTTACCCACGACACCCGTTTCGTGACCCTTGTCCGTCTTGTTTGACAGCTGATTTTCGAGTGTCATCATGCTTGTCCAGAGAACGCCTAATAAGAATCACCAGTGCATCGTTTTCAATCCAAATCCACAAATAGATTTTGCTTTGGGCCGTTTCTCGTATGGTATAGACGGTGAGGTGTATACTTCTAATAGAAAGAAATTGAGCGTCCGTAACTGGAGCTTGGTCGTGTGAGTAAAGCGGGGGAATCCTCGTATAGCTAACGGAGGCCGCGTGGGCTGGTAAGAACCAGGGGAGCATAGTACAAAAACACCGAGTTCCGAATTAGGCAGTAGGTGAGATGTTTCTGGGCGATTCTGTGAGAATGGATCATGGACCAAAGTAGCATATAGTCAACAATGAGAATGAGATGGCAGCACGATACGAGCGGGGGGTAATGAAAGTGACAGGGAGGAGCTTGTAGCTTATATCAAAAATGCTCGAGGGTAATCTAAGTATCTCGACAAGAAATAGGGATTGGGGCACGGGAGATGCTCCGAGAACTTAGACAACGCCAGTGACATCTGTGACGTTAACAACCTGGTCGCGTGCACTGCACTAGGAATGTCATCCTCACATTCACCTAATGTGTTACTCTCCAACCCGGTATAAGCGGCTCATGCCAAATATTTCACCAGAGCCAACACTTGTCGCTGACTCCTGCTTTAGCATGGTGTTGCAGCAACTGTGGTTACAACATTAATCACAATACAACACAAAAACACAATGGCTCACAGACAAAACAGGCCGAAAACAAGAAGGCAATCTCTGATGGTCGTAAAACATGATGGAATGACATTTGTGTGTACACGAGAGGCAGCGCTTTATACATATCTATAGCAAAGGTCATAACCCTCTGTCGAGGCGACACTCTTGACAGCGATAGATCTGCCAAATCCATGCATCCTGACGCGTTCATCCTCAACCAGCATCTCCACCTTGGGGTGTTGTTGTTGCCACAACCACCACAGACGATCCACTTGCAACTGGTGCAAGAACAGGGGATCTGCAAAAGCGTTAGTTAAAACTCTTCAACACGAACATCTGAAAATTTTGTGACTTACCATNNGAGGCAGCTCAGGGCTTGAAAAGTCAAAGGGTGCCAAGGAGGTAATACGAGCTTCGAGGACGTGTGCAAAGTCGTCGTAAGTGCTAGCAGCCATAATCTCAGACACGAGCGAGGCGTCAAGATGTTGTTTCGCGACTTCGTCGCGGATGGCGGCTTGAGGTGAGGATGTCACGGCCGATGCGGCTTCTCCGAGAGACTCGGAGTAAGCAGCGGCAACAGTCCAGTCGAGGTAAGGCATGTCTCCCCTGTACGCGCACTCGTTGCGCAAAGCCGTCTCGAGTGTATGCATGGAGAAGCGGTTCCAAGGGAGGTAGTCTGAGGTTTGTGTCGCGTGCCAACCAGATATACTGTAGGCAGACAAAAAGTCACCGAGTCTGCTGCCGGTGTTGTCGTTCTTGGAGGGAAGGTCGAGAAGGCAGCGTACAGCGCTTCTGTAGCGTGATTGCTCCAGGGGTTTCATGCTTCGCCATTCACGGCGGAGTGTGAGGTTGTCGCATGTACTTGTTGGTGCCGAGGTTGGTAATGATGTGCTTGTTGCAACTGAGCTTGTCGACTTGTGTAGTATGTGCTGGGCCTTGTTCAGGCATTCTGGCTTGCTCCAATTCGAAGAGACTATCGTGGCGACTGTGCCCAGGACGAACAGCGTCCACAATAGTAGGAAGACTGGTCGTGCTGGTGGTGGTGATGCTGGACTCTGACTCTCTAGGTCGTTGTTCTGAGGTTGTTCCTTTTCGAGCTGTTGTGCTAATTGTTGCTTCTCTGAAAGGATAGTCTGTTCCGACATTTTGAATTGAGGTTCGAATATGATACAACACGAAATGATAGCTAGATACGAGGGAGAAGACGACAAGTACCGTCAGAGTATATATTCCAGCAAGCACGTTGCAATGCCGTTAGCAAGATTTGGCGAGGTGCATATATATAGGAAGGTGGCTTTACGTTTGGGTAGACTACGGGTTTAGCGTTCGAGACTTGTACTGAGATGTCCAACGGTCAGGTCGGTGGTCATCAAATAAGAGCGAGACTTTGATGCACACGCTACCGGGCAGTCGGGCTCAGCTTCCACCTTCTTCGCTGCAACGACTCTGAGACCCGAGGTTCGACTCGGGAGAGTGAAGTTTCTTTTGATCAGACTCCAGCTGAGAAGATTCAGCTGGGTACGATAGAGGCTTGCCAGCGATCTTGAGCCGCCGGCAGCGATCATGATGTGTAGATCTGAGGATCATCTCCGGCGAACATGTCAGTGACATGTCCAACGCTTCTCCAACCTCAGTCTCCCCACAGAACCTCCTGAGATCAGGCGTGACAAGCAATTCCCAAGCATGTGTTAAAATTGGCGAAGGATGCCATCTAGCGAAAGCCCCTCGTGAAGAAGAGGTCTGGCCTTTTGCGCCAAGGGATTTGGCGTGTCGAGCGCGGGCTTCCAGTTGGAGAAAGACAAACTGCCCACGGAGCGCTGGAGTGAACACGAACTTTGACGCGGAAATGGCGTTTTCCCATGGCTGAGAATAGCCAATCCTGAGGTGGCTAGGGCCCCATGGCTGAACACGTGCAACGGCTCGAGGAAAGACAGTCTTATCCGAACGTAGATCAACTGAGACCGACTCAGGTTCTTCGCTTTCAAACGTGCAATTGCGACATTGTCGCGGACCCCGGAGAACGGCGGCTGAAGAGCAGGCTCTCATAGAGCCAACTTGACTTGCCAGGCGCATCTCTTGACGTTGTTTTGCATTTGAACTTTTGATCGTGGCTTTTCACAAGTGATGTCGCGATTTCAGCAGGTACGAAACGTCATCCGGATTGTCGATGCAGACACGTCTTCGCGTCTCCAATATTCACAAAAACCCCACTGTCGAGGGTTTTGTTCCTTGTAATAATATATACCTAGGGATAAAAACCTGACATACTTCAAAGAGACTGAACATCGTTGACAACTACAATTGGAGTACACAACTCTTGCCATACGTCGCTTCTTCGCCTATACATCGCCCATAGAACGATGGCGGACTCTTGAGAAACTTAACAGTGCCAGGGTTTGTTGCAGATACCATCAAAGTACATCCGCTGCCGAATCTTCTTCACGAACCACCTTCCTATCACCCAGCGTGACGCCGATCTTAGAAACCACCAACCAAGCCGGGAGAAGGGAGATCCCCCATAGACCAAAGTTGAGGTAGATGTTGCCGGTCCTGGCCATGACACTCACACTACCTAAACCATANNCTGTGCATAGCAAGATAGTCAGCCTTTGCTCAAACAGGAGTGTGGGGAGAGATAGGCAGGGAGAACTCACACTGACGGCTTGGACTGCAGATTCCGTACCGCGAAGGAGACTACAGATGCGGATAAGTTCCTCTTGGGTCGAGGCGAGGTTGCCGACGACGAAGTANNTCTGAGCGAGTTAGCCCAAGATGCTCATGTTCAGAGAAGCAAGAGATGTGACTTACAAGAACAGATAGTTGATTTGAAATCCAGCGACCCAGAACAGAAACAGGGCAAAGCCTTTGCCGAAGCCCGCGTCAACCCAGTCATAAGTCGGATTGGTCTTGTCGAACTCGGTAACCAGCACTGTTGCCCAGATCCACCAAGCACCTTGGAGACCCAGAATTGTGATGAAAGCACCACGAGACCGAGACTTGAGGCTGAGCTTGGTGTAGTCGAGGTACTTGCCAAGTACATTTCCCATAACGACAGCGACAATGCCAGAGAGAAAAGAGCCGAGAGCACGAGCGCGCACACTGAACCACAACCCTTGGAAAGTAAAGAAGACGGATTCGGCATAGACGGCTTGTGCGATCAACGGCACGATGAGCAAGAAACGCTTGCTGAAGAAGAGCTTGGACATCTCCTTGAGCTCGTACGTGATGCTGTTTCCTATGCTCAAGCGGACCGGCAGTCCATCAGTTCTCTGCACCTTGTCAGGAGGACTCAATAAGAGGCCAGCAAAGGGAGCAAGAGCCTGGAGTGCAATAAATGCTTCGAACACATGGTATGATACAGAGCCAGCCTTGTTGTTGTTGACATTGATACCAAGGTTGATAGCTCCTCCAACAATCTGACCACCAAGACGGAAGCTGAGCCAGAAGCCCAGAAAGCGACCTTGGTTATGAGGCTCAGGGTATGCAAGCGCGATGGCAGCCTCAACAGACCAGAATATACCAGCCGAGAGACCGCAGAGCGCCGCACCCAGCAGCACAAACCAGCCATCGCCGTAGCGGTTATTGACATAGAGTCCGGCAGCATAAGGACAGTATCCCAGAGTGCCGATGATGAGTGCCCATTTGACGCCAACCCACCGCACGATAACGGACGAGAACAAGCAAGTCAAGACCATAAGGCAGAAAGTCAAGGCGTTGGCTGTGTTCACGAGTGTCGGTGACTGTTGCCCTCCACCACCGAGCGAGTTCATCGCACCCCAGATGCCGGGAGCTAGGAAGTTGCAGATGCCCAAGATGAATGCATTCCAGAAGGTAGAGCGGTACCATGTTGCTACACGAGACCTAGTCAGTAAGGATGCCATGAGGCCAACACTACTGGGAATGTGATACTACTCACGCTTGCGAATCGCTTTCGAGGCTCCGTCATCGTTCGGGGAATCGAGGGACTGGGTTGCGAGAATTCCAGAGCCTTTCTCGTTTGCAGTCATCTTCTTGCTTCGGGAAGGTAAGAGTAATGGTTATTCGAGACGTCCCGCGTCCATCATCATATACTATATGGGTATTTGGGACACGAACAACACTAAGCCTTTTGCTGGGCTGAACATCTCAACAGGAACATGATGCAAAAGCTCGCCATCTGCAGGATAAGTAACTCTGATTGTCTCCTTGAATGTGGTTCGTTGGTGATCGTCTAGGGTCCTTGAATCCTGTATGGTGCAAAAGCTCGTCATCTGAGTCGAGTCCCGAAATCTAGCCGATCTTATGCTGACAACCACCAAGCGGTTGATTATCGCGCTCTACCTTCTCTCACATCGGTCGAATGAGATTTCCAGGCAAGTTCGAAACGTGGTTTCAATCATATTCGTATATCTACATGGACTAAGTTCTACACTGCAACGAGCTAGCTCTAAATTGGTCGTGTCATTCATGAGCACTTCCAACTGCTTGCAGAGTCTACCTTTCCGTGAGTGTAGACGGGTTGACTGGGGAAGGGGCAAAGAGGTCTTTGGCGGTAGATACCCTTAGTAGGGTCATCATCGTTGTACTTGGTCGCGACCAATTTCTCGGGAGCAGTGCCGTTCTCGACCCAGCGCATCAAAGCAAGCAGACCATTGTGCTGAGCGTCATCAAAGCCAGGAACACCGTGGCTAACGTTGGTCAAAGGTTGACTAGCACCAGCGATGTACCAAGGAGAGTATTGACTGCCTGCGCAATGGCTCATTCCGGCGATTGGGAAGAACTTGTAGAAGCTGTCCATCTCGATGTCGTGGGGTGCAACAGAAGAGGCAACTTGGCTGTAGAAGTATGTACTTGACCTGAAGGGGATGATGGGGTCAGCTTCACCGTGCCAGTGAACGACCTTGCCGCCTCTCTTCTGGAAGGTAGACAAGTCGTAGTTGTCTGGGGTGCCATGACCAGGATCAATGGCTTCGGAAAGACGAACTACACTCTCGTTGAAGGTGCTCCAGTCGTATGGCTCGGTGGTGTTCAGCAGCATGTGTTCGATTGCGCCAGTTCCCATTGGGTTCGGGATGGGAGAGTCGCCAATGTATGCTGTGATGGGTGTTCCAAGACTGGGTGCAGGGAAGATCAAGGTGCCGTCGAAGTATGTCCAGTCATGCAAGGCCTTGTAAAGAGTGTCAAGCTGAGGACGAGTGATGCAAGACGAGGAGTTGGATGCACCCTCACAAAGAAGAGTCAAAGGATTGAAAACACAGCCCTCAGGGTTCATGATGACGTTGTCAGTCACGCCGTCTTGAGGATCACACTGCTTCAGGATCTCGTCGTTGATAACATTTGCCAATGCAGCGGAGATGTGGTGAGAAGAGTTCTGAGGAAGGTTGCCCAGAGTGACCTGACTGGTGTAGATACTCAAGTGAGGGATCCACCAGGCTGGAGCTCCAACAAAGACTCCGTCGAATGCATCGGGCGAGATCTGCATCTCTTTCAGACCTTGACGACCACCTGTCGAACATCCAGAATAGTAGGAGTATTTGTGGCTTTGCCCATAGTATGCAGCCGACAGAGCCTTGCCGACGAGTACCGAGCCGTGCATAGCACGCCAGCCCCAGTTCTCAAGAGAGCCTTTGTTGAGAGCAAAGGTCGAGTCCAGTGGGTTTGGGTTGAAGTGGCCAGTGTCNNCTGTTCGGTCAGTCATGCGGTTCCCGAGGTCAGATAAGTTGCACAAACTTACAGTGGTGATGGCCGAGAAACCGTAATGAGAGTATTGTCCGAGATCTTGCCAGTTGGTAAAGCCGCCATATCCACCGTTTCCAGTTGTGATGATGCGAGAGTTCCATTTGTTTGGCATGTAGATGGCCATGTTGTAGGACGAGTTGCCTGGAGTAGGGACCTTAACGCTTACAGCGCATCCCTCGGGCAAACCAGTAGCATTGGCGTTGGCTTCAGCATCGGTGAATGTACCTCCTTCGGCGACTTTGGTGACATAGTTGAAGGTTGAGTTGGAGGGGATGATCTTCTGGAAGGTCGCTTGAGAACAATCCTTCGAGGCTTCGGCCAGGAGAGGGAGAGCAAGGACGGCAAGTCCAAGGGTTTGGGACAGCATGGTTCCTCGAATGGTGTTCGAAATCTGTGCTGAGTGTCAAGGCGATCGACAGTGGTGAACAGGGACTTTATATATACGTGGTCTGGTGGGCTAGACTGCATGGACTGCATAGTGTCGCCCTCGGTAAACGGTTACCTGTCAACCTCATACCGTCTTCGCTAGTTTTTGCTAGGTTTCTGCAGTGTGCTCGCCAAAAACGAGCCCTGTTGGAAGACTTCATGGCATAGAGTGCAGATCATGGAGGCGGCAGTCCTGATCTGGGGAGAGCTTGGAGCGTGAAACGCGGGGCGATCAACGGGAGAAGCACACCACGCAGAAGCTGCAGAACCCGGCACTGAAGAACGGCATCTTGATAGCCACGGCGAACATGTCAGTATGAAGACTACACATCAAGATATAATGCGAATGGCCTCGGGGCTTGAGATCTCATCTTCGTTGTACGTTGATGAGAGTGGTGCAGTGGACGAAGTTCGATGGCTCGCCGCTGTGACTGACAGCTTCCCATGTGGGGCTGTCAGGGGCGGCAGGATTTTAGACCGTCACTGCCCGGCCAACGACATTCTTCCAAGCACGCCAGTGAGCATCAATAGAAGGACCCCCATCAGAGATACGCACGAAGACGTTGATACCATGTGTTTGAGTGGCTGGCCAACAATTTTTCAGCCTTGATAGCAATGCTCTCCTTGTCAAATCGCTATCGCTGTATCTGTTCGTGTTTCCTACTACTCAAGGCCACACTTCGGTCGTAAGAAGTTGAACGAATCCTTCTAATCCATCATGTCTCTGCTTTTCGCAGACTGCACGTCGCTTTGATGCACGGTCCTATGCACCCCATCAATCCAAGGCATCCATATAACAACTTCCGCATTTAAGAGTCGAGGTTACCCTTCCAGGACGTGGGACATGTCGGCGTCGCAACATGTCTACTAAACATGATCCACTCTTACTTGCCTTTCCCACCAGAGTGTGCCCAGAGCTACTCTGTACCTCCGACTTGACATTCTGGCGTCTACTCTTCACGGTACGCAGTCTTGGGCCATGCTCTATCTGTCACAAACTCATCGTCGCAGGGTTGNNTGTCCTCTATGCTGCTTTCGTGGCGCGGAATGTCTTCTTCGGCCCGCTATCTCACATACCAGGTCCGAAACTATGGGCTGCATCAAACATACCCAAAGCAATCATGCTGTGGACCGGCTCCGAGGCACAAACCATGTCAAAGTTACACGAATTATATGGTCCTGTCGTGCGGACTGCTCCTTGTGAAGTCAGTTTCAATGATGCTTCTGCCTGGAAAGCCATCTATGGTCACAAGATCGGNGGTAAGACTAGAACCTTTGAGAAGGACCCAAGGTTCTATACTACTGATCCCAAATCGACAAAGCATATCGGCACTGCCGATGACGCTAATCATACTCGACAACGCCGTATACTGGCAAACAGCTTTTCTGACAAGGTTTGTCATTGCACCGTTCTTTGACCAGCTTTTGTTCTGTCGAGCAGATGACTGGAAGAATTTCACAGGAGGGCGACCTTGTATTAAGTCTTTTCCAGNGCATTGCGCGATCAGGAGCCTTTACTGAAGCGATGGGCGAGTCTATTGATCACGAAATTGAAAGAAGTTGAGCCTGCTGGCAAGTCTGTTGACATGGTCGCATATTACAATTTTACCACGTAAGCCACCGTAGGAACCTGCTGCCAGGTGAGGACTGACAGCTGCAGATTTGATATCATGTCGGATCTCACGTGCGTTACTTAGTATCAGAGGCATGGGCAGCTAGTGACTGACAGATTTAGCTTCGGCGAACCGCTGTACATGCTGGAAAAATCAGAGTAGGTAAATTCCATCACCACTCTCCGGACTTGACTGACATTTTCATCTAGATACGCTCCCTGGGTGAAGAACATATTCGGCAGTGTCAAGGTCATTGGCAAGTTCGTAGCGGTCAGGCAGCTTCCGTTCATGCCTTGGCTGCTCCCAAAACTCATACCAGAATCTGCACGCCGCAAACAAAGAGAAAACGAGAAATACTCATCTGATCGAGTGGATCGCCGTCTTGCTCGTGATCCTGGTCGACCGGATCTCTGGACAGAGGTCTTGCGACGATCCGATGATGGCTTTGGAGACGCTACGGCTGGCATGTCGCTGCGTGAAATGCATGCAAACGCGGCCGTTTTCATGATGGCAGGCACCGAGACAACTGCGACTCTGCTTTCAGGTCTAACATATTATCTCCTGATCAACCCAGACAAGCTGGCCAAGTTGGCAGCAGAAGTGCGTGGCGCCTTTACGCAAGAAAGCGATATCACTGTGGACGCGCTGGCGAAGTTGCCATATCTTAATGCTTGCATCGAAGAAGGTCTGCGCATTTATCCACCCGTATCCGGCGGTCTGCCACGCAAGGTGCCTGTGGAAGGTGCAACGATCGCTGGAACATGGGTCCCTGGAAACGTTTCGGTGGCAGTCAACCAAAGAGCCACCTACCAAAGCACCACGAACTTCCGCAACCCCGCCAGATTTGTACCCGAACGCTTTCTAGGTGACCCAGAGTATGCGAACGACAATTCTGCTGCCCTCCAACCCTTTAGTCTTGGACCTAGAAATTGCATTGGCAAGAACTTGGCTTATCACGAGATGCGACTTCTTCTGACGATGTTGCTTTTCAACTTCGACATCAGTCTGGAAGAGGAGAGCAGAGATTGGGGCAACCAGAAGGTCTTTATATTCTGGGATAAGAAACCTTTGATGGTCAGATTGAAGGCTGTGAGATGATTGACACCTTCTGGCACATCGATTAGAAACCATGACTTTGAGATTGTTGTGAGCAGTGTACATCACGAGGTTTCTCATGCAGGTGCGAGAAAAGATGTACTGCTGATGGAAGATGGAGAATGCAAGTCTAACTAATACTTAATTCACAAGAAGCGAATATTCCCCCTCTCTGCTTCCCTAGGCCTGTCACTGCTATCTTGATTACATGGGCACCGAGCCACAGACAAGCTCTCAAAAGAACGTTCACAACCGATTCCAAGCGAGGGCTGCCTGAGTAGAAATCGTTGTTAGCTCTCGCTCAGACTTTTTACCACTTCTCAATCTCATGTTCACAGTCCTACGTGCGATAGGTATTCACAATCAGAAAGATCGATGAGAATGGTAGGGCAGGAAAAACTTCGCTCTAAGGCACCATGAGTATGCCGCCAGCAACGACACTCCGTCATGTGTCATTCCAGTTTTGGACTGAGACAGATTTCTTACACGTCACACCAAGCATACCATGAACCTCTCAGTCTCGTCCTTGCGACGCTGGTTGCTTAGAAATGGCTACTTGAGACACATCCAAGGCAAGTACAAAACGCAAACAACATCCTCGTCATCATCTTTGTCATCATAATCAAATCTTTGAGCGAGTGATTCAATCAAAAAAGGAAAAATTTGTTCTTGGGTATCGTGACAAGACTCTATGTACAAAAATTGTGTGGCCAGCCAGAAGCGAAAGAAATCCAGCGCTTTGAGAAGAGAAAAGAAGAAACCAATAACTCTGAAGAAAGTCCGAACTTTGGGGATGAGAACAGTGTGTGTGGCAATCCAGGCCGCAGTGTTGTGTGAAGAACCTCTAAGCGATGGCGGCATACACGATGGCGGTGATCGTGCTGTTCTTGGGCTGTTGGCAAGTCTCTGTTTGCGACGAGCACTGAATGTTGGTGCTTGTGATGTTTGCATGGCTGAACTCTGTGACTCTGTTGTACGGTGCTTTGCCGACGCTGAAGAAGAAAAAATGGTCAGCTGCAGTCTTGATTTGTGNAGGCACGAAGATGGTAACATACGAGTCATCAGTGTAGGTGTACTCCATCTGCAAGGTGAAGTCATTCATGCTTTTGTAAGTGTCCTCCTTGAAGTTCCAGCCTAGGGTGCTGTTTGCACAGGCGATNNCTAGATGGAGGTCAGCATTTGTGTCTCCAGCATGATACCATGAAAGAAGACTCACGTATTCGCCCTCTGGGAAAGGTCCTTCGGGTGCCCATGAACCAGAGCAAAGTACCTTCGAGCTATGAGTATCCACCACAAAGGTCATGGTCGTGTTCTCTGTCAAGTGTCCAGGAGACATGGCCGCGTGAATCTGGAGGTTCAAGACATCCATGCCGTTCGAGGAAACACCAATGCGAGAGAATGTCGTGATGGGAACGGCAGAAGCAAGAGGTGCAGCTGCGATGGCTGCAAGAGCACTCAGCGATTGACGAAGAGTGAACATTATGATTTTGGTGATTGTTGGTCGAAAAGCAGGAGAGTTGAAAAGAAGACGATCAATGTTTGAGTGGTCGCGAGAAGGAATCAAGCAAAGGAATGAAGCGCAGTAAACAGTAAGGAGTGACGACAAACTTATAGATATCGTTACAAGAAAAGCCAAGTGAAACTTGCGTTGCTTGATGCCTTGCTGAGGCGACAATCCATCAAGTAACCTAAAGTGTGAAACCCGCAAACGTGCACGAATTATCAGGCCAAAGAACGCGCTGTCTTGTTTTCTGGCCGTATTGCCGGGTTGACACTGTAAGAGCATGGCGTCGTGAAGGACAAGAGCGAGGATCCTCAGATATAGTTGCCCGTTCGGTTAGTAGTTCAGGGGTTATAGTTGTCGATCCTTGCGCTGTTGTTTGCGCAGCTCTTGCACTTGCTTGCCGACACTGTCACGACTGAGCCATTCGGTTTCAGCTTTGCCTCGACGGGCAGATTGTGACTTTAGAAGCATTGTCAAGGATTGAGTGAATGTCAGTACCTAGACAAATTGCTGCATATGGGCGAATTGTGATGGCCGTCCGCGTCAACAGAAGATGGGATTCTAGGAAAGAGGTAATTGGGCACGACGTTCGCGACTACCCCAAGGCCACCTCTCAGAGGTTGTTTGGGAGTTTGTGGGGTGTTACAGACTTCGTTTGCAGACATGATCCAATGTTTCACGAGTGTGGTATGGTCCGAGCCGCGGATGACGAAGGTCGTACCTGGAGATTTCATAGAGATAGTGCAGTGGATGTGGTGCGTTATGCCACGCGACTGATCTGCCTAAATATACGGCCTTGTATAGGGATTGGCGTTTGTGTTTGCGTTATAGTGCTGCTCGCGATATCAATAGAACTGACATGGATGTCTGATGAGAATGAGAGCTGCAGGCGGATGATTGTCCTCTAGTTGGATTTCGGTATCCGAGGCTACGTCGATCTTTTCCGCCGGGTCATGATGTGACGGAAGGTGATAGCAATTCGAACGACGGCTGTTCCAACAGATACTCATTTTCACGGGGTCAGAGGCAGTCAAAAGCATCTTCTCGCATTAGCACAGGAGAGGCACTGAACCTGAGAATACCGTTGCAAAAGAAGGCTCGCAAAGCCGGAGAATTTTGACGAGTACCAACAAACAGTTCCCCGACAACGGGGACAAACTCCACACTTATTTTTAACGGTAAATTGCTTGTCTATAATTAGGGACAAGGCTTTTGCACAAGACTGGAAGATGCAGATTGGGACGAGCAAGACTTTACCATTCTTGGTCGCGGAGGCTGAAAGAAGGTGAGCGAGGAAAGCGAAATGTGGANTCTGACTCTGTGAGAAGCCATNNCTGCGGGCCGCGAACGTACATCCTCGTTCGACGAGGACACGGACGAGCGATATCTTTGCCGAAAGATGCGCATGTGAGAATGCGCGAGCAAGCGAATAAGACGCATCAGAGGNNCAGAGCGACGGGAAAGACCACCACGACGGTGTAACACCCTGCAGCAGGGAGTGCATGAGTTCAAGTCAAGCACAGAGGCCAGACCNNGGCTCGAGGAAACAGTAAAGAGGATTACGTGCTCGAAGAGAGATGANNGATGGCTTGATGCTAGTCTTTGTCGTGCCAAGGAAACAATTCACAGCCGCCAAAGGTAAATGTCAGCTTGCAAAAGGTCACCGGCTCTACATGACGGGGAGATGCTGTCAGACGCGTCCGGCCTTGCAGTAGAGTGTACTCGATAGGCGCGGATTCCGTAGACGCCGGGAAATCAGAGGACGTGCCGCAAATCTACATATCTAGAGCAAAAGAGAGATCGACCTTGGTGCGAATCAGAGGACTTTCTGTAACAGGAGAAGCTTCTGTCTCTCTGGGTGTGCTCACAGATAGGCTAACTTTCCTGGGTCTGTGGAGCTGCAGCAGGCCAGTAACCCCTCGATCTGCTCAATCTCGGCGCGTGCGCTCCAGACCATCGGCTCTATTCAGCGAACAGCAGCCCTTCTCTGAAGGGTGGAGCAGATCATTCAAATGCTATCCAAACTGCATTGGCAGAAAAGGTCGAATCGCAAATCCCAGCAGTCCTTCGAAGGTCACAGCCTGTCGCCGCAGGCTTCGCCCGGTACGTACATCCACAGCCTATTGTGCTGTCTGTTGCTATATAAGTACGACGAGCACCAAGGATATGACAGTAGCATAGGAGTAGAAGAGAAGTTTTGAGCTAACCCTTCACCATGTCTACANGAATCACAGTCTGAAGGAGCATCTGCGAACCCACCTTCTCGTCGACCAGGGTTTCTATCAAGAGTACGCAGCCAACGCTTCTCTACAATCAACGGGCCACCTGAATCGCCATATCAGGGTGAGTTTCCACGAAAATCTGTTGAGAAATTTGACCTTGACACGGCATCAGAAACGTCAAGCAACCCAGTACCCAAGCGACACTCATATTACCAGCCTGCCCAGCCATTGTACGACACGACCGAGGCTCAAATTCCGGTATGAAAGCATCTTGCAGGCCATCAGGTGACGACTAACATTTGTCGAGCAGAGAGCATCAACTCCGGAGCATTTTGCACCACGTCCTGCCACGTACTCACGACAGGCAGAGACAGCAGACTCGGCGTCGGTTTCGTCGAGTATCTATACAGAGGGTAACGCTCAGGTTGGTCGAGACAGCCTGTCAGCCATCTGGAACCCGGGGCAGTTGGTACCAGACAGCAACGCAGCGCAGCAGCAACTCGACCATCTCACGGAGTCTGACTCTGCTGCCATGAGTATCAACGGAGCAGACTCGGTGTCGTCGGACTCGGGGATTCCGCTTGATCGCTTCATGCAACGAAGGTTGCAGCGGCTAAACACCGAGCAGGGTTTCCGCGAGCAGCGTCAGGCTTCACTGTCGTCGCAGCAGACCCAACACTCGAAATCATCGTCTTCGCAACAACAAGAATTCCTCCACCAACAACCACTTCAGCAACAGCAGCATCCGCCACAACGCCAACAATCCCTTCCAGACCACCCTGATCAGCCGCTACCCACCCGCATTCCTGCCCAAGTCATCCCCAGTCTCCCGAATTCGACTGCCACGACGCCATCCTCGTCCTCGGCGTCGCCGCACTCGCACTTCCGTCACGACACTCCTCAGCAGCCGCAATACCAACCACTTCGTAATTTCGCAAAACTGCACGACGACGGGCCAATTCATCTCTCGACCTCCAAAGCCTCGCCGCGCCAGCCGTCAATGGCTTCGTCCCAGAGCCCCGCTCCTACTGCCAGAGANCCCTCCATCCTGTCGCAACAGCAACCACAACAATCTAAAGACGTCGGTCGCTCGACCCCGCAGCCCCAGGCTGAGGATTTGACCGAGGATCAGATTCGACAGTTGCTCAACGACCACAAAGAGCTCCGTAAGCCGTCCCACATCCCTCTGCATCTCTGCGACCTACCATGCTAACCACTTCCAACTTCAGGCGAGAAATACCAGAAGGTCAAAAAGTACTATTTCGAGAAAGAAGACCAAGTCAAGCAACTGCAAAACAGTCTCGCTCACCAAAGAATTGCTCAGTCGCGCACTTCTCTCGACGATGGCGAGTATGCGACTCGTTTCAACCGCCTGGATGGCCTGATCGCACAACTGTCCTTCAGCATTAGGNNGAAGAGCTGGAAGTCGGTGCCTACCTGGCTTGCTCCAGCTGTGAACAAGGACGCTATAACCATTGGCAAGCAGGAGATGACGGCGGTTGGCCGCGCCTTCGTTTCGAAATGGCTAGTCGAAGACGTCTTTGAACGCTACTTCCACCCGGACATTGATTTGGCCTTGTCGACACAATTGAAGCAGATGCAGAACAACATCCGCCTCTTTGCACCGCCGGCCTCAGTGCACGAGGATGAAGAGTACCTCACTTCCAAGGTCGTCAACTGGCGACTGACCACACTCGAGGCCATGCAAGATATACTGCGACTGCCCGAGGCTCCAAACCATCGCTCTCATCTGACTGATCTGCTCAAGACGCAGCTCCGTACTGCTCTTGAGGCGCACCTCGACAACCCACCCATGTCTGACCTTGATGGTGGCGTGCACATGATCTGTGAACTTGCCGTCGCAATGCTGGGTCATCTGCCGCAAGAAAGTCGCGACGTCACAATCGAATACTTCCCGCCAGGTCATGCTTTGAACACTGACATTATGAAGATCGAGTCTGGTATACCAGCCTTGACTAGCTCGATTGCCGACGAGATGGCCGAACGCGGCAGCGTGAACAGCGAATTGGCCGATACAAACGACCGAGCATCTGCTGAGTTGACGTCGCGCCGACGTAACATGCTGAGTGCATTCACTGGTCACAAGAAGAGCCACCCAGCACAAGGAAAGCTGAACGGCGGAAGCAGCACCAGCCTGGCTGGCAANGAGGATCGTGTGCGCCTGGCAGTGGGCATCGCGGCGCACGTTCGGGAGCGTGGAATCCTTGTCAAGGCTCCCGTCTTTACAGCGTTTTAAGTTGGTCAGTGGCTAGGTGCCATTGTTATGATGGAGCAAGCGAGCTTATTAGAGCTCTTTATTTGTGTTATTTTCGTTTCGGGCAGAGCGCGCCTTTGGAGATACCCTGCAGTTTAGATTGGAAGCAATTGAGAGAAGACGAAGATTGTAGCTGTGGAAGAGTTGTAACATGTTTGAGGATATGTTAGGCGAATTCTTATGTAGGAGTCCTTTATTGATTACTTCTTCCTTCATAAGAACCACCTTTTCGAAAATCCAAGTCCCAAGCTCAAACAAAAACGGTATCAGAGGGATTCTGATAAACTCCTTCGCTGCGATGTAATAGGCAGCTGCTTTGTCTGAAAGATTGAGTCCTGGCTGAGCTGAGATAGGGCAAAGTTCGGCGAGGACCGAGGGCTTTGTTGAACAAAGCTCGGGCAATTGGCTCCATGACGAGGCGCTGGCAAGTGAAGGGTTTCACGAGAACAAACACAAACACGCATCCGGCCGTCTTCCCATCGCGTGCCGGTCAACGTCGCTGTTTTGTGCAAACCGACCATAACGACCGACAACGACTCCATTGCCGCTCTTTTGCTCCTCGCCTTCTTTCTACAACCCCAAGCAGACAACCAGCCAGCGACTGCGCCAGTTGCAACTGCGCCAAACACCATCGACATCGGCTACAGCATGTTTGAGAGGGCTGTCTAATTCTTTGACCAGAACAAGCCGCGCAAACATGGCAGCTCCTCGCCAATGGGGCGTCACTCCGCCCGTCTCGACCGCCTTCCCTACCGACAAGGAGCTCGCTCAGAGTGAGGCTCTTCTCGCCGAGCTCAAGGAACAAAAGAGCTTCGAAGCCACAGAAGACACAAACAAGCGAGTCTCGGTCCTGGCCACCTTCCAAAAGGTCACGACCGAGTTTGTCAAGCATGTCGGTAGAACGAAGGGTCTCTCCGACAGCGTCTTGCAGAATGCTGGCGGCAAGGTCTTTACCTTTGGCAGTTATCGCCTTGGTGTCTACAGNCCCAGGTCATTCATCCCATCATTTCCACTGCCTCAATGCTTGCTGACACGTCTCTGCACAGGCTCTGATATTGACACACTTGTTGTCGCGCCCAAGCATGTGTCCCGCGACGACTTCTTCGAGCACTTCCGTACCATCCTCGAGTCCATGTCTTCGCCGGGCGCCATCGAAAAGTGCACCGCTGTGCCTGAAGCCCACGTCCCCATTATGAAACTCGTCTACCAAGGCATTGAGATCGATCTGATCTTCGCTCGTCTGCAGCTCAACTCAATTCCACCGAACCTCGATCTCGAAGACAACAGCCTGCTTCGCGGCCTGGACGAAGTCGACTTGCGCTCTGTTAACGGAACCAGAGTCACTGACGACGTCTTACGTCTGGTCCCACAGGAAAAGACATTCCGTCATGCTCTGCGTTGTATCAAGCTTTGGGCCAGCCGTCGCGCCATCTACGGCAACATCATTGGCTTCCCTGGAGGAATTGCTTGGGCAATCATGGTCGCTCGCATCGCCCAACTCTATCCTCACGCTTGCGGCTCGCTGATTGTTGCTCGCTTTTTCCAGCTAATGAGAAATTGGTCATGGCCCATGCCAGTCATGCTCAAGACCATTGAGTCTGGCCCTCTCGACCATACCGCCAAAATCTGGAACCCAAAGATCTACCCTGGCGACAGCCGTCACATTATGCCTCTCATCACTCCCGCTTATNNCCCTTCCATGTGTGCCACTCACAACATCACAAAGTCTACTCTCGCTGTCATCACTCGCGAGCTTGAACGTGGCCACGAAATCTGCACAAACATCCTCAATGACAAGTCCAACATGCAATGGAAGCATCTCTTCGAGGGCCACACCTTCTTCACAAAAGACTTCAAGTACTACCTCAGTGTTGTCTCGGGAAGCTTGAACGAAGAAGCTCAAGGTGATTGGAAAGGTCTGGTCCAGTCAAAGGTCAGAAGACTCATTGGTAGCATCGAACAATCTCAGCCGAACGTGGCATATGCCCGACCTTTCACCAAGGGCTACGAACGCGTCCATCGTGTTAAGAATGATGAAGAGAAGGACCAAGTCATGCAAGGCAGCACAAAATATCAAGTCTCCAAGACCGAAACCGTTGACGAAGTAGAGAACGTTAAGCAATTGTCTGCTGAACAAACCTCTCTCGACAATCTTGATGAGCCTGCCACCAAGATCGAAAAGCCAGATGAGAAAGAGAATGGCATGACCACCATCTGGACTACGACCTACTATGTCGGAATCGAATTGGTTCCAGGTATGTTGTCTTGAGTTATGACCCATGACGAACAGGCTGACCCAGGAAANGGCGCGCAATCTCTTGATATCTCTTTCCCGGTACAGGACTTTAGGCAGCAATGTACTTCGGCTACGCAGTACAACGAGGATGTCAACTCAATCCGCGTCATTGTTGTCAAGAGGTGAGCTGCATGCGTGCTGATTGCGACTCTCAAAGCTAACTTGTCATANAGCTACGATCTGCCTGATGATGTCTTCAAGGAAGGCGAGCAGCGCCCTGTCAAGACTAAGAAGAACAAGGCCGCCAAAGCCGCGAACGGCACCAAGAAACGTAACGCCGGCGAAGCAAACCTGGACGTACGTATACAACCACGAGCTCGACGGAAGAACATGCCTGTCGGGATATCATGAGCAGCAACTTCATTTACTCCCTCATCATTTCATCATTCTATGTGTTTGGCTACTGACGCAGATTTCACTGACAGGAAAACGGCGATGCACAAAACGCATCCAAGCGCAGATCTACCAACAGCCAGGATGCTACCAATGGTGTCAAGCCTTGAGCACTCTTCACGGTACAGCATTATTCTAACTTTTGTTGCTTGCATCACGGTGAAACAACTCTGCATGCACCAGATCGCTGGAATCGGTGAGCAGTCTAACTGCTTCGCTTGACAACACGCTGATTCCAGTGTATCGCCTTACGGCTCATGCTACCACCTACACGAGGAAAAGAGAAAAGAAGAAAAAATGGTGCCTATGAGGCTAAGGTTTGTGTTGCGAATTGCTGTCTTTGCTCTTCCTTGACCACATGGATCGCAACGTCGTCCAAGGACTCATTTCATGCAAAGCAGCGCGTAATGCGCAAATCGCAAGTACTTAATAAACACAGAGAAAACAGGTTCAACAGGCGTGGCTCAAGCAACCCCTGCACAGCGTCGACACATTCATACGACACAAAATGTCGTCTGCTTCTAGCGACAAGCGTCACATTCGCATCTTCTGCAAGGCGTTCTAAGGATTCAAAGGTCTCGAGGGAGGGGGTTCATGGATGGAAGGGTGTTTCATTGCCTGCTGGAGAGGGTGTCAAAGGAGAAAAAGGTCAAGTAGCGGCGAGATAGCTTTCGTGTTTCTCTGTTCTATGTCTACCGTCGCAATAAACACATTTTTGAAGACCTCCGGGCTTCGCAGTCAAACATGCATTTCAACAGAGCGAGCTGAAGTCATGACAACTCATATGTGACAGTTTTCAGCTGAAGACAGCTCGGCGAGACAAGAGTTCAGCCTACGGACAATTTTCGGACAAGGGATGGCTTCCAGAAAGAGTCAAAGGTGCATCAGATCCACAGCTGACAGCTCCCCTGCAAGATGGAGGTGCAAGGGATGTGGTGGAGACAGATTTCACCGAAAGTGTATCTCTGGGCGGCAACGCAAGAGCCGGTTTCAGATACACTTCTCGAACTTTCAGATCTGTGAGAAGCCGAAAAATTCGAAACAAACTGGAGAGATGCGCGCGAATGGATAACCCTTGTCGCTGATTTTGTTGAAGGGAAACAAATCATGGGAAATATTGGAGGGTCAGCGGCTTTTGGCTTTCAAATTTCAGCCGCAGAGCAAAGAATCGCGCCTCATCCGCTCTAGATTGATGAGTAGCGAAGCTGTAGAGTCAGCCTTGACTCAAACAGGACAGCAGCAAATTATATCGAGGTCACGCGCGAGTGAGACAATTGGAGTACCGATAAACAGTCTGGACAAGTCTGGAAGGAGCAATATACCGATATTCATAATGACTTCGAAGAAACAGATGAGCAGTCATATTTTCTGATGCTCTACAAGAGACAAGAGCCCCATGTTCTCAGTTAATGCGACAGAAGAAACAGAGTTTAGGTGTGGTTTTCGCGTTGCGGTCCCAGAAGCGGTGACCCGCACCTAGGGAAGGGCGGCACCCCGTTTAACTGACCAATTCGAAAAGAGGGAAAGCACACACACTGAAGATCTGACTGACATCTTTGGGCATGAGTCGTGACAGACTATTGAAGAAAAGGAGGGATACAGAAAGAGAAGGTTCAATGGAAATGGTCTATCACAATAAACATGTTCGGCCTTTTTCTGTTGTAGTCAGATGGTTGTGCAGCACACGAAATGGGAAGATGATTGTCTTCGAGGTTTGGGGAAAAGGTGACTGAGCTGAGTTTTGGGCCCCCCTCCTTTGGGCGCGTTCGCGGCTGCATGTTCCAGGACTGTTGGCAGCAAGTCAGCGCTTGCGGACGTGCCAAAGTAGTGTAGTTAGAGTAGAGGAGGACGGAGAGTTGCAAGGCTGATTAAGAAGAGGTTGGGATTCTGGCATCAGGCGGGCATTGGTGGTTGTTTTACGGGCGGACGTTGTTGGATCTGTTGTCAAGTGCCTTGGCCGACCGACTTGTCCCTAAAGTTGGTGGTCTACACGGCGCCGTCTTTCTGGTCGCATCCTGGACCAACCACACGTTCTTTCTCCCCCCTTCCTGCTGCCCAGAGCCCAGTGCCCTCTTGCTGCAGTTTGCACACGGCGTCGTCTCGCCCCTGCCTGCCCTTTTTGCTTTTCGCGCGTGCCTGCCTGCGCCCTCGTGTCTGCTCCTGCCCTGCCTGCCCTCGGCCTCTACTCGCGGGGCATATGAATTGTGAAGGGTGCTAGGACAGATGCCTTCGCGCTTCCGCAACCTCGTGGGCTCGAAACGGAAAGCGTCTGGAAACAGCCTGACCCAGAGCCCGAGCATCAACTCGCTCTCCACCAGCAACACCAATAACAACAACAACTCGTCTTCGCTGGGTCCCTCGTCGCCCGGCCCAAACACCTCAGCCCAATCGCCGCCCCAGCCCGCCAGCGAGCGCAATTCGACCGCCTCCAACACCAACACGCTCGTTCAGCAACAGCAGGCCAGCGCCTCGACCACCTCGCTCGCCATGAACCCGCACCAGCACCCCTCGCAGCAGCACGGCTCTCCCCAGCCTGGCCAGCAACCCTTGGGTCGTCCGCCGTCATACCAGTATGCCCAGGCCGGTCAGCAACAGCAACAACAATTGCAACAGCAGCAGCAGATGGCTGGCCGTCCGACGAGCCCCATGCCTCCTCCGCCAATCAACACCCAGAACCCGTACGGCCATCTCCCTCCCCATGCGCCGCAACACATGTACGGTCAGCAACCAGTCTCCGGTCCCCCAGGCTATCCCATGCAGGCACCGCCGCCGCAGCAACAGTATGGAGGTTATGTGCCTCAGCAGTCCATGGTAGGCGGTCAATATCCCTACAATAGAGGATATGTATCTGAAGCCAATAACCAGCGGAGTAAAGCCCAACTCATTGTCGGTATCGANTTTTGTAAGTACAGCCTCCTTGGACAACTACTGGTCCGCACGTACTGATAAAGGTGTGCTCAGGGAACGACATTCTCAGGTGTCGCCTTTGCCTTTGCGACAAACACGGAAGCGAAAGAAGACATTATCGTCGAATGGCCTGGTGCTGGTACTCAGACAAAGCAAAAGGTGGGTCTTTGCTCAGGAACGAAGGAACGATGACGAATTGCTGAACAAGTTCGCGAACAGATCCCGACAGTGCTTTACTACGACCAACACCAGCAAGTAGTAGGATGGGGTGCCGACATTGCAGACGCGCTCGCTCCCACCGGCTACCCCAAGCCTGGTGTTCAGAAGGTCGAATGGTTCAAGCTTCAGCTGATGATGAGCGGAAACACATACATTGATCCCATCAACTTGCCTCCGCTTCCTCCAGGCAAGAGTGAGATCGATGTCGCCGCCGACTATCTGTTTAAGCTGCGCCAGGCTATGCGCAACTACCTGCAGAAGACGCTCGGTGAAGTCTTTACCCGTGAAGAGCGCAACATTCGCTACTTCTTGACCGTACCAGCTATTTGGAACGATGCTGGCAAAGCAGCGACTCGTGCTGCCGCCATCCAAGCTGGTTTCCTCCGCGACGAGAACGACAACCGCCTGACTCTTGTTACCGAGCCCGAAGCCGCTGCCATGTTCTGTTCCAAGACCGGCCTGCTCAGCCTCAAGGTTCAAGATGCTGTCCTGATTGTGGATTGTGGTGGAGGTACCGTAGATTTGATCGCGTAAGTTTCGCTGATGCCTGATGTCGTGAGATGGTGCTAATTTTGATCTTCTAGATATGAGGTCGAGGAGGAGCACCCCTTCACCGTCGCAGAATGCACAGCTGGATCTGGTGACTCTTGCGGTTCGACAGCATTGAACCGCAACTTCTCCAACATCTTGAGGGCAAAGATTCGTAAGATGAAGCTTCCCGATGGCTCAAAGACGGCCGGTCGTGTCTACGCAAAGTGCATCATGGACTTTGAAAACAGAATCAAGGCCGATTTCCGCAACAACGGTCAGAAGTGGGCTGTTGATGTCGGTATCGAGGCCGAGTTTCCCGAAGCCGGCATTGAAGAAGGTTACATGACATTCACCAACGAGGAGATCTTGCAGTGCTTCGAGCCCGTCGTCAACCGCATTCTCGAACTCGTACGAAACCAGATCATTGCCATTCAGGCTCAGAACCGCCATCTACAGGTCAGCAAAGTATCCACTTACTATTCAAACTCGAGCTAACTCGTCNNGCAGAATGTTCTCGTTGTTGGTGGCTTCGGTTCATCAGAATATCTTTTCCAGCAAATCAAGCTCCACGTCCCTCCGCAATTCCAGTCCAAGGTTGTACGACCTATGGACTCGGTCGCCGCTATCGTCAAGGGTGCCGTTACTGCTGGTATTACCGAGCGTGTCGTCACATCTCGTGTCGCTCGTAGACACTACCTCATGGCCACTCTGCAGCCTTTCAAAGAAGGTCACCACCCTGAGCAATACCGTGTGCCCAGCTTGGACGGCAAGGATCGTTGCAAGTACACTCGTCAAATCTTTGTGCAGAAGGGCCAGCGTGTCAAGACAGGCGAACCTGTCAAGGTCTCGTTCTTCCGCCAAGTCGCACCTGGCGCTACCCTCATGTACGAGGATGTTTTGTACGCCTGTGATGAGGACGTATGCCCTGAATATACCAAGGACCCTCGTAAGTGACTGTCGTACTGAACCTTGAATTTCAACAAGCTAACCATTTCATGCAGGNNCATCAAGGAAGTCGTCACCCTCACCTCCGATTTGAGCCGCAAGAACCTCGAGAAAGACTTCGAGCGCATGGACACACCTCAAGGCACTTTCTACCGTGTCTACTTCGACATTTACCTCACCCTCGACGGCACAGAATTCAACGCCGAGCTGGTGTGTCAAGGCGAGGTCATGGGACGTTGCTCGGCCAGATTCAGATGATGCGACTTTTGTTTCTCCTCAGCCACAGGCTTTCTTGTTTAAAATCCTTTTTTTATTGTTTAAAATACCCTTTCGAAAGATGGAAACGGCCCAATTTACAGACAAAACACACAATACCAGCGCAAACGCGAAACGAACAAAACAAGACAATTGGCCAATTCGAGGAGTCTGGCGTGCTTGGAAAGAAGAAGAGGTTATGCTGCACGAGAGGAGGGGATACACGCGTGAACGATTTGTCGGTCAAAAGACGAAGCAGGCAAAGCGAGTGTTCTGGGTAGGAAATGCGGCGGTGTCTTTTTTTTGATTTTTTTCTGTCCTTTTTCTCCTTTTTTTGTTTCCGCCCGCCAGAGCAATCTTTGGTTACCTATCTGTCGCCTTTTATTACACCTGTCTATTTCTTTACTTCCCTTTTTCGGTCCTTGTGAAGTGAGAGCGAGTTCTCTATGTGTTTGAGATATCTATACGTACGTACATTCTATATGCTTAATTTGTCGTTTTCTCACAGATGCTCATGCCACCAGCTCGGGAACATGGACCGGGTTCCGGGCTTTTCCTCTATGACTCTCGCAGCGACTTGTCCATCTACCAGAACATGGTAGCTTTGGTTAGGATAACCCTTCGGTTGGCGTATCTTGAGAGTGGTTGGCTTGCCATCCCCAACTAAATTGTCGATAGTCAAGTCGATATCCGACTTCCACAAATGGCTTTTTGACGAATCGGAGGATCCAACCGATCTGTAATTAGTGCCGTCAGGCAGTTGCACTGTCCACTTGCGTCCAGTCCCCTCCATCGATGTGTTGTGGATTAGGCGAAAGAGGACAGCGTCCTTGTTGTGGATCAGGCAAAGAGGACAGCGTCCTTGTTGTGGATCAGGCGAAAGAGAACAGCGTCCTTGTTGTAGATCGGGCGAAAGAGGACAGCGTCCTTCCTCCCCGTGTTCAAAAGTATGTAACGCGAACAGCTGTAGAAATGCATAATACTACTAGAGAACTGGACAGTTCCCACTGAGGAGCGACAAACGACCGACTCTCTGTGGACAGCGTTTGTCTCCGAATGAGACTGTGCCTTTTATAGCGTGTACCTTACTCTCTATCATAGTCGGGATATCATGGAAGTTACATACTTTCGAACACGGTGAGGTTGTTGTCTGTCCTTCGTAGACGTTCACTCCAATCCAGGAGCAGTTTCGATAATTCGAATCTCTGCCACGACGACACCGATTTTGATCATCGCAAAGATGTTGTATACTTTATCAGCCTCGAATAGGACAGTGCATCAAATCAATGATGTGTTCCGACCTCTCAGAAGGCGATAGTACAGGTTTCGAATTCTGAAGACAGGGTCGTATACTCAGCGATATCTCGGAAGCTGCACTTTGAGCATCGGAAGTCGCAAACGCGCTTGCTGTGATGACGTTTTTGGAGACGCGTCTTTTGAGTTTCGACAGACCTTCAACCTCTTTTCCCCTCCCTTGACATCAGGACGTGGTTGAGGGATTCGATTATAGCGGTCATGCCATGTCTGTCGCTGAGCGTAGCAATGGTTGGGTCCATTGAGACTACACCGTGCCATCTCCGCTTTTGATGCTCGAGGCTTGCGGTATTTTGTCGAGTCAATTGAGAGCTGAAAACTTCTTGGTGGAGTCGTTTGAAAGTTGCTTACGCTGGAAGAACCTTTTGGCTGCCCCAATGCTTTGGTAGGTCATCGGTTTGTTTCGAATGCTTACTCTGGACAAGCATTCGGCCATGCTACTGGGCGCGAGGAGAGTCTTCACCTCAACAAACGTTTATCCTGGATGCGAGCCACTTTGAACTCTCCAAAGTAATCCACTCGTTCAACAGAAGGCTGATAACACGATGGGCTGGTACTGGTCATCCAGGTACAGCTCCACCTGTCGAGGTTGTGATGGCCATGGAGACTTTGCGACTACAGAGCTGTCTTACCTGCTCACTGCTGCTATGCACGATAGTAACAGGATATGTTGTGGATCACCAGAAACAGACTACAGGCACACTCTAGTTGCGACCAGGCTTGTGCATCGGCTCATTGACTCTGGTTGATGATTATCCAGGCACCAATTCATACCTTTGAATGCCGAACACACATTTATCTTCCATTCTCCTCGTCGATTTCTTGTCCGCTCCTCGTTCATGGTCGACCCGACCTCATTATTCCTATTTCAAGTCGATTCTCAACGATAAACACATCATGCGTCTCAACATCATCGCCCTTCAGATCACCGTTCTCTTCCTTCAACATGCTCACCTGGCCTTGGCTGAGAAAGACACCGAGAGAAGCCCTCTCTGCGTGAAGATCCAAGAAGAAGGACCGTTGCAACCCGAACAAGCCAAGTCGATAGTCGGTCCATGGGCTCAGGGTCAATTCGATGAGTGGAAGGATGCTGACCCCGAAGGTCACTTCTGGACTTGGCTCCANCAAAAATGGGCACCAGACGCAGCAGATTCAATCATCGACTGCAAGCTGTCTAGGACCTGTTCACCTGTTACATGCCGGTTGATCGATGACACGCACGACATTGATGATCAATGGAGCGCTTACTGGACCCTGGAATCTTTCACTACCTTCCACAACATGGCCTACGAAATCAAGGATGCTCACGAGAAAGCATGGCTCAGCGTCCGAGGCGAGATAGGAACCATCATGGGGACGTTTTCGGATGGTAGCAACATTGAGAAACACAAAGCAAAGCACGATCGGAATTGGAAAATCGCCAGCCATGTTATTACCGCAGTGGCAATGCTTCTCTCTACCATTAGCGTTTTCACAGTCGCTCTGGAGGCCACTGCAGACCTAACACTGGCCGAGACAACTGTCAAGGCAGTTCGCCTGGCCGGTGCTTCCGGAGGTCTCTTTGGCACCTCAGCTACAACGGCCCTCAACTTTGGGACAGATATGATGGAGGGCAAGAATTATGTCTCCAAGACAACTAACATGCTTCTGGAGAGCCAAAAATCNAACCAGGACCGAATAGTTGACAGATTCGACGCATTCATGATGGACCTACTTTCTGGTAAAAGCGACAAAGCCCTCAAAGACTCGCGCCTCGTTGAACTTGTCCAACAGGGTCGACACGCCAATTCGAGTAGTGTCTCCACACCTGAAATCAACCAGGCTCTTCGGCAACAATGGGTCGCATCTTACGTCTCAAGTATCTGGAACCTTGAGGGAACCTACATCGTCATGGCAAATACCAAGAACTGCGAGAGCGACTCCCGAGGATACAAGGCTCTACGCGTTTGTCTAGAAGAAGCTCCCAAATACGTGTTCTACACTTTCTCGAAATCGGTTGTTCGAGAGGGGACAAACCACAAAGCATTTATTCGCGGGCCCATTGGCCACGGAAAACTAAAGTCCCATACTGGTTTTACGTTGAAAGATGCCGTACGAGCTTCTTATGTATATTCCAAACGCCATGGCTATAGTGCCAGCGCTGGAGCGCCCGAATCGGAAGACATGGTCGACAGCTTNTTTGGCCCGAAGTCACTCGAGGCAGGCGGCAGAGCCCATGGAATGTTCAATATCCCTATTTTGTACTCTCCAGGAGGTCAAGCCATCTCTTCTATCAACTCCAGAGACAACCGCAACTATCCTTGCATGGGTGCAGCACTTCCATGGTCGACGAANAAGCAGAACCACGACCTATCTTTGCAAGCGAGAGGCGGTGAAAAGTGGACCGACAACGACTCCAAGACCATGTTCCAATTTCTGAATGCCACGGGCTTCTACAGATCGCATGACTGGTGGGGTTATTGCCATGGCAAAGGAAANCACCACGGAAACCACTGCCGCGGCAACAAACACGTCAACTGGCAGGGTAAATTTCCGAGTGATCAGTACGAAAAGCTCCAGCATCCTTTCCGCAAATGCAAAGGTCGTGGGCACAAGTTCNNAGGGGGATGTGAGAGGCCAAACAACAACGGCTATGACAAGAACAGGCCCGGTGATTGTGGTAGTAAGCACATAATGGCAGAGGGATTTGTCGCAGAGGACGAACCTCAGTGGTTCAACGAGACAGCGCTCGAGCTTGAGGACATGTCGGAGGACGAGGGGGACCTGTCTGATTGGACTGACGGTGAGGATGAGGGCGAGACTGATGTCGAAGATGAAGACGATCTTCCTCCGCCTTCTCCTCGCGGCAATGGGACCAGCAGCATCGCTCACTTCCGCGCTTAGATACACTCTGATACGTGTAGCATGTAGCGAATATCAGGCGCCTTCGACACTTGTCTCATCACGTCTTTCGCCTCTACAAACTTCGTCAAGACCAACTCGCGTCGTGAAACGTCATCACCACAGTCCCTCAACAATGCTGGAGATCTGCGTCCGAGTTGGGTCAATGATTGCTCGTAGGATTGTTGCATCATCAACTATCTTTCTGTGCTTTTGTCGGAGTTGACGTTGCTGGCTGTGACGAAAATTCACGCCCTTGAGCTTGCTCTCCGGCGGTTGCACTTGCTGAAATTCAGAACCTTTTCCCATGCAGCAATGTTGAGAGACATATTCTGAGCTCGTACGATATCCCCGAGAAATGGCGACTGTACTGCGACTGCCTGTTTTGAGCTAGCTTGGCATGCGAAAGTGCTTCTCTCAAACCATGTTGTTGAATGCTCGTACGACCTCAAGCTTCCAACCACCATTTTCTCTCTCACGTCACGAAACTACGATCGCATCCAATTTTATTCGAAACTCACAGCTTCGAAACCTCGTACCTCCTCTGGTCATCACAACGCCAAGAACCCCTCTCCTGTCCTCAAGTACAACGGTATGAAGCTGTCGAAATGCACAGTCATATTCTAAACATGAGGTTGACCAAGGAAATAGCCCTTCAACGGCAAGGTCCAAAGAGTCCTGGACACAATCGATCAGGCCTTCGCATCCAGTGAGAGCGACCAAGCAGGAATCTTGGATGATATAAGGGACGCCGCCTGCAAAGGTTGGGAACAAGTGAAGGGAGTCATCACTGGAAACTGAAGAAGCCAGAGGAAGTTGTCGCCGACGAGGCCTAGCACCCATTCCAACGTTGCGTCAGCAATTCCCATACTGTTGTCGGCTGCAAAGCGTCAAACAATGATGGACACCACGAGAACAAGGGTTTCCTCGATCAGGTCTTCCGCATCAGCTGCCATCATGCTAGCCAAGTCGTCTGATGTCATGCCAGATTCAGATGCATTGGCTGCGACCGATCTTGACCTTATGACAGGCTTTTGTCATAGGCAGGATACTGGCCTGGCACCCATTGACCAGGCTTTCTGGGGTGTAATTCCGAGTTCAGCTGAAGGTGCAGTTTCGTCATCGAAAGCGCTCGCATCAGCAAGGTTTATGATGTTGGCGGCCACCTGAGCATGGACGATCGGTTCCTTACCCTGTATTCACCTATGACGAGACCAACCCTGTATTCATATGGATACTCAATCAAGTTAGCCATGCTCCCTGGCTTCAGTACTCCTAGAGCGAAACTTTGCACTTTTGTCGACCATTTCAGCAGCGCTGGCTTTCAGACCCATGTAGTAGAGAGCGGTGATCTCAGCAACAGCGGAGGCTAGAAGCCAGAAGTTGCCTTGAGATTCGGGAGCTGATAAGCGTAGGTCGAGTGGCTCGATGGTTCGAAGTTTTTGTAATGTCTGACAATCCTTGACTCTCCAGCGAGGTGCATTGTGATTTTATAGTCGCTGCAATGCATAATCGCTTTCTCAATCAGTAGTGTGGCCAAAGAAACACCGTGAAATTCTGTCTCCCCTTGGACGCCGCTTCAGTCCGAAAAGTATCGTGACTTTTTACAACTATAAGATCAGTGACAAGCGCAAAATATATGGACGAAGAGCTATTGAAATGGAATACACAGGTAACAAGCTTCTCATAGATGTAGCATTATGCTATCACAGTTGTCGCAATGCACAGTGATTCCCGACTCTCCTTGGAGGACGCTTCCTTCCGCAAACTATCGTGACTTTATATAGCTACACTATCAGTGACATGCGCATAGGAGATGGACAATAAGCAAGGATCAACGCAAGGCATGCGAAGGCGACAGACTCCCCATACGTATAGTATCGCGATCATACTTGCTGAAACACATAGTTGCTTTGCGTATTAGAAGTGTAGCCGTGGAGATAATATCAAGTGCTATCGCTCCTTGGACATTGCCTTTTTCTGGAAGCTACCGTGACTTTTCATGGCTGCATAATCACAGTGCTCTGCATCAGGAGTGTGGTCATGGAGGGGTTGCTGTCTCTCCTTGGACAACACTTCCTTCCTTCCGGACATTATTGTGACTTTTTGCAACTACAAAATCACAGTGCTCTGCATCGGGAGTGTAGCCATAAAACCATCGTGGATTGCCGTCTTTCCCTGGACACTGCTTCGTTCTGGGAATCATTGTGACTTTTTACAAGTGCATAGTCACAAGTGTCACGCACATGGAAACAGCCAAACGCAATGACCAGACCTTCTTTCCGGGCATGAGTATCTACAGCATTGGTCGAAGCTACATTTTTGCGGCGATACACCCATCGCCCGACCATCAGGCAATCTCAAAGCATGGCGACATGTGCTTAGTAAGTCTGATGCTTCTTGACCTCCTCCCAAAGCTTGGGATCCTGCTCCACTCTCACCTGCTCAGACTTCTCATCCACAAGTTCATTCAAGCGGCGCAAATCCATATCCTTGGCCAACAAAGGGATAACGTATTTGTCGAAAGTCTGCCAGTAAGGGTTTTCGAGGTGGTATTTCTGGCNTCTGTTGTTGCGGAAGACTTGTTAGACTGCTGGAAAGAGAAGGGAAGGATGGGGTGTGCTTTTTGTTTGGCAGATTAAGGAGTTGGATTTTGGTGCTGGGAACAGAGGGTGGAAGGGAAGTGTGGAACTTACGCTCTCATGGGCATAGCGCTCGACGATGGTGAAGGCGCGGGGGTCCTTGGTGTCTTGCATGACGAACCTGGTCAACAACATCAGTCTTTCAATTCTTCTCTTACTCTCTTTCCAAAACCTCGAGAATGTGTGCAAGAACATAAGAACAACTCACCAGCCAAGACACTCCTTGTCGTTAGTGTAGACCTGAGAAGCTTCTTGGAGCTTTGCGATCAACTTGTTGATGCACTCCTGGTCATCCTTTGCGTAAAGGTGCACGACGAGAGTGTAGACCATATTGACGGTATTTCAAAAGAGGATTGGAATCTGTTGAGAAAAGAGACGAAAGCGAATTGAAGGTTGTTGTGTGTTGTAAAGATGAATTGTTTGTGGGAAGGAGGGGTAAACAGCGAAAGGTGGGATGTCGTTGCCCGCAGAAAGCTATCGGGCCTTTTTCCTCAGAATTTGGGTGGGTTGTGAGACGTCATTGTTCTTGGAGAGATGTTCTTCATGGATCACAAAACAGTGAGGTGCTGTGGGCAAAATAGCAAAGTACTAACAGTGATGACATGCTCAGTATAGCTGCGATATCGAAGCAATACCATCGAGCAAGAAGGCTGGTGATAGGTATGTGACCAGGGCAAGATGACAAAAAGAAATCTCCTCTCTCTGAGTCGAACAAAGGACCTTCTGATGACAATCGAACAATTACAGTCAGACGCTCTAAACCAACTGAGCTAAGAAGAGATTGATGAATAAGCACGAAATCTGAACGTTCATGTACCCTTAGTTGACCAACCCGCCGCATCACGATGGAGCTTCGAGCATAGTATGACGCGGCCTGCGTGGCAGGGCAGACCGCCAACTTCCAAGGCCAAGGCAGACCGGAACCAGGACAACCGGGCTCAAGAATATAATAAGAAGACCTTGGCAGCTCAGGTAGGTCGACGACTATTTATCCCAACCTGCGCCTCTCCTAGAACCCGTCATCACCCTCCATCTTTCGCGTCCACTCAGACCGCCGCTCCAGAAGCTACAGACACCACCAACCAAGAACCAAGAGCACGGAAACATAAACACACAACACCAAACAAAATGGGCTTCCGCGACTCCTTCAAAGACCTCCAGAACAAAGCCCAACAAGCCATGAACGGCGGGCACGCCCCTCCAATCCCCTGGTCCAGCAAACCCAGCTCCTCATCCGCCTCTGCACAACAACAACCCCAAGCCCCTCCCTACTGGTCACCGCAATGCCAACCACACATCCCCGTCTCCACTCACTTCCACCACGAACAAGGAAACTGGGGCTGGGGCAACAACGAATCCCAAAACTACGTCGATGACACTGCAAACAGCTTCCACACCCCCGATGGCGCATTAGTGGTTCACGCAATCATAAACCACTCCCACNNCCCTTCCCCAGACAGAAAGTTTACTTCTGCGAGATTGTCTTCGCATCAGACGTTAAGCCGTTGCAGAGGTAGTTTGTCTGCGAGGATTACTGCACCGGTAGCGAAAGGCATTTGGCCTGCGTTTTGGTTGTTGCCGCAGGATCCGTTTACGTGGCCCTATGATGGCGAAATGGATATTTTCGAGGCGTGGAATGGAGACAAGACTAATCATACTTGTATGCACTGGGGCCACTTCAACGGTGAAGACCACGACAAGCACAGAGTGGTGGAAACGCCTATCCCTGCTATTGACTCTCCTCACGGTATGAGGTTTGATTTCGCTTGGGACGAAGATGAGAACACGAGACAGGGCAGAATGGTGTGGTATATCGATGGCAGACCTGTCATGAAAGCAAGCAAACCTGCTGGCACAAGACCCATGAGGGATTTCAGAATCTTGATCAATATTGCTGTCGGTGGAAATGTGTGTCAAGGCGTCATGCCAGAAAATGGCACGTATGAGTTTATCATCAGAGATCTCGCTATGTGGGATGCTCCGCCTGGTGGTTGGGACAGATTTGGTAGGGATTGGAACAGCACGAGGGAGGGCCATGGTATGTAGAGCTTGTTCGAGCTGCTGGACAGCCATCTCAACCACTAGATCATTTCCCTGCTCTTCACACGAACTTCAATCATTGCAACAGGGCACTTGTATCCTCTGCTGAATTGAAGCAGGCTTTGTTTACTTTGTCATCTCTGAAGCTTTCAAACGTATCAAGAAGAGCTTAGGATTATGAAGGATTCAGCAGTCGATCATTCAAAATTCAGCATCATGCGCATGTCGCAGACGACAGAGAAATACAGTGTGATCTGACAGAAGACTCAACATGAAAAACAGGTGCTTCAGGACTATCAACTCTGCCGTCTACCTCAGGAAAGAAACTTCAACACCGCTGTCCTCTGACTGCCACTTCAACCCACATACCGCTTCTTGTCGCTGATCAAGTGGTTCAGCTTGCGAATCTCTGTCCATCTGCTGAAAGATCCCATTTCAAGCAAATTCATGCGTCTCATCTTCCCAGATGGATTGCCAATGACCACAGGCTTCCAATCTTGTTCCGCCTTTGCATCGATACTGCCTCCTCCGCGAGACCCGAAAGCACCGTTTGGAATAACTTGAACAGACCTGAAGCGCCACATGACAAGCGAAAGCAGCATGGTCAATCCCAGCAGGATTCCGACAGTCACACCAGTCGCAGCCTGTGCACCAAGAGCTCTGGTCACACTGCCACTCACAGCAGTTGCAGCAGCTGCAATGAAGAATCCCAATCCTTGCGCGGCGAAGATACCTGCACATACACGTGGGTAAGACGAATAGTTTGTGCGTCTCCTGCGAGTGGCACTCTCCATACTTGCCAGACGGTGTTTGCTGTTGACACCGGGCTGGAGATCACTGGTATCGAAAGCTTCCATTGTCAACCCAATGCACTCTGCGACGGCGAGACATGAGAGGAATCCGATGATCGCAGCGAGAACGGTGGGTCCAGCTGCCTTGACTTTGGGTCCGGGAGAGGCTAGGACATAGACGAGTCCAGCGACAGGCAGGGCAAAGGTGAACAAGCATCGTCTGAGGAGATGCGACGACCATGTAACACGCGGCTCAAATGTACCACTGTCAGTACGCATCGGCTGAACTCTGTCGCGAGAGAAGACGTTGGCCTTTGTCAAGGGAACGGCGAGCGCTGCGCCCACTGCGACAGCGAACACAGCCAAGCCGATCCACTGAGGTTGCCATCCATAGTTTCGAGAGAGCAGTGCACCGAGGAGNNCTGTGCTGTGTCAGAAAGTTGGCTATAACAGCAAGACTCGATCATGACTTACCAATGTAATGAGTACTACCAAGGCGTAGATCCAAGCCAGATAGACGGCGAGCACAAAGAAGCCGAATTGGCAAAACATGTGAGCCATAAGTCTCATACCAGCCCAGACCTCTTCCCACCAGTACTTGGGTCCATCTTGGTCGAGATGTAGCTTGACTTCGCCACGTGCTACACGTTTCTTGAGTCTCTCTTCCTCGTCCAAGTATCTCAGCACTGATCGACGGTATGGAGCACGGCGTGTCTCAGGTGCAACAACATTGACCAGGATGAAGAACGAAAGAAGAATGACGACAACGTAGAATCCCCAGGACGGAGCAAGGTGCTGAGTGATTGAGGCGCCAATCAAAAATCCGAGAGCCAGAGATCCGACAAAGCACCAAGACCAAAGACCCAGCCAGATGCCCATACCACCTCCTTGGCGTCGAACATCATCGTAGACAACAATCTCTTGATGCGGGTTTCGTGATTGAAGAGAGGCGCCGAACAGATCCAGCAAGGTCGACANAAAGTTGATATGTGCAAAGCCGAGAGCCAAACCGAGGAAGAAACGAGGAACGAGTAGACCAACAAGAGCTCTGGTCAGATGTGGACCTCTGTAGAAAGCGGTCGCAATAGACTGAGGAAATTGGAGCGGGATTGCGATTGCGAGCGCTGCCAATGTGTACGGTCTTCTGCCGTGAAGCAGTGGAAGTGGCCAACAAATCAGGGTAGTGATTCCCATGCCGAGGTACAGNNACTGTTAAGTGTGTCAGCATCAAGAACGAAGCTCTTGGACGACTGATAGGAAGTTGCTTGGGTTGGCTTACAGCACATTTCCCAAAATCACATGGTGATGCTCGTCTCCTAGCTTGTATTGGATCTTGGGCACCTCACCAGNCCTGTATGTATTAGTCAACATCTGTTATGATGCACAACCAAGAATGTCACTCACATAGATACCAGCGATCAGCCCAACAAGCATGGTGTTGAAACAAGCAATGATGGCGGTGATGCGTTTGCGGCCTATCTTCCACTCTCTGGCAATGGGTGAACGACGATACCTGTGGAAGCGGAATCCTTGTTCGTCTTTCAGACTGATGTGGTTCTTGCGTGGGTGCTTCAAGCTCAGATCGGGAGATGGAGCATTTGCTGGCGGTGCTTGACCTGCGGGGAGCGCAGGCTGACCAGAAAGAGGCGGTTGTCCAGGTACAATGGGCAAAGCAGGTTGAGTCGCCGCAGGAAGAGCCACGGGTACTTCTCTACGTTCTGGAACGTGGTAGTACGATGACTCAAAGATGCGACTTGCGCCAGCTTTTGGTTTCCATCTTTTGGGAGGAGCTGAAGTCAGAACGGGTCCTGCTACCTCTGGTGGGTTGGCAGCTGGATACTGAGTTGATGGGTAGTATGAAGTGACATAATGTCTTGGGTCATAGACAGCGTACGGTACTGTTGGCTGAGGAGGTGGTGAGGGTGTGCTTGATAGTTGAGGGTCAGAACGGACAGGTCGAATAGATCTTCGTTTCGGCACATCTGGGATCGAGAGACGAAGGGGCTCATGCGGAATTTGCTCTGGCGTTTTCACTGACGCATCTTGAGGGATGGCAGGAGGCAACACAACGCCAGCGCTTTCTCCTGGTGGAGGTGGCAGGACAGTCTCGTCTTGGTTGACTGGCCCAGGCTCCGAACCGCCTCGGAGGTCACGACGAGTTGAAGGCCGCTTGGCATAAGCCCAATCATGCATGGTAGAACCTGTTGACAGCTTAGAGTACATCTGAGGCGGAGTTTGAGTCATGGAGAAGTCTTCCGAGGACGACGGCCCAACATTGGCCTCCTGCGACGAAGGGCGCTTGCCGTCACTCTCGAAGGGTGGGCTCAGGATTGGATGAACGACCGAGTGATGCCTGATCGAGTAACGTGGAACGGCAGGAGTCGGTGAAGCAGTGGGAGCTGGCTCCAAAGAGAGTCCACTCTTGCTTTTAGTGTAAGCAGTTGGGATGCTGGCATTGGATGCTTCTTGCTTCGGCTGGATAGATGAGATGTTGGACTCGATGTCGGCATCAGAATCAGAGCCTTGATCGTACTCATCGGAGGAGAAGTACTCGTCGCTTTCAGTGTCGTCAATACGAAGTGGTGGAACCATGTAGCCATGGATGGTGCTTGACTTGCGAAGAACGATCTTGGCTTCATCGAGGATTTGAGCGACATCTTGGGATCTGTTGTTCTGAGCGGCGTCCTGGGCGATGGTCACGGCTTCTTCCATGAGGTTGTGAAGCCCGGTGACTGCACGCTCAAGGTTCTTCTTGTCCTTCTCGATTGATGAAGACGAGGGCGGCGACTGTGTCTTTGGCGAGACATCAGGAGAACGGAATGTCAAGGTGCTACGAACAGTTGACTTGCGAGATAGAGCGCCGTCATTGTAACGACCTAGGTTAGACGGATCTGGAGATGGGGATGAGATGTGTGCCTCAGGTGGGAGCAGCGGGCCGAGACTCGATGTTCGAACAGGAATCTTGATTTCCAGTTCAGATAGGGGAACCATTGGCCAGGTAGGCGGTTTGCCTGATTGCGAGGACGAATAAGACGAAGGGGTATACATAACGATGCTGTATATGATGATGTGTTGGATAGATGAGAAGAGAGTCGTGTCAGTGACAAGGACGAGGTGAGGAAGTGCCGAGGTGCCATGTTCCTGCTATATCAGCAGCATCGCTTTCGTTGGTTGTGGTTGCCTCAGCTTTGAGCTCAACGAGGTGGCGCCAACTTGCTTGCGGGCCCAAACCGGGCAGTCACGATGATCGCACGTATTCGTTAGCGCTTCAAATATCAACTCGAATAGATTTACAAGACAGGGTACAAGCAAAAGTCGATGAATGAATTGAGCATTACTCTTCATATTTGACATCGCCCTTGCTGACATCAGGGTACACGTCAAATCTTCTCTGAGTATAGATCGGAATGCCTTTCCTTGTTTGCTCAATTGTCTCTCCATCCAGATCGGCATATACAATGTCTTCCTTCTCATCCAGTTCACTGAGAACTTCGGCGTTTGGGTTGACGATCATGCTGTGACCCCAGGCATTGTAGTCGGCTGTCATGTCTCTAGCAGGCGAACAGAGACCAACGTAAACTTGGTTGTCCATGGCTCTAGCGCGTGCCTGCAGCTTCCAATGCAGCTCGCCAGTGGTGAGGTTGAATGCACCAGGATAGACCAGCAGGAAGGCACCCTGTCTTGCAGCAATCATGGCCAGCTCGGGGAAGCGAATGTCGTAGCAGATGGCAACAGCGATCTTTCCGTACTCGGGCAGATCGACCAAAGTGACCTTGTTTCCAGGACTCAGAATCTCGCTCTCTTGGAATCTAATCTTGCCGGGAATATCAATGTCGAACAGGTGGACCTTTCTGTGGGTGGCCAGCAAGTTTCCGTCAGGACCGAAGATGAGACTTGTGTTGTAGTGTTTCTTGGTGTCGGCGAGGTATTCAGGGATACTGCCACCGATCAGGTAGGCTTTGGACTCCTTGGCCAGGGCAGATAAGGCGTGGAAGGTGGGAGATTGTGACTCGGTGGGTGGTGAGGGTTGCAGGGTCTCGGCGTATTTGGGAAAGTACTTTGTGCCATAAGGAGAGTTGAAGCACTCGGGCAGAACGACGACATTGGCACCCTTGGACGTGGCTTCGAGGACTTTTGATCTTGCGCGCGCGAGGTTGGCCGCCTTGTCGGCGCCTGCTCTCTGTCAGTCGTGGTTTCAGCATTTCAAGCCAGAGCACATACCGGTCGACAGCTGGACGCAGGCAAGTTTCAAAGGCTTCTTCAGTAATTTGGCCATGTTTGGTATGCAAGAAGAAAGTTCCGAGGTGGATAGTTGTCAAAAGGTCGCTGGTCTCGACCTACCCCAAAAGACCATGACGCGCACCCCACCTCTTATCGATATGCGCCGAGTCGAGAGTTGGAGAAAGCTGAAGCTCTCCAAATGCCAAGGCCGAGAGAACGCTCAGCTTTGGCTCTTGCGAAAGTTCCTGAGATTGTTCCAACACCAAACACCAAAGTCCCGTCTACCACATCCTCACGCAATCATGTCGCTCGCTGTTTTGCGTATGCCGCTGAGGCAATTTCCTCGCCGTATGTCGTTACGATTGGCGTCGACAAGCAGTAGAGCACCCCTCAAATACACTGGTCGCATTCCGAAACCCGCTCCTCCAGCACCAGGTCCCGGCGAGACAAAGACTCCCGACACGCAGGAAGAGACCCAACAAGCTCGCAAAGCCATCATGGACTCTATTCAGGACGACCGAAACAAGGACTACAAGAGGAGATATCGTTCTTTCGCCTTCAAGTGGACTGCCATTATCGTCGGCACTCCCTTCGTCGTCGTCACCACTCCATACTTGTACAAGAGAGGTGCGCTTGTTGCTTTGTATTGCTGAGANATACACAATTCTGACATTACTATCCAGTTTTCCTCGGCGAAGAACGAAGGAGACTTGTCCTAGACGAAGATGACGACGAGGACCTCGACTAAACCACATTACCAAGCACAGTGTCCACCATCAATACGCATATCGCTACCCGTCATGAACGAGCTGGCATCGCTGATCAGGAACACGGCTGCTCCACGGTACTCTTCGGGCTTGCTCAGCTTTCCCAGCATGTTCTGTGTTGGCCACTCGCGCCGTCTCGGNNGGTACTTGACAAACAGTGCCTCCACCATCGCCGTCACAATGTATCCCGGCGAGATGGTGTTGACGCGAATTCCATGCTGGCCCCACTCACTTGCCAGATTTCTTGCCAATTGGATCACGCCTGCCTTGCTCGAGTTGTATGCCGCGCAGATCAGTCNCCTGTTGGTTTCCTGTTAGCCAAATTCAACAAGACCAAGGTGACAGAAGTTGCATACCCTGTTGGCGACAGTGCCGCTCATGGATGCAATGAAAGCCATGCTTCCGCCGTTTCCATGCTTGATCATCTGCTTGGCCACTGCCTGTGCCGTCATGAAGACTCCTGTTATGTTGACCTCGAACATGGTGTTCGCATCCTTGGCTGTGTACTCGAGCGCCGTTGTTTCTTGCTGGATACCTGCTGCAGCCACGAGTCCATCCATACGACCCTCCTTGTTGGAAATGTCTTCAATGATCTCATTCAATTGCGGCACATCGCGAACATCGATCTGGCGATAGTGGAATGTAGTACCGAGCTCTTCAGCTGCCCGTCTTTGAATGCGGTAGAAGTCCTCGCTGGGTTCAGGAAGGCGGTCCAGAGCATAGACTGTNNCCTTGTGTCAGTCTTCAGTGTTCTGTCAAGTCTCGTGCACAAAATTACCGGTTGCGCCAGCCTCAAGCAAGGCCTCGGCCTGCACCAATCCCAGTCCACGTGCGGCACCAGTCACCAACACTACTTTGTCGTTGAGCGCAAACTCTGGTAGGCGCTTGGTCGTTCCAAGATATGATGCAGCGTTGTAGTTGTCTTTCAAGTTGGCAGACTCGTCTGAAGGTGGTTCTGGGGCACCACGACCAGAGACAATGGGGTTTCCCTTGGGAGGGTTCTTCAATTGGTCAAGGTCAGACTTTGAGGCATTCTGCTGACGAGCAGAAATTGCAAAAGTGCGAACGGTGTTTGACCTTGCTGCACCAAATGCGGTGCGGGCACAGCGTGAAGACAGCCTGAGAGAAGCCATTGGGGAGGTAGAAAGAGTAGGAGGGGAGCTTTTCGAGGAGGATACGTTCGAGAGAGGAAAAGGATGCAGAGTAAAGCAACGAGACGACCCCGCTGTCCCTTTTATTGCAGCTCCTTCCAGCGGGTCGTTACTACACTTGGCTTCCCTTCTTGGTTGTCCGAGACGCTGCTCCTCGTTCCGGGACTTGCAGCAGTGGACGGTGGACATGCGCCATGCGCCATGAGCAACATTAGTTGCCACCACCACAATCCAATCCTTGTTCAGCAGATCATCACGTCAACATCCAACGCTCTGTATGAGCTGTGCTTTTCCACCCAAGCTGTTATTGCGTAGCTTCCACAACTTTTGTTCAAACCAGCAAACAGATTGGCGGTTTAGCTTTCGAAGATGCTTGACCAGGCCGTTGTGGCCGCAAAGTGGAGGAGATGCGGGGAAAAAGTGGCAGCTCTCGGATTACCTGTTTGGGACAATGGCATTCTGGGGCTGGTGGTTGCGCGCGCCGGCCTTTACCTGGATGGGAAGATACTGCTGTATATCAAATCGTCTCCTTCCTGCTCATGTTTGTGCATCAAGCGAAGTCTTCTATCGCAGCAAGGAGCGGCTGCGGCATGGCTGTATGCACGGAACAAGTCGTCTGCAGGACAAGAGATGCATAACAATTGATGTGTCGGCTGCACGCTGGACAATGCATTTTGTTGCCCTCGTTTTGAAAATGCATGTGACTTTGGAATCGCATGACGGTCTTACAACTACAACCTGTTTTGGGCTCACTCAAATCAATGCTCTCGTATGACATGTCACAAAAACATTGCTGTCGACAGTGAGTAGAGAGTTTTCCGGACTGAGGCAGCAAGGGCACGTGAAGACGCGGAGTGGTTTGGGCCGAGCGTTACGAACTCTCGGGCAGTGACTTGCATCATCCGACGAGAATTGACTTGGAGGAAAGAGCGACTTTCTACGCAACTGCCTATTGTCGTCGCACAAAAGCGACTGTGCCTCGCATCGCGCCATGTCGACCCCTCGATCCCAACGCCGACATGGAGGAGGTCGAGGACGAGCTTATATTCCAACAAACCCTGCTGGAAACTCTGGATCCTGCCGAGAGCAACGAGCGCAGACAAGAGGTGGAACTGGCTATCATGGACCTCGAGAGACGCATGGCTCAGTTCAAAGACGCTGCTCCTGCTTCATCACAACCAGACAGCAATCCATCACACAATGCGCCCGGCGCATACCCTCAGTCCGACACTAGCGACATGGATCAAGAATTCCCGACATTCGACCCTTCGACCGCTGTCCCCACCCCGAGCAGGAACATACAGCTCAAGAGGAGTCGCGATCAAGTCTCGCCACTGGCCAGCTTCGACAGGAACAAGAGGCCTGCTCCCACTCCCATGGGCCCGCCGAGTCAGCGACCACTCAGCCAGGATCGTCGGATGGCTTATCTGGAGAGACAGCGTCAGATTGAAGCAGCCGCTCGCCAGAGAAGAGAGTCTGTCGCTGCTGACGCCGACTTTGCCTCACGACTGAGCCAGCAACCCTCCTCTTCGCCCATCGCTGGTCCGTCTCGCAACAATCTCCATTCGCAGCCCGACATGTCGCCAAGTAAGATGGCTCCAGTCTTTCGACCTCCAGGCTACAGGACCAATCCCCCACAATCGCAAACTCCTGCTCCATACCCCGCTGCAGGACTTCCGCGTGTCAAGCCTGAAGTTCACTCGAGTCCTGGATATGGTTACGCTTCTAGATCCGTCAAACCCGAACCTTCTCAACATGCTACTCCTCCCGCCACCCGATTTGGCGGTCCTATGGTGATTGATCTGACTGGGGATGATGAGTCCGAGCCTCAACAGACCCAAGTTCAACGACTCAGGTCGAATCCAGCCGAGGAAATGCGCCGACGCCATCTCTGGGAGCTGAACAATGCTGTCAGCGCTCAACACAAGCATGAAATCATGATGCGCCAGCAACAAGAGATTGCCTATCGTCAGCAACAAGAGTCCGCCCGCCAAGCCGAGATGGCTCTGCGCAACTCTGTGAATCCGACTCGTGAGCAGATTGAGCAGGCCAACCGTCTGCGTCTCCAGCAATGGCAACAGCAAGTCGCTGCCGTTCAAGCTTTCAATGCACAGAATCCACATCAACCTAGGCCTTTCCCAAACCACGTGTCTTATACTCAGCCATCTCCTTCCATTATACGCTCGTCCCAGCAACCTGTACCACGCGCCGCTTATGACGATCTTAGTCAGTTGGGTGGTCTTATCAATGGTCGCGGCAGAAACACAAGATTTGACTCGCCAGACGATGATTTGCAGTATCTACGATCTACCACAGTCCAGCGAGACCCTCCCAGCTGGGATATTTATGATGTCGACAGTGCCGACACCAAAGAGGAGCTTCGTAAACTGATGGAGAACATTCAGCCTGACGACGCTTCCAAGTTTGCCAATGAAGAAGACGTGCCAGTCGAAGGGCTCACCATCAAGCTTAAGCCCTACCAATTCGCTGGTCTGGAATGGCTTCAGAAGATGGAGAACGGCTCGAACAAGGGTGGCATCCTTGCTGATGATATGGGCTTGGGCAAAACTGTTCAAGCGATCTCGCTAATGGTCACGAATCGTTCTGAAGACCCGGTGAACAAGACCACTCTAATTCTCGCGCCTGTTGCTCTCCTACGTCAGTGGGAGCAGGAGATCATGACGAAAGTGAAGCCTGGTAGACACAGACTCCATACGTTCATCCACCATGCAAGTGCCAAGAAAAAGAGCCACAAGGACTTGCGCGACTTTGACGTTGTTCTGACCACTTTCGGTACTATCGCTGCCGAACTGAAGAAGATCGAGAAATATGAGTTGCGCAANAAATCAGACCCAATGGCCCAGCCCAGAGATGACGAGAAGTGTATGTTCATCGGTCCCGACTGTAGGTGGTACAGAGTCATCATCGATGAAGCGCAATGCATCAAGAACAAGACTACCAAGACTGCAAGAGCTGCCTTCTATCTTCAAGCTCGTTCTCGGTTCTGCATGACAGGAACTCCTATGATGAACAGTGTCGAGGAGCTCTATTCTCTCATCCACTTCCTGCGTATCAGACCGTATAACAACTGGAACAACTTTAAAACCGATTTCAATCAGCCATTGAAGGGCAACAATGAATCCGGACGTCAGATGGCTATGCACAAGCTGCAAGCATTGTTGAAAGCCATCCTTCTTCGTCGCAACAAGAAGACCGAGATCAATGGTCGTCCCATCCTCAACCTGCCTGAGAGACGTGTCGAGGAGACCAACCCTGATTTCAGCGAAGACGAGCGTAATATCTATGTTGCGCTTGAGACTAGCTCTGCGGTCAAGTTCAACAAGTATCTCAAAGCTGGCACAGTCAGCAACTCTTACATGCAAATTCTGGTTTTGCTGCTTCGTCTCCGACAGGCTTGTTGCCATCCTAACCTGATCAAGGATCTTGGAATCGTCGCTGCGACCGCCGAAATCTCGCAGGAGACGATGGACGAGATCTGCAGGGGCCTCAACCCGAACGTTGTCACTCGTATCAAGGAAGCAAATGGCATATTTGAGTGCCCTGTTTGTTATGATGCCGTGGAGAACCCTGCCATCTTCACACCTTGCGGTCACGATACCTGCCCAGACTGCTTCTCCAGAATTGCTGATCCTTCCAATGCACTGGCTGAAGGAGATGAAGGACGGACTGCCAAGTGCCCTGAATGTCGTGGCCCGATCAACACCAAGAACGTCATCGATTACGAGTGCTTCAAGCGTATTCACATGCCCGATGAAGCTGCTCTCGATGATGCGGCTGATATCAAGACCGATGCGGACGGTGACGACATGGCCGTTGACACCGATGACGACTCTGAGGATGACGAGGAAGATGACGACGATGATGAGACTGATTCCCTCGATGGATTCATTGTCGAAGATGGTGCTGAAGAGGAAGATGATGANAGATGCAGCAGAACGCAGACAGAAGGCCGCTCTGAAGAAGCCCGAAAAGAAGGCGAAGGCCAAGTCCGAGATGAGCAAGAAAGCCAAGGGAAAGCTGAAGGAGTCGAGCAGTTCCGACAAGAAAAGAAGGCAGCCACTATGACTATCCCCGAACTGAAGAAGATGGCCATCAGGAAGCCGGGATGGCGAAAGATCTACCTCCGCATGCTGAAGAAAGACTTTAAGCCTTCTTCCAAGATCGAGCGCACCATGGAAATTCTGGACGGCATCATCACAGCACCCGAGGGCGAGAAGATCATCATCTTTTCACAGTGGACTTCTCTTCTCGACTTGCTTGAAGTACCTGTGTCTGAGAAGGGCTGGGGCTATCGCCGCTACGACGGAAGCATGAACGCCAAACTCCGTGCTGATGCTGTGGACGACTTCAAGAACAAACCCAATGTCCGCATGATGCTGGTCTCGCTCAAGGCTGGAAATGCAGGTCTGAACCTCAACTGCGCCTCTCAGGTTGTTATCATGGATCCCTTCTGGAATCCATACATCGAGGAACAGGCCATCGACCGTGCTCATCGTCTTGGACAAACAAGACCCGTCATGGTACATCGCGTGTTGATCAAGGAGACTGTCGAAGACCGCATCATCGCCTTGCAAGAGAAGAAACGCGCTCTCATCTCTGAAGCGCTTGACGAGAAAGCATCACAGAGTCTGGGCAGATTGAGTGTACAGGAACTGGCGTATCTGTTCGGTGTCAGCAGAAACGTCAACGATGCACTGCCCGCCGCTGCCCCGAGGGCTAGAATTCGTCAGGGTGGTCCTGGTGGTTTGGGCGCTTGAGAAACAAAAAGAATACATCTGTTTATGGGAGTTTGCAAAGAATGGTAGATGGGTTCAAAGGGGTGTTAATGGGCTTATGAAGGATACTCTGGCTGTCGTTGCTGACGAATGGCGTACCGGTTTCTGCTTTTCTTATTGACACGATCAGATGATGGGTTATGGCTCTTTTCCTTTGTGTTTTCTTTTCATCCACTGTTACGGACCTTTCTTACGGTACATGGCTACTTACTATACATGATACGCTACAAATCACAACATAATTATAACTGTTCTCCATTACTGGTCCTCAATTGATTCGGCTCGGTGCCTCTAACCAGTCTACCTCATGAGGATTGTTTTGATGTACGTCTTTCGAACCTAGAGACGCTTCTTCGGTAAACGTTCCTGTGCAAAGCTAGTGATGGCTTACATATGTGACGAAGGCCCTCTCATATCCCCACATCGCCTATCACCTCGATCAACGAAGGATGCGAAACTTGGCATACGTGCGAGAGAGGAGGAGGTCAACTCCTTGTCTTGGCGGCATCAATGCTTTATAGGCCTTTGTCGATCTTTGCTATACCGATCAGGCGACTGCCCCACAATAACAAGTCGGCCCTTTGTCGACAAGGCAGAAATTAGACGATACCAAGCCTCGTCGGCAAGTACCAACCGAAACGAAAACGAATGAGTTCTTTAGGATGGGATGGGTATAAGAAGCCCCGTGTCTCCTGGAGAAGACAGATAGCAGATCGTTGACACATACCATACCACACCACATCACATTGCATCACATCACTCCAACCACCCATCAAACATGGCCAAAACCACAACCAACAAACTTGCGACCAACATGGAAAAGTCCACAACGAACAACAGATTCTGGACTAGCTGCAGCTGGATCATTAAAATCACAATGAAGATACTCCCATGGCTTATGCTTCTTCATAACCTTTTATACATCGTCTTCCCAGGCCCGAGTAACGACAAGTCCGTTAGTGATCTGGCATGGAGCAACTTCATCAGTGTCGTTTACTTGATCGGCATGCAGGCATGGATCGATGGTGGCCTCATCGAGGTTTAGATGGCTTTGGGTCGATCTTGATACGCTTTCGGCGGCGACTTGTCAATTGAATTGCAATGGAATGTCTGGCAAGCGTGATGGTGGTCGTCCACAAGGGAGAAGTAGACTTTGGCTTCGGCGATGGCTAGGTCGGGAATTAAGGATAAAGAGCTTACGACTGCTCTTTTGCCTTTCTGCACTGTGCTATCATTGGTCCTGCTTTAGTATGTCGCAGCTGCGTCCCCAGTCATCCTCGAAGCAGGCTTTTCTGACCATGAGTTCAGCAAAACTTTGGAATCAATCCATCTAAAGCTGATCAGCAAGATCGAGAACATCAAGACGATCGTAACGTCTGCTGTCAAGAAGCAACTCCTCAGGAAACCACTCGCTCAGCGTCCCACCAGGAAACCCAGGCGATGCGGGAATGTCATCTTGTTCCGAGCCCATGATCATAATACCTAGCGCGGTTCCGCAGAGCCAGGCGAAGACCATACCTTCGCCATTGTAGCCTGCAGAAATCCACTCCGATGACTCGTCTGAAGCAGTTCCAGGATCTCTTGCGCTGATGCGCGGGTCCANGCTACCCACAAATGGCAGCGAGTCTCCAGTCAATGAAATGATGCCAGACCAGTGTTGCTGCAGATATCTCGATTGTTTCTCCGTTTCTCGTTGTTGCTTCTCGCGAGAGAAGACAACAGGCAAGATGCCAGCGAGATGTGCAGACGTGAATGTATCGATACGACTGTCATCCCAGATACCCATCTGATCAATGCCGTTGTTGTTGGAGCGAAAGACTCCTCCACCGAGCATGATGTCGCCAATCCCGTCAGAAGACGGTCTCTGCGTCATGTAGTCGAAATCATCGGGACCATAGATGAGCGACCATGAGCGATCGCCGTGAAAACCTTCGTAGTTCTGATGACCGGGATTCTGTGCTGACATGTGTGCTCTTACGCCCGTTGCCTTTTTGTTGAGGTTGGGTAGTAGGTGACCCATATAGGCATTGGTGGCATGGACAAGGTGCTTGCATTTAACGACACCTCTGTCTGTGTAGACGTTGTAAGCGTGTTTGGAAGCATTCTCCTTGTCGATTGAGAGCACAGGCGTGTTGGTTTCAATGGTGAGTTGGTCAGGGTATTCGTGCAAGAGCTCGTTCCACACAGACGTGACGAGACGGTACGGCCACAGAGCCCCTGCCTTGTAGGTATACGCACCAACAACTTGATCGCTGACTGCAAACTNTCTGTCTTGTATCAGCTTTGCGATTCACGAATTTATAAATCATGTGTGTAGCATTACTTCTTGAGCTTCAGCCGCCTGGTAGATTCTACCCTCGTGTTCCGGTAGCAATGTTTTCAGCTTGCTTATGGTGTTGCAGACGTCATCAAAGGTCTTCTGATCAAAGAACAAATCGACAGTCTCAACCACGCGACATTCTGCTTGTATAAAATCTTCGCTTTGGCATAGATCCGTCAGACATTCCAGATGATCGAGTTGAAACCTGGTGAGTGCAACAGCTCGCTCTACTCCAAACTTCGCTTCCAGTCTTGCGAAGGTCTCGTGCGGTGAAGCTTTGATATGCCCGCCATTGCGTCCAGTGGCACCACTGCATATGTCTCTGGCTTCGAGAACGGTAATCGTGATATTTTGGTTCTTGCGTTTGCTCTCGTGGAGTATACTGCGTGCTACAGCGGCGCCGGTGATGCCGCTTCCAATAATGACTACATCTGCTTTGTCTGGAAGAGTTTCTGTTTGGATCCTTACAAGATCAGGGAATGGCGGGTCTTCAAGCCAGTAGGAATGAGTAGGATCACGATGCGGCAATGTCGCGCCTTGGTTGATGCGTGCGACAAGAGCTTCGAAAGTGCGATTGAGATCTAGTAGTGTCTTGATAGCTGTGCGCAGTGTCTTCCAAGACTGCTGGATGAAATCAAAGAAAGCCATTGTTGCTGAGTGGCATGATAGATGAGGCATTTCACAAGTGACAGGGAGGTGTGATGGATGGAGTGGGCTCCGGCTTGGGTCGGAGAACAGTGAAGCTTGACAGCCGACACTTCCGCGACTTGTGCCGAGTCGGGACCGAGCGGACAAAACCTCATGATCTCTTCGATTCCAACTCAATCTCATTGTTCTTAGCATCGAACACTCTCGAGTGTATATCCTGTATATCGTTGATCATATGTATACGAATCTTGTGTTGTCTTGTGGAAAGGTAAAAGCTCAAGTGAGTGTGTCGCCATCAAGCTCAGCATGAAACAATTGGAGAACATATAACATCACAACTAGGAGGAGAGAAAGAATATTGATAGACACTGTAATTGAGAGCAGCCTCGAAGTTATATGATATCCGTCACTGCTTATTCCTTGACATCTTTCTTGCTCTGAAGAACCAATATAGTGCGATGGGAACAGCGATGTTGAACACAATGTAGACCCAAAGATAGCCAAAGTTCGCCCATCGACCAGACCACTCGATGCCAGAGGGGCTCAGATACTGGTTGGCACTTGATAATGCACAGTAACTGCAATTGCTAGTGGCTGAGGGGGTTTGAAGATGGCCAGGGGCCATCTGCAGGTAAGGCTCGAGGTACGCGCCACATGTCATACCAGATGGCGGATTGAAGATACTGAGTTCAGCTGATGCGCATGTCACAGCACGGTCCCAGAGCATAGCAGCTGCCATTCCCTTGATCCAATATGTAAAGAAAGAGACCCTGTACAAAAAGATCCAAAAGCCTGGTAGAGCTGCAGGTGACTGAATCACACCACAGAAGATTAGACTCAATGCGAAAAGCAAGACGACGAAAGCTGCTGCAACTTCCGCATTTGGTAGGGCTGCAATGAGCATATGGGCGAATGTAGATGCGTAGATGAACAGTGCGATGCAGAATAGCATCACAAGGATCTGTCGCTCCGAGGAGGGTATGCCAACGACCGGATAGAAGAAGCAGGCGTATATGAGAAGACCGCTGATAATCTGGTATGGTATCTCGACGAGTATCTGGGCAAGAATGAACGCTTTCCAGCTGTAAGCTTTGCTAGGTCTCTCTCGGACTTCGTACAAGTCACGTTGAGTGACAAAGTAAGGCTGGATCTGTTGGACAACAGTACTGAAGAGTGAGGCCACCATGAAAAGACTGTAGAGAACATTCTGCATTCCTTGCTGCGTCACATTAGCATCGTAGAAGGAAAACCCGATGAAAAGACCAGCCGCAATGCAAAGAACGAATTTCGCTAGAATGTAAGACGGTGTTCTCCAGTATTGTTGGAAGACGCGTAGAGTCACTGAATATAGCTGGCTGGAGAAAGGCATGGCGAATTCTGAGCGGGATCCTTCTTCTTCCTCTTGAGTGGTTCTAGCGATGTTGGGCTTGTCTTCGTTGACGATCTTCTGCAGCTCATTCTCGACCGCAGTAAACTCAGCACTGTTCTTCCAGTGTTCGTGCCAATCGACGTTGGGGTCGGTCACCACTTCGAGCATGTATTCTGCTGGGTTTTCGTCGTCTCCACACCTGCGAGCACTATTGTTCTCAAAATAGTCAAGTAGAGTCCTGGAGTTCTGGCCAACTTGACCGAAGTAAACCGTTTGACCTCCATTTTTGAGGAACAGTAATCGATCAAACTGTTGGAAGAGTACTGCACTAGGCTGGTGGATCGTGCATAGCACAGCTTGTCCATGATCTGCGAGCTTACGAAGGAATGCACAGATAGCCCAGGAACTTTGTGAATCCAGTCCACTGGTAGGTTCGTCCAAGAAAAGGACNNTGTGAACATTAGCACTGTTTGGAATTTCACCAGGAGCCAGATACTCACGTAGCTTTGGGCGAGCGGCTAACTCGACTCCTATGGTCAGTAACTTGCGTTGTTCCACGTTTAGACCTTGTCCGGGCACGCCGATTATGGCTTCGGCAAAATCTTGCATCCCAAGCATCTCTATAACACTCTCGACGTAGTCGTACTTTTCCCTNNGCTTACTGACGGATTTTGGCTGACGAAGCATGGCAGAAAATCGAAGCGATTCACGAACGGTGGAAGTTTCCAGATGGAGATCTTGTTGTTGGACNNTGCAGCCTGATTAGAGAGTGCTTTTTCATGCAGAGCAGAATCTGAACAGACCATAACCTGTCTTGCGCTGGAAGCTGCGACCGAGCGATCTGCTGTTGACGAACATATCGCCGGTGATGACTCCTATTGTGGTTCGTTGAGCAAGTGNCCTGGGGGCTCACGTCAGTTCCATTCTTGCTAATCAGTCTGGGAGACTCACATCTAGCAAGGTTGTTTTTCCTGCTCCAGAACTACCCATGAGCGCTGTAAGTGTGCCGGGCTTCACCCATCCTGATACGTGGTCGAGCAAACGGCGAGGTTCTCCTTTGATTTCGATGTCGTAAACAATATTGTGCCAGCTGAAAATGTCCTTTTGTGCCGGTAGAAGATCTAGCTTTCCAGTGTTCTCATCGGTAGCAGCCTGAACAGCCTTTTCGCCAGACTCTTCGTCCTTAGAGTTGGCCTGATCAACCAGCAGGTAGCCTGGTGCGCGACCTCGACGGAATACCAATGATTCTGCTGTGGATGCTGTGGATGAGTTGAGCTCGACTGCAAGGAGATATATGATACAAAAAGCAATCAAGAACGCGAAGAGGATACCCAGATTTCGCCACATGTGGGCGTGCGTATATCCGTATGCGGCAGCAATATATGCATCGCCACTCACATAATCTTGACCTGAGACAGCTCCAGTGGAACTGCATATCCAAGATTCGCCATGGGGAGGTGAGTAAGGCGGGATGATAGCAGAGCAAGTGAAGTTCCTACCATGGAATTGATTCGCAACGAGCATCTCAAAGGCATACTGAACAGGATTGATGTATCGAATCCAGCTAAACCAGGGGTGCATGTAAGGCACGGGCAAGGAGTAGCCAGTGTAATTTATGATGGCAAGGACAAGAACACCAGACAGTGCCATGGCCTGTGATAGAGTCTTGGTGAGGGCAGCCACGGTGCGAAAGACGGCAGCCATGATGAAGTTTATCATGTATGTGACAAGCAGGAAAANCAAAAAGTTCCCAGCACTAGAACGTAGTCCAGCCATGAAGTAGATGACTATATCGAACGCGACCGTGATACAGAACTTGATTGGGATATCCATCACAAAACCGGCCATGGCTTCAGTCCAGGGGTGGTNAAAGGCATACGACTTGTGCTTCTCAATGACTGGTCGCTGAGAATACAGACCAACAATTTCTGCGAGGGCTCCAAGAGCACTCAGGAGGATCGCGAAGAAAAGAACTGCTCCTGTAGAGCCGAAGCCAGCAGTCGCTTCAGGAGTTCCGTAGAAGACACTTCCGATGATAAGAGCCATGATGATGTTAGTTCCGATTGGAGCCAGGGTAGACGCTTTGTCGTTCCATGCTCGGTTGACAGCCCTGATCAAATTCATCTTGATTTGAGTCCCAATGGTGGCGACATACGGCGACTNTTTCCTGGCAAACTTTCCTTGCTGGAATTCTTTGGCGGCGCGGAGCATGGTCAAGCCCGAGTTTGCATCACTGGCCAACTTTGCCTCTGCATCATCAATCTCTTGCTTCAGATTCAAATACTCGACACTCTGCTGCCAGTAAGCTTCGAACTCGTCAGGGGTACGTGGCACCTTGGACTCGAAACCTTCCCTCGCTCTTCTCTCGATAGGATTCGTGACGCTGGTAAGAAATTCGCCAGTCGTTTGTCGAGAGGGACATTCCCAGCCCATCTCTTCAAAATAAGCCTCTGCGCGTGATGCAGGCCCATAGAAGATCTGTCGACCCTCGTACAGGACCATCGCTCTGTCGGATAGGTCGTAAATGGGCTGACTCGCTTGGTAGATTGCGACAGCATGAGTAGTATTCATGATATTGCTGCTCTGTCTCAACGCCTTGACGAATTGCAAAGCCGAAGCAGAGTCGAGGCCTCTCGTGCTATTATCCCAGGCATTGATAGGCGAACAAGCAAGAGCCATCTCAGCGATACTAACACGTTTGCGTTCACCTCCAGAGACCCCGCGGACAAAGTCGTTTCCAAGCTTGGTGTTGTACGTATGAGACAAGCCGTAGACAGCCATGATGACCTGAACCATATGTTGTATCATCTCTTTCCTCGAGCGACCTGCCAATGGCATGTTTGGCACACGCAATGCAGCAGCATGCTCGAGAGTTTGGCCCACTGTAAGATGGGGAAAGTGCTTGTCGATTTCTTGGTTGTAGTTGACCTCGCCGTTGAATTCTTTTGTCATGGTCTCCTGTGCTATGCCGGAATAGTGGACGATTGAGCCTTCTTTGAATTTCAAATTATGCATCTCGCCAGTCATAGCCTTGAGGAACGTGCTACATCCGGCACCAGGTCTGCCGAGAACAACGAGAAGTTCGCCATGCTTCAATATGGCGTCACAGTTCCGTAGTATATGTTTGGGCTCGGTGTTACTGAAAGACTCGCGAATCCGAAAAGGAGTCATGAGTATGCCGCTGACAGTGTCCTGGAGCTTCAGTGCCCTACCGCTGCCAGACACGTTGACGTTTTTCATCACCACATCTGCCTGTTTGAGTACCATGCTCTCCGTTTCAAGTATAGCCAAGGTTCTGCGGAGGTACTTGTGCAGGTCAAATCTACCGCTGGTAAAATTCAGCTCTGAATCATCCTCCGGGTTGTCGTTGGTGGTGTTGGTATCGGAAGATCGCATGCTTGCCAAGGTGGAGACAAACTTGTGGCCTTGCTGGGATTTTGTACGGGCAAAATCCCGTAGCACCACATCGTCGCCCTCTTGAACTGGCTCGTACTGTTGGCTTGGTCGATGCGTCGCAGGATCAGCTGTGTGATGTGTTCTCTTATTGGCCTCGTTCCAATCGGTTTTGCTGCTTTGCTGCACATGCATAGAGTCCGGTGTTTCTGGGTGGTATCTCGTGGCATCAGGGGCAGAAAGGCTCCCTTGGGTGGTTTGATTCATGTCGGCGATAGATGTGTCGATACTGAAGGCTGGTCAATCTCGAAAGAGAATCCACGACAATGTTCAAGGGGCTGCTGGTTATGCAAAGGTTACTGGAGAAGACGGGAGGAATCTAAATGTAAGCTTCGAGTTCGATCTCTCGAGATGGCAATCGCTGCTATCCTGGAAGAACTCTGTGTCTGACATTGTGCCTTACAATCTGATGGACATAACGGATACTTATAATCCCAGTCGTATGCATCCTTCCTGTCGCCCTGGCCCACTTTTTGCGACATCTGATGCGATTGCGATCCGAGCGCCAAGTGAATGGGACCAGCAAGATGCGACCCATATCGCTCAGCCGGGTGCTGCTTCAGACTGTGTCGAGAATTGCTCATGTTTGTTTGATGCCGGTTGCGAAGGATTTCGCCTTGTGGAGTGATGTAGAGCCTCCGGTCCACTTTTTCCCCAGATCCGCTTAGTTCTCCCGACGGGAATATATTTCGGCCGGTCGGGATATCGAGCACCTCACTTCCTTGGAACTTGCCAGCACCATACATAGCCAAGATCTAGTCGTCCGCTTGCTCGAGTCGCCAGATCATAGGTCCGAGCCCAACGTATTGTCTGCATTCTATCGAAGTCCTGACGCTATTGTTTGCAGGTCTATCGAACTCGCAGGATGCTGGCGGCGAAAGAGTGTCGCGGAAAAATACTGGACTTTGGACAGAGTCCATATAGCAGATGGTGAGTGTGACAATGTGATTTTCAAGCCACATGTATACAAACAAGAAAGAGATCTTGGTTGACTGATTACAGCATCTCGTCCTCACCGATATCCTCGTAAGCACGCAGAAGGACATTCAAGTACGTCTTGCAGTACCCATCCAATAGCTCTCTAACGTCTTCAAAGATATGCGGTGGCTCTACTGTTCCCAGACGACTGACCCATGTCCACTTCCATGTGTCTGTGTCGTCCCTAAGCCAACACAGCCAAGTGCCACCAGCAATAGGAGCGTCCACTTGACCCATGGTCAAAATTACCGTGGCCTCGTATTCAAGAAGGTCCACACCAGTAGCCCTTTTCGTGTAATTCGAGCGTTCAGCATTAAGTCCCAGCGAAATGAGGGGCACAGCCAGTCCGCCAAATGCCTGAGGTATGTCGGAACAGGTCAAGGGAAGTCCTGGTCCTTCAATCAAGTCTGTCAAAGCACAGAGTTGCTTGAAATCGTCAGGGAGAGTCAAAGGTCCTGGTTTCGAATGCTGCGCGGCACGATTTTGAAGCCATACTTCGATCTTGGTGAACGCTTGCAGACGTTCTTCTTCAGACCTGGGTGCCTTTGTACCATCATGGATCAACGAGTCGAAGTCCTGGCTACTAGTGATCGACAAAGGCATATCACCAGCCAAGCTATGCGGCCACGGTTCGTACCAGACGTCCTCGAGTTCTTCACGATCCGTGCTGTCAGGTGAGACTTCGACTCGCTCGAATAGTTTGACAAGACAATTTCGCTTGAGTTGTAGAACACGAGATCGATGTGACTCGAAAGATGCATGTAGGTCAGCATCGACGGAAGTCATTTTGGTGAAATGATGTTGGCGTCAGTTGCGGAATAGAGGAAAGCAGCTTGGAAGGATAAGGTCATGACCTTATAGTGGCTCTCGGCGATTCTATCGGGCCCACTCGTGTGAAAGCAATGTCGCGAGGCGGGTCCGGGACCCTTCGGCGTCAATGCGGGGCGTACTTAGCTGTATAGGTTCTACATCATTAGCAAACTAGAACGAAGACTCGAGGTCAAGTAAAGGATTGTGCAAGGCAAGCTGATCATCGAAGGATTCAGACTTTTGGCTATTCTTCGGTCTCGACAAGCGCAGATCCCTACCCTGCTTTGATCTCCTGTGACTCCACCTCACCTCTTTCCTCAAGTTTTCCCTTGCCACAACAGTTTCACATACCATCATGTCGACCACATCTAGCCCCGATACCTCAAACTACACGTCTCTCAACGCCAACCAGCCACCAAATCTCCGATACCTTACAAACTTCTACTCCGAACGAGCAACCGATCAATCACGTATAGTATACTTGTTCCGCAACACCGGTATCAGCATCAAAATCATTGTGCACACGAAGATACCAGTGCCGAAATTTAAGGCTTTGTTGTGGACATGGATGCGCAATAAGCAATTGAATCGTATGGCTAGTGAAGGTGGCGAGGTGGAGATCTTGGTTGTTGAAAGGTTTGAGATGGGATATGAGGGTGCGAATGTGGAACACGAAGATAAAGAGACTGCTATTAAGGGAAGCGAAGAAGGTGTCGAGGGAACAGATCCATAAGTTACCTGCGAAAGTTTGTCATATTGATATCTGGATCTATGATCGAATGAGACGAAGATGAAATAAGACCAGTAATTGTAATCGCGAAGGTCTATAGCGTGAATCAGTCTTCCAGCGTATGCGAGAGACGATGTCGTCCATTCCTGAGACGTTCTGTCTGGTTGTGCTTGTAGTCGAATACTGTCGTGCTGGACAGCCTGGACCTTTTGCTTCGGTCCTGATCGAATGTAAGCTTATCGGATTGCTTGTCTTCTGCTTCTTGCACTGTATGATGAGCGAAACAATGTATAGGAATTGCCTGTTGCAGAACGATTATCCTCTGCCAGTCAGAGATATAGCAGTGCTCAACCGATTCGGGCATGCCGGACAGCCAAGAGATAAGACGCTTCGCAGGGTGTAGATAAGGTGTATAGATAAGGATCCTGCGCGGCGACGTAGGAGATATGGTCTTGGAGGAAGCAGCAAAACAGCTTATCTCCCAGAATGCAAAGTGCTGTCAAACAGCATCGTAAGACTTTGCAATGATCTTGCGACCAGCAACCAACGATAATATCCAAAGGTCGAAGAAATCATGGCTCTAGCGGACGATGCTCTGGTCACGGCAGATATGATACCTCAATAACATGATTCAACCTGCTGAAACATGTCAAGGCCTAGGCTTGTGTCAAGCACATGAGAACAGAAGTCAATTGCAAAGACAAAGGTCAGCAAGTTCCAGACTCCAAAGGACATTCTCGAGGAACAAGATAGCGACGCAGGCTGATGCAAGGGTCGCTCGCGGAAAATCGATACCCATAGAGGCAAAGATCAGGACTTCGAGAAAAGCTTTCTGCAAGAGAAGTTCTAGACGATCTCATCGTGGGTGGCACAAAGGTACATGGCAGGATGTAGCTGGCGGAAACGTGCTGGACTTGAGTCTTATCTCGCTCACGCGGAGATCGACAGGTGTTCTTGTTTGCCAAGGCGCGCTAGTAGCGCCGCTGAGCGCCACGTGCTGGAAAGATAGTCCTAATGCGGGGTCGGGGTCGTGACCGAGGGCTCTTTTACTTTCTGTTATCGCTGTCCAGCTTCACCACTGCATCGACTCAGCATTGGTGGCGTGCCCGTGACCCAAATTGCCTCTGGAAAGACGTTTCAATGCGCAATCCTTCCTGCTATGGCGGCGATATATATTCCGGCGTGTCCGCGCGACCTGTCTGATCTCTTGTCCCTATCCCTCTATCATCACCTACACCAATTCCAAACATGACGTCGCTCAAACACGACGAGAAGGTCGGCGAGTATGTCTTGTCTGAACCTATTGCCAGATCAGACAGTCATGAAGAAGGCGAGATCATTGAGAACACTGACCACCTCCACCGCCGTCTTGGAAACCGCCAAATCCAGCTCATGGCCATTGGCGGCACCATTGGAACTGCTCTCTTCGTCAGTATCGGTGGTGGTCTCTACAAGGGCGGCCCAGCCAGCTTGTTCTTGGCCTACACCGTGTATGCTTGTGCGTTGGGTTTCGTGAATAATTGCATCGCCGAGATGACGACCGCATACCCCGTCTCTGGTGGTTTCATCCGCCTTGCTGGACACTTTGTCGACGACGCTTTCGGGTAGGCAGTTCCAGAACCTCTCTACCTCGCAAACATATCATTGACAACCCTCTCAGATTCATGGCAGGCTACAACTTCTTTTTATACGAGGCACTTCTGATTCCTTTCGAAATCACTGCTCTGTCTACTGTGCTTGACTTCTGGAGTGATGATATCCCGCCGTGGGCTATTCCTTTGGCTTGTATCGTAAGTTGGAGGTTGGTTCGATCTCTTGCCCCGTCGCTGACATGGTTTCCAGATTCTTTACGGGTAAGCTTCCCAGTGCGACCATTTCCCAGCGCGGCAACTCCCCAAGCGATACCGCATCTCTTCCTCTGCCCAAGCGACTCAAACTTTCCACTCTTTCCCGAGCGACTCATCCTTCTTTTCCTTTCCCAAGCGACTCAAAGTCTGGTTTCTTGTCCTCTGCGCTATCAATTCAGTGCTCAAGATGCTTGTTTGCTTTCATACTGTTGACACATCCACCTCTCTGCCGCTACTGCGTGCTTGTCGAGACTCTTCCACTGCCAGCGCAGCCCTTTGTCTGTTCTTTTGCTGACTTAACCAAACAGTATCCTCAACGCTCTTGCCATCAAGGTCTTCGGTGAAGCCGAATTCTGGCTGTCTGGCGGCAAAGTCCTCTTGATCTTCATCGTCTTCTCCTTCACCTTCATCACCATGGTCGGCGGCAACCCCAAGCACGATGCATATGGATTCCGTAATTGGGAACACCATGCTTTCAAGGAGTACAGAAGCACAGGATCACTCGGCAAATTCGAGGGTTTCCTTGCCGCTCTCTGGTCTGCATCCTTCTGCGTTACTGGTCCCGAATACTTGTCCATGGTCGCCGCTGAGGCCAAGCGTCCTCGTATCTACATCAAGAACGCTTTCAAGACTGTTTACTGGCGATTCGGTCTCTTCTTCATGGGTGGCGCATTGGCTGTTGGTATCGTTCTGAGCTCCACCGACCCCACTCTGAAGGCTATCATTAGTGGCAAGCAAAGCGGTTCCGGAACTGCCGCTGCTTCCCCCTACGTTATCGCCATGGCTAATATGGGCATTACCGGCCTCCCCACCTCGTCAGCGCCCTCCTGGTGACCTCGATCTTCAGCGCCGGCAACACCTATACGTTCTGCGCAACGCGTAGTTTGTACGGTCTTGCTATCGAAGGCAGAGCACCCAAGGCTCTACGCTACTGCACCAAGAGTGGTATCCCCATTGTTTGCTTCGGTATTGTCATGGTATTCCCTTGCCTTGCTTTCTTGCAGGTCAGTAACGGTTCGAATGTCGTTCTGGGCTGGCTCATCAACCTTGTCACTGCCGGAGGTGTCATCAACTACTGGGTCATGTCCGTCACTTACATCTTCTTCTACCGTGCTTGCAAGGCACAAAACCTGGACAGAAACACTCTGCCCTACAAGGGTTGGTTCCAACCGTACTCTGTAAGTCTTGGAAAACTCTTGTCGATCGAGCGAAAGCTAATTCTTTCTATCAGGCATACATCGGTGCCGCATGGATGACCATGATCGTCTTCTGCTACGGATACACATCTTTTGCTCCCTTTTCTGTCAGCGACTTCTTTATCTATTATACGTTATTGCTGGTCGCGCCAATCACTTTCTTCGGCTGGAAACTCATCAAGCGCACTCGCATCCTTAGGCCTCTCGAGGTTGACCTTGTCTGGGAACGCCCTGTTATTGATAACTACGAGATGACATTCATCGATCCTCCACAGAGTTTCTGGTCAGAGATGCTTGGGCCATTGATGTTCTGGAAGAAATCGAAGGGTAGTGACAAGCAGATGGATCTCGGCGCATGATTCAAGCATGGAGGATTTACCATTGGAATAGAGATGCATGTATGACTTGATGTAAATATGAAAACACGTCTTGACTGAAGAGACATTACTTTAAGAGCATGTTCAGTCCTGCGTCGTGTTGTCGTTGTGATTGTCATTGTCTGACTTCGATTCCTTGTCTTCGTCAGTTGACTCATAGGAAACTTGCTCTTCAGTCGCAGGCGAAGAAGAGTAATCTACGCAGAGAGTCAACACGACATTCAATGTTGACAAGATGTTATTCACCTACCGACAAGGCGACGCTTGGTCGGACGAGGTGGTGTCAAGTCTTCATCATCTTCGCTGTCGTCTCGAGGACGGACAGCACCTGCGACTCTGGCAGGATTTTCTTGATCGCCCGCCGATGGAAGGTCTTGATTGTCCGTAGGCGAGACATTGGGCTCATCTTCGTGAGCAGGATCTTCTTCTTCTTCGTCTTCGTCTTCTTCTTCGTCGTTGCCGACATATTCCTCATTGTCGTAGTCGGCGTCCAGCATCTCATTCGGCTCAGGAGAATTACGAGTGTGAGCGAAGGTCACACCCAGAGCACCATCGGTCGACCTTCTCATTCTCCATCCGTTCCACAAATCTCCGCGCCATTCAGGCTTCCATGGCAGTTTCTTGTTGGGATCCATTCTGACTACGATTCTTACGCTTTAGAGAATACAACAATGCATATATATGAACAACCTACGAAAGCTTGGTGGAGTGAAACAGGATTGCGCAAGGAAAAGAAAAAGAACAGGACTGCGCAGCATCAGAATTTACAACTATGTCTACAGTCTTCTGTTATATGTTTTCACCGTTCGTGGCTTCACTTCGCTTTCAAGTTCTAGAAACACCTTGATGAAACCGCTACTTCCAAACGAAAGTGTGTCGCAGCTTTGAGGCCTCTGCCTTCCTCAAAAGAGCTTCACTTTCACGACTCCCAAACAAGCATCGTTCTGAACTCTCGCCGTCACTGCATCTGCGCATGTCGCTAACGCCATCTCAGCAATTGCTCTCTCGACTCTTATCGGCTTTAGTTGTATGTGCTTTTGATCTGCGTCCTCTCTCGCTTTCAAGTTTCCTATAGATGTCAACTCAAAATCAAGGCGTTCTACACATGGGCTCTATCTCTTATGTGCATGAAGCTAGAGACAGTATACCATGGCGATACCGCTATGTGGATGGCCGTACAAATCTCATCAGATAGGGATTTGGCCGAACAGTGCGTGATCGAGGATGATAGCGGCGAAGCCCTCAGTGGATATATCTGAGGAATTCGCAATATAGCTAAGACGATTGACAGAGCTAGATGGCGTGCATATCCTATGTTTGTAGAAGAGCTACGTGACGCTGGGAAAGGGACAGAAGGATGTAACTGTATAGAGTTTTATGGCACAGTGCACAGAGAAAATCCGTAGACGAAGACGATATGATAGAGATACAAATGTGGAGATATACCTAGTGCGAATTATATAGTTTCGAGTCTGCATTATTGTTCGTCCAATTCTCTTACCCAACTATCCTACCACTGGTTTGATGGCAAAGAGCTTGTTGAAATTGTTGGTAGGGTCGTATTTTCCTTTGATCCGTTGCAGTCGCCCGTAATTGACACCAAAGACGTCTTTGCTCGCTCGTCCGTCTGGTCGTAGTTGCCGTACATCAGTACAGCACTGGCGTCCATTATGTTGCCTAAGTTCTTAATTCGGTTCAAACCGCTCGATAGCCACCTGAACTTCGTCCATTAACCTGTAGATCTGCTTGTAGTTTTTCTTCATGTTTGCGTGGATTTGGGGCAATGTAAATGTCGTGATGCATGATGGGTTTGCTTGCACTTGAGTTGGTTCGTGGTCCTAGGGCAGGAGGTGTCGATGGGTTTGCTGCAGTCGAGCTTGCTGTTGGCTTTGGTAGAGGCATGAGGGTGCATGCCTTGGCCGTATTGGAGTGAAGCAAAAACGAAATTACAATCAGACGATGGAGAGCTGGATAGAGAAGGAGATGAGATACCTGAAATTGATTTGCACTGAACGGCAGCCCGGTGTATCTTGTGTCGATCTTCTTTCGAGGGCCAGACGATACTGGAAGAAGCTCTGCGGGTGATCTATGGTGGATTGCAATACAGGTTGAGGCCATGAGGAAAGCGAGAGAATAGCGACTTGACTTGATGCGGAGCAACGGGGCGAGACGCGGCTCTACGGTGCGAGGTCACCGTGGCCAGACTCGCCGCAGAACTTGCACTGAACTCTGCTTCAGTCCTTGGGCTTGGCTAGCACCAGTAATATAGCCCTCGCCAGCAATTGTCGATGCATCAGTATCTCCAGCAAGGCTAGGTCTCGACCGACGCCGTGTCCGAAGTGAACCTCGGACAAGTCCTTGGGCTTAGGGAAGTCGTAACTCGTCGCAGAAGTGGCACTTGTCTGTCCAGTTTCGGTAGGCGATATTGTCCTGTTCATCGTCAGGATGGAAAGTCAAGTCATCGTTCAAGGGAGGTATACCATTGGTGATGTACGTTATCTTCTGATTTTGGATGGAATGTCCGAACCTAGAGAGCGATCTTATAACGCTTTTTCGGAAGAGAGGATCCCGAAAATAGTGTTGCAACATGTAAGAAGATAATTGAACACGGCTTTTCGGAAATTCCGACTTTTATTAGCAGACCTGAAATCGCGACGCGACTTCGGATCATCGGAGTTTCGTGCTTTAGGCCGACTAGTATGCAAGCGAGACGACAACTCGTTAATCATATCTGCTAATTTGTTTGGACCTGCATGGTGCCGATCTTTTGTCGTGTCACATCGGAAGCAGTGGAATCATCGAATTTGTAGCAACAAGTAGCGAATATTATTCTCATTAATCATTAGAATATCTTACTTCCTGTACCACATACGCGTGGTTTTGGTATGTCTCATCTTCTTCTGCAATTGGAACACCCCATACAGAAGCGCCTCTGCCGTCGGTGGGCAACCTGGAACATAGATATCCACGGGAACGATCCGGTCCACGCCACGAACTACGCTATAGCTGTAGTGGTAGTACCCGCCTCCATTAGCACAACTACCCATGGAGATGACCCACTTTGGACCAGGCATTTGATCATACACCTGACGTAGGGCTGGGGCCATCTTGTTTGTCACTGTCCCAGCAACTATCATCACGTCTGCCTGGCGTGGTGATGCACGGAAGATAATTCCTAATCGGTCTTGATCGTACCGAGGCATCGAGGCGTGCATCATCTCAACTGCACAACAAGCAAGACCAAAACTCAGAGGCCACAGAGATCCTTGTCGTGCCCAGTTTACTATTTGGTCAAGAGTTGTACTGCAGGCCAATGTCAGTGATACGCAAGAGTTTTCCTACTGATGCATGACTCACAGTGCATGTTCTACAATGCTCACTTTGCCTTTCTGACTTGGTAGCGGTATTTCTTTGGGCAAGCTCCTGGTAATGAACGGGTTTGGAGTGGTGGATCCTCGCTGTCGAGTGCCAAAGATTGCCTTTTGCAAAGACGGTGTTGATACGGCATGTGCAAAGCGTGGAAACCATGACCGGGAGTCATACGAACTGTCACATATTGAGCTACGGACTAATGTCATTGACACTGTTGTACGTACGCATGGAGATGGTAAACAGCATCTCTGTAGGGATTGTGTAGTGTTTGTAGTATAGATATTTGTATGGCGTGGGTAAGAAAGATGAAAGAACTAGGATCGAGGCGCTTGGAAGGTATTTGTACCTGATAGATTGGTACAAATAGGCTCTTCCGGTATTCCGAGAACTTTAGCTTTGCACCGTAACGCATTACCCACTCTACTAGGGGCTCGCGTGCTCGGCAGCCTATTCAGAGGTTCCAAGACACTGACAACACCTAATAGACCTCTGTGCTTGTCTAATGCTTGAACGCTAACGTCATTACGAAGGACACCAATTCTGGCCTCATTGTCTCGGAATCACTAGAACTTCCAAGCACGATATTGGTATCAGTCCCAAGGATAAATAGGATGCTTGAATATTGGCGGATTTTTGATTCCCTATAGGATTGCAAGACGACGTTTCCCTTCACGTAAGACTACTATCCTTGTCTTCGACAGCCACGACAATCTAGTGTTCATCTCCATAAATGGCTAACAGACAAGCTAATCATAGTCAGAAGGTGACTGGAAAAGTTGAGAATTGAGAGCAAGGACCGCTTCATGGATACAGAATCTTGTTACACAAACGAATTGACCAGTCGATACAACATCATGCAGGTGACACCCCGTGCTCATGCCATTCAGATGTTCAAGCCAGAACAAATTGTTTCACCTATCCTACGGGTCTAAGACGAAGCGGAGTGGCGCTGGCGGACCTCTTCCCAAAGATCATATCCTGAAGGGGACTTTTGCTCAGTGTCGTCGAGAATTCCAAAGCCTTTGTAGACTGGGTCGTCCGGGAAGCGCTTGGATAGAGCAGGATTATCCTTGGGAGTGGATGGTACGACGTGCTCGCGGAACCCCTCCAGAGCCACACGGCGGTGCAGGATCTTCCAGACATCGTCCCGCTTTTCGAAAATGTCGAGGTAGCGTCCCTCGATTTGCTGGTCCACAGTACGCTTGTCGTCAAGAGGGATACGGTGAACTACGTACCACTGACTCTCGACAAAAGCACGATCGCCTTGGAAATCAATGATAGGATTGGTGATAGAGTGTTGGGAGTTGGGAAGCTCGCGAAGATGCGGGATCACAAAGTCGGCGAGGTCGTGAGCGTTGCCGTTGAAGAACCAGTGGTAGTCGGTAGCGTCTGAGTGATAGCAGGATTTGAATAGGTCCATGTCGCCACGATCGGCACCACGAGCGTACTTGTACAGGACAGTATGGATGGCCTCACGAGCTTCCATCTTGGCAATCCTTTGCTCAAGGTTCTGGATGACTTGTTCAGCAGAAGTAGCCATGATTGAGGTATGACTTGTAGTCCAGGCGAGAATGCGAAAGTGAAGTGTGAGATGAGTTGAGCTTCATCTTTGGGGAGAGGTGATGGTTGAGTTATGTGTGTTTCTACAAGTCCTGCTTGCGCTAGAAAGATGTTGAAATCCAAGATTCCGAAATCGCGAAATCGCGAAATTTCGAGGCCCCATGCACGCGCTGGGATGGTGGTTCAACAGGCGTGCCATGTTCGGTCAAGTCCGACGCCTCGACCCGTTCTCAATGTCCGAAATCCCGCTGCGGCTTGGCGCTTGTACCTCGCATCCCTCTGCGCCACCAGTTTTGCAGACAACATCAACCTCGCTTCGTGAACTATTACCTCCGACATCTTGGGCCAGAGACCGCATCCACCAAGTCTTACTCACAAGCTATGAGCCTACCCGCTGCCGATTCGGACCGCACCCCTGGACTACGACGGAAAAACGTGGCAAATATGGTCCGCGATCTTGTGTGCATTGCCGACGCTCCAAAGGCAAATGCGCAGGTGGATTTCCATGCAATCGATGTGTCTCACGAGGACTCCAGTGTGAACTTTCGAGAACTGTCGATGATGTGCGCCTATGGCCTCCAACGGCGTCATCATCACTCACCGAATCAGGCAACACATCAAGCAAGGCTGTTCCTGCAGGCATACTTCGACGTATGGCAGAGCTGAGTGGTGATATGGCCACATTAGTTCGTGATGCAGAAGCAGCCTTCACGGCTGTGCCTAAGTCTCCATCGGACCAACAGTCAGATGGTGATCAGACAAACGAAGTCTCGGGCGTACAAATGCCTGGAAACTCATCTCAAAACGACGCAGACCCGAACCCCATCTATTCTGCCGAGCAAAATACAACTATGGAATGTTGGAATTGGTTACGAGGGTCTCTACCCTCGTTCGGCGTTGATGCCAACCAATCGCAGTGGCAGAGTTTTCTGTTGGCATACTTCAGCGAGATGCACGTACTGTTTCCTATGCTACATCCACCCAACATCTGGAGGACATTTGAATGCATTTGGTCTGGGAAATTCTCGGGCCTGTCTCTGGATTTCGAGGTTAGTGGAGAGAATAAGAAGACTCTGGGTATCGTATTTCTGTGTATGGCCCTTGGCCGATGTTCCTTGTCACCTCGCGTCAAACACACCGACGATCGCCACTCATCAGGGTGGAGTCTGTACAGTATCGGAGCCTACTTGCTTCACGATTGCTTGGATTTGTCGCGAGTGCCTCAAAAGGCGTGTTTGTCTGAAGTCCATGCTCTACTACTAATCGTAAGTCCTCTTCAAAGCTATCGTCAGTCATTGATCGCGTCGCAGAGTGTTTGACTCTCAACANNGACCGTATACTTCATGAGAATAAACGTCAACGAAAGAGCTCATTCTATACTGGGACAAGCCAACACCCGCGCACACGTATTGGGCATCCACAAGCAGAAGCAACTGGAGAACATGGCCTTTTTTGACAAAGAGTTGAGTATCCGTACACGGTCATGTCTATACGTGATAGACCGTACGTTATCTCTTGAGACTGGGCTCCCCTACATTGTGCAAGGAAAGATCAAGAATCTAGATGGCCCTTCTTGTCTTTCCGATGATTTTCTCGACTCATTCCGCGAAAGTGACAAATCAACCCCACAGTTGGAAACAGAGATCCAGCTTGAAATCGGGAGAGCTCACCCTACAATGATGCCATATCTGATGCAAAGCACAACTTTGGCCAGGCTGGTGGGGGACATTTGGGATCACTACGACGGAGCCTTGTTCGACCGAGCAAACCATTGCGTGGACGACATGGATGAGCTATTGGAAACGCGACTACAAGAAACCAGAGTCTTGCTACCGTCATTTCTCCATCATCCAGCAGAGTTTTCGTACGTCCTTCATTGTAAAGATATGGAATGGTGGCAGATCAAGCAACAAGCACTAATTCACATGGTAAGCCAACAAGCAATCAGTTAGAGTGGCGGTGACAGTGGCTGACCATCGTATGATGCGCAGAGCCTCGACGTTATCGGTTGTTTGGCTTATAATCCGGGTAATGAACTAGACAAAAGGTCACCAATGAAAGTCGCCCCATTGCGGTCTCGGATACTTTGTGTGCTCAGCGCGCTCTAAGAGTGATCAGGACCTTTGATCAGATTCCATCGCAATACCCCAAGTTTGTCATTCCATTTTTATGGTACCTTAGCAGCTCAATGATCGTATTGTTAAGCATGGCATTCAGATACCCACAGCTGTGTGCAGAGTATTCTTCTGGAATCAGATCTGCTTTATACAGTCTACGCCAATGTTGCTCTAGCACGTGGCTCAGCGGCAAGACTATCAAAATGCTCTCTCGACTGTTTGCGATCGCAAAGGAACTTGGTCTCGACTCGACCGACTCTCTGCTTATGCCTTTCGATAGGAGAACACCAGATCTCACAGCTGTGTCCTCGGCTCTATCTTGTCCTACATCGGGCATTCTTTGTGAAGCGCTTTTCTGCAACGCGTTCACATTCGGGAGACCCGGGATTCAAAGATCACGCGAAAAGGACGCGCCGGACGTGGGGCCTACAATGAGGACTGGTCATACGAACTACCCCCAGACACCGGAAATCTGCCTACAGAAGCGATAATGGACTATGAAACGCGACAAGAACCACTTGTTGACCATAACAGATATCCTCTCGAGGACACTAGTCTAGTTGCAGGCCCCGACTCAACCAACTATCCTTATTTACCGTTTTTGTGGTCGTCCGCATTTGCTTCCTACGAGCCTCTGGAGTGGTCTCCAGAAGATTTTGTAACATAGCGTTGGTTTCGGATTTGTAGACAACGGTTGGTGTTCCAGACTGGATGGATGCAAATGCCTTTCAATCAGGCGGTGTTTGGATGAGGGTAGTAAGCAATTTGATGAAGCAGCAAACCTGAGATTCGACGGTCGATGTTGAGCCCGTCTTTGCTCGGCCGGAAGCCGCACCAATCAATCCAATCTGGAATCCTTCGTAGCCGCTTTAACATGAACTCACGTCTTCGTGCGGCATGTTAGTGCTTGCTCTGAGCACAGACCTCTCTTTCGGCAATTAGGTGTTTCGGATTCTATCCATTCGTGACTCCGAGGCAGTCACACATAGTTGGGTTTTCAGCTAAGGACGGGAAGCACAAATACGAGGAGTTCATAGATGGATCATGCGTCAGGCTCGCCCGCAAGATCGGTCACTATCAAGCTCCACCACAGGAGTTTCGCTTCACCCCTTCTTTCGCCGTCTGGTCTTGAGTCTTCAGGTCATCTGATACGATTGGGCGACCAGCTCAACGTTCACATCCAAAGCCAGTAATGTCCCAAGGAGTGATGATGCTCTGCTGAATTGTACAAACCAGATGCTCGGGTCAGCGATGCCCAAATGGAAATCCCGAATTTCCGTGTGTGTGGACTCACACCTGAAAAGTCAAAGTACACCTAAACTTGAAACATCCCACATGGAGTAGCCTATGGAGATCTTGTATCTCGCATAAGGCGTACCATGGTCTTCCAATGCTTAGAGTGGCTGAGCTGTATATAAGGCAAACCAGCACCCGGCACACTTCGCCCCGTCAACCGTCCTCAACCCAGTTCCACGAACATGCCGCAACGCGATATCGAGTTCCAAACCTCTGACTATGTAACCCTTCGCGGCTGGCTTTTCACTCCAGAAAATCACAGTGGTAGCAAGTTGCCATGCCTGATCATGACAGTTGGCTTCTCTGGTGTCAAAGAAATGGGTCTGCCATTATTTGCCGAATACTTCACNCAAAATCTCCCAATCGTATGCCTGGCATACGATCATCGCAACTTCGGATCAAGCGATGTGCGAGAGGGACAACCAAGACAAGAAGTTGATCCGAGATTGCAGCAGAGCGACTACTCGGATGCTATCACATTCGCGCAAGGCCTCTCAGAAGTAAACCCTAACCAGATTGCGGTGAGTAAGCAAATCCTGACTAGGACATTAATGTTTATGCTAAGCCATCTCTTACCCAATAGNATTTGGGGTACCAGCTACTCCGGGGGTCATGTCATTTACGTTGGCGCAGTCGATCGTCGGGTCAAAGCAGTCTTGAGCCAAGTGTGAGCCGCATCTCATTGGCCGACTGTCACGACTTTGGTGCTAATGTATCGTAGGCCATTCATGAATGGTTGGGAAACATTCGGCCGATCCATCAGATCTGATCTCGCATCCGAAATCTTGCAACTCTGCTACGATGGTAAGTCAATATCGTGGCTATCATGAGCATACCGACTTGCACTTACAAGCAACNNAGATCGTCAAGCTAGAGCCAGAGGAGGAAAGCCAGGCATCCTTCCCGTCGTGAGTGAGGATTCATTGACCCCAGCTGCACTCCCAGATCGCGACAGCTACGAGTTTATGAAGATGTGGTCTCCCAAGTGTTCTTGGAAGAACGAGGTCACTATCAGGAGGTAAGCTTGTCTCACGCGCTTGGTGCCTACGTTCGATGACTAGATACCATGCAGCATAGAACTTTTACGCGGCAATGACCCGTCGCATATGATCCACCGCATATCGCCCACGCCTCTACTGTTGACTACCGCCAAGAACGACCAAATCACCTGTACGGACATTACGCTTGCAAGTTATGAGCGCGCCCTCGAACCAAAACAGCTCCACATTCTCCCGGGTGGTCATTTTGATGGATATGATGGGCCAAACTTTGAGATGAATGTGAGCAGACAAACTGACTTTCTAAGAAAAACAATATGCGCAGATGAAGGGTTGGGAACCAGAGTTTTTCAGGGTTCAGGTCACGGGTATAGTAAATGACATTATTCCATAGGTAAAGGTACCTTTAGGATGGGGGAATGTTTACCTGCCACTCCAGAAACATTGGGCATCGGCGGTTTATTTGTTTTTGCAATCGGTTCGATCAAACTATGTTTAGTGAAGTCTGCCGGTCCTTCAGCTTTCTTTGGGTCTATGCGTGTTCTCAAACGTGATTCTGCATCCTTACAGCATAGTGAGATACTCGTGTACGCATCAAGCCAGGAAAGCTCTGAGAATTTGCAGCATGATCAACTACCACTCGTAAGTCCCAGTGTTATGTAGGAACATCCCTGCTTCATCGTCTCTCTTGCCCTCCAGGACATCAATCAGGGGTGCGACCGATTCTGCAGCAGCCCTAGCGCCGTTCCCCTTGGTGTTCATGGTACTGAGGTTGGACTGCGTGAAGCCAGGATCGTACGCGAACACTTTGATACCCAGAGGCTTGTACTCGACAAATTGGCATGCAGTTACCATGTTGAGTGCAGCTTTGCTAGCTCGATACTGCACGTGCTGCTCTTTGGCATTGTAACGAGGATTTTGCGGATCCAAGCGGCGAGAGATTGAGCCTACACCACTGGATATATTGATGACTCTAGGCGACATGGTAGATTTCTGGAGTAGAGGTAAGAGAGCTGCGGTCAAGATTGCAGGGCCCGTGGCGTTTGTGTCGAAAGCTTGTCGCATTTGTTCGCGAAGAGGAGGGTTCATGGCCGAGACGGCGGCATTGTTGACAAGGATGTCGAGTCTTCCGTGATTCTTGCTAATTGTCTGTGCTGCAGCTTGAATAGTTGCGTCGTCCGTCACGTCGAGTTGAAGGTACTCTGATGATCCCGAAAGGTCGCGTGAGTGCAAGCTTTGCATCGCAGTTTGTCCTTTCTCATGTGAGCGCGACGTGACAATCACGTGGTATGAGCTTCTGGTTAGAAGCTGAGCCGCAAGCTCGAAACCGATGCCACTGTTCGCTGAAAGGTCGATTAGTATCAGTTCTGCAAGATAGCCAAGGTGACTTACCGCCAGTGATGAGTACGATAGTTTTACCTGTAGCCGCCATTTTCGCGAGACTAAAGGATAGATGTCCTGGGTGCTTGAATACAATCAGGGCGATAGCTGATTGAATATGTATTGCTTGGTCGGACTTGAAGTTGTGCCGTCGGAATGTCGGAGATAGGATACGATGGAGATAACAGTCCGTAAGAATAATACTGTCCACTGGTTTCTAAGCAGATCTCAAGAGCCCTATCCGAAACCATCTTGTCTATGATCCAAAACGTAACACACGAAGCCATAGAAAGTCAAGACGGCCTCAGAAGGTTCCACATGATTGCCAAGGATCCAAGAAGCTCGCCTTTGCTTGGCCTATGACTTACGGACAGAGAGAATTCTTCTGCTTGCTTCTCATGACTTACAAGTAGCAAGGCTAGCCAAAACTCGTCGGTCTTTCGGCATAATCGTCAAGCGTGACTACTTCCACTGAACATGAGAAGACTCTCCCGCTTCAAACCCCCGAACCAGCACACCCTTTGATCGGACCAAAGAGAGGAGTCAAATATCAGGTTTATCCTCTAAGGCAGCTCACTCAAGACGAGTCAGATACTTTGCTTGAAACTCTTCACCAAGATGAATTCGGACCTCATGTTTGCCGCGTTGTGAATGATTTCCAAGGTCGAACATTGCGAGAAGCCTTCGACCACCACATTCGTGTCAGAGACGAAGACAAGACAATACACCCGTACTGTTTCGTTGCTCTTGGAGAGGCATCTTCCAGAAGTGTCCTGGTGGTGTATCTCAAAGCACCGGGAGCCAACAGTGAATTTGTTGTTGGTGTGAGCCGGTGTGGTATCGACGAAGCCGATCTCATGGGCGCCAACTTGGACGTGGGCGACATCAGCTGGATTGAGTACAAAGAAGCAGAAGAGGAGAGGTTTGGAAGCGAGAGTCCGTACACCAACACACGATACTATGCCCGGGATCCTCGCGAGCCAAAGGATGTTGATTCTCATATGACCGTGTATGCGTGTTTCAGCATTGTATCCAGACGTAAGTAACCCAGATCCAGCATTGAGTCTCGTTTACTTTTATGGCTGAGACCACTAGCGCTGCAGTTCGTATCGATACTGCAGCCAGGCTGGGCAAGACTTCCGCAAGATCAGCGTCGTTTCAACCGTCCAGCAGATGTCGAGCGATTTAACGATCCATGGTCCGAGATCAGGAGTCTTTTTCCACGGATCTGTCAAGTCAACAAGACAGTGCAGAGACAGATCTTGCTCGTGGCAGAGAAGGAGGACATCGATGCGGACGAAGGCATGTCGATCCATCGTGTCTTATGGGATGCCGAGAAGGAATTGAGCAATGTACCGAACAACAGTGATCAGACCAAACAGCGAGCAGTCAGAGCGATCATGCCTGAGCTCGAGTTTCTGGAGTGGACTCGAGCGTCAGCAGCGCTGAAGCGCCTGGATGAGCTCGTGACAGGTATGGCCGGAAATTCGGTCTGAGATAGCAAACAGTCGATGTCGACTCGAAGTCAAAATTGCCAACTTCTCTGCATTCTCATGTTGAAGCACGAGGTCATCACAAGCTGACAAGATAAGTGATTGTGCTTGAATATGAGCCTGACCATGGACATAGCCATCGACATGGTATTCTGTTAAGAACCACAAGCTATGTACAAGCATTGTGCATTTCTTCAGCTCCAGTGTGACAGTCTGGTAATGCAAATGATTCTGGTGATAAAGGTTGTCGATGATGACACGAGTGACGAGCCGAACGAAGATAGTTGATGCGACACAGTCAAGCTACGCATCAAGGTGGCAACCTTGAGACAACGAGACCTTGATAGCAATGTCTCTTTTGTGGCCGGTTTTCTCGGGCGCATGGGATCAAATCAAGTTGAAACATGGTTGTTGTTGTCAAATCTGACTGTCTCGCAAGTCATAGTCGTTTAACGGTATACGACGCGCATCGGACCTGCAAGATAACTGCACAGAGGGTTGAAGATTTTGTGACTGGCTTTTTTTGAGAAGAGATGCCCAGAGGAGATATTATTGGTATTGAGGGCTGTGAGGTTGTTGATCGAAAGGAGGAAAAATCCGAGCTCTGACGAAAGCGGGTGCATTTCAGCTTCGCCGGTCGCGTGCTCGCATCGCCATCTTCTTCTTCCTCAAACATGAAGACTTTGTGCGAGCACTTCGACCTGACTGAGACCGTAACAAAACACAAAAGCCGCTGAACACGCGCATCACGCCTTACCTCGAAGTCAACATGCGCCGTCATGCTCAATGCCGTCTGAAGCTTTTCCTTCGCGACGACCTTCGCGTAGCTGCGCTTTCAACAACGCCGTCAACTACTACCTCATCATGATGACTGTCAATCGAGCATATTACGGCTCCCCTAATCATTACGCTCGTCCCGGTTCATCTCGTCCGAAACCAAGGACCTGAAACGGCGCTAACATTTTCAGCTTTGGGCATACGTAAGAGGTGGAAAACTACACGGATCTGACGCTCTGGTCTGTAGGAAACAAAACTTTTAAGTCGTCTATGTACATGCTACGATATCGACGCTGTGCGAGAATTGCTCCACGAGGCCGGATCAAGCTCTCTTCACATCCTCGACCATCGCTTGCGGTACTCCTTCGTCAGCAAGAGCTTTGAGGTCATCCTCACCCATCTCCCCGTGCCAGCCCTTGGATAAAAGATATGCTCGGAATCTCTCGTCTTCTTGAGCGAGATCATCTCCTTTGAGGTCGGGCACAAAGAAGTACGTCACCAGGATACCCGCAACTCCGCAGATGGCAGCGATGATGAACGTCCATCTCTTGCCAAGGTGAATCTGAATCGGAGTAAAGGCCTGGGTGCCGATGGCCGCACCAGTCTTGCCCAAGGCAGCCGAGATACCGTAGCAGGTGCCACGCACTGCTGTAGCATAACTCTCGCTCGACAGCAAGCCGAGCATGTCTCCAGGTCCCATATTGCCCAAGCTCTGCATCAGACCGTAGAAGATGACAAACAGAGGCAGGATCTTGGTGATCTGCTCGTAAGCACAGCCAATGATCAGACCAAAGACAAGGTAACCACTAAATCCGAGCATCATCGTGTTCTTACGTCCAAGGCGATTGCAGAGGTACGCACCGACTGCTACACCAGGCAGCGCAATCGCACCAAGCAACAGTTGCCACTCCGCCGTCGAGCGGACGTTGTTTGGTCCTTTCTTCACGACACCACTCAGGATCGTCGCAGAGAAGACTCCATTGGGGAACGTGATAAAATCGTACACGAACCACGCGCCACAGGTACCGAGAAGTCGTTTCCAGTAGTACCGCAGCACCAGCGTGTATGGCACACGCTTCTTGATTGCACCGCGGCGGTAAAGCTTCGAGTTGAGCATCTTCATACGAAAGTAGAAGACGGACAATGGGAAGAGGCAGCCAATACCCATGCACACACGCCAAACAGTCCCCAAGTGATTCTGACCAGCTGCAGAAAGGACAATGAGGAAGATCGAGACGGCGATAGGACCACCAGCAGACAAAGGCAAGTTAGTGACCAGGATGAACAATGGACCTCGCTGCTTCAGGTTCTGTTCGTTCGCAGCTTCACTTGCAGAAGTTGAACTTGCAGGATACTCTCCTCCAGTTCCGAATCCGACAATACCTCGTGCCACGATCAGCATCCAGAACATTCCGTGGATGGTCGTTCCCGATGCAGCTGTCGCCAAGATACCTCCGATGATAATCATCAGAGTGGTGACAATAATTGCGAACTTGCGACCAAGGTAGTCGCAGGTGAGTCCGACAATGACTTGGCCGATGACTTCGCCAACGAGCAGGGCGTTTGACACAGCAGTGCTGTAGTACGACGTGTATTGCTTTGGGTATTCCTTGCGCAGCGCAACATTGGTCATTGTCATGAGATTGTTCTGGTATCCATCGCTGATGAGGGCGGCACCACTTGCGAAGATGGTGAAGATGTCGCTGAGTTTTTGTCGAGCAGTCCTGGTATCGACCGTGCTTCCAGTGTCGGAGCCGACCTCAGTCGTCGTATGAGGCTGTGGGTGTTTTGAGTTGCTGTCTTGGAGGACAACCTCGGACGCTCCTGCTTCTGCCATAGCGCTTGGTAGGCCTGAGCTGCTGAGAATCTCCAACTTGATCCCTGATGGCTGCGAAAACCTGCATTTATATACTAAAGATTTCGAGCATTTGCTTGAACCTTCAACCCTGGCGACTCTCATGCACGTGGTCGATCAGCGAAGAAAACATTTCGTGCCGTTATCCGGGCTCGGGCAAGGAGATCCTCTGAAGCCAAACAGAACCGCGACGATCAAGCACGTGTCCAGCATTTTGAGAGTAGGATGCTCTTACTTTTGCACTGGGCTCTCCTGTTTCTCAACAACTGGTGGCGAACAAAGTCTACGTCGCTTCTAAAATGATACTTCGTGGTCGCATATCGCTGTAATCTTCACGTGCGGTATGTTCGTGGATATGAGTGGTCATGAGCCTGGAAGCACGCGTGAGGTGTGGTGGGATACGACGCGTAGGAAAATCTCCATCTTTCAATTTCTCCATGTGCGAAAGACAGTCACAGTGTTGCTGTAGAAATGCACAATGGAGACTATAGTTGTCGCGAACAAATTGTGCATTTCGACAACTACGATTGTGACTGTCATTAGCACATGGAGAAGCAGCAAACGGCAATAACGTCAGAGTGCCTGGACTTTGGTATGTTCGCGCTTTTCTATCTCAGTAGAGCGTTGTGGTGGCCGCCCGAGATGACCCGAATTGTGGCTAATCGTAACACCCTGGCCCGCTGAGCAGACTATACGCGCTCTGGGTATGACTTGTCACTTTTCCATGAGCTATCCAGTTCAAACACAGTACGGCCACGGAGTCAGGATGGGGAAGGAGCTGTCAGACGTAAGGAAATTCACATCGTGGAATTGGCAAGTGTCCAACGTCGTGTGCCGGCTTTTTTGGAAACCAGGGCAATGTTGTGCTGAGGAATTTCGTGACCATCAAGGTTGACTGCCTTGTGAGAGAACAGTGGAACACCATTTGTCGCGTGAGCCAGGACGAGCAGGCTCGCGACAGTATGATGCCATCTCCATTGAAAACTTTGGCCACAAGTACCTATATTGCAGCTCTCGCAGTCCATAACCATACCAGCGGAGATAAGCCATACGAAGGCCAAAAAACAAAGCGGACAGCCACCTGCAGTCTCTATGTCAATGGCTCATCCACATCGTCAGAATGGTTCTTTCGACTCGTCCAGCCAGGTATCGGATACACTTGTACATGAGATTAACACTGAAGCGCAACCTCTCGGCAACTCGCTGCAATTCATGCGCTGCGGGGTTGACTGAAGCGCGCAACGCCTCCAGCGAAATCTACACCATTCGACATCTGATTTGCTGTCGCGCCGAACAGCATTCGGCTCCGAAATTTCAGTCCGCCACAAGTTACAACATACCATTTTCTCATGGGCACAACAAAATATTTCCTCGGCATTGACCCGGCTCGCGGCACAATGCACCCACGTGCAACGCTAGGGCGGGGTTCCCTCAACACAAGGTTCATCACGAACAGGGAAGAAAGCTTACGAAAAGCTTAGTACGCTGCAGGTTGAGCTTTTGGCCTTCGACGAATCGTAACGACTGAATGGATCCCGTGTACACTCTTCGAACTTCTGGCCAGAGAATCCTTCCTGCAGCTTTGGAAAAGACAACCACACTTTCTTACGCGTCCGCAGACACGGGTCGTGTGGCGTGTGATCGATAAGGCATATATAGATAGTGGACTTTCGACCCTTGTTGCCCAGCTTTCTCACTCCAGATCTGTTGCATTAGTCGCTTGGCTTCCAGTTGACTACCAAACACTGCCATGGCGATCAAGGATATTCTCCGTCCGGGTACTTTGCAACCTCAATTCGAAAAGTCCGATGCAGTTGCGCCCATTGACGAAACGCCCGTCGAGGTTTCCACAAAGACTTGGTGGCAGCGACGCGCTCCCGTCATTGCTTGTGGTTCCGGACTCTTCTCCGATGGTTACCTCAATGGCGTGAGTCAAATGCAGTTCTACCAGAAGCACCTGTCTGACATATTTCCANNGGTCATCGGATCAGTGAACACCATTCTCAAGAAACTCTACAAACATGAATACATGCACAGCAATGCTCAGAGCAACATCACTTCACTCGTCTTCGTCGGTGAAGTCGTCGGTATTATCATTTTCGGCTACACCTCCGACCGCTTCTCTCGCAAATGGTCTATCTTCGCATCAACCGTCATCTTGGTACGCATTCCAACTTCTCGAGCTACAGAGGTCGCCTGCTGACTTTCATCANNGTTCGTCTTCGCTGCTCTTGCCGCTGGCTCATACGGTGCTCACGGAAGCATCAACGGCATGCTTTCTGCACTGGCTGCTTATCGCTTCCTTCTTGGTATTGGTATTGGTGGTGAATACCCTGCTGGATCAGTCGGTTGCTCCGAAAGCACTGGCGAGCTCGAGTCTGGTACTCGTAATCGATGGTTCATCTGGTTCACCAACTTGGCAATTGACGCAGGTTTCGTGATTGCTGCATTTGTTCCCATGATTGTGGTGAGTAATCTCGAACCGCTTCAGCATTTCATCTCAACTGATCACTCAAATAGNGTATTGGCTACTGGTGAGGACCACCTTCGCGCTGCCTGGCGTATCATGCTTGGTATTGGTGTGATTCCTCCCCTCTCCTTGTTCTACATGCGCTACAAGTTGCAAGAACCTGAAGCATACAAACGAAACACCATGGCCAAGTGCAAGACTCCTTGGAAGCTCATCATGAAGAAGTATTGGTTCCGCCTGCTTGTCGTCTCGACCATCTGGTTCATCTACGATTACTCGTCATACGCTTTTGGAACCTACTCTGCCCCAAGTGTCGACAACGTACTAGGCCCTGATGCACCAATGTGGAAGACTTTTGGCTGGAACACTGTCATCAACCTTTTCTACATTCCTGGCGCCTTCATTGGATCCTATGTTTCCGACTGGATCGGTCCCAGAAAGGCTCTTGCTTACGGTGTCACTGCACAGGCTGTGGTCGGTTTCATCATGGCTGGTTGCTACGAGAAGCTGGCTATCCCAAAGAACATTGGTGGATTCGTTGTGGTCTACGGTATCTTCTTGTCACTTGGCGAACGTAAGTTTATCATTACATTCAATTGCATCACGAGCGATATGCTAACAATGTCGTAGTTNGGTCCTGGCGACAACATCGGTCTTATCGCATCCAAGACTTCTGCCACTGCCGTTCGCGGTCGCTACTATGCCGTCGCTGCAGCCTTTGGCAAGATCGGTGCTTTCATCGGCAACTATCTCTTCCCCATCCTTGTAGCTGACGCAGGAAGCAACACCATCAAGGGCAACCAATACCCCTTCTGGGTTGCTTCTTCTCTCTGCATCCTGAGCGCTTTCCTCGCATTCTTTTGTTTGCCTGAGATCGAACAGGACACTATTGACCATGAAGATGCTGCCTTCAAAGCATATCTCCTTGAGCATGGCTGGGATATCTCTCGTATGGGTCTTGCTGGTGCTGGTGGTCCCATGGAATCTGACGCCGAGAGTTCGCGATACAACGCCGGGAAGATGGATCACTAAGGTCTCTTGCCTGGAAGACAAGTGTATATGAAGATCATGACAGCTTGGTGGTTTTCTGTTATTCCATCTAGGACACAGTTGTAGTAATAAAAAGTTCTTGTTTGTCTTTTCCCAGTGTCTTCTATGTGTCAATTTATTCATTCTTTATCTCCATCTATATTTATGGAACCTCGATAACCTAGCTCAGGCCAAAGTGTGGTTCTCTTGGTTGCAAGGTTGCGGGATTGCTTTACACAACATGCCTACGCCTACAAATCCTGATAGCTGTGTTGCTCAACCCACTGGCATCTCTTACACGTCTACCTCGGACACCGACACGTCAAGCTCTGTTGTTAGCACTTCGATCGTCACTTCTTCGATCGTCACTTCCTTCGTTCTTCCCTGCGAGTCTAGCTTTCCTTAATAGGATAAGGTTATAACGCCGATGGTCTATAAGCTCCGGGGAGAGCTATCCGCTCGGGGTTTTAACCCTACAACCCTGCCGGCTCCGGACAGTTCGGGTTTGAGTTTCTAACGGTTGCATACGAGAACAGATTTGCGTCATCGCGTAACCCCGCCAGCTTGCCGTTATGTCAGTTGAGCTCGAGTATATATAGCGATGACTCTAGCGACCTGTAACACTTTATTTCTTACTCGGTCGCAGAATCATCGGACTCACTCCTTGCCTCGCATAAAGACAACACAATAATTCGCACGCATAGAATCATGGCGCCAAATCCATTCGCGGTCATCGCCGGTGTTGGCCCTGGAACTGGAGCTGCGTTGGCCCGAAGATTTGCTTTGAGCTATCCAGTCGTCCTCCTTGCTCGCAAGGAAGAGAGCTTCAAATCTGTAGTGGCCGACATCAAAGCCAACGGTGGCTCCGCCGTGGGTATCGAAACTGATGTCTCCATTGAAAGCAGCCTGAGAGCAGCGTTCGAACAAGTGAAAACTATTTTCGGTAGCGANCAGTGCTTGCGCGGTAAGTGCTGGCATCGCCCTGTCACCTAGGTATACCACATCCTGTACTCACTTCCCGACCCATCGCAGGCCGCCGTATTCAACGCCAGTGGGTCGCTCGTCAAAAAACCTTTCCTAGAGCTTTCAGAGGAAGATTTCACAAAGCCCTACGCGATCAGTGGGTGAGTAATGCGAAGAGGTACAAGTTCATGTCGCGCTTTCAGACTGACAATCAAAAGCAAAGGAGCGTTCCATTTTGCGCAGGCAGTCCTGCCCTACATGCTCAGATCTGCGTCAGCATCGCCGAGATATCCTCCTACACTCATCTTCACCGGGGCCACAGGATCACTCAAAGGGTCCGCTGGCTTCTCAACCTTCGCATCGGCAAAATTTGCACAACGAGCGCTAGCCCAGTGTCTTGCCAGGGAGTTTGCACCCCAAGGCGTTCATGTCGGCCACGTCATTGTGGACGGCATCATTGATCTACCCGGGAGCTCTGAGCTACTCAAAGATGCCGGGCCAAATGCCAAACTAAACATCGATGATGTATGTTGGTCGTGTCTTGATTTGATTGGTTTACGTTGCTAATGACAGATGGTCACANNGATTGCCGAGACCTACTGGAACCTACACACCCAATCCCTGTCGGCTCTCACACATGAAGTCGAGATCCGGCCTCATGTAGAGAAGTGGTAGGCGTCCATAAAGGACGATGAAGTATGCGTTTTTTCCGAGTCGGTCGTTATGAACAAGCAGAAATTTTCGCAAATTCAAATTGCACCCTAATCATGATGAAAACCGTTGCATATATTAAGCTCTTTCGTCGCTCCGATTCTGAATACTCATGCAGACGATCTTCCATCCGTGCATCGCCGAAGACTGGTGGCTTTTTTTGCAGTTGATCTTGAGCTCTTTCCCTACATTGGACATGTTATTGCAATGTTGCCGCCGAAGATCCAAATGCTGAGCTCTAGTAGGTCGAACATCACATACATCATTATCAGCGGATGCATATCGGCTCCCGGAGGTTCTGGCTAACATGATGCTCTGTTGACAAGGATTACAAATCTTTCCTCCACAAGGTGAGTTGCACGCAGTGAATTCTTACGTTGGGGACAAGGAACACACAAGGCCCATGTCATCGCGTTCAAGGAGAGCAATTTGGATACCTTACACGTCTACTGCTTCATGACGTTCTTGAGCTAGCCGGTCGCATCAATTCAAGCGAGCTTGTCCATTAATTGAACTCCAAGTCAACAAACTCCTCCCAAGTGGTCAACTTCGCGTCTTTGACCAGCCACTTGTCGCTTCTGGCCTGTTCCTGCTCAGTACCTTTGCCGTAGTAGCTCGATTCGCCAATCCACTGCATCATGTCGCTCATGTCTGCGCGCACTTCCTCCGGCAAGTATCCCTCATAAACCTTCACAGGCAGAGAGTTGAACTTCGCATCCTTCCCAGTACGATTTTTCAAGGATTCCATGACCTGTGCCGGTGTCGTCCAGGTACTGACCGCGCGCACCTGTACCCCATTCGCAGCGACACCTCCCTCGAATAAGCCAACCACATATTTTCCGCTGTCGCGACTCGGGGAAAGCAGTGGCCATGGAATGCTAGGGTCGGGAAATGGTAGTGACAGCGTTAGAACACCATCTACCTCTTGAGTGATCTGCTTGACCACATCCATGAACATGGCTGGCATGAAGTAAGAGACCACCATATCCCCCTTCACGCTCTCTGCATACTCTTCCACAGTAGCTTTGCTATCGAAGTGAGCAACGCCGGTGTATTTTCCATTGCTGAGCTTGGTCACATAGGGGAGACTGGACCAGACGAGATGTTTGACGCCGGTGTTTTTGCAAGCGTCAACGATGGTTTTTCCTTGGAGAATCTCCTTCTCCTTGTCAAGGAGGGACCAATAGTCTGTCATCGCAAACACGCCGTGGGCGCCCTTGGTTGCAGCCTCAATGGAGAATCTATCGTTTAGATCTGCCTTGATCATCTCCACGCCTTTTTCAGCGAGAGCCTGGGACTTGCGACTCTTCGGATCGCGAGTAATGCCACGCAAGTCATATTTTGCGGCGAGATCTGGCTTCGAGAGGACGGTGTCGATAACGTTTCCTCCCTGGTTGCCCGTCGCGCCAAAGACGGTGAGGATGAGTTTGGAAGACATGGTCTCAGAAGATGGTTGCGAACGGGTAGCTTCCGGGTGGCGCGTGACGGAACAAGTCTGGATGTCGGTCGAGCAGGCGTGATTGAGATGAAGTTCTTGGTTTAGTGCGGACGAGTTGAGATCGTAATATATCGTGTAGCGGGTCTGCCTTGGCCATGGCGGAGCAAAGTTTATGTTATTTAGTGATTCGTATCGGCCTCCTGGGCGGACGGACGTAAGCAAGATCCCGACAACCCTCGGGCAAAGCTCGACGGCGTTCCGGTCGACGAGGCAGGCTTATCGAAAACCTTCAGACCGGTTCCGTAAGACGATATTCATCTACAAATGTTTATGGCCTCCCCATGTACTAAAATCTGTAACTTCACTCTACTCCGACTGAAGCTAATAGCGAAATCTAGACTATAAAAGGCATAATCATGATCAGAAATAGAGCGTGTCCACAGAGAGTCGACAAATCATCGCTTCTTAGTGGATACCGTCTTATTTCCTTTACTATTGTGCATTTCTATAGCCATACGCGTTACATACTCTAGTATACGGGGAGGGGGGTTGCGCTTTTAGCAAGACATTAGCAGCTTTTTAGGGCGGTAATCGGAGCTCCGGGTCAGCTCCGGTGTCCACGGACCAGTATAGCTTTTCACCGACCGCTTGGCCGACGGCAACGCTTCCGAATCTTACTTTGGCAGTCGGCACTTTCGGGCGGGCGACGCGCTTTCTCCCCGGTCGGCGCGGAGCTCACTTGGGAGCAGCCTCTCCTCCAACGTGCTCCCCGACTGCCAGTCCTTGTCGTTCCAGAGTACAATCCCGATGAACCCCCCACAGGGTTCCGCTGTCGCATTCTCTGCCGACTCTGTCGCTGTTGATACCAGTGAGCGCCAAGACACTAACCCGCCGAGGCAGAAACGCAAGAGGATCTCGCACGCTTGTCAAGCATGCCGTCAGCGCAAGTCGCGTTGCGATGGTGCACGTCCGGTATGCCAGCTTTGCTCGCAGAATGGACTTGTATGCCAGTACAGTGAGGCGGCCCAGCCTCCTCGAGCCGCCTCCCCGGACCGCCGGACAGTTACTAACCTCGAACGCCGTCTGCATGACATGGAGGCGACAGTGCGGGCCTTGGTAGCCTCGCAGACAAACATGCAGCCCATGCACGACGGCTCTTTTGTCCCTCTAGAGCATCGGATCCATTGAGCGTTCACGGCCTCCATAACTGCGGAAGCTCCATCGCACATGTGGGCTCTGCACCCCTTGGCGCGACGTCGCAACAAGCCAGTGGCTTGGCCAGTTCTCACGACAACGTCGACGGTATGGTTTCGGTTACGTTTTCAGACGAAAAATCTTCTGGAACATTTGGTATGAGCTTTTCCGTTAACCAACACCATTGAGTATCTGATCTGATGTTTTGCAGGTCCGACATCCAACACTGGTTTCTTGGAGGATATCCTCAGTGCCCATCATGTCGCTTTTGATACGGGTAATGACACATCGTCTGTTGTGGGCGAGCAGGGTGACCTTAGGTCACGCTTCTTGTTGCGTGCGACGAGTCCCCCACCCGCTGTAAACTTGTCCGCCAATAAACAAATGCCCAATCCATCCATCCTACCGCCTCAAGAAGAGATAATGCACTTGGTCAATCATTTCTTCGCTAATACTGGCAAGCTATTCCCATATCTGTACAAACCGCTTGTTATGGATGCCCTCTCGAAGATGGCAGTTGATGGATTTCAAAATGTCGAACGTACTCAACTTTGCATATTGAACCTAATCATGGCTTTCGCTACCACGCATGGCCCATCAGAGGATCCTACCAAGACCCGGATGGCTCGAGGGGATATCTTTCTGCAACGGGCCCTTGCCCTTATTCCTAACATCACCGCCGCCGTACATAAGCTTGAATGCAGTACGCCTCTTTAACCACCCCTTTGAGCGTTCCAGAGCTTATGCTGACAGTTGCTTTAGTTCAGGCCCTTGTCCTAGCAATGCAGTACGTTCAAGGTACGCAGGATTGCGCACACACCTGGGCAATACTCGGCCGTCTGGTGACTGCATCTCTGCAAGTCGGTATGTATCAGAAACCCTCGGAATCTATGCTAGGAGATCGCCTGAAGATGGAGCTTCGGAATCGAACGTGGTGGATGTGCTTTTCGATGGACAAGTATGTGCTCTAACAATCGCCGCCTTTTATCTCCCATTTTGCTATCATGGTTAACACACAATGCCGCACAGGATGTGTAGTATGACTTTTGGTCGGCCACCGCTCATACCGAACGACTATATGCAGATCGATCCTCCCGCAGAAACCGAGCTCGAAGAGCTGGCGGGTTCAGCAAGCAACCCCTCTGCTCTGTCGCGGCCCCCGGACATTCCAACCTCATGTCTTCTTCGTTCCTCGGCGTAAGTTCTTCCTGTCCCATGTTCTGTCTACCTTGATATTCGTTGCAGCTGATCAAGTCATGACAGGGCCTTGTACTACATCCTAGGAGACATCATCAAGGATATCTATGGAAGCAATATATCCAACTTACCGTTGAGCACTCCGCTCAACCTGCTCCTTTCAAAAGTCTTTAGCAAAGAGCATGATTTATCGCAGTGGGTCCACAGCCTGCCTCCTCATATTACCCCAATCACAGAGAAGGAATTCAACCTAGACCCCGTTCTAGACAAACCTTCTTCCCTGTTGTTCCAGGTTATCCTCACGCTAAGATACCTTAATGTGCGCATGCTACTGCACCGTGCAGTCTTGTCCCGCCTTCTCTCTATGACAGCATCCGAATCGAACGCCAATGCAGAAGATTCTATAATTCGCACAGCGAGTAGCAGTATAGACAAGTGTCTCGAGATGGCAACACAAACTATCTCGATAATCTCACAAGCTCGCCACAGACAAGACATACTCCCTGTGTGGTGGTGGTCAATTTATTTCTGTAAGCTAATCCTAGGTGGTCAAAGTATAGCCAATTGTTAACATTGCATAGCATTCACGTCTGCTTTAGTGATCTACGGATCCATCGTGGCGCTCTACAGACACGGGCTAAAGCTTCGCTCACACACCCTCGATGATCTTGCAAGGAGCCTTGAGTCCGTGCCCGATATGATTGGCGAGATCGGGGCGAAACGAACCAAGTGGTCAGATGTCAAAAGATCATTTGCCTTTGCTGCCGCCTGCATATACCATGATAGCTTCGATGCAAACCGGCCAGGCCTCGACATTCCCTTTACAAGTCCAGAGCAACTCCGAACAACATGGGACAAACTTGCATGCCAACTTCCAGGACTCGTTCTTTAGATCGCTCTACGGACAAGGAGAAAACGAAGCATTTGTCGATCTAGCAGGTTTCTCAGATGAGCTATCTAGCTTGTTTCCTAGCGGCTTCTAAAGCACATATAAACAAATAGAGACAAGGGTAGTCTACATTCACGTCGCTGTCGTGAACGATACTGAACTGAGGACAAGTTTTCCATACCGTCGTCGCGACACTACAGCAACGTTGTTATTGTTATTGACGTGTAGGTATCTGAGAGGATTCTA